GTCAGGCTGATTGCGTCCGGCGGCTGAACAGCTTCCTCAAATGAATTATTCATTCATCTGCGTCTCTTTTACGTATACTTTAGCATTTCTAAAAGATTTTTGCCGCACTTTGAGCCAGTTGTAAAATTTCGCTTTGCGTCCATTTAGAGACAATGAAGATACAATTGGAGCAATTAGCATTGTTTGAAAGTGATGAAATGCTCTTTTCGTCGGTAAAGAGCGAGGGCCGCGTTTGCATATCAAAAGAGCGTGAAGTGTTCATCCGTAAGCTTATACTAACCAGTTCATTATGGCAGCCCGTGCAGCATAGAGATGTCAGGCTGATAGCATCTGCTGAACTATTTCCTCAAATAAATCATTGATTCATTTATGTCTCTTTGTATGGATGTTAGAGCATTTCTAAAATTAAAAGATTTTTGCCGAACTTTGAGCCATTTACCATTTAAAACTACATGCCTATCCAGATATGTTCGAATGCTTTATTTGTTTATTAAAATTGTGTTGCGTATTAACATCGGGCATCATTTTCCTGCATGCCACCTCGTGTCAAAAAAACAAAACGTTCGATAAATGTTCGAAGATTCGAATAAAGTTCTATCTTAAGTCAGAGAAAACGTCAGTGTTTAGTACTTTGAATCTTTACAGCCACAATATTTCACTCGCTATCTTTCTTCGTTCACTCGTCGTACAATTCAACATTTCCATTTGAGTTTCCCCAGCTAGAATAGGAATTGGTCGATAATTATTTCAACCCCCCTTTTGACCAACTACGTTTCTAAACTGCCTTCGCCACATCAACTAACCAAAAGAAATACATAACCGTTGAAACGAATTTAGTCTTAAAAACGGTCTGAGTTCCAAGTTATTCACGCATTAATTACTAAACGTCAGAAAGCTTTTTAATTACTTACTTTCATCTAAAATTTTCTTCGCGCAAGTCTTGTCTTCCCGACGATATGTAGAGCCGGTAGAACTGCAATTTGAACTTTAAAAATTTCGACGATTCCACTGTTTAAAAAAGCGGCTTTTACTTGGGGTAGAAGAGCACAGACACGTCATCACAATAGAATGTGCTGCGCATGAAATTAATCACCTCAGACGTGAAAATGTGTGATGTGTGATTAGCTTACTTGCAGGTAGTGTGGAAGTGTGGAAGTGTGGAGGTGAGGAAATATGCAAATACCAAATATGTAAAAGCCAAGAAAGCGTTCAGCAATTCATTTTATAACTCATATCATCCTTTATCCAATTTCACGAGGTGTGAAATTAAAAAATCTATCGATCCACCAACGCAATCATGACCTTAGATTTCGTGTATGACAGAGTCTATGAAAATTTCTCAATTACATGCAATAATCTGAAATTACAGCTAGGACGGATATGACTGCCAATTAAGGGAAAAATTAAAATGGTTTAAAAAAAAATTGAGATCTCACGAAACATAATATGATCCAATCGAATGACATTTCTTCCTTTCAAAGTGGAGGTTTCCATGGTTTCCAGTCTCTCTTAATTCCCAAAGAATACAAACGTCCTCGTCGATTGCCCAACGTTTAAACAGCATTTGAAATCCACCTGTACTAGCTTGTGGGTAAATTAATCTATATATATATACCGCTTTGAAGCTCGGTTGTTTGTATAATTCTTCCACATAAGTGGCATCGAAACTTGAATATTAATTTCAAAGAATACAGTCGCACGTACTGACAATTTAAGTGGTTGGGGCCCTTGTAATTAAAAAACAAAAAAACAAAAAAAACTCGACAGTCTCAACTTGTGTATTCTAATGCACGTTTGTATGACAAAAGGTCGTTTAATATTTAACGGTGTCAAGTTTCAGCCCAGATTTTAAAGGTCGTTCGAAAGATGGGGTGGAGGGAGGAGAGGGGGTTCGTGGCATTAGATTGGATGCAAGACTTCTGCAATTTTTTAGTTTATTTTTTCTTTATTTGAGCTATATGAAATAAGGGTGAATTATCTGTATTCCTTTTCAAATACAAGACATTGTTTTAACTGCCGCTGATATACTCCGGCCCACAAAGTCATAGGAAACCAAACACAAGACAAATCATTACTGTCAAAAACACAATGTCGTTCTGGAACCTTACGACTGCACTCGTTGAGCAGTTCTCGTCCAAACGAGCAAAGACTCGGCAAGGCCCCCCACTTCCGCCGGAAATGAACATGGGTGCTGCATACACTGTGAAACATTTCGTAGGCAGCTTATCCATGTGGGCGACATTTTCAAGCCCAGGAATGTTCTCTGCGTAGAGGATTTGATGTGTTTGGAACATCTTGGACTGTCCAAAATCCATGGATGGGGTATCAATACCAACCATCTTGACTTTGCGATTCTTAACCAACCAACGAGAAGCGTTGGGGTGTATTCCTATGAAAAGAAACCTGTCTTTTTATGGGGCATTTAATAAGATATGGCTACATTGCCCTTGCTTATTTATACGAAAAGAAAAACAGAATTGACCTTCTCAAGTGGAAGGAAAATTTTTCATGGAGGAATATCAAAGTATGCAGCAGCCTGGGGAAGGGCAGAAACTGCCGATATGGCAGTCATTGTAATCCATTCGTAAGGAGACTTCAATTCAGAGTATTGAAGTGGTGCGGTAATCATCTGCAACAAAGATATTCACCGACCGACTTAAGTGTTCAAGTAATCATTTCTTCGGCTAAATTTTATGGTTCTATAGTTTCAGCACTGTATTTCTGGGAACCTAGAGCCCAGACCATCATGTTTTTACTTTAACAGGCTGGAAATATCGACGCAAGGTTTAAAAAAACTTAATTTGCCTTCGATGCTTTCTCCTTCATTCCATTGCTTAGTTTCATTTAATAATCTTTCCTATTTTTTCTTAATTTGTCCTGATGGTCCCCTTTACGTTTTCTCAATTATAACTTTTGTCTATTATTTCAACAACGTACCTGGGAAATGCAGCAGGGAAGTGTTTTTGAGATCAGTTCCGAGATACGTTTTCTTTTTCGGCCAATATTTTCCCCAGCCGAAAAATACCAGCAAAATAACATTATCTGGGATCACGCCGTGTTTCTCTTCCCATTCCTGTAAGTCGCTTGGTGTCATCTCGTAGTCAGCGTTCTATAGAAAAGAAAGAAGGGAAAGAAAAAAAAACTCATACCATTCTCTTGGTATTAATCAGTCGTAATGCTAATCGCGGTTACTATCAGTTTCAATCGCTGTGAATGGTGCGTTTAGATCACCGCAGAGGAAGACAACACAGCCGTTAAATCTTGAACTACTAAGAGTGAATAATATCAAATTTATCTTTAAAGTATCATCAGAGAATCACGAATTAAGGCCACGAATAAGGAAATGACCACCTACTTAGGAAGCTCATGACTGTTAAACAAATTGTCCTCTTAAGTAAGATAGGAAGTGAATATAAAAGCCATCTTCGCAATAATGAACATTACTTAAGCAGTAGTGAAAATGAAGCCTTTCTTTCACTACTGCTTGAGTAACGTTCATTACTGCGAAGGTCGCTTTCATATTCACTTCTTTATCCACAGTTCACAAATATAATTTTAAAATATTCACAGTCATTTAAGAATCACCGAGTGCGTATATTTGTTGTAGAACTGAAATTAAAACTTCGCTCGCCCTTTCACTAAGAACAAATTGTTTAAGAAAATTAAGATATTAAATGAATGAAAGTTCCATCGATTAGTTCAACTGTAACCAAATACCTCACGTTTTAACTTTTTAGATACTTTTTGTGAACGATCAAAATTAATTGCAGACGGTTCTTAGGCCGCTTGTCAATCAACGTAATGTCACTACTGCTTACAAAAATTCATTTTGAAACCAACATTTTTCTATCAACCGAAGTGATTTTAGAGAGAGAAAAGAGAGGATTAATATGTTATTTATCGGCTTGAGGCAGTGACCGACGTCTTTGCTTAAAAATACTGTCCAGCCGGAAAAACGAGATATATTTATGAAAAATGGCAACGAAAGTAGGGATGTACTCGGCGACTCACGAAAGCGTTACTGTTGCCTGTGGGCAGAGATAGGAAAATACAGACCGCGTAAAGAACCAATCAGATTGCACGATTCGTTACCATGCCCACTGAAAAAAAAAAAATTAGTTGATTCTTAACTTGATTATCTTGTGATTAAATATTACTTAGAAATTGACATTTGTAACGCAAAGAAGTTAGATTTCGTGACATTAGATTTCACAAAAATGTAGACAAAGTCCTAGTACATTTACGATATAAAATGATGTAACTGCATGCATTTTCTTAGGCTAAATAAGGTGAAAGAACGTGCGATTTTGTCATAGTCACTTAATTTAGATGCATTACAATGGGAACTTTTACTGTACATGTGATTAATGTAAAAATACTGCCTTACGCAAGGATAGTAGAAAAACCCTCTGTATACCTAGAATGTGTTAGTTGGTCGTTGATCGTTGATAGTTGTGTTACGACCGTTAAATACGTGAAAATTGTACATTAAATCGTGTTACATCGAAAGATACAGTCCTCTTGATTTGTTTGAACCAACGAGTGGGGTTATAAGAATTCCGCAACACAGACCAAATCGCTCTCCACTAAATTAAGTTACCATCATAACTTCTCCTAAGATTTTCAAGACATTCTCCAGCATATAGCTGATGAGAAAAGACAGGCCTATCAACTGTAAGAATGTTATCGTGATATTAAACCGGTATCTGTTTCTTTACTAATTAACTTTAAGAAAATGGTGAATCAACTTACTAACAGCGAAAATAATTCAACAGTTTTCGAAAATTTAAAAGTCAATACAAATTTACTGAAATGGGTGGCGTAATGATTATGTTTTTCTTAAGAACCTGTGTTTTGGTCGGAGACGCCTAGCCCTGACAGAGGTAAAGTAATTGCAACGCAAAGAGCACTACCTCTATCGTTTTATCGTCTCATTAAATTTGATAACAATAATAAAATTTCACCTTGTCAGCTTTGGAAGATAAATCAATCTTTATTGCAGGCCCAATGAGATGATCAAGGGGTATTTGGTCTGTTGTCCATTTTCCCGCCGCAAAATGCCTTGGTGCATCGATATGGGTGCCACCGTGTTCAGAGGCGCCGATGTTGTATAAGGCGAAGTAATATCCATCAGCAGTGTAGTTTTCGAACACCAAGGAGTGATGGAAACTCATTACTGTTGGCCAGTAGATAGTCTCACCGTTGAATGGGTAAGAGAGTTCTATCCATTCTGAATTCTCAACTGGTTTTCCAAGAGCCGGAACCCAAACAAAGATTGCACAAATCGCTAAACAATTCACAAGGCTCGTCATGTTCCCTGTCAGAAGAGTGCAGTACAATGTTAAACAAATAAATATGTACAACACAATGGTAAAAACAAGTAGCTTTACATGGTCTCTTTTACTATCATTTTTTCAGTCTCCTGGCTATGACAGTCAGTTGATCTGAAGGTTGTTGAGTCCCATCACCCCGTTGTTGCCATGTTGATGAGGATCTCATTAAGTGTTTTCTTTCCTCTTGTTTCATAGAAGCGATTTCAAAAATTTGACGATAAGAGGGTTACCCTCTTCTGTAATACAACTCGAAGTTCGTGTGAAGAGGCAATTATTTCAAACAAATCAACTTATTTCTGTACTAGAGTCTCGCATGTGATATGCGAGTAATGAATTCAAAATAACTCGTTGTCTCAATGGTCCAGCTAGTTTGAATAATAGCAACCGAAACTCATCAAACATTACTTCTCTAATGATAAGTTTTGGATACGTTACGACCTCACTGGTACAGCCTCACACAGTCCTAGAAAGCGTCAAAATTTTCTCTCAAGAAACAATCACACTGCCTACGCTATCATCACCTACGCTATTTATTCTTTCAACTCACTTTTATAAATTGCCTATCATATTTCCATATTTACGTCACAAACCTATCTACTCGTTGTAACGCTTCAGTCGTGGAAAACAAAGAAGTGAAGCAAGTTTCATTTTAAAAAAACGAACTGGGAAACAAAAGCAATGGCGCTTAACCGACGATTTGGAGGTGATTTTAGACAAATGAATAATTGGGAACAGATTATCTTTTTTGTATCTCAGAGCGGTAGTTAGATAACGGCGTAATGTGTGACTAACACAGTCTATAGATTGTAAGATTTTACGGCACTATGTGCGACGGTGTATATATATGTGAGATTTTAAGCCGTTAACTAACGGCGTAAAATCTTACAGTATATAATTAACCGACTGGAAGAAATTACGCCGTTAGTTACTGGCGTAAAATCTTACATATATATATCACCGACTGGAAGAAATTACGCCGTTAGTTACTGGCGTAAAATCGTACATATAAGACAACCGACTGGAAGAAATTACGCCGTTAGTTACATATTACGCCGTTATATATATTCCCGGTGATTAACGCTTATGAAAAAGAGACTCGAGAAAATTATTTCAAAAGTTGAGTCTTTTAGAGGTACATCGCTTTACGCTTCTTTTCTGATTTGTACTTATGCTTCGGCAAAGGCCGCGTCTAATTCGTGTATTGCGTTCTTGATTTTTCAAGTGCTCTACACGATGCCGCACGCAACTCGCCTGCCTCGGTTAGAAGAAGAACAATGCAAGCTCAACTTTGAGCCAAATGACACTAAAGTCAGTTTATGAGTGAAATCTTGGATCCAAGCACTACGAATACTAACTGGTAAACTATAAATGTTACAAAGACAGATTTCTTACCTCAAGCAATCAACCAAACAGCTTTGAGCCGTTAAACTAAACCCGTGACTTCACTATTCAAATTATGCGTTGAGCTTTTGCATATATCAAAAATTCTTTAGGCTTGTTTTGGTCGGTCGTAGACATAACACTGACTCCTTGTCCATGGATTACCGGATGGACTACTGGATGGAATACCGGATGGAATACCGGATGGACTACTGGATGGAATACCGGATGGACTACCCGAATGGACTACCCTAAAATGGACTACCTTTACAAAAACTATTCCCAATGAGTACTTTTAAAGAGATGCGATTTATACCTGAGTAGTCTTGGTTCATTATTATTTATACCACTCAGTAAAAGAAAAAAAATTAATAACGTTTAATTTTACTCACGCGCGTTATCGTCGTGGGGATAAATGAGCCAAGCGCTTGGTGTCTTTGTACAAAATTTGTGCAACATGCCCTGACATCCGTTCCGTGTTTTAGGATTTGGGGTCATTTTCCGCCGTTCCATATTTTAGGATTTGGGGTCATTTTCCGCCGTTCCATGTTTTAGGATTTGGAGTCATTTTCCGCCATTCCGCTATTGCACCATTCCACCGTTCCAGCTTTTAGGGTCACCCGTTGTATTTGTAGTCTTTGTATTTGTGGACTACGACGAAATATGTCAAGAATTCGAAAAATGTAAAGAATGTAAATTGTATATGAACGTCACACAATACCTAGTGTCACGCGCTTAAAAACAGTTTTTCCTCTGGCGTGGCGATAATAGAACCCAAATAGAATTTGAGCGGGAAAGTTTTTTGTACCTGTGTGGATAGAACCATCTCTGCGGGAGAGATGTGACAGCTGTCTGTTGGGGCATACATGTCTTTACATTTTTGTCCTGTCGAATAGCGCGCATTTGTCAGTTGAGGTCAATATGGAACACAAGGTCCACATGAACGCGTCCTTTCTAGAAATAAAAATAAACATGGGTCTGTGTCTTTCATTTCGATATGGATCGTCTTCGATATTAGCGCCATCAACCATCTCTTTCTTCTCCGAGTTATCAATTTATTTATTATTCGTTTATAATAAATAAAACATAATAATCGGCGATTTCAGTTGCATTGTTGGTGTACCAAAACATCAATATGAAGGGGCGACTGAAATCGTCGATGCAATGCAGAGAGAGAACAATAGGATTTTATGAGGGTCAATAATTATAATAGTTAATTACTGAGGTTCGCAGCATTATTGGGTATAATGCTGCGAACCTCAGTAATTATCTATTAAATATTAACCCCGATGGTATAATTTTCTTGAAAGAAACAGGAGGAAAACATTGGACCACTGACTGTTTACATGTGAAGACATGGCGGGGTCGTCTCATGCGAAAAAAATTCGTCGCTTAAAGAGAAAGATCCGTTTGCAAGCTTCCGAACATGCTCAAGACATTGAAAAATATAAAACGATTATTGAAGACTTAAATTACGGGAGAGACATCGTGAACTTGTATTTTATGTGGCTTTACATCACATCTACGAACCGACAGGGATGAGACAGGGATGGGTCTATGGCGCATGATGGGATAAAGAAATCGCGGCCGGATTGGATTCTGCATATTATGACAAAGACTATTAAGACACTTGTTTATTATACTTTTGTAGTTATACATCAATTTTTGAAAAATAAAAAAGTTACATGAGTAACGAATAGAAATGAATGATGGAATTGTGTACATGTCTATAATTAAACGTAGTTAACCAATCTGCATTTTCAATCACGGGTGGGTCTTCATGATTAGTAAAACCATATTGAATTATTGAATGATTGAGCATGTAAGCATTGACATAAGTGAAAAAGTTGACGTTCTTAAACAGTAAAAAGATTAAGATAACACTTATTGATGTTTCAGTGCATAAGCGCCCATACAATAGACGGCTCGTAAAGCTAAGTGGGTGTAGGTGCGGATGATTCAATCGGAGAAAAAATTAAGTGGCATGTAAGAAAAAGTTACGAATGTGATAAATACAGTGAGTGTAGCGAAGCGATTCTTGACTAGAAATAATAGGAAACCGTAATTTGAATCTCATAAAAGGAAAAAATACGGAAGCATTAAAAAGTGTCTTAGAAATGGACCAAATGGAAAATACCTCATTCGAAATAATTAGTGTGTGTTCTCAGGTAATATATTTTCAAACCATCCATTAAAATATCCGTCAAATTCAGGATGCTTATAGATTTCAATGAGAATGAGATCCTCATGTGAAATGTTGTGATACGCCATAGCTCTTCGTACATTTTCAATTGAACGAGCCTAGGATCTGGAAACGCTACGTGGACGATACCTTTGCCATCCTGGATCGCGAAAACGTTGATGACTTCTTACAGCATCTAAACAAACAGCAGCCTTCCATCCGCTTCACCATGGAGACAGAGAAAGACAACAAACTCGCCTTCCTAGACACCGCAGTTTTAAGAGAACCTGACGGCCGCCTCACCACCAGCGTATACAGGAAGCCCACGCACACCGATCAATACTTAGCGTATGATTCGCACCAACCTCAATCAGTAAAACGCGGCATTGTTAACCGTTATCCCCGAGGAGAAAAAACATCTGTCATCTGTTCTGGTTTCTAATGGTTATCCTTTTTCTTTCTTGCAGAAACTTACCAGGACCGGAAAACCAAACAACGTACAGTGCCAAACCCGCTAACGAGTTCAAAGCTACTGCGGTTTTACCTTATGTCAAAGGGCTGTCCGAACAGCTTCGCCGTTGCCCACAACAACAAGGCGTACGCGCTGTTTTCAAGTCGGAGACTACGCTAAGATCTCAGTTAGTACGACCAAAAGACGTTGTCGACCAGGCTAAACAAGATGGCGTAATTTACAGGATTCCCTGTGAATGCGGCAAGGTGTACATCGGAGAGACTGGAAGACCTATGCAAGACAGAATTAAGGAGCACGATCGAGATATTCGACTCGCCCGTACAGAGACCTCCGCCGTTTCGGAGCATGCCCACAACACCGGATATGAGCCACTCTGGAACGAAGTAAAGTTTATTGATCGTGACCCTTATTACTGCACGCGCAGGTTCAAAGAGGCAATTAATATAAGACTTCACCCTAACAACATCAACAGGGATACTGGAGTAAAAATTCCAGAAGCGTGGATGCCCACGATCAAAAAACACAACAACAGGAGAGCCGTGGGACTGCGGACCGCCGAGGGAGCAAATCACTGAGTGAACTGCAAGGATCGAAATGCACCAATCAGAGCTGTTGAATAACAACTAATCACAGCAGAGCATCATGCTTTATAAGATCACGCATGACCAGTCGACTTCATCGCCTGAAGAAGACTAGTAGTAAGCAGTCGAAACGTCGCGATCTACATCACACGTGACTACATCGTGAGACAAACGAAAAACTTAGCTTTTATTATAAGAGACGGTGTTCTCGACCCGTGTATTATCAACAGTTTTACGAAGAACAAGAAGTACAGATGAGTCAAAACAAAGAAGCAACAGTAGAAGAATTGTGGGTGAAAGTTGTGAAGAAAGAAGAAATAGAAAGGTATGAAAACATCATTCAAGAGTTAAAGAAGCGAGAGATGGAAGGACCACGAGTGTTTTATCAAGCCTTACATGAAATATATGACCCACAACGAGGAGGAGATAAAAGCAAAGTCATGCAATTAATGAGCTCGTATCACAAATCTTAAAAAAGATCCCTATATCCCTTTTTTAGAAAATTAATGTTGAAAGCTATGATGAATATTGTGCAAGAGATGCCATGTACTACTAAAAAAAAATACACTCAATTGCTTTTCATTCGGTGGCAACTACTACAAACAAACTAATGGCGTGGCCATGGGTACTAAAATGGGACCCAGCTACGCCAATCTTTTTGTAGGTTTTATCAAACATCAATTTTTTAGCCAATACCACGGCCCAAAACCTGAACTCTACGGCCGCTACATTGACGATTGCATCGGCGCTACCTCCTCTACCAAAGAGGAGCTCACTCAATTTATAACCGCTGTCAATTCCTTTCATCCGGCTCTTAAATATACCTGGGAAATTTCCGACACTTCTTTGGCTTTTCTAGACATCAAAATTTCAATTGAAGGAAACGGCATTATGTACTAGTGTTTACTACAAACCTATAGATTCACATAGTTACTTGCTGTATTCATCCTCACATCCATCGCACGTCAAGAACTCCATACCTTTTTTCACAGTTTCTCAGACTTCGTCGTTTATGCAGTGACGACTCTGATTTTTCCGAAAAATCAGAGGCAATGTGCCAGTTTTTCGATAAACGTGGCTATCCTGTTTCTGTCGTTCAAGCGGGCTACCACCGTGCCCAACAAATCGATCGTCAGGCAGCACTACAAACGGCCGAGAAGGAGAACACTGACCGCATTCCATTTATTCTTACATTTCACCCTCACAACCACGCAGTTAAATCTATCATTCTTAAAAATTTTAAATTAATCCAAAACGATTCAGAGACTGGCACTATCTTTTCGCAACCCCCACTTATTTCATTCAAACGTGACAAAAACATAGGCAACTTTTTAGTCAGGAGTTCATTTCAAACCAATGACCAATCTGGAACTTTTAAATGCGCTCGCTCACGATGCAAAACTTGTCCTTTCATTCACAACGTAGAGAAAATATCGGGACCCAAAAGATCCATTGAGATCATTGATCACTTTACGTGTACCTCCGCCAATGTTATTTACTGCATAACTTGCACTTATTGCAATAAGTTATACATCGGCGAAACAGGAGGACGACTGGGTGATCGATTCCGAGAACACCTTCGCGATGTGGAAAGAAATGACAAGGACGCATCCAAACCAGTCGCTAGACACTTAAATCTTCCTAATCATTCTAAACAGCATATGGCAGTTTGCGGCCTTTCCTTAATCTAGGCAGTTCAGAAAGCCGTAAAACACTAGAACAAAAATTTATTTTCCAAATCGGCACCCTTAATCCTCACGGAATCAACGAGCGCTTTTCATTCAACTAATTTATTCCTGTTTTCTCGTCACCATATTCCCACCAATGGCGTAGCTCCACTTTCTGCATATAAATCCACACACAACCCACAATTCCTCTAATCGCTCTGACGAAGGGCTAACGCTCGAAACGTCAGCTTTTTTACCCTTGGCTAATTTACGTTTTCAACCCAGTTGTTAACACTAAATTACCTGCTATACTCTCCCACCGACGCAGCACCACAGTTTCTTTAGAAACTTACCCCTTTATTCAATAAAATTTGTCTTTGGACTTACATTTGTGTCTCACTCGTGTTTTGTAGGATCATTTGTTGAAGACGTCACCATGACTAAAAGGGTCTATGAAGATGATAATATTTCGGACGAAATATTGAATTCTGTGTTCGATGAATTAGAAGAAGAAGAGCAACATGGTGGGAGTCTTTTTGAGTTTGAATTCCAAAAAAGTGGGTTCCCCCAACATTGGAAAAATACCGTGCATAATCAAAGATATCAATCGATGTTACATCAAAAGCGAAATCCTACACGTGGAGATAATTTAGGTAGAGAAATCACAGACGCGCTTACCAGGTGAGAAGATACATTGATATTTTAGGTAGTGAGACACCCCTCTCCTTTATTTAGACGTCTTTTTTATTTGTTTTTTAGACCGATACGTGAACGCTTACCCAAAATAAGGTGCCACTACATCATCGCATGATGTTTAATCTCCAATCGGATCATTTTACACATCCCTTTAATTCGGTTCACTTTGATGTTGATGAAATCATGAACGGTACCGAAAGAATAGAGGGATACATGACCATACTAGCCAATCAATTGAATTCTAACGAAGCCTTTAAACCTTCCTTGACGTTTCAAGCAGATTTAACGGTGATTAAACTCCTAAAAAAGGCGGCAAACAAAATTCACCTTGGGAAAACGAGCCATTTTCGATGTCTTACACAAAAACACTCAAGATCCGTAATACCGACGACCTTTGCTGTGCACGAGCTATCTGTGTCACGAAACCTGGCTGCTCAAAGATGAAAATAGAGACACCAAACAACATTACGAAAATGTGAGACTTCACGAATCCTATCAAGCACGAATGACGCGTCAACTTCACCAAGAGGCCAGTGTCCCTCTAGGCCCATGTGGACACGATGCTCTGGAGTCTTTTCAAACGTTACTCGCCCCAATTGAAAGTCATGTCGACATTATACACGTACATAGTGACCTATCATCACTTCGATTTAATTCACTAACGTTTGACACTAGAATGAAAGCCTTGTTAAACGTTTTATGAATAGAAGTCGACCACCTCAGTCTTTTCAAAATAAAAACTGCACGTTCTTTATAATCAGACGCTGCCTATCAACGTGAATTAAGTTTAACGTTTATTCATTAATAACATGTCAATCATACCAATTAGCTACACGCGGGTAAACAAAAGATAAAATTAACAATGTAAATCCTCCCGCAAAATAACAAACAGCTAAATAAAGAATACACGGATAAAGCAAACAACGCGTAAGATGGAGAGGGGTTAAACTTCCTGTCCATGACAAACGTCTATGCTGTGGGATATGAAGTGAGAACCATTCCCGCATTTTCGAAATTGATGGTCTTTATCGTGAGCAGCTGACTGTCTATGTTGCACGTGCAGTCACCAGGCTCTCCAAAGAAACATGCAGTGTACAGAGCCATCTCAAATGCAGGGCTGGTTCCGATGTAGAAACTGCTGCCAGCTTTGTTAAATCCCTTCCACGTAAATGCCACATTGATAAGCGGGGGCTGTGATAAGATAGTGAATGTTAGTCAGATTTGGCAAGGGCGTGGCTGAGGGGGAGGATTTAAGGGTATGCGGCCACCACACTCACCTTGTAAAGAGAGAGAGGAAGAGGTATTCATATGAGTACACATGAATGATGATCAAAATTTCCTCAAGGTGCCATCGCAGTTTCACACTTAAATTTATGTGAAGAAGAATCTTTGGGAAGCAGACCTGCTAATTTTCTATGATACTGTTTTAGAAATACTTGCCTCCTTTTTGTCAATCATAATAAAAAACTAATATCATTCTATATCACCTAGTGTCACCACTTATCATTTTGAAATCAGGATTAATTTAGGGTACTTGGAGAGGTTAGAATCAAGGAAGAGTTGAAATCTTCTCTTTCAAGCATGTGAGGTCATTTTATATTTTTATACTTATCATTTTGAAACGACTATACAATATAGTTTGCTTTTCTCCAACCAAGAATTTCCTTGTTTTTTCCCTTGTTATCCTCAATTTTAATGTTTCTGCTCGCCAGAAAATAATGTCTGAATCAAGCTTAAGGGTTACATCATGGAAACGAACCTTAGTTTACTTGAAAAAATATAAAAAATTGGAGTTGAGTAAAGTTCTGTCATCTATTCTTTATTATGAGAAAATCAGACGTTACCTTCTTGTTCAAATCAACGACATTCTTAACTGGAGGCATATAAGTCAGTCTTGTTGCTTGTTGTTCCAGATGGAATTGGTACCAGTTGTGAAGACCCTTGACAACCATTGTTCCTTTCGCAAGACCAAGCTCACCTGCCACATTTGAAAAAAAGTAAGATGGCTTAGATATCGATTCCCAGCTTCATTTTCTCCCTGCGAAAACAATATTTAACCAACGAGACTTGGTTTTACTAATCGAAACTGAGCTGATGTTTAGTACCTCTAGGAAGAAATATTATTTTGACCAAATGCCACAAGCAGTATTTGACTATGGTCTCCTACACTTTACAACAAATTTTCATTGAACCTTATGAATTGACGGGTATAAGACGAACGCTGAAAAGTAACATCTTTTGAATAAATAAATGAAAAGGAGAGAGGGGAGGGTACTGAATCCATCCCGTCCTATCCCCAAGAAACTTGGCGATGGCAAACTAATACTTAAACAACAGCATGTGCACTTGATATTACAGTAGTCTTTCCTTGTTTTACCAACAAATGTGTGTTCAAATCCAGAGTAGGTCGGCACGTCTCCTCCTTTTGGGTACTTTTTGAACCACATGGTCTTCAGTATTGGCTTGAAAGCGTCTAAGTCCTAATAAAGCACGGAAATAATTGTTGTTCAGAGGGACATGTTTTTTTGTCCTGTCACGAGCGTAGGACAAGGCCAGACCACAACACCGGGAGCTACGTCCTCCACTCTGTGCGATAAGTGAGCGTGTTCTTCAACGTCCCCTGCTAACCAGCACAGAGAAAATGCACGAGACGAGGCCCACCATTTATCGTCCTTATCCGAGTAGATTAGAATGTCTAGCCATTTGGGAATGTCATAGCAAAGGCAGCATGTTCCTCTCAGTTAATTTAAGACCCTAGGTATTGGTCCGCTCTGAGGCTTAAACCAAAGACTTCCTGCATGGCAGTCCGGCCACACCACAACGCGGGCTACAACCAAGCAGGGTGTAAATTACACAGAGGTCAAGAAAATCTAATGCCATTCCGGTGCATTACCCACAATCGAAAGACTTTTACCAAATTGATATAAGGAATGATTAGATAACTTACAACAGCAGTGGTTTTTCCGCTTGCTTTTAGGTACTGAAAGGCGAAATGCATAGGCCCGCCAGGGACGGCGATAGTGTTTATAAAGTCATCTTCTTCATTCACTTTTTCCGCATCGCTCCCCTCTGGTTTGGTCTCGTCTGCAATGTAGTTGTCTAGAAGGGCTTTCCAAAGACATGAGGAAATTACTAGAGTGTATTGTAATATCGCTTTCTAAATATGATCACAAATGTTGACTTTAAATGCCCATAGATCTGAAATAGAGCTGATTATGCTTTTGGAAACTTGGCCTAGGCCAAAAGAATAGATTATTTCGCTGAGAAATCTTGGTTGAAAATTCAATCATGTCTTAAAAAAAAAGGTCGAAGATCTTTCGCAAGTTAGACAAAACGGAACTTCCTAAATTAGCTTGTCCAAGAACAAGGCTTCTGCTGTTTAAGACAAAGAGTAGTGATCTGCAGATTGGAGAGGGTCTCAAGCTACAAGAACGAATGTGTCGGACCAGAGACATCGTTCCCTATTTTAAATTTAAATTTCGGATTTTTTAGATCTCTCCAACTGTTCTTGGAGGTCTTAAAGGTCCCAGAAATAACTATAATCCTCTATTGTGAATTTTCATGCAGCTTCGATTTGTTCTCCACATGAAAATTTAAAGAGCTTGCAGAGAACGCAATCTATCATTTCCCTCTGGAACACCAAAAACCTCGTGTCTAAAAGTAGCTTGGAAAGGATTACCATGGAAAAAAAAAACCTTTGTAAAAGACTAAGGCTGTAATATTAACCCTCTCTCAATGAGATACACTCTTGCACAGACTGTTATCAACCTCACCTTTGAACTTTGTGTATACAGGTTGACTTAGCTTGGTGATACCCGGTGGCGTAAGACTAAACAATTGCGTGGCAGTGGCTGAAGTGTCTACTGCCAGATCCGTCCCAACAACCATGTTATTGCCGGCTGCTGCCCACATATCTTGGCAAACTCCACCCAAATCACGACGAACTCTTACTCCACTTCGATGAGGAACATTAAACAGACAAACAAACAAAACAGGAAAAAAACAACAAAGACTTTCATTACATAATACTGCAAATTGCAGGGTATACTGAAGTATCTTCAAAACTTTGGTCAAAGTAAACTCAAAATTTTATCAGGAGTTTCCCTGTAATTTAAAATTGAAAGGAATGCTTCGATGGACATACATCCTCTTAAGTTCTAAGACAAAGTAAAAGTATGTAGTGTATAAGTATATCGCTACATAAATTATCTTAACGGACGAGTTTCACGTTAATCAGAGTTTTTTAAAAAAATGTATCTCCCCTCTCTTACAAAGATACAAGTCGTTGCGGTGTAATGGCAATGAAAAAACTTCATCAAGAACAGCATTTAATTCAATTAACCCTAATCTTGAATCGAGTCCCTCCAGGGAAACTCTCTGTCTTACGTTTCCCGCTCTGGCCTCTGGGTAATGAAAGTGGCCTTTAAGAACTTGCGTCAGTTCATCAAATGCATCACTGATTTGTCTCTCTTCCCTCCTTTTCTTCTTTTTAACCTTGTCTGTTCTATTTCCCCTGGTCTCCCTCCAGCATAAATTTACAGTGAACAGGTAGCTCCCCGAGGTGACAGGTGTGTTAGCTAATTAAGTCCAAACCTGAATGGAAATATTTGGCCAGGAGGCAAAGCAGATACAAATTTCTCTTCTGATGCTTTCTTTGTCAACATCTTACTTTTCGGGTTTGATCAGCAAAGTTACTGACTGATACGAATTATCCCAGGCCTGTTGTTAACAATCTCGTATTTAAATAAGATGCAAAATAAGACTGCGTTAAAAAACAGATGGATCGGCCATTGGGTCTCTGATAATTTACCATATATTTTCGTTCGTGTCTTTGTTCCGGAACACACATACCCATGCAGCAACAATCCGTGGCGTCTTTGTTATTCGTATACCTACAATAGTATTTTGGAGAGCGGGCGACAGCTAAATGTGGCCTACTCATTCACCTAAAGTTTACCAATTTATAAACCGATTACGTGATTTTTTATCTGGGGGGTTAATAGATTTTCACTAGCATCTGCAAAAGTTCATCAATTTTTCCTTTTTAAGTCTTGAGTAGCACTGGTGGCAAATATCTACAAGTTTTGCCACATTTTTTTTTTGATGAAAGAGGCCCTTCCCGCTTCGAAGAAATTCATCACAAAATCTTTTGGTTTTTAACCTTTTCAAAACAGCTCGGTAACGTTTGTATTAGACTAGTACTGGATTAGAAAAAAGAACACAGTGAAAAGTTTTAACACGTTTTGATTCTTTAAAAAAATTCAAAACCAAAACGACCTCAGAACACATTAAATCAAAACATTAGAATTAAACGAAGATCAGTCTTCCTGAGGACATGATTTTTTCTTACTGAAAAATAGTCAGCAGCTTATTTTTGATAAATTTTTAAACCTCCTCCGATGCTTGACAGATACAATTAATATATGATATATATGGTTTCCATCAGCTAAAGACAAATAGACATGACTTTTTATCTTGCTACACTACGTTTGTGTCCTTGTACGTTGGAGAAACCCTCAGTCGCTGAGTTAACTCTGTATCATGTGATTCGGATGTTTTGGTAACATGAAAGTGCTGAGAGAGATGAGTACAAGATAATAGCCTAAAATATAGACTGTTTTACAACAAACATAAGGAAATTTGTTACATACCGTGCTTGTATTGATGAAATATAAAACAACAACCAAATGATTCGTGTTTTCACGGACATTTTCATCGAGACTCCTGCTGTCTTCTAGTCGTCCTTTGTCAGCAGTGTGAACTTTAACTTATGGCACGGTTTAGCCACCGGCACGATATCATCTGATTCTTAGGTAATCGATTTGCTTGCCTTTTTCTGATTGGTTGAAAAGATTACAACATCTATAAAACAGTTGCAGATGCAATCGAAACAAAGATTTACCCGCATAAACTAGTTAGCCAGGTGCTAAAAGTACCTTTCACTGAATTATTACCGTGTTACCTCTATACTCGGATTAAATTACAAGCCCTTCCTTCACAGGTAAGGAAAGAACAGAATTCTTGATTAAGCAGGTGGAATATTATCAAACCTACAAAATTCGTCTCATGCTAATATTAAACGTTGTCAATATAAACTGTTAACTCTGTTTCTAGTTACGTTGGCCTTAGTAGGAAGTTGAAAGAAAATCCAGATGCACAAGACAGAAATTTTGAACATTTATAATTTATAGCTTGAATTTCATGGGCCATGAGTTATATCCTGTGGGATATAACTAATTAAACACATTAGGCAAGCAATGACATTATCGCCCGTAACCAAAGTCATGTCACCGATTTGTTTTTCTCCTATATTGAGAAGGCGTTGAATCCTTTTGGAGTAGGTACATACGTTCCCGAACTTTCAGCAGTGTTATTTCACTGTAAATACAACCTGACACGTAAACGTTCAATGTTCAACAGAAGTACCTAAGTGATGTCGCCGCTTAGTGAGTCATTAACATGATTTTTGAAAAATATGTTTGGAACACAAATGGTGCAACATCCATTGTATCAGTATAGATAGATGTGCAACAGTTAGAAGAGTTATTTAAATAGAAGACTTGGAGTATATCTGCCCAAGACACTTGATTACTCCTGCCATAACAAATGTAACGATAGGATTTTTAGTTATCGAGTTCTTTCATGCTTACGCTTAAAAATACAATATTCAACGTAGAAAGCTTAGTTCAGCAAAGCGTAAACGCTACCAGTTCTCCTTCAGCCACCCGTAAACAGTTGTTATTAGTGTTAAACTGTAACAGCCACCTGTCATGTCCTTTTGTGTAACTGTTATCCACCGGAACTCTTTAAAAGTAATTAATGTTGTAAAAGGCGAAATTCCTACTTAGCCAATAGTGTAGTAGATTACATGATCCTTTGGATTATTCATGGCATTACGTTATCCATGTACGTTTGGTTTAAATAGGACTGTTGTGTAAAGCTTAAAAAAGAAAAGAGAAAGGAAGAGAAGAAAAGACAAGAGGGAGAAGAGCAGGGTCGAACCAGCCCTGGTCAGGTCCGTTCTGGTCAAAATTGTAGTAGAGCTTGCAGAATAAACCCACGTTGGAGCCAACCCTGTTGTTGTTAGTCATTCTCTCAAGGATAGTCAGCAGCCGTAATAGATTCTGGTTCCTTCCCGCAGCCAGCGAGTGCCCCCAAGGAAAGCCTTTACCCAGAAAGAGTTTTAAGAGTTGTCCCCGTCCGTCCGTTCATTTGTGAAGGCAAAACCTGTTTTCACACTGGTAGAGGAGAGCGGCAAATTACGGAAAGACTATCAGAGAGAAGTGCTTCACGAAGAGTTGGTTTGACCCCTTGGAACGAACAAGAAAGAAGACGCCCAAGTAAGTGGAATTATATAGCAAAACGAAAAGAGAAAAAAAAAAACACAACAAAAACGAAACGAGAGAGAGACCGTTACCCATTTCATGTCGAGGTTTTTCAGAAAGAAGACAAACCCATATAATTTGTGAAGTAAAGGAAAATTACGTGGGAAAAACACGCCACCTACGAGAGTGGACGCCTGTGTTGAGACCGATTTACCATTCGACGAAAGTGACATAGCCCCGGAAGTAAGACAGGGACCGACCGCCGAAAAAGACACTGATTCTGAGCCATTAGAAAACCATCAAAGAGACTCTGACAAGTTTAACAAGACCAACTTGGAACTTGTAGATATCAGCGAAGTTTCTACTAGCGAAGACAGTTCTGACAGTTTGGCGCCACCGTGCCCTGGTAATACCCAGGATACTGAGGAAATAAACACTTTAACAGAAGAAATAGACATTTTCCAGGAAGAGGAAAATTTTACAGATACCGCCCTTGCGACAGGTGGACAACAGGTACCAGAGAGTACATTACACCTCGTTGATCATACGTCATTCCCGCCACCTGGTACAACTTTCGTAGTGAATAACAGTACAACTTCTGGTGGACAACAGTTGCTAATTATTACTTCACCGGGCGACATTTACGAACACTTCCAGCGTGGTAGTTACGAGGGAGGATTACTCTTTGACGACTCTCCCAACGCTGATTCGAGTCCCTTACTCGTAGGCCTTACTGACGCTGATACCAGTTCGATTACCTCTAGCAGCGCTGATAGCTCAATTTCAACTACCATGGAGGGAGAATACATCCGTGCCCTTCAGGAACTCACTCAGAAATTATTGAATAAGGATGTTCACATTAATAAATATCACGGATATGAAAACGAGGACATAAACCGCTGGTTTGAGAAACTAGAGTTGGTCTTGGAGTCTAAGGGAATTCCACTGGATGTTCCAGCCGCCAGAACACAGCTCATTAATAACCTCGCTGGGCCAGCAGAAACATTCATGTTTGAATTACCGCCTGAGGAGCGAGGAAGCTTTATGCTTTTAAAACAGGCCCTGGTGAAACGTTATTCGACTAAGGACCGTGCTTGGGTTAAGCGACGGAGGCTAGTTGCTCGCCGTCAAGGCCCCCACGAATTATTGTCAGACTATATCAATGACATGCACGAACTATTTAGCGGGTTAAACATGGCCGAGGTAGACAAAGTCACGTATTTCACTGAGGGTCTAACCCAACCACTGAAAATTAAAGTGCTCGAGCGAATGCCAGAAACACTTTTACAAGCAGAGGAAGTGGCTAGGACCGTTAATTCGATATCTCAACGTGAGAATACCACTAAAGAGGGTGACCAGATCGAGCGATTGATCGAGGCGCTCAACCGTAGCCGGCAGGTACCAGCTCAAGTACCATCTAATAGTGCCCGTAATACCCTTCAGCCTCAACTTGTTCAAGCTCATCTTGAGAAATTGACTCAAGGCAAAACCTGTTTTCACACAAAACTAGAACTGAACAAACTTTCCCAGCGGAGTAAAAAAATTGTTATATTGAGTTCAAAATAAACTTCCCCTTGTAATTCCCTAATGTTCGCAGCCAATAACATGGTAAAAAATTAATACTGTGAACGCTCCCTCCAACGCGCCGAGGAAGAGGTGGGTTATGGGAAGAGGCTGGACCGGAAGTGAAACGAAAGCTTTGGCGAATGCACTGAAATTACATGGGAATTCGGGGCGTTTGTTATTGATCAGTGGTTACCAGTGAGAAAAGTATTTTGTTGTGCCTACTATCTACGGGGTTGTCCTCATCCATGTAATGTTCCATACTTCTGAAACGTAGCATATATTTTAAAATGACGGGAAAAATTACTGATGTATGTCTTTTCAGAGCATACAATTGTTTTTAACTTAGATTGAAAACCTCCGCCAACACCCATGGACGATACATGTGCCCGCGGACATTTGTTGATTTTATCAGCGCCCATGTAACACAACTTGAATATTCATGTATTTTTGATAAAGCTCCGATCGGCGTGTTGAGCTTTTATTCTTGTCGGCTTTTGCTTTTATCTGCATAGATCGTGCGCTTTCGTTAGCTTCTCTACTGTAAGAAAATGTTTTCAGTTCGTCTAAGAAATGCAGCTCCTTTCTTAAGCGCTGGTATTGCGGCTGGATCGGCAGTTTTGCTTGGATATCACGCTTGTTATGGCACAGGTAATGATACGAACTATGTTTTCGCTTTCACCGCTTATGTTTGTTTTGTGAGTATGAATGTTTTTTGCAGTAAACATAGTTAAACAGCTTAGTAAGACATAAATTGAGCGTTTTTGATCGAAAACAAACCAAAATAGACGCACTGTAGCAAGCTGAAGTGACTGTAATTTGCATGTGCTTAAATAATCAAATCGTTCACGCGTTTTCTTTCCCAGACAATTGTACACAAGCAAAAGCATTTTATCAGCATGTCTGCTTTAGCTCATGCATGAAATTTCAAATTGTACGTTAAAAATAAAATTTTAATTTCGTTCCTTCAATCGTAGTATATGTATTTTTACCTAATCGTGTGTGCCTTAGTAAAGAAAGCGTAGCGTGACTCTGTTGACACTTAGCGCCGGAGTAAGGAACATCTTGTTCTGACAGTAGTCTATGTCACGCAAACGGGCCGACTTCTTTCAGTTGTATATAACTTCAGTTTGTCATATAACTAACTCTTCTACATGACCTCATACGTTTTATGTCTTTCCACTATTCGACGAACTGCCATTACCTAAATCTTTGATTAACTTTGTCTTTCATTTAACTGAACACGTGCTTGGATTATACTGAAGTGCAAATGGCAAAGTCGAACTGCTCTCCAATATGAGCAACAATGAATTCTGTGTTTTCTGAGACACTGTGTTTCGCTAAGAGCGATTTCCTTAACAAGCACACGACTGTATCCTTCAGTTTGGAATTGTATGGTGTTGTTTACAATTTTATAATATCAAATACTCAATTTTAATTACCATATTTCTTTACCTTTACCTGATAGATTGATTTTCTCAGTAGTGTCAATGATATTTTTTCCTTCTAATTCAAAAGCTGTCCATGCTCGAGATGAAAACGTTAAAAGTCTAAAGGACACCCATGTAGTTGTGGTGGGCGGTGGATATGGTGGAATTGCTGCCGCGAAAAAATTGAAGGATCAATGCAAAGTGACATTAATCGACGCCAGAGATGCCTTTCATCATAACATGGGTGCTCAGAGATCTTCTGTGCAGGAAGGTAGGCTTTATTAATCATAGCTCAAATACAAATTACTAAGATGAAGATAACTGCTGGTCTCTGAGGAGCTTCTTATTAAAACTCGAGCATGCATACGTCGAGCTATGCAATCTGGTTGGTTCTTCTTTATCCTTCGCCATCCACTCATCACATTATTTCATCATTGCCTCATTTATTTTTGGTTTTTTCTTTTTTGCCGAGTTGTTTTTTGTGGTCTCCCCTAAAATGATGGAAGTGAAACAAATACGTTATATGGACAGGAGAACAGACTTCAGCTTCGTGGAGAGGACTAGTTTTTAAGTTGTATAAAATCGGAACAGAGACCAAAACGATGGAAGAGAAATTTAGGATTGAGTAAAGATTTAAAAGGCAATGAAAACAATTCCCTTGAAAAATTTGATTTTACTGTATCATAAAAACATCAATGTGGTATTTTACTATTTCCGTCCATATGTTTTTCTTAAATATAATTACGCAATGCATTTAATTTTACAGCAGTATAATGATGAGTGATTCCGTTTACCAACAGTGAGATGGATTACTTGTCTCATGACTCAGTAAGGACAGATTACTTTTAGACAGATCACGCGTATTTGTAAAACATTGCTTCAACACAGGGTTTGCCAAAAAGTGTTTCATTCCCTACGGACCAACATTTGGCAAAAGCTTCAAGCAAGGGAAAGTCGTTGATATTGATCTATCCAAGAAGACGATAATGCTGGAAACTAGAGAGAAAATTGCTTATGATGACCTCGTACTTGCAACTGGCACCGGTGGCCCATTTCCTGCAAAAATTCCTTTGGATACAAACAAGGATAAAGCCATTCAGCGTTACGAGAAGTATACCAAGCTAGTAAGTGTTACCACGAGAGAATGAAGCTCAGAGGATGCGGAATGTCCGATTTAGGCCTTATTGCTATATACTGCTTGTTTGAAAAGGAAGTCAAAGATATAAGGATGAACAAGATTAGTGGGGATTGCAACTTTTGAACATTCAAAGTTAAATCAAGATGCACAGTATAGTCAGTCCTTACCTTCTAAGCTTCAATCCTCGTATATTCTTTGCTGCTATTCAGGTAAAAGACGCCATGAAGATCGGGGTTGTAGGTGGGGGAGCTGTTGGAGTGGAAATAGCTGGAGACATCATGGAGGATTACAAAGACAAGGCCGATGTGTATCTCATACATCCCAGGGAAAATCTAGTCAATGATGAAGTTAACGAGACCTTTCAGTCCACGATCAAGGCAAAGCTTGAAAGTTTAGGGGTCACCATGTTTCTTGGTATGTCGCTGCTACATTTATGCTATACAGTTTGTTTATATTAACTCTCTCAGTCTTTTCCTACTCGATCTTACAAAGAATAAAAAATGAAAATAACAACACTCACAAAAACGTTGCAAGAATGTAGGGGACAGGGAACTTAGGCAGTGTGTGTCTACCCTTGTCTGTCTATGCCGTTCTGCCTCTCAGCCTCTGTCTAATGTCTTTCTGTTTGCCAGTCTGTCTATCTGTCCGCTCTTCTGTCTGCCTGCCTGTCTAACAACCTGTCAGTCAGTTAATCTATCTGTAAGGTCTATTCGTCTGTCTGTCTATAAAGCTGGTTGGTGGCTGACTGGCTAGCTCAATGACAGCTTACCTGTCAACTCGTCTGCTTAATATTAATGAGTTGGATACTTCTTCTTGGTTCTAGCAAACATGATTTATCTTTTGCCATGTAGGGGAGCGAGTGATGAATATGGACGAAATAAAAGAAAAGGGATATCAAAACGTCATGCTAGTCACCGATAAAGGGAGGCAAATGAAAGTAGACCTGGTCATTCCTTGCACTGGTCTAAAAGTGAACACCGAAGCTTACAGGAAAAGTCTAGGTCAGTCTTATTTTATTGGCGAATATTGGTGAACTGATAACGTCCGCAATTGACTTAAGAAGGAACTCATGTACATGTAGTGGAAGACCACGAGGTTAACCGGTCGTGATCAATATAACAGAACAGTATACGTGATTCATTCGATCGTGTAGTCTGATTATCCGAGGACAGTTGTTGGTGACAGACTCTGACGTACGTTTCGGCGACTTAACAGGACTCTAGATGTTTCTATGATGATTTGTGCTCAGGTTGTAAAAACGCCAGTTACTGTACTCCACTGCATTTAACTGGACAAAAACACCACATGACTAGATGAAGCTCTTGTAAATGGATACACACACTGGGGATTAAACGCAATAAATAAGTGAATAAGGCCAAAATACTTTGCCTTTGATTACAGGAGATAAAATGAATCGACTTGGTCGTCTAAATGTCGATGACTTTCTCCAAGTGAAAGATGTTCCGGATGTGTACGCGATCGGGGACTGTAACGATGTTCCAGAGATCAAGCTGGCGTATGGAGCTGAGACACAAGGAAAGTACATTGCTGACAACCTAAAGCTCAAACATGAGGGGAAAGCGATGAAACCTTACAACGTTAACAGTAAGTATTCGGCATCAATGTGACGTAATCGTTCTGCGGGGGGATGAAAAATTTGGCAATTAGATGTTGACCTTTTTTAAATGGATTACAAAGTAATGGTCATAAAAAATTTGGATTGTACTTAAGCGAGGTGTAAAAACTTAAAGATATACTGGGTCAATAGATTACTACCATTCTCTGTCATCATGCAAATACGCTGTTTACAGTTTTGCAATTGATCGAGCCATATTCATTGTCTAAGGCACAAATGATAGTTTGAACAATAATGAAAAAAATTCATAAAAACACAAACCGGCCTGGTTTTTCCTTCTAGCTAGGTTGAAGGTCGAACATTTAGAAATTACTCAGAATGTCTATTATTCGTTCCTCACTCTAGAGAGTGTATTCATGGTGCTGTGCTGCGGACGATCAGGGGGTGCCGCCCAAGTGTGGAGGGGCTGGGTGTTTGGAGATTGGTTTGCGTCTAAGATCAAAGGTCAAAGCGTGTTCACTCCGATGCAATGGAAAAATATGGGGCAGAAAATGCCTGAAGATTAAATTTTTCATTTTCGTTTGGCCATGGTTGAAACTCTTAATAGATATAGACTCTCATATTATGACACGTCTTCTTGCAGTAATTATTCATTGCTAAGATATTTTTCTGGTTGTGTTACACAGTCTCGTCAGTAAAAATAAAGGTTTTCACAAAAAGCACTTGTAGTTTTTTCTTATGTTACAAAATAAAGTATGTATGTGTTAGCCCAATTGTATCCACGATCATGAGTTGACAAATAGAGAGTTTAAACGCCTATGTATGGAGTACCTAATGGATTCTGAAAAGGAAAAGGAAACACTTAAGGTATCGTGCAGTCAAGGGTAAATGTTTAATAGTCTATACTCCACAATTTACCTCTCTGCCAAAGACCGCATTTGCTACAACTCTTTCCTGTAGGGGAAGAGGGTAACTTAACAGAGGACGCCGCTGTAAAAGTTGTTTTCAGAACGAGCACGAACATTGAGAAAAAAACAACAACAATAACAAAACACAGGTTAACACCCTTTTAGCTTTCCTTTAAGGGTGCAGGAGATGGAAGATAGAACTTTTATCCATGATCGATTTTTCAAACTAGAGGCACAAAGCTAGAAGCCAACAGATGAACGACGTAATGCATAAACAAATAGCTCGTCTATAATAATTATATTTTTGCCTCATAATATCCATTTTTCTCTAAACTTAGCATTATATTCTTTATCTTATCTATCATAGGTGGATATTCTGTAACTATAGACAAATCTTTGTTTGAGCACCAGGAGGCGTAGACGGAAGAGGCCGCACAATGGCTTGTTTGCCGAATGACTTCTTTTTCATTTTATCTTTAGATTTGCTGTCTTTCTTTTTAGACTCTACTGAACTACTTGAACTGCTGCTACTGCTGCTACTGCTATCTTTGTTGGTCTTTTTCTTGTATTTCGGTTTGACTGCATGATGGGTGATACGTTTTTTGACAAGATCAAGCATATTTCTGCAAGAAATAACAATGAAAGAACATCTCAAAAGATTTCCTTCTAAGCCAGCTGATGCATGCGCAAGACGTAAAGGAGGAGAGCAGAGCGAACACAACGTAGAGGAGAGAGTTTCATTCGTGAGAGAATTATCGTTAACTAACTTACTGAAAAGTCTGATATATGTAGGGGGAACCCTCTGTAGTAAGCAGTAAACAAGAATAAAAGTGTGGAGTAAGTCACGCGTACATAGACGAACCGGATGTACAATTCAATAAATGGTCAATCTCGTATCTATTATCGAACTGCACAAAGTAGAATGCAAATAACGCTCGAAATGAGTACAACTATCCTGCGATATTGTACGGTTATTTTGACAGTTGGTTATTTGTACTGTAAAAAAACACTTGTTTAGCCAGTCGGCTGCGTGCGCTACGCTTTTCTATCCGCTTGGCTTTTCCCGCCTTATGAAGAACGAGCAGAAAGACTTAGCAGAAAGACTTAGCAGAAAAAAAAGCAGTTGGACAATAGAGAATTTATTACACGTTTTGGTGTGTAGTATCGCAACTCATAAAAATACTCAGACAAAAAACGTCTGTTAAGATATATATATTTTTTCAGTAAGAGAATCCAAAAACGTTTACGTTGGCAATAAAAATCATCAGAGATATTAATAGAGTTTTTTTACTCGGACGGTCGCGTCACAAAAATGCTGCGTCTTCTCGTAAACACAACCAGTGAGCTACATATAAAACAGCCGACTAAAATGGAATCAAATCAGAGTTACTTACAAGGTGCTTCCTTGTTGTTTTGCGGTCGTCATTTTCTGTAAATAAATAATAATTAAAATCAGAGATAATAGTACCAAAAGGACAACGAACAGCCTTTACTTTGTGAACGGAAAAGAACAGAGCAAGGACAATGTTATTTTATTTACAAAAAAACTGAATTGAACCCATTCCAACAGTAAATTACCTTTCTATTGTGGTTGCTCATTTTCACGAATTTCATAAAAATAATAAATAACCAATTGGACATCACAAATCTTAAGCTTGTATGTCATCTCACCTTAAAAGCAGCTTTGGACGTTTCGCTTTTCATCTTTGAGTTTCACTCTAATTTAGCAAGTTAGGCTTTGTTTATTAGTGCTTGAAACTTAGAATGATATTAACTGATTACATCAGACATTAAAATGTTAAAAATTAAGAAGATTGATTACTTTCTCCACTGATTAATCAGGGTTAGTCCGGCAACTGTTATAATGGCTAGATTATGATAATACGCAATGGGGCGTAATGATAACTTCTTTCTCAACAGCATGTGACGACTCATTAAAAGAGGCAATTAAAACTTATGGATTACAAAGAATACTATGGTTAGGACATTAGGAAAGATAGAATGCGATGATAAACATCCGGTTAGAACTAATTAGTAAACTTCTGAACAACCAGTCTTCATCTCTATGGGTCGTGAGTTTCCTGCTCTCCTTCGGAAGACGAAAATATGGTCACCAAATTCACCATTCAAATTATAAAAGTTTATTTGTATCCACTTTGTTTTCTTAAAGTTAATCATACATATTATACAACTTATTTTAATCAATGTTATGAACAATAAAATATCTTTAGACATAGGATTTTTTATATATAAACAGGCTTTTCGTCTGCAAATATTCATTTCCTTCATCTTATTCACAAGAAGACTGGATGGCATGTTAAGAAATTTACAGCTGTAATATTTACTATATCTTTGTCATTTTTTATCTTGAACAATAAGCTTACACTAACATCAACACGGACTTGCATTTAAATGTCAGCAGTACTAAACATTCCCATGATGAGAAACATAACACAAACAAATAACAGGGTACCTACCAATTCAAATGTAGCAAAATCAAAATAACCCCTATCAGTGTTGTTCGCTTATTGCATTTTGAGATCACATGAAATACTCAACAGGTTTTACCCTCCCTTTAAATACGACTAATTTTGAGAAGAAAAAAAAAACGAACCTCGAGTATCATCATGGATATCTAGAAGGGCATTAAAACTAATGAGGTCTATTATCCATGAAGCAAATACCTTACAAAATATATCTGATAAAACTTTACATGGTCGACTACAATCTTTCCATCTTACTAGTTGATTTGCAAGCGTTTCATAGAGCACAGCAGACTTGGACAAGAGATTATATGCTGCAGTTTAAAATATCTAAACCTGAAGTAGACCGTACACTAGAAGGGAGTTTGATTTTTCCGTTTTTCTGTCGCCATGTCATAGCTATGGCAATTGAAACAGCTGTACGGAAAATGTTTAAATAAGTTTGTTTGCGCTGTGAACTTCTCAATTCATTTTCACAACTGTCTGATTCTTTTAAAAGCAATTCAACGATACACCAAAGCAACTCCTTGTTGGAGCTGCAATGTGAGCATAGGCCTGTAAGATGAGAAAATGCGAGTGCCTTCCTAGTTGGCCAGATTGATAGTCACTGTAGTGAATGAATGCTAAGTTCTTACGTTTGCTCTGGCCCGAGCTAAAGCGCGAGACACCAGCAGTTGCGCCTCCAGCTCAGCACGTTCCCTTGCAGACACCTCCATTCGGGAGTTACGAATAGGATGAACTTCCTGCTGTGATGGAAATCGACTTTGCCCTCTGACTGGTTGAGCGTGAGGCTGTATCTTCTTTTGCGGTGTGGAATGTACAGGCTCCGAAGTAGGTGGTGGACCGGTTTCACGTGAGTCGTTGATTCTACTGTCTTCTTCGAAACGGTCGAGGTTCGATTTAGCTCTAGCTAGGATCATACGCGCACTGTCGAAGGAGCTGGGAGGTTCCTGTCTCCGTTCAGGATCAACCATGTAACGCGGAGACGTACCAATGCTGGGTTGAGCTGCGTTGGCGACTGTAGGACGATTACCTGGCAAGTATCTGGAACCCTGCAAAACGTGGAAAATAATTATCACATAGAGTTCTGTCTGAATAATCATCCAATATTTAACTTGAACACTATAGAAAGGGGGCTGAAACGTACCAGTAACGAAACAACATTGCGATTGGGAGGCGACGAGCGCAGTGGTGAAGGTGCATAACGAGGCATTGCAGGGTCTGTCCTGGCGGAAGTTGGCCTTCCCAATCCAACAGACCTGGAAGCTCCGGGTTGTTGTGAAGCGGACGTTGGACGGCCTCTAGACACTGCTGGCCTTGCCACATATCCATGTGCATACTGTGTAGGAATCAGTGGACGTGTTTGATTTTGACGAGGGTTCACAAGGCGTGTATGGGGAAGTGACGCAGGAGTTAAATTTGGTTCTGTGTAAATGTGTTCTTCGTCGTCGTAAAAGTTTGAGTCACCAAAGGCTTCCCGTGGTTCTGGTGGGCGAACACTTAGGATGGTGTCTCCATTAACATGTATTTCTTGATCATACTGAGGAATATATGGATCCAAACCTAATCCAAACAAACAAAAGCCTTCACTTCTCTTGTTATGATTGATTTTGGGGACGGAGAGAGGGGGATCAGTCGTTGCCAACAGAATATAAAGAAGGGGATATAGAAAACTGATCACCGATTAACTGCCAATGACAGGGGGAACGGATCATAAGAATGATTGAGAGCCTTATGGGGGATCATACAACCAAAATACTCCATTGAGTATTTTGGTAACAAACTTGAGTGTTTTTGAGTTATAAGCTTGGATAAAATAGATATTACATTTAGAGTTACAGATCACCCTTTAAACCAACATAAATGGTGCCACAGTGACGTGTTTTCACTTTCAACTTCCTTCAGGCTTGATGCTTTTCTATTCTGTCCAGTATTCTAGATTTCTTTTAAATCGCGGGAGTGAACAAGCGAAAGAATGACAACCAATTTTCTGAAAATTACTGTTTAGTATGTGGTTACAGGCTCTTCTCATTTTTTAATTCTTATTCCCAACCCACCTTCCATATCCTCGTACTGAACCTCTTCCTCTGGATATTCGGGTTGTACAAGAGGAGTTGTCATCATGGGCCAGACTGGGTACCCTGTTTCCAGCAGATAATGGACTCGATCTCTTTGCTGACGGCGGGGCGAAACCTGGCGAAAATGAACAGTTAAAAAGTAACGAATCATGACTTGAGCTTTGGAAATATATATTTTCCTTTGGTTTTCAAGCCACTTCTCTGATCAAACTCAATTTAAAAACGTAGCAATTATAATGGTAATCCTAATAAAATTGTACAAACTATATTAGTTCAATTAATGATTCAAATTTAATGTCCGGTTTCATCGTCAAGGAGGATTGTCCTTTACCACCTACCTGATGTGTCTGAGGCACTTCATACACCGGCGTGGGCGTGGACTCAGGTGCTTGTGGTTGCCATCCCTGTTGCATTTGAATGGATGAATAAAATAGTTTTTCAATAAAAATAATAGAGGCGAGAAGGAGACAAAATGACGGACAATTAAAGACTATCCACCAATTTTTGAACAAGAAAAATGGAAAAGGCCGTTAAGATAACTCAGTATTCGCAGTCGTTAAATAAATTTCTCCAAGTTGAGTGGCCCCTTATATAAATCCGGTGGTTTCTTGAGGTCTCCTCGCCTTACGATTATAATGCTGTAAATTTAATTTTTTTGTTATTTTTTAAAAAGGCAAATAAATGATAATGATGATGCTAAATATGTTTATCTTTTAACCTGAGTTAGCGCTTTTTGCTTTGAAAAAACTGGTTTCTCATTCTTGTTTTTAGTTTGTTTTTTCGTCATTGCCACAAAACTGGCTTGTTCGTTTTTCAAAATGGACACCTTTGAAAGAGGTGTCCTTATTCAAACAACGGAACACAATAGCCATTTGTGTCCTAGAACCATCCAACGTAACTTCTATTGAAGGAAATATTAGAACAAAGAATGGTCACTGATTAAAATGACCACTGAAACCTGTCAAAAAGTATGTTTAGTTCGGGCGCAAGTTTACCTCATTGTGCGGTCTGACAGACACGAGGCGAACACCAGGAGTTTCTCTGATTGTCCAAGCTGTTTCTCGTGCTGCCTCTCGAGCAGCTTGGCCAATCGCGAGAGGCGGCACCTAGTGATGAAACGATGATTGATGAGAAGACTAGAAATTACGATAGGCAAAGTTTTTGGTCTTGACGAAACGGTGATCAAAGAAATCAGTATTATTTAAAAGAGGAACAAAAGTTGGAATGTGATAATAACACCTAAGGAAATAGATCTAATGGCTTGACTTAAATCTGAAAGTTTAGGAATACCTTTGCTTTCCTTCTTTTCTCTTTTTCCTTCTGTTTCCTCTTTTTTTCTTCGGCTTTCTCGTCTTTCTTCTTTTCCTCTGAATCACTATTGCTGCTGCTACTGCTGCTACTGCTCGTGCCCTTCGAGCTTGAGGTACCAACTTTGTTTTTTCGCCAACGGTCTACACGAGATCTTCGCTTACGTCTGTGAAAATCAATTGTCATTGGGTACGTTTTAAGACTGAAAATTTACCGGTATCACTTATTCAGCCCACAGGTAAAATAGAGTTCTACATAACGATAAACAACAGAACTGTGACTTACTCTGCTGTAAGACTTCGAGGTGTTGTTGGACGGTCCTGTAAAAGAAGCGCATACCGTCGAGTAAGTCTGATCATAAGGCTTTGATGCCATACACAAACTTTTAGGGGCAGAATTTGTGGCACCTTACAGCTTGCTCTGGGACTCAATTTATGGGGACGCCTTCACCTCGTCATTAATGACAGAGAGTTTGGCACATGTAAAATTCATAATTTATCATCCACTATTTCTTTCAGTAAGTGACTGGTATTGCGTAACCAGCGCAAGAACAGCCCTCGCAAGGTAAATCTGATGGAGCTTTGTGCAAGCTAAAATTTATTTCATTTTCGGGGACGTTGCGTTCCCACTTTGTGAGGCATAAAGCCACAAGCATTTACTATCTACCACCTATGACTTAAAATATCATGAAAATAAATTTAGAGATTTCGAGACCTCTGATTTTTCTTTATCCGGTTCCAGTCTTTCTTCTTTTTCCAGTCTCTTCAACTTTTTATCCTTTTCTCGTTCTTTTTCCCTCATGTCTTGACGGAGTTTCTCTCGATGCAGCATTTTATTTCTCCATCTTTCTACGTTTGCCTAAATTGGTTATAAAATAGCACATACAGCAGTTACAACTTCTCGTCTACATGAGTGGGCCTGAGAATCAGTATAAATAATTATGAGAGAGACGCTTTGACTTAGACTGTCGTTACCCCGTTAGAATTCGGCTTTCAAGCTGGTGATTGTGTGAAGTTGTAAGGCCTGCCTCTATACCCTAAAGCATACGTCAATAACGGCAAATTGTCAAGGAGGCCGGCCGAAATGACTCAGGGTAGCCTTGAACAGAGAAGTATACCATCCAGGGAGAGTAATCATACTCTTCTTGGCTTGATGTCGAGAAGACCCGGATAAACTTGTGTGCGAGGGGTGTGGACATTTTTATGACGTTCTTTCCTATAAAAGTTGGGCTCTTATATCAAGTTTAGACCTAGACTTACTTGGAAAATCCTGTTTCTTTGCAGGGAAATGTCTGGCTTGTTTTAAAATTCTTGAAAGTATTAAACATCTACCTTTGTTTACAGGTGACATGTAAAGTGTGTACAGGCCTTAGTTTTAACTATTTGCTTTGGTGTTTACCTTGAGCATTAGTGTATCTTCATCTTCATTAAGTTCAGCGTCGTTAGTAGCAACTATTTTTTGAAGTTCAATCATTTGCATTCTATCCAACCACGCCTGTAGTAGATAGATGCGTGAGAAATTCTATCGTTTTTATATAGTCACCTATTTTACATTCAAGGTGACACAATTAACTTAACAGTACATGCACTGCAGAACTTTATTTAGTTTTCAGGCATTTGGATCCATTAATTTAATTTTCCTTGATAGAGGAGTGCGATTCAAAGACTGTCACTTCAATTTATCAACTTTAAAATATCATACGTTAATTCTATGTGATCATTTTTAAAATCATTAGGTATGATATTTAAGTATTGCCGGAAAATTTGATTCAAATTACAAATAGTTGTAATTTAATACTTGATTTGGATGCCTAACTTCACCTGTTAGGGAGAGTAAACGTTGTAAAAAATTATATTATAAGCAACTTTTTAACTTTTATGAAATCAAATGGTAGCATTAAGACACTCACACTTTGTTTAAGTATTAGATCGTATAAATTAAGTGCATAATGCACGATTTTAAATGAGTTGTACTGACATTTAAGTCTTAGCAGTGTTGTAACTGACTAATTGAATGGTGTAACACCTATCTCCTATAAACATCTACATAATTCAATGAATGAGGAGAGAATTGAAAACGACGGGGTAATTTGGGAATTTGCTTCGTTTCTTTTGTTTTGTTTTTTTCATCAGTTTTTTATTTAGTTATACAGTGCTATACCTGCGGTACTCCTGATTCATCAATGATTCTTTGCTTTTCTTTTTTTAGCTCTGTTAATTTCTCTGGATCAGAGGGATCCTTTCCAACCAAAGGTGTCTTCACGAGAGGAGGGAGTTGCGTGTAACGTAAAGACTTTTCTTGGCGACCATGACTGCCGTACAGAAGCTTCTCATCTCTGAATTGTGGAATGTTCTCTATCACTCCTGCTAATTGCTCCATCTACATAATGATAAATTAAAGAAAAATTACAGACTCTTCCTGGTTTTTGGACTCGAACCCAAGCCACTCGAGTGGGATGCGAGTGTGCTACGAGTCCTCCGCGTCATCTCTGCTCCCGTTCTTAGCATCAAAAACTTTTGGGCAAAGACCACGGTAAAACAATTTTATTTCAATGCAGTAAGGATAAGTAAAGAACTTTGAGCGTACATTTACCTCTATTGTTTCGTGGGTATCTTTTGAACTATTAACATGGTTTTCTCTTTTGACGTGTCCGTTTGACACTGTAACTTCCTTGGTGGTATCTTTTATCCTTTTTCCTTTATGTTCGGTGTTTCTAACATCGGTCCTTCTTCTGTACCGCTGATTAGGTTTGGTTAGAGTAACATGTGGAGAGTAATCCGTATCAGGAAGTTTGAGGCCTTTTATCGAATGTTCACTGCTTCTTGAACTGGATATGCTATTCAAAACAACGGAATGAAACAAGCCTAAACTCGATAGAAGAATAGTGAGATGGCTTTACTTACTTGACCTACAACCTTCGACAAAATGTTAAGGGTATCAGCGTAAAGAGACAGTACTAGACAAACGCATCCACCACAAAGCCACATTGTAATAAGAGAGGATGTGGAGGGGGTGGAGGGGGTGTAATCTTGAAAAGAATTGTATTTCGATATTCGATACATTTGTCGAAGATCGCAAGGTGACACAAATGGACAGGTGCTTTGTCGGCGCATTAAAATAAAGAATTTCATGAATGACGATTTTTTCTTGTTCTATCAACTTGATAAATAAATACCAAAACGAAAGTCAAATAGAAACAAGAAAATAGATGGAAAGAAAAAAAGCCTGGCAGATACAAAGGATCAACCAGACAATAAACAAACAATAGTAGCGGGAACACTTTTTTTTAACGGAACCAAAGTTTACGTTTCTTGAATGGAGGTGTACAATACATGTAGCTAAGGATGTCAAATTTCGTAACACAAATTTCTCAAAATTAAGATACTTTACGCACCTCGGTCTTTTCACCTTTGGAGCGCTGTAGAGATTTTTGTGAGGACTCTGATCGTGGGAAGCCTGGACCTTTACTTCAAGGTTTTCGTATGAAGCCTCTTTCGGCTTATAGTTGAGGAGGAAAATGTGGAGATCAATGGAAATGACACAAATGAGCGTATTGTAACTTTTATAATGAAAAAAAAAACCAGCATTTCATTTGCTGAAACTGGATTTTATCATAACACCATGAGAGGTCTGAAGATTGAACTAAGTATCGCTTTTGACAAACATTACAAACAAAGTTTGAAGACTGACTTTACTTATTTTAAATAATCATTTTTGGTAGATTGATTTTGAAAAGTTCAGTCCCAAGTTAACACAATGTAAGTAGCAAGCAGATACTGAAAAAGTTTGACATGTATTAACTATTAATAGGGGAATTTAAAGTAATGTAATTACTTTTAAATTCATGTAATGGCATGTAATGTCATGTAGCAGAATGTAATTACCTTAAAAGGATTTACTTTTTTCTGCTGTCTTTTCTTTCTTCCAGCACACCTGACCCATAGACAGGCACATAAAAGAAACAGCAGAACTGCTGAAGAAACAGCAATAGCAGGAATGACAGTGGCCCAGTCTAAGTCGGCTTTAGTAGGTGGTACTGTAGGCACTGCAGTCTGTGTCTTTTTAATTACATAAGGTCGTAACGTGACCTGAAAAAAAAATATAGTTTTAAGGTAGACACACTGACCCGATGGTTATAGCACGACTAACCAGATGGAAAGGCCAGAGTTCGAGTATAGGCGACTGTCATATTTTTGTGGTCTTTGATCAGACATTTAACTCTTACAGTGACAGAAAAGAGTACATACGAGTATCAACAAATTGTCAAGGAAAACTCTGAGGGTAGCGTGCATGCAATTGTATCCCGTTCAATTCGGGAAGCAATATTGCTAGTCGCGTCATGCTACAGAATCCTGCAGCTTTATGAGTCAGTTTCTCGCCGTGACTTTTCATAGTACTAAATATTGGGTTCATAACGCTCTGATCATGGTTAGAAAACACAAGATAGAGCTCAAGTTACCGTTGGAAAAAAATACAAACAAACGAGGAAAAGAAATAAACACATGAAGAAATAAATAAGACGTGTACCCCATATTCCAGAGTGGAAACCATCTCAGCTTCGCTTAGTCTGTTCATTGTCTCCACAACACTTTCCGCAGATAACATAGTGGGGCCATTGAAAACTCGGTATTCTATGTCGACGAGTTCCTCTCCTACAATTGCTTCCGCTCTTCTAATGGTTTCCACCTGCAGCGAAAAAGCATACAAAACATTATCAATCTCCGGTTTTGGCTACTGCCATCTGAGTAAGGTTGAAGTGTAGAAGTGCAAGAAATAAAACAACAGAAGATTTAAAGAAGAAACTATGCTTCTTACCAATACAGTAATGTTATCAACTTCTCTCCTAAACCGTTTTCCTCGTTCATTGTCCAATTGAAACGAATTCCCTCTCTTTCTCAACTGAAAATCAGTTCTGGCGTTAAAGGGAACACGACGAGGCTTGTCAAAGTGTTGCAGGTCCCTCCTTTTTCGCTGACTTCCTTTACGCTGACCCCACCTGAAAGCCTCTGCAAGTCGTGATTCGATTTTCTCGCGGAAGGAGTCAACATTTTCATCCTCGTTCTTTGGAACAAGTATCTGAATACCAACAAGCCCTTCAGTATCATTTGCATTGGCAGTAGGGCGAACAGGTTCAGTGGGCAACTCTGTGGTTGAACTTGCGGAAATCAAAACAGTTTTTGAGGGTGAATAGCTTCCGTCTGGTGTAATTGATGTTTTCTTCTGTATGGTACTCTTCAAAAGTCCAGCCGTTGACAGTGCTGTTGTTTTTAAACTTGAGGAAAGCGAACTTGCCGGGGTCTCTGTCACTAAAGTGGCTTTCGCATTCTTTTCAGAGGTGATTAAACTCTTCGTTGTCGTAGTTTCCATCTTCGTGATTAACGTTGTGATTCTCCTTGTTGTGGCGATCTTAAGAGAGGATGCTCCCTGAGTTGGAGATGAAAGGTCCGAGAAGGAGCCTTGGGGAAGCGAGGTGGCAATGGAAGATTTCTTTGAAGTGCTTGTGTCCCTCATAGGGGAAGACATCGAACCTCTTACAGATATTGGCGGCAACGTCTCCAAACTACTATTCGTCGCGGTTATTGAAGCTGAGCCGAGTGTTACACGTCTTGAAGTAATGAAAGTCTCGGTCGATGACAAAACTGTAGCACTTGTGAACAATACCTGCTTACTGACACTACTTGTAGTCATAGGAGATAAAGTGATGAAGTCCTTTTCTGAAGACACTTTGATAGTAGTAGCAGGGGAATGATAAGATGTAGCCTGAACTGAAATAAAACTGCTCTTTGAGGTTAACAAGGAATTCACAGAGTGACGAACCATAGTATCAATGAGGCTTGATTCTACGACATCTGTGGTCACCGCCAAGCTGAGAGAGCGTGTCCCAGGAATCGCAGTGGAGATGGACGATTCTGTTGTTAAAACTGAACCTAAATAGGTAGAAGATAAGACGTATTTACTCTCAGTCGTTGTCTTGGTTTGCAGTTGTGCGGTTGACGTTGTTAACCCGTAGCTACTGCTTGGCTGAATAAGCAGCGTGGATGTCGGTACGACAACAGAAGCATCTGAAGTTAAATAGGTGGCTAATAAAGTCACCGTGGACCGAATGGATTTAAAACCGAGCGAGTCACTAAACATCGATGTGACAACCGTTGTGAACTGTTTTTCCGTTGTGCTAGTTTTCAACAAGGTCTCTGGTATGGATTTCGAAACAGCATACGTTACTGCTGGTGTCACAGACGATAGATCTCGCGTGACAGTTTGTGTACCATTTAGTGAGGTCATTGATTTAGCACTACTAATTGGAAGTGTCGTGATTGTTGAACTTCTCGAAGGAGACAATAAGCTTCCTTGTGCTAAGTGACTGGAGAGGCTAAAGCTGCCTTGTGTGACTTCTGTTGTTACGTTCACACGGGTCACTGTTGGCACCGTTGACACTTGCGAGACACCGCGTGTTGTGGAAACATTTACCATCGATGGGCTTGAACTCATGTCATGTGAAGAGGTAGTACTACCTTCGATACTTCTGTTTGAAGTGATGAATGCAGTATTATATGCGCTTGAAGTTAAAGACTTTAAGAAACGAGTTGTGTTGACTAACAACGATATAGATGTTGACACTCGAACGACTGTGGTATCAGCCTCCGCTGACGAGAACATAAGTGTCCCAACGCTTGAGCCGTGGATCTCACTTGAATATGACGGTGGGGTAACGTGTGCTGTGCCTGATTCAATGGCTGATGCATTTGATGTGGGTAATGGTAAACTGTATACTTTACTTTTAGTTTGACTTGCTCCCATCACAGAAGAAGGAGAGGTTGAATGACGGGGAAAGCTAGTGGTGCTGAGTGCAGTTGACGACATTTTACTCGAAGCTATAGCAAGTGTCTCAACGTGACTGGAATTTATACGCAATCTCGTGGATGATGACGCTAGAAGGGACATTTTCGAGGAAGTTACAGCAATGGTTGTTAGTCTGATGCTAGATATTATCGCCGAAGACTTGGGCAATGTGGTCTCACTAGCATTTCCCACTGAATAGCTGGAAGTAAATATTCTGGTGAGGAACACTGATGACTGAGAGCTGCTTTCTGAGCGATTTGACATAACTTGTGACAAGGTTGTTACTTGTGCGTCCGTAGTTGCTAGAGTCGAAGAAAGAAATGATATGTTTTGGATGATTGCAGACTGCGTGGGTAAACTTGCTTTCGGCGACAACGATTTGGTCATCATTACCACTGTTGAATTGGCGCTCACCATAATAGACAAGGACGGAGATATCATTGATCCAAACACCGTTGTATTCGACATCACTGCAGTAGACGAGGGGGACGGAGAAATTATGCCCAATGTTATCGAACTGTCATTGAAACTCATACTCTTGAAAGCAGAGGCTCCTTGCGTCAATGAAACCGTCGTAAAAGCTGGAATTACAGAGCTTGCTGTTTCAGTAGAGCTCGTTACAGCTGAAGTTCTTGTTCTATTCACGGGGGACGTTGTAAATGAGTTGGACTGGGCACTAGCATTTACCCTAATGAGCGACAGAACACTAAACGTGGATGAAGTCCCAGTTGGACTTGACGTGATCCTTGATGATGATGGAAAAATCGAATCTGTAGAGTTTTGGTGATCTGTATCGACGCTTGACAAATAGGGCGTCTCCCGAAAGCTGGAACTTTCCGACTGAAACGAAATTGAGGTAGTGGTAAACAAAGTTTTGTTCAATATGACCGAAGATGAAGAGATAATTGTCAGTTCTTTTGAATAGTTTGAAGTCGAACTTCCATCGAATGAGACTGACCAAGGAAGACTTGTGGTCGAAGAAGAGATGTAGGTTGCTGGCAACAATAGGCTTGTGACACCGAAGAAGGTACTAGTTTCATAAGTCGTACTTGGTAGGATGTCTGTTGATGTTACCAAGTAAGACTGTAAAGGTGTCGTGTAAACCTTCGATGTGGAGTTTACAGTTGAATGTGGGCTTGACTCAAAGGTTGATTTAGCACTTGATTCTCTCGCCACCGAAGTGAAATTTATTGATTTTAAAGACGTTGATAGTGTTGACATCATCACCATGGTTGAAAACGACGAGGTTGAAGGAGGATAAAAGATGGCAGGTTCCTCTACAACCTTGAGATAACAAAAATGATAAGAAATGTTAAAAAAATCTTACATTTACGAGCAATGCATGCAGATGTATTTTAACATTTCATTAACAATCGGTGAGCAAACGTCAAATGTCGCCGCTAGATCTACAAACTGAATATGAGGGAGTTTCATGATACGATAATCACTGACAAGGATGTAAATCACAGAGCAAACTTCACAATATATATTTGACAGACTAACACCGACCAAACTTGTGTAAGAAAACAAAAGCAGTATAACTGAGCGCGATTTTTCTTGTATGGTTATCTTTCCCTACAATACATGTTGTAGACACTTTTCTGATTAAAATTGATAAGAGCTTGGTTCTCGAACATTTGCGCGCCTATCGGATATTGTAGGGAGGAGAAGTATGTAGGGCAAATGCAAATCACCCTACCCAATCTTGTTCCTTTAAGAGACAAAAAACTAAATCGGGGTGTGCTAGAAGAAAATACCTCAAATCCAACGGCTTCCCCCAGTCTCAAACCTGCTCGAAGCATAGTTTGAATAACGTTGTAAGCAAGAACTGGCTCACTGGCACTGGCACCGGCACCGGCACTGGCACTTACATTGACAACTTTAAAAGTTACATTCACTTTAGTGTCATTTGGTTCTCTCGCGATACTGATGATCTTCAAGAAGAAACGATAAAGAGTAAAGGAAACAATCTTAGTATAAAAGATATGTGTTCCAGCCCAATCTCGTAGTTTCGTGTAGTCTATTAAGAATTACTCAACAGAATACACTGTTAACACAATAATTTTAGTCAAATCTGTTTGCTGTTGTTTGTAAAGAATGTACCCTAACATATGGATGAATGTCAAGCTGAGGTTTTAGCACAAAACGCAACAGACACGCAAAAGAAAGACGGAAACAAATTCAATTCTCAAAAAATAAAACAATTAAAAAGAAAGAAAAATTGAAGTTTATTAATTTTTGAGAATACTTGCCAAATGCAGAGACGGTTCCCACATCTCCTTTTATATCCAAGAAAATAAAAATCGCCGGAGAGAGGTGACGAAAAAGACAAAAAAATTATTTGAAGGCAATGCGGAATACCTTTATCTAAGTTTTTCATGAATGGAGAAGTGCCTATGTTCAAAGAGGGTTCCTTTTTCAAACAAGAGAACAAAGAACTCGTATTTTATGTTCTAGGGCCTCCAAAAACCAAATCCTATTCCATTCATACACCTACCTCTATTGTAATGTTTCCTGATGTTCCATCGGAAGAGCCGTTCTCGTATGTTGCAAGAATTCCTGTCTTCATTTGCGCCTTAAAGGAATCATTGTTTATGTTTGTACTCAGAGATACGTTCACAGCAAAACGCACAAAGACGCCTGACGGTATCGTAATGACGGAACTGGAAACAAATTGTTCTGTGGGGGAAGGCTTTATTAGAGTCGAGGTTTCTGTGTCGCTTGCAGAGAAAATCGAGATATTGCTCGAAATATTTAGTTGGCTCGAGGCTGTGGTTGCCACGTCTAATGACGTCATTGTTAGTGTTAGCGAGTTTTGCATGCTCCGTGAAGTAAAAGTTAAATTCTGCGAAGTTTTTAGTCTAGAGGAGGCATGCGTCAACGAAGTGCTTTGGCCTGTAAGTGATGATTCTAATACATGTGGACTAGTGGTTATCACTAAAAATTCGCTTGAAAGATTTCCTTTAGAGGAAGGCGTCGCTGACACATTCATAGATGTAACTGCTGTATACTTTGAAGTTTGTGACGCAGCTAAACGTGTAGTTTGTGTCGGTGGTACACTTTGGAAAGAGACACTGAGTGCTGGAGTTGCTCTCGATTGTTCTACAGAACTCTTGGTAGTATTAACAGGCCTTCCCTCGCTTGAAAGACCTGAGATTGTTGTTTTGGAGGCTGAGGACAGCGCCGTAAAGCTTGTGACAAGAAAATTACTAAATGTCTGGACTTGTGAGGATCTTACTGATGTATTAACAAGCGTCAACCGCTCAGTTTGTGACGTTTCTAGACTTCTTATTTGTGTCAGTGACTTGTTAGGTTCTGTAGTAACTTGTGAGGGTGCAGATGGTAACACAGAATAACTTGTCTGAATAACTGAAACTTCGCTCAGTGATTGGATTCGAGAGGCAGATATTTCTGACATATTGAGAGTTACCTCTGTTGTTAAAACTTGCAGGCTGCGCGAGGCCTCCAAACTCGAGATTTGCGACAACAACCCACTCTGCTGCAGACTGAATGATGCGGACACAGTTAGCCCTGTACTTTTACTCGATGTGTACTCAAGAACTGTGTTTGATAAATTAAGGTAAGTTGAAAGTATTAATGATGCATTAGTAGATGATGTTGATGTTTCTGATGGCTCCTGAGGCAAGAATGTTTTCAAACTTTTTGTTTGCGACAGATGCTCGCTTACTTGTTGCGTGGATGACATAATCACTGTCGAACTTATCATCACCATAAGAAGGTCACTCGAAAAATGACTGTGAAGTGATGGATTCATCGTGGAATTAACCAAAGCCATCGTTGTGTACAATGAGACTGTTTGCGTTGAATATGGCGTTAGCTGCAGTTTTGAATTCGAGGCAAGCTTCCCGGAGGTTTTTAAGACAGTTTCTAAACTGGAAGTAATACGTTCGGTAGCTGATGATGTTAGGGCGGAAAATAACGATGAGTTTTGCGTTTTTAAAGATGCCATTGGCGTTTTTGATGAAGACGGAAGAGCCAGTTCAGAGCCCCTTGATGAATTGACAGATGTCGATTTGGAGACTGCAACCAAGGAAGAGGAAGATCCTGTTTAAAGGAATTGGTATAAGGCTCTACATCAATGTAATCGAATTGTTTTTTTCTAATTTTTCTTTCTAATATGTTACACGATTAATAAAGGGTAGGGGCTTTATGCAATTGTACTAAGTGGCTAGTGCATTAACAAATTTCACCAGGAGTACAGTTGTGAATGCCTGGCCTTTTCAAAGGCATCTCTACCGATGTAATCGGGATCGTTACAGACAGTTAAAATGGAATAAATACTGTGTATGACGTCACATAGAAAAAAGGAGGAGACTATACCTGAAGGGGGAAACGAACTTGCTGGAGTAGAATTTCCAAATGGAAGAGTTGCTATTGATAGACGCGCGTGTGAAGTAGACAGCGTTCTGGTCGTAAAGCCTATGAGATTTAAAGAACGAAACAAATGTTATCCCATATCACTAAAAGTTGGCAAGAACGACTATTAATACTTATTTCAAGCAAATTCTTACCTAGAAGCCTTACCTGTGACGGACGTACACAACAAGTAGGATTTTTAAATTTACGTCGTTTTAACGAATTCATCGTATTGGTGAAGGGCCGTAAAAACAGTTTCAATCTATAAGAATTCCTTCATTATGCCAACATTGAGCAATCTATGTAGAACGTACAGGCTCGCTGTTTTTCTTAATTTTTTATTTTATTGAACAATTTCAAAAAAAATAGTTTTAAACTTATCGAAACGATAGTTTATGGTCAAGTTTTTTTATGAATTGCGTTTTTCTAATTTTTTGATTCCCATCATTTTCTTTTCCATAGGCGACTGAACGTTTCATCATCTAGTCTCTATTGCATGTCAGTAGATACTGTATTTTGTGGGTATTTACTTCAAGGTTATGAAACTTACTTGATATTACATGTAAATAAGACGAACTCTCATGCACTGAAACCGATTGGTTTGTGGTCCTTGACGAGGTCTCTGCTATGGTGACCAATGTTACCTCTTGCTTCTTGCTAGAAGTTTGCTTTACGTTTGAACTGGAAGACGGAGAAGAATCAAGGAGAGAGGACAGATTTTGAGATATCAGTTCGGAAACAACAGAATCTGACTTTGAAAAAGAAACAGTTACCGACAGTGGTAGAGTTGGAAGGATCTCTGAAGATAATTCTACTACTGAGAACGACGTCCTTATTGTTGACAACTCGCTCGAGTTTCCGCTAAGTGACTTTGATCCGATCGTTGAGGAGGTTTTGTTTGAAAAGAGTTCCGTTGGAGATAATGAAGATTCAATTAAAGTCACTGTGTGAATTTTATTTGATACGGGAAAAGCAGGTGATGTTCTCAGTGACGCAGTTGCGGAGTCAGCATATAGTGAGGTAGCATTTTCCAAATGTTTTGACGTGGAATTAAGTAAATCCTGACTAGGGTACGATCTGGATGGGTCATAAGATACAGAAATCGTTCGACTATCAGTTGTGTTGGTTGAATTAGCAACAGAACCAAGAGAGGACGAAATCTGCGTCGAAATTGTTCTCAAGGTAGTACTTTGAAGCAATGATGGTAGGTCAGTCCTGTCACCAGAAGATGAAAGGAAGGGTGTCTCGGTTTTAAATTCGGACGACGTTGTAGTTCTGTCCACGAATGAATTGTTACCTGAAACAGAATTTGACCCTCTCACGGAATGGTTGGCTGAAGATTCACCAACGGATTGTGTCGACAATGAATGAGCGGTGCTGACTATATTCAAAGAGCTTGGCGACCGTCGAAGGGAAGTCATAGTGGGGAGCGAAGTCAAGCCATCTGTTTGTAATCGTATTTTTGTGGCTGGTGCGAACGGTGTCGACTGCAACATGGCCGTGGAACCTACGCTTAAGTCTTGAGTAGCAAATGTACTCTTGTTTGTAGTTACGGAAATCGAGGGTTCGATATACTCAGACGGTGACGTCAAAACAGAACTAATCCTTTTAGAAGACACAAGCGATGCAACAGTGGAGACATGAGAAAGCTGTTTGGTTTTAATAGCTACAAGTTGGGTTGAAACCAAACTTTTCGACTCCAATGAAACAGTGTATGAAAGATTATCGGAATATGATAAAGCCTCAGTAGAAGTGTTTGATCCCAAAATAATAGATCTGCTAGGCATCTCTTGCGTGGCAGTTACAAAAAAAGTAAACGTCTTTGTCTGCAGGTGTAAACCATGTGTTTCTGAGGTTTTCGAAGAAGTGTTTGACGCCATTCCTGTTAAACTGAATGAAGAAGAGCTGCTTGGTAGAGAAATTCTGAGTGACGAAGGAAATCCAGCTGATTCGGAGCTGTCGACTGAACTGAAAGATGAAATGTGTAAATTATTCATCACTGTACTCAGTTGTGTTTTACTTGCTTGGATTGCTGAAGTCTCTAGAGGCATCGATGAATGCGATGTTGAACTAACTGAACTTAAAGAATTTTCCAGTGGGCTGGTGTAGCTCATGGTAGTCATAGTGAAATTTAGTCCATCAAACGAACCTAAAGATGTGTTTGATTCACGTTTCGATGAAGATAAATCCATTGCAGAGGAATCGTTGACTGTGTGTTGGAAGGATGAGTCGACGGAGGAAATGTGCTTTATACTAGTTGTTGCATCTTGAATGGATGGTGAGGTGGACCCAGAGTGTTGAACGGTCACTGTGGGTGTGGTACCCCCCGGAAGTAAAGATAATACAGTTTCTTTGACGTCGGAGGTTTTCGATAAGTAGTGGGTGACTGAACTGTTTTGCGAGGTTTCCAGATGTGCGTTAATTGAAGTATACATCCGACTGATTGTTTGCGATGAAGGAGTTACAGCGGACCTTCCTCTAGAAGAAATGTGTAGTTGAGTGCCATGTAAATTTTCAGTGACGCTAGTTGAATCACTTAACGCAGTTGTCCTCAAATGCGAAATGTCAGCTGAGCTATTTGCCGTTGATGCAGGTTTCAAAGCCTCAGAAATGACTGACGAGCTTCCAGCTTTTGTGGAAGTACTTTGAGCAGTGATCGACGATATTTGCATCGAAAGTAAAGTGTTCGATTTTTTAAAAACTGAGAAAACGGACAAAAAGGCGTCGGTTTGTCCCTTAGATGGCGAGGATTTTATAACTACAATGTCAGCTGAGCTATTTGCCGTTGATGCAGGTTTCAAAGCCTCAGAAATGACTGACGAGCTTCCAGCTTTTGTGGAAGTACTTTGAGCAGTGATCGACGATATTTGCATCGAAAGTAAAGTGTTCGATTTTTTAAAAACTGAGAAAACGGACGAAAAGGCGTCGGTTTGTCCCTTAGATGGCGAGGATTTTATAACTACAGTGTTACTACTGAGCTGATCTGTAGATTGATTCGGAGGGATATATGACGATGATTGAACAGAAAGTGATGGCGTCGCTTTATGCGCACTGAAGCCAAAGTCCACTGAGCTCGACTGAGCCGACGAAACGAAGTCACTGATAATGCTACTTGACGACAATGAGGAGTTGCTTTGGCTCTGTACCTGAGATGACGGGTTTCTCGAAAACATTGCCAGTATTAGCGGCTCGGTAAATCCGGGAATTGAAAACGATGACGCGTCGAACAACGAACGCACACTTCCCGCGCCGCTTTGCGTGTTAGGTGTCGCGGTTGTAACGAAAGAAATTGCCAGTGTAATAGGCTCGGTTGAACCAACAATAGGAAAGCCAGAAGAATGAAGTACGTTAAGAATGCTGTTCGTGTTGCGTAACGAATGGGATGTAACGGTGCTGGTGATATTAACTGAAAAGAAGAAGTTATACTTGGTGTGTTAATCCTTCAAGTTTATGTTAGATGTTAACTACATTAGTCTACGTTGTTGAGTGGATTAGTCTGAATAATCCATGAAAAAAATGCCTTTATAATTCATCGCTAAAGTATGAAGTTATTAATCATACAGGAGAAGCAATAAGATGATGATAAATTGCTTGTGCATACGAACAAAAAACACAATTGATCATCGGCGTTACCTTGTTAACACGCTTTTCAAATTAAATTGCATAAATATACTAGTCGTGCAAATAATGCTGGTGGAAGATGATGGAATGATTACGTGTGAGTACGATGGTTGGTTCTCGAAAGGAGAAAACAATAGACGATTCAGTGATACAGAAACAATTGCCATTACGCCGTGAAAGGTATACAGAGCAGCAAAGTACTTTAACAAAATTTGTATAACAACTGAGGTAGTACGAATGCCCTTATTGGTCAAAAAGCTATCTATTATTGCACCGCTAAACCCATATTCATTTAAAAAAAAGCAATAGAGCGCAATCTCTATCGGTTCGCCGGCGTAATGGCCAAGTTGGGATGTTGGAAAACACTGAAAAAGGTTTTAAATCAATGGCTCCGGCTCGTAATTTACAAATTTTTCTCGTGTTCCCCCAACATCACGTACGTTTAATCACGCTGGTAAACCGATAGAAAGTTCGGCCGATTGCATGAATGTCCTTCATAGAAAAATTAAAATAAATCAATAGGAGGTGAATAGAAATACACAAAATTTTACGGCACTTGCGATCATTTCATTTTCGTATTGTCCCTTACATGTTTATGTCTGCTCAACTCTTCAGTGAGAAAAGTAAGAAACGTGGTCATTCCAAATTGTCGACTCCTTGACACAAAACCAAAGACTTTTTACCATGCAGTTTTGAGAAGTAAATACAAAACCCTGCCTCATGCTCTCTTGTCATGCAATTTACGCTCCATTGTCAATTCTTCAGTATTAAAATGACCACAGAATGGGGCTCTTGGCAACTCTTCGCTGCACGACTTTCGAAAATATTCTTTAATCAAATTATGTGAGTTCGCCTTTGTGTTGTCTTGTACAGCAAACTATTCTATTCTGTTATGATGGAGGAAGTTATCATGCCACGAGACTCTATTCGACTCTCCTGATAAGGTGCGTGACAGGCCTGTTCACGAATACCCTTGGGAATTTAAAAACATATCGGCTAAGCCCGTCATGAAGATTGAATTTTACTTGGCCCTCAATCTCCGCTATAAAAGTTGTAAAAGGCTGTGGCCTTCCATACTTAGAACGCAACACTGGGTCACTGCAAAGTCTACTCAGCTCATTATCATTTAACGAAGATGTTTGCCTATTTGTTTTGTAGTTTACTTTTGATGTCCAATCATTGAATGAATATCAATGTTGCTGGTTAATAAGTAACAGTTAAATAAAATATTTTCCGTTGGCTCGGTACAACATCTGAAAGTCAAGCGGTCAGAGTAGACGGCTGGAAATAAAACGTTTTGTTAATCGCTAAAGTGCGAATTGTTTAAAACAACTCAATCGTGCGATGACAATTTGATTCCCTCGAGCTGACAGACAAACCTAGAACTTAATACTGAAATCTAAAATTCGGTTTGATTGTAATTCATCATTCCAGTGCGCGATATTTCAATCAAAGAAACGTTCACTACAATTCAAATTATTGTTTCCCGCATATCGTCAGTATTTCCATTAAAGGTCCAGATGTCGATATTATATGGTTTTGTTGTGATTACCCACCGGAGGCTCAACTATAGTTTGGTAAATTAAAAAAATAATATCACGTCGGGGTGATATGAGAAGCCAGTTTGATTATCAACTAATCTTTCTCAAAGCTCTAAATACACGATCGATGACAACTCAAAGAAATATCGTCTCTTGTGGAACAAAAAATCTCAATTTGTTTCCAGTTAGCGGAAAATATATTCTGTTGACGTAAATAAAACTACACTTACTACGTCTTCAGATAAAGACCCCATAGTTAGATATTATGAAAATTATTGACCACCAGTCGACTCATTTCTAGAAACAACTATTAAACGGTTAAAACGCCATATGTGTAAGATTTACTGTAAATAAAGAGATATGATTCGGACATTTTAGAATTAGTAACTGTTGATGAAAATCGTATAATAGAATCTTCACAACAGCGGTTTACAAAATAACCACGACTTACCATTGTCGGAGGATGAATTTACCAACGCAGGATAGACAGAAGAAGCGGGCACTGAAACACTAGTTGACCCTGTAGAGTTTGATCTAGCTGCACTAATAATCGACGAGTCATTGCTCTGAGCAGCAACGAAGCCACAACATAAAACCCACAAGGTAAATAATATTCGAAGCGGCGGAATGGCCGCGTTTGAGTTCTGAAAACGCAGGATTGTTCTGTAACTGTCAGCTGCAGTACCAAATGTCCTTGTCTTCTTATTCTTCATGTATTCCGTTGGCTGCGATGTGAGCCACAATTTCTATCTAAGTCGAAGTAGCGTTTCATCAGGAAACGTTCTTGATCAAGGAACAAATCTGGAAAGAATCGTACTCTTTAAACACATTAAACATGGCATCACGCTTCGTGAGTTGCATTTCGAGCCCATAGAAACGGTCCTCATAGCAACCTTGTCCTTAATTTGATCTTTGATGTTAATCAATATTTGATTAGCATAATTTATTCCTCTGAGACCAACACCATTGAGGCCACTGACACGCTGGTAAACGGGTTTTTATCTAAAATCTAATTCGCTAATGAGATTATTATTATAGTCCAAACAAGCGGGGGATTTAAGAAAACGCTACACAATTCAAGAAATTAGGACATGACTAGAGGAAATTATTATATCTTGTAACCTGACAATATCGAGAGCTGCTTTAATTTCCACTTTAGAGTGGCTTTTAGAGTGTGAGTACAAATTAAATTTCAGTCACCAAGCAACGCAAGTTTCAAACACTTCCATTGTCTTCTTTATGTGACAAAATAAGCCGCCACAGACATACGAATGCGAACATTACTTAACGATTGACGATGAAAACACTATTTTGTTCGCAGAAATCCAATAACATTTCAGATCCAGTATTTCTAGTCATGTCTGCTCCGTCGAGGAGTTCATTGAATGGAATTGTTACTGTCATCATCTAATCATAGCAATGTAAACAGCGTGATTTTAAGGTCGATAAAAGTGTATAGTGGTCAAGTTTATCGTGAAAAGACGTGATCAGAAAAGGTAATATGTTTCAATTAAGTTTAGATAAGACGACCCCATTGTAAAGGCTACAATGTAATGATGCGATAATCCGATACTGCATGATCTCAGTCCTCTCTGAAAGAGATCAGTGTTTGATTATTGCATGACTATTTTTTAGCGCCATCAAAATGTAATAAATTTGTGCAGAACTTTTAAGAAACACCTTTGTCACGGTCAGCTGTACTTCTTAAATAAGGGAAACAGCGCCGTACGAATGAACCTTGAAATTTACCGTTGCAAGAAGGAGTAAGAGGTGACAATTGGGTGATAATTAGCTTAAAGCTCAAGACTGTCTTGGTTCTTCATGAGTTGTTAAAAAAACCCCTTTTTATCCAATAAGCCCTTCATCTGGAAGCCTTTGGAGTAACTAATCCTTCCCATTTTAACAGATGTTTTTTCAAGTTTATTTTTTCACTTCTCTGTAGATTAGTTTAGACAATACGTCACCTGTATCATAACAATGTTTCGGAGAAACATAAGAATGATTGCGTACAAATCAACCTGTGTCAGTTTATATGCCCGAGGTAAAGAAAGAAAGTACTCATGTTACAAGTGTGATTGTCAAAATGCGATAACAGGGAACAGTCATTCGCAAAAAATGGTATTTCAAGAATGACTTCGAGCCGTGCATAAAAAATGGTTAGCTTTTGTTAGTTGGCAAATTCACCGTCAGATTCGAAGAGCACAATTTACATCGACAAATTAATGACATGTGCGACAGGGATCAGTTAAACAAACTGAAGTACCGAGGAAAACTTTACATTTCATAATTTGTCGTAGACATAAAACCGTTCACGAAAAATAGGCGGTTAAAGTAGTCGCATTACATTTGCTGAAAAGCTAACTTGGGCTGACTTTTAATTAGTCAATGAAGAAAGGCAAGAACACATATTTTTCCTTTTTTTTCATTGTAGTTTCAATCGCAATTTAGCTCGGTCTCTCTTATCTTTGAACATTTTCTTATCCTTACGCCAGCGAAATATTTTCTCCCAGGTAATGTGTTCCATATAGCAATTCTGCAAATTGGTACACAGCCTAATTGGTACACAGTTATGGTTCTGTATAAAATCCACTGGCGTTTACTCTGTTCAAAGCGTAAAAACGTTTTTTGTCAACCTGCAATTTTTGAAGGAAATTAATTCCATACCTTACCTGTGCTACAGCATGACTCTCTGTGTAAGACCCTACGGATGTCATGGCCCCTTTCTCTTTCTACTTCTTACGAACAGCGTCGTGTGTTACCATAGCGACAGAACATTGAAATTATAATTTATGCATTCTTTTAAAGAACCGGCAACTCTTTCGTCCTTTCGAAAGTATTAAGTTTCTCGAGTTCTGATAAATCATTGGGATTAGTGTGTAAAAAATGGTATAAAAATCGAGTCACTTCTTTTTGCGCCTCGTTTGTAACTCTTCACATAGATATTTGCTTGATGTAGAGAAATTTGGCAAACTTTTTTTCAAAAATGCACGCCATGTTGAGCAAAGTAAAGCGGCAATCACTTTCCGTATGACGGGCCCTCGCAACGACCATGCAGCATTCAGCTCGTTGCAAAGAGTACAGCTTAGGGTTGTTAGCTAAATTAAGTAGACTAACTCGAATTTGGTGAACTCAGTTCCGCCAAGGTTCTGAAAAAATGAGTGTTTCGAACATGAAGCATGGTCTCTAGCTCCTTATTCAATGCCATAGCTTGTCGTATCATACACTTAAAATTACAAGGCCGATTGAACATTAAGATGAACGGATAAGGCTAACAGTTAAATTTGTTAGAGGCAAGCTTATGTGAACCTTATGTCTATTTATAGCTAAGTTTAGGCCTGAGCATCACCATAGATGCACACATTGTGAAGGATCTTATCAAACCCGCTGTAAAGTTGAGTATTATACGTATAATAAGCGCGACTAACTTTGCCCATAAGCCCGGATTATAACTTCATCATGAAAAAATTGAGTAGGAGTTATTTAATTATAAAAAAAAACTATGTACAGTTTCAAGGAATCTGTATGAGCGTGGGTAGAAGTAAACTAAATTGTTACAAGCTAGTTAGGTAATATAACCAGTTGAAAAGTGTTCTCTTTCTGTCGATTCTTTTGTTGAACACTAAGAGCTCTTTTGGTCATTTTCAGCGGGTAACGTTTTAACACTCGTCTTCGGAATGTGAAGATTGCCTAGCGCTATTCAAATAGGTATCTCTTGATGAACCACTAACTGGACGATCAGAGTCGTCTAATTCAAGATGCGAGCTTGACGTGCATCGTGATGTCGAACGAAAGGTGTTTCGAGTTGTAAAGTTACCTACTTCACCACTGGAATAATTTGGTTCAAATGGGCTCCTAGCATATTTTCTTAACAGATCAGGATTACAACCTCCCTCTTTGTTTGTGTCTTTTCTCTCCAGGACTCTCATACTTAACGTCTCGTAAAATGGTACACTTCTTTGGTCGTGATCCTTAAAAATTTCATCACTCATAACCCAAGTATTACGACGAACAGGTTGAATATTTTGAGACTCAGAGGGTGGAATTGAAGAGCTGAAAGATGGAAAAAGAAAAATTCAATTGCTTTGTCTTCATTTCTCTCCTTTTTTCTTTAGTGATAAAAAACGCTGTAAAATGAAGAAAGTGCTACGGCTAATTTATGGTGAAAATTCGTTACGAGACTTAATGTGTAGGGTTGGCTGGATGAAAAACAGATTCATAAACATAGAAGCAAGAAACAAAAATACAAGCACGGATGACAAGATAATTAGACGCGAAAAGAAGCAAGCGGCAAATTTAGTGGTAGGTGTACATATTCATATATCAACGTCCTTATACTCACTCAGCAGGTTTAACTGTTGATCTCTCGCAGTATCCTTTCTTTTTACAAATGTAAACTCCAAACCCTCCAACAGCTATCAGCAAAACAAAGAAGACTGTAAATATTGCAATAAAAGCGGCATTTGATAGCCTTTTAAAGTGTCTAGTTGCAGTATCCTGTGATTCTGCACGTTCCCTGTAAACTCGTAATGTAACAGTGATGTTCACTACTACAAGACCTTGCCATAATGTTTCATTAGCAGCTCTCAGTAATTCAAGGTAATCTGAATCTTTGTGCAGTGCGTCATGTGGCACTTTAAGGTAAAACAGAGCAATGACACTTCCTTCCTCAAAGGACGTCACTTTCGCATCCACGGAAATTATGTCCTCGATTATAACCTCAACTTTATCAGCAAGGACTTTGAACATTGTGGAGTTTGGATTTGACAGATTTACATGAAAATCTCTATTCTTTATTACTAAAGACCCGTTCATAATTTCGAACTGATTTGAAGAATTCCAACTTGCAGTGGTAGTGGGCTTCACCGAGCTATAAGGATACTGATCCGTAATCTGATGTACCCATCTGAGGTGCGAAGTAGGAGTGTAGTTCACATTTGATGGAAATTTTGAGGTCACATGCGCTGTGGCATTTAGCCACTGCATCGAGACAGATATGTTCCAGGGTGTCTCGCTCGTTGACCTGCTTGTGACATTAATGCTAATTGTTGTGGACAGGTTAAGGGACAGTGCCGTTGAGTACATTGAGAATAGACCTGTGCTGATAGTAGAATTTGTAACTTTCCAAATTGTCGCCTTGTTACTTGAGTCTTTGCTAGGTGAGCTTGCAATTGTCTTAAGGGGTGGAAAGACATAAGCAGTCAGAGCTATGGTTCGAAATGAGCCAGTGCTGGACTTCCAGCTCTCGTGTTCAAATGTGGAGGTACGAACGTTAACTCTGAAATCCCAACTATTCTTTCCTTGCCAAGCTGCTCCTCTTGAAGTTTTCCTTAGAGTTGACCAAATCGACATTTCAGACGAAGACAGTGCGGTAATTAGAGAGTGTGCCGCTGTTGATGTTTTGGTCGTGGAGAATCTTGTTACAGGTGTGTTAGGCGTCCTGGACTGAGATTTTTCAAATGGTACATTCATTTTCAAGTGTCTACCAGAGGACATCATAGTTGAGAGTACAAGTTTACTTTCCTCTGCTCTTGAACTTGTCAAACTTTCATCTTTTTCACCAGTCGGTAGTGATCGTGAAAAATGCCAAACGTCTTTCGAAGATGTAACGGACGGATTGGAAACTGAAACTGGCACGGCAGAGGTACTCGCACTTTTTAATCTGACTGGTTTGTCGCTAGTGCCTTTGGTCGAGGTCTGCATGGACACGCTTAAAGTCGTACCTATAAAAAGGTTTGGCGTTGAAGCACTCTCTGGGGAGCTTGCCTCTGACGTCAGCGATATTGAGCGGACAGGGATGATTGAAAACCCAATGTTCCAGGTATGTCTGGAATTCACGTCCATGGAAGCTGAAATACGTCCATGAGTTGACGAGAAGTTGAAGTTTTTTCTATCCACGCTCCGAGATGAAACGTGGTTTGTAATGGTTTTCTTAAAGACAACAGTGGAAGTAATGCCGTGGTGCATATTCATCGAAGACGAGGCGTAGGGTAAGACTGGTTTAACTGCCGGAAAATGAAAATAACTGGACAATGGTTGCGATGCTGAAAATCTACTGCTAGAGATTTTCGTCATCAGCGACAAAGTCAAAGTAGTGTCAAACAAGGTTTTGTTTCCGTGTGATGGGCTTGGCTGCAAAACACTGGGAAGTGCACCAGTGCTTTTTAGAGACAAAATCTTTACAACCGTCGATCTTTCAGAATTATGGCCTGCATGTATATTGTGGCTTTTATCCGACGAGACAGAGTGAAAGCAAGAGTCTGAGGTAGCCTGTAAAGAAAGCAAGTCACTTTCTCGGGAAAAAATTGCTGACGAAAGCCTTGAATTTTTCTTAATTTCTCGAGGTGATTTTGATACAGTGTGAATACCAATGAAACTTGAAGATGGAAACATTGTTTTCTGAATACTTCCTTTAAAAATCTTTTGTGAAGATTGCTCCTGAAAAACAGAACCATTAGCCACGGGATGAATTGAAGTATACGATAGGAGTACATCAGTATATTGAGATACTTCTGAAGAAAAAGGCCTGTGCATCTTTGATGAAGTTTTGTGGTGGTTAGAGTGCATTGTGTGAACAAGAGATGAGGAAGGGTTAGAGCTTGACAATGTAAAAGTTTCTCTTGTATCATTTGTCAGAGCTCTAGAGTTCCTTGAATAGGACGTCTGTAGTTGATTTAAAATGGTTATTGGTCGGTCTTCACCAGGAGAGTTTATGATACGAGAGCTGGTTGGATAAGAAAATACTTTGATTTTCGTGTTTGGTAACTCTAGAGTGGTTTCCAATAACATTCCACCTACAGCAACTTCTGTGGGGTTTCTCGATTCGCTAAAAGACTCAGGTGGATGAGAGGTGAGTCTTGAATGGATGGATGTTGATAACTCGCCTTTCTCAGTTGCTGGTTGAAAATCATTGGACGCAAATTTGGTATTAGAGACCGATTTGAAGGTTGCAATATCTGATGAATTTACAGTTTGAGACGAATACCAAGGAAAGGTAAACCTGGAATAGGACGATCGCTGCGATTCTTTAACCAAAGTTGAATTTCGCAGGGGTGAATGTGGCGTAATTGATAAAGCCACACTGCCGGCCTTATGGCCAAAAGAGGAACTAGTTCTGATGTCAGGTAATGAAGACCGATTGACACCTACAGATGACCCAGTTGATGTAAGAAAGATTATCTTCGAGTTTGCCCAAGCAGATGGAATACTTTTTCTCGTGTTGTAGTCTTTCCAAGAGCTTCCCTGTGTGACGAAAGGTGACGTTATGGTATTTGCTCTGATGATCAATCTAACGGAGTCCTGTGACATAACGAAGTACGAAGATCTTTCTATTACAAATGCAAAGCTTGGTGTCAAAAAAGATGATGTATTCCACTGATTTGTTTCAGTGATCTTCTTCAGGCTTGATGAATCAGTGATGGTCGTTGGTGTAAGCATTCCGGTTATGGGACCTCTTGGCTTTGATCGTAAAATGCTTGATGCCTTAACCGAGGGCACTGAAGCCTGGTTCTTGCCGTACTCTGTATAAAAATTAAATTGAAAATTGAATTTTCAATTAATCATAAGATAATAATTTCATCGAGTAGTTAAATTTTCATTAAATTACTAGTGTTAGAAATGGACTTAAGCTCAGTATTTCCATGCCTATTGTGAAGAGTTTCAAAATTTATGATAATAGAGTTTTTTTAATTGAGTTTTGTGAATTATGTCGGAATCTAAAACTTCGTTATTGACCTCGTTCAGCCGGATTTTTGAGGACTGACGCTGCTTCATCAGACCGTTTTCAGTGTAAATTATTTCACACTAAAGCCTATGAAGTCTGCTCTCTTTTCGAGTGCAAAAGCATAGGGGTGCAATACATATCAAATTAGAGTGACCAAACCAAGCACTGCATGGTTTCAATTCACCCGCCGTAAAAGTCGGCTCTTCGTGATAACTGAAGTCTGGTTAATTCTCAAAAATTTGCTTTTATTATTGAAACCGTTAATTATATGTCCTGCTTTAGAAGGCGTTAAAGCTATAAAGTGTCCATTAGTTACTAACGGCAGGTGGCCATCATTGATAGAACCACAAGAATGGAAATTTATCCGTTATCCAAATTAACCCATTTTGGAAGAGGAAAATTGTCACGTACCTTATTTAGTGAAAATTAAAAGGAAAACAAAACTTATACCTGGGACAGGCGCATTTCAAAACGAGGTTTACACTAATCTTGAAGTTCTGTATCGCGAATTCTTACCAATTGCTTATCGGCCCTTGTTCAATAAACACCTGCACGAAATGATGGCCATCCTATGCTGTTACTACATATTCTATCTATTCGAGGTTCTTACATACATTTCATGTTGTTCCTTACTCTTCAATCGACACACGAATCGTGTACCAATTAAAATCGCTCGAAAAAGAGCTATAAAATAAGGTTTCAGGCGTCTTTAGATATTTCTAGAATATCAACTTTACTCATTGAGACAAAGAATATCCTTTGTATTCGTTGTTACACATTTTCAATGAACCTTTCTTGTCCTAGTACTAACCTTTGCTTTATTTTCTACATCGTAATATCTCTCCTTCAGTTTCAATTTTGGGCGCAAAAAATAAGACTTCAATGGACAATTTGAGTATATAAACCATACTGACCATGGGTGATACGCAATTGTAAAAAGTGGCAAAAAAGAGTCAAGGGTGAACTTACCAAGCGAAGGCTTTTTGGTGATAGAGGAGCTCAAAATTGTAGCTGAGTAGGATAAGAAATGCAACGTCATATTCTTTGTTGCAAATTCAGGTTTGCTTCCTCTCACTGCTGCTCCACTGTAATAGTATGGTTCCTGGTTAGACAGTTCTCTTGTAACGAAATAAATTCCAGCTCCAGTAATCCCAAGAAGAAGAACGAAACCGAGTGCCAGAAGACCCTTTTTGCGCCTTTGTAGTAGCCTTTGTTCGTTTTCATTTGGCAGGTGATATTTTTTGGCGCTCTTTGACAAGCTGGCAATATAGGCATCTTCGAAATTCATTCCGCTGGGGAAAAAGTCCATGTTAGAGCTTGCGGTAGATATATCGTCTGCAGTTTCCTCTATTATGGGAGAAAAGCGAACCGATTTTGCTTCAGCCATTTCAAAAAATTTTTCTTTGCTGGCTTCCAAACTGCTGTGAAGTGCTTGACACCTACTGTTCAGCTTCGGCATATGTTGTCTTGGTAACGAAAGTGTCACCTATCATAAAAGGTGATAAACATGCCTGAGGAGCTGTTTCCTCAATTGAATTGTGCAGGTGGCAAAGTAATTGGCGTCAAACAGGGGAAAGAAAGTTAATAGCGATAGACGTGAGCTTTAACGCATTGAAGTCTCTTACAACAAGCCTTTATTTTTTATCGTTGTTTAAGAAAGATATAAGTATTAAGGTATAATCAGAAAGTGATTTCATATTGCTTCAGAAAATTTATGTTAGTCTTTAAAAAATTTATTCGTGCTTATTTATTCCAAATTGCACTCGAGATCATGTCATTACCTATACAAATGTGGTTTATCCACACGTCATATAGATAAAATATGAACGAATAGAGCAGCCTTCAATGACGAAACTGGATATTAGAGGTCATAACGAAACACCTTTTTTATTAGGACGCCAACTTTAATGCAAAGCTTAGGTAAGGCCCTTGGGCTCGCTAAATACCTTTTGGTGTAAAGGGGATGTTCCTTGGAGGATACAATCCAATTCGAACACAGAATTTAATTTGAGCTGTGCCGAAAGCGATGTAAGTTTTTTTTTAATTTCTTCCCTGGAAAACTAAAATAAAAAAGACCTAATAGCTATGATCCATGTGGTATGTTTGTTCGTCATCGTCTGGGCCACTTTTTTAATAGTTTTTAACTGAAATACCTATGAATCGGTTGACTGAAACAACGACAAAAAAGCAAAGTAAGAAAAAGACGGTCCTTTTAAATTTGAAAATAAACCCAGTGGGTGGTCATTTACACGAGGTCTATCTGTTACCACAGTTTTACGTAATCAGTGGGCCTCAAATTTTCTTTACAAGAGGGTTGATTTAATTAAATAAATGTCCTTCCACCGCTAGCTTTCGGCCCTCTTGACACTGTTTACAAAAATAAATGTTCAGATAAAAGTTTCAGCTAAGTTGAGGATAGTTTAGGACGCAGTTGTTAAAAGCGTTTTTAGCGACCTATTGCATCCTACACCAAATGACACATAATTGATCGCGTAGTCTGATCGTTTGGGTTCATTGAGAGTAGTCCTGAAAAAGACTATTTTCGGTAGAAGTGACTGACTTTTTTAATGAATACCTGAGTTTAGGTCATAATCAGAGTGACCCTCGTAATGCCCTCCGTAACAGTTGTCGAAACGCGATTCCTTACCATGCAGTACTACCGATAACTGTCCTCTGTATGACTACTCTCACCTAGATGATCCGACAACACGATCAACTTCTGGTCGGGTTCAAACCATTTACTAAAAAATTAATATGATTTAACTCTATTTTCTAATTCGAAAAAAGAAAATTTTGTTGATTGGTCAAAGCTCACTAAAGCGAAGGCTGAAGCTTAAATGTTCTGTTGAGGTTATACTAGTTGTCTTCGCAGTCAGGCGATACTGAATCCTGTTCAAGAGATACAATATAAATTATTACCCATAAACATCCATTTAGACATTTCATTTCAGTCTTTTATTTGCTGTTACAAACAGTTACTTATGCTGCCTCATAGAGGACACAAAGAGAGTAATGGTTTCTAGAAACAATACAACAAGTTCGCTATCATTTATTGAGATGAGATTCTTTTTAGTGCCAAAAACACTGAAAGCCAAAAGCACTAAAGCCAAAAACACTGAATGCCAAAAACATTGAAAGCCAAAAAGCGTCCCTATTGTCTTATTACGAATGGCATCAACTCAGTTTCGACCTAACCATTGCTTTATCTGTTTAAACTTTAGATAGAACAAAAATGGTGTCTGGATGAGGATAAATCCGCTCAAATGGTCTCAGCGACAGAAAGCCATCTTTGTTGGCAGCAATGCAACTCTGACTCTGTGCAACCCTAAGAGCATAGGTTGGTCCTTGCTCACCCAACGACTCCTTAACGAAGGCTCCAATACGTTCTGAAGATTTTTCGTACTTCTGTGTGAAGGAAAGAACATTTTTAATTTTTAAAAAATCATAGTTTTTTAGAGCAGTTTTTTTACAGAATGCTTTGAGGCTGAAGTGGAACACCTTAAATATGTAAAAGAACCACCTCAGTGAACTAAAAGTGCTATCTGGTTTGAACAGAAGTTTCTCTTTCACGGAAAAGTTTGTTTAATTTGGCAAGTTTCCGTAAAACATCAATGCAGCTTCTCTACTCAGTTTTCTATTTTTAACCAATACAGAAATAGTTGTTTCTTCTTGATTTCTGTTTCAAAAAAAGGCCCATGTACAAAGTTACGAAAAATGCAAAACGATAGAGGATACGAAAGTTTGCAAATTCGTTTTATCAAAATCATTACCAAGCTTCGAAACTTTATGTTTTGTACCAAACTCGATATTTATCTTATTTTCATAAACACTACAAGATTATCTTCATTGGACTTGCGATCTGAACTTAATACAGTGCATTGAAATTCAAAGTATCTTTGTAAGTGTACTTGAAGCGGCGCCCTTTTTGTAACTAGTTTAATTTCTTTCAGGCCCGCACACGCACTTAACCGATCTCTCACACTAATGAGTCGCTTTTAATGAAATCGGAGTTAGATAAACATTCGTTAATTTCACCTTGGTTTCCTTTAAAGTTACATGTGTTTATACTGACCGTAAACGAAACAGTCCCATTTTTTAAGTCGGCAATCAAAGCATAATTCTGACCGTCCTGTGCTGTAAACACTAAGTGGGCGGAATTTTCGTTAAAAGTTAGGTTTGCGGTATTCAGTACCATTGTGAATTGACCTGAAAAAAAATGATATTCAGTTCTAAAACCTGTGTCATCTATGAGATAATTTAGTTCGAACACATTTATTGGCCTAGCCGCTGTGTTGTAAGAGTTTTTACCATGGCTAAGGCGGTGAACATCACCTCCACTCTTTCAGAAAGGTCGGACCGTCTGCAAGGTATTTCAAAGTTTATCAATTTGTAACCAATTAAAACCAACACGAAATTAAGGAACAGTTACACCTACTTTCTTTTCCTTCATCATCGCCTGTTGCTCTGATTTTAGGAGTCTTCTCTCCACCATCTTCAGTTAAGACCAAGTATTTTTGTCGACTCAAAGACCAAGCACGAAATGTCAACCCATTATTCATGTTTTCAGTCATCTTTCTTGATGCGTAAGGCTGAGTCTACTTTGAAAGATTCTCCCCTAGAAAGAAAGCTGAATGTAAAAACCAATAAAAAAGTAATTACCATCGAATAAAAGGAAATTAAACACCGTAGATTGGAGTGTTTTCGTCGTTAGTGCAGAGGAGTCAATCTGGTTCGCTGCCAAATCCTGAGGATGCTTTCACTAAACGAAGGCAGAAAATCAAGACTGCTAAATAACTGATTGCCCGAGAAATTTACGCTAGTTAGCATCAAAAGTTGAGCTCGCATCGTGATCTCTGGCATTGCACTTACTTGATTAATTGTTTCGTTTATAACACAAGAATATTGAAACGATGAGAATTATAGCTGTAGTTTCCTCTTGTTATTGCATTGTGTAACTTAACATGTTCCATTTAAGCGCGTTAAGTAATCAATGAACATTGACAACATAAAAAAAACCTTTCCACTAAATCTACACGCACAGCAAGGAATCATAAATACCTTTAGGATGGCAGGAACTCTTGTTCTGACTAGCAGGTAATTTGAAATGAAAGTCCTTTTTACTACTCACAGGCTTTTATACACGATGGACCGGAAGATTTAAAGTAAAAAATAGCTCGCATTTGACTAGACACTTTACATTTTTTGCTTGTAAAAAACGTCCACGACGTTTCAGTTTAATTACATCCGGGTCGCAACCCAACTCGAAAGACTTCCGCTTTGTCCATATAACCGTTGATATTGCAGATTTTCAATGTTTGTTTTGTTTTAAGTTTTTTTGTCGTCACGTCTTAGAATGGTTTAATGGCAGCTTTCTTTCAATCAAATGATTAGATCACACGTTCGATCTGACACATTGTTGAAATTTGGTCCATAGTGTAACTGATATGAATAATTATGATATCTGCATTATTTTTTGATATTCATACAATTCAGGTGGACTGACCTTGGACGTAATTTAGGACAGTACTTTCAGTTTCCTAGCTACTATCTACGTTCACACCACGTTTTAGTCTTGTTTAGTCTTATATTCTTTTTTCGAAGCACGACTTTGTTATTCTTTTAACCATGTACTGAAACAATTGGACGAGTGTCCCCTCCCTTCCTATACATTTATAACTTTCTAATCGTTACAGTTTCGAAACTAGATGCGAGATAGAATGGCTCTTTTACATCTACGTAAATCGTCATCAATGATCATCTACGTGTACATTGAAAGGTTAACAAATGAAACTATACTGTGCGTACCTTGATGGAGGACTTCTTTTTTACCGATGCAAATGTCCACTTTGTCAGTTTTTCAGAACTTTCGTGTCTTAGAAAACTTACATATTATCGATTTTCGAAAGAAATACGAACTGGTGACCTTGAAACCGCGATATCATTGAAAACTGAAAGGTGTACATCATACACATATAAATGGGAAAAAAAAAACAAAACTAAGAAGCGCAGTTAATTAAGAAAATAAACCACACACTGGAATTGTAACATTTTGGTGCAAAGGAAAGATAAGCCATAAAACTGCTAGTTAATTAGTCTTGCTGAAAGAAAATTAAATATACAGATAACATGCTCCTTATACAAATCTCACACAAACAGTTATACATGTATACAGAACGTGGCAGAGAATATCAGAAAGAAGAAGACATAATACACTTGAATTGCTTTTAAATACAATTTTCTATTTGAAGAAAACGACAAAACGTTTGAGTTTGTAAAACACGCTTCCACAGAAACTTCTGTCATTTTCAGTTAATTAATGTACAAAGCGTCGGAAGTTGAATTTAGAATAAGTAGAAAAATGCTAATACGACAAATGGTGACAACGAGAAAAATGCAAAGCATGAAAGTGTCAGAATTAAAAGGATAGTTTTAGATTTACATTATGTAATTGTTGATTCAAAGAGGGTTGCTCTCTTTGAATAAGATTCGCCATTTTATTAAGCGCTATTGCAATGACTTGGCAATGACAAGCTAGTTTTCTCTTCTTTCAAGATTGGTAACTTGTTTGGAGTGAAAGATCCTGTCCCTGACGGGCTCCGTTCACGTGTGGTTTATAAGTTTGTATGTGCTGGCTGTAAAAATAATTTTTATGCGAGCCTGATTGGGCCGAACGGGAGAGTATTTTTGCTCTCGATAATGATGTTCGCAGTCGATGAGTGCATATCATCTGGCGTAGGAAACGGAAATGTCAAAGAGATAATAAACAAAATGGACACAAAACCTTAACTGCATAGGGCAAATAAGAAAAGTGACTAAGTAAGCTTTGTAATCACCATTTTTACGTAAGTCCTAGTTTCTGCGAATTGATGGATCTGGTTATAAGAGCAAAGTTTCAGTTTTTACCTGAAAGCCTCCAAGCACATATCACAACCTTGTCATTGTGATTCATTACAAATGCATCACATTGACATTGATTGACGTAGAAAATGAAAGACGTCACTGTTTATTTTGTCGGAAAAGTCAGTTAAGAGAAAGATTTGTCACGTGCAAACTATATTTCTGAACTTTAATTCTCGCAATTCAACGAATCAGGAGGTTGTACATGGACCTCGCTCTGTCAGTTCTCGTTCATTCACACGCCAGAACTTTTGAGTTTGCTATTGGTGCTACCCCGTTTCACTTTAACGGCCAAGTTAAACTTTCCTTTAATCCTATGTTGTGTATCGAGTAATAAATATTTTTGGAAAGAACGTTACGTCAAGAATTTACTAATATGGAGAAGAGATATCCTATAAAAGGTGTACCTGTCGGATTGATAAGTATACCAAATCGGTCAAACTTAAACTTGTGGGGTCTGTGTTCTCTATTATCTTCCTCGTTACAGATATGAAGGTTGCCTATGCATCGTACTCCGTCATTGTTGCAGTTGCTATCATTGCATCCCTTGGCAGGCCTATCTGGTGCCAGACTTGTGGTACAGAGGCTTATGGAGGTAAGAAAAAATATCCCCCTTTTTTCCAATGAATCGGTTTTTTTCCTTTTAAATGTTGAGATATACTTGGCAAGTAAGACGTATAGGCTCTGACTAGTCGCACATGCCACGCCATGGAGTACAAAAAAAAGGAATAGAAAAAGGGTCGCAAAGCTATCAAATTGGACTCGTCTTTTTAAAAGATAGCATAGCTTTGTTAAAAACGTCCTTCTTAGTTTTGTTGTTTCTTAGGAGAGCCCTTTCTTTGTCATTGACCCATCGTCTACTTCTGGTCAGAAGCAGAGAAAGGAGCCTTAGTTGCTGCTTTAGCAGAGAAAGGAGCCTAAATTGCTGCTTTACCAAGCCGGGTGTGCAACAGGCTGTTAAAGTACAAATACAATTGGTTAATATTGAGGAAAACTCAAATTGGAAGAAAATCAGTTAAGGAAGCTCAGCATAACACTAGTAAATTAAGATCAAAAGTAACACAGGTTACAATGTTATATGCCAATCGATTTTTAAACTCCCTCATTCGAAATAATTTTAAAACACATAAGTTACTAGACTTTGCTAGAGCTGAGAGCACATAGTGAAACGCTTTGGGCGTTCAAGTGCTCATTGTAAAATATCCTATAACTGCTTCCCTCATAGGATTTTGACAGTGTTTTAAAAATCTCGCAATGTTGTGCTGTAGGTTCACCATCTGTGGACTTTTATGTAACAACGCCTGACAAATCGCCTCATACACCTGAAATGAAACACTTGGACAAAGCAGTCACCGTACAGCTCGGCTCGAATGTAACATTGGTATGCACTGCAAAAATGCCGTTGGGATTCCCACCATATCTTCGCTCCTATTTGGAGCCTAATCTGATCAAGTTGTTCGTAAACTACTCCTTCATTCGCGAATTCAACTGTGATAAAAAGCCTCGCAGGGTCAAAACGTGCTCTTTGTCGCTCGTGAATGTGAAACCAGGAGACAAAGGCAAGTACTTCTGCCAGGCAGTCAATGAACTGGGATGTACCTACAAACAGCTGAAAGTCGCCATCACTGGTGGTAGGTAACTCAATGTTTAGTCATCTTTCCCTTCTACAGAAAGTCTGTCTCTATGTGACAAATCCTATACTTTCCCACATGAAAAGTGTAGGCTGCAATCTTTAGCAAGAATATGATCATATTTTTAAACTTGGGTAGGATCGCACGTAAAACGTAATAAACATAAATGAGAATGACACTAGAGACAAAACTATCCAAAAAGAAAATAAATAAATATGAAAAGTTGACCAAAAACGCCATTGATTTTCGAGTTTTTTTTTAGCAGTTCGTTAATACCCCCAAGTGACGCCAGGCACCAACTTGACGCAGCCCAGTTATATGCCCATTTTCTTTAGATATTTTATTACCCCTTTTTTTTAGACAAAAGTAGGGAAAATTGATTTAGGTGTTCATTGTTATCATATGTTCTGTGCCATCGACAGGTGAACAAGAAGGGCAGGTGCCTGGAATTCGCCAAGGCCGGAAAAACATTGTGAGCAAATTCAAGCGAAGTTTGGCATGAAACGCTTTTGTTCCACCTGGGTATTTTAAACTCTCATTGTAAAAGGAATATAGGAAATCTTCTTGTAAAGAAATGCTGGTTTCCAGGATTTTTGCCTTTTTATCTAGTATCACACTCCTTTTCAAAGAATTACCTTGGCGCACGAAAACGAATGTTTCGTTTTCGTGCGCTAACAAATTATCTCTCGCCATTTGACTCTTTGCAGATTGTTATGAGTCACTATTTTTTAAATAAGTAGCAGCTGTCAGCTTTCTAAGAATAAACAGAATAAAGGAAAAATCAACCGTAATTTATGAGCCTTAACCTAGACCTTATTTGGAGAAATTGAAAATGTCTCGATCATCGTCTTTAATAAGTAAACATTTTAAGAAAACTTCGGTTCAGTAAGAGTTTCCTTTCAAGGGCCACTAAATATTGCTTATCTAGGTGTAAAAACTGTGATTTAACCAAGGAGTGAACTGATTAAAATATTTCATTACAAGTTACACACCATGTCATCATGTGCATTTCCCTGTTTTACATTGGCATCTGTCTTTTCTTAAGATTCTCCACATTTGCACAACTACGTAATTTTTCACCGAAAGTGAACGGATCAACTTGAATTTTATTAGCTGATGTTTTATACGATTTACAACTAATTAAAGCTTGGTGATTACTAACTCTGCGAAAATGCAATGATACATAAGTTGTCAATTGCTATAGAAAAGTAACTCAGCACTGCACCAAAGAAAAGTGAAAAGTTTATTAACAGGAGAAATAAAAGATAAAAAATATTCCGATTTCTCTGATTTTCCATATCCAATTTTGAATCAGTTTACAGTCTTGAATTTTCTTTCTATTGTTATAATAGTTTTAGCTTAAATTTCCAACTCTCTGTCTATAACGTAATTTTTACAATTATAGTTTTACATATGTAAGACTTTAAGACGTTTTTTAGCGAAAGAAATTTCAGAGAAGTTATTTTAACAGACTTAAATTAAATAAAATAATTTGGTGAAAATTATTAATATACTTTTTATTTTCTCTAAAGGTTTTAATGTTTCCTCTTGTGTGTATCTCTCCACACGGTAAATGTATAACACGTACATTTGGTGGTAACTTGATGGGTATGTTCTATATGCAGTTTTGTATGAATATATCGTCTTCTCTGTCACGAATTTCTATACTTCTTCTTGGTTACCGGAGTCATCACTCTGAAGGTTAGCATACTCACTCTGAAACGGAAAAAGATGAACAAATCAACTAAAAAAGAGCGAGGTAGAACAAAGTTGAACATATAGTTTGTTGTCCATTCACTAGTTAGCCGTTCAACCGAAGAGACTGTCAATGAGTATAATTACTGCGGTAAACAGAGACAACCCAAAGTGGAAAATGGTTCTGTACAAGCAAATAAAATGAAAATGAGGAAAGTTTCATTCTGGACGTGAAAACATACCTTGTATTCTAAACTTAAGATCTTTTCCAGTTGTTCTACAATACATGCAAACGTGGGCCTCTTTAATGGATTTTCTTGCCAACAGGACTTCATCAACTTATACCTACAAATACAACTAGAGATTAGTCAAATCCTAATCTGTCTGTTAACAACATTTCAGGAAATTGACTGCTTGAAAATGACCAAGGTCGAGAAGACGCTACAGATAGTTCTCTAACCCACCGTTGATTGGAACAATTTAGAGGACAAGGCATCCGGTTACCAGACGATAGCCACGTAATGAGGGCCTCTATTGCACATATATCAGGGTAAGGAACCTCACCTGATAGGATAATATGTAAGTGTTAAACTCAAGAAATGGTTGCATTCGTTTCCTTGTACAAAGTTGTCTTTTTGTTTTGTTCTTTTTTTTTTTTTCAGAACTAAGAGCCTTAAAATGGAACGAGGCCGATACTCATAAACAACCATCTAAACAACGCACGTTTCCTACTGTATGGCCAAAATCTTACATCAAAGAATTTTTCTCGAGCTGGAACAAAGCGAGCAATTTGAAAGGCACATCTAAGAACATTCTTGCACAACAATGAAATACACAGTCTCGCCATATTATCTATTCGATGGGAGTGACATTAATTTTGACGACATGCATAAAAATAATTTCAGTTTGATTTCAAAGGAACAATTGGTATGTAATATCTTCTAAAAATTGTTTACACAAACTTACCATAAGTAAAAATTTCCCACAACAAAATCCCAAACGACCATCTATCATTAAGAAAAAAATTGTATAATTGAGTTATTTTACCTATTAAAATAATTGCGACTCTAATCAACTACAAAAGAATTCTACGAGAGTCCACCATCAATTGCGGCGAACAGTTCCATAAAGCTAACCTGACGCAGTTTGTCCCATAATTCAAACACTACGTTTCTAGCTATTACTTTGTATTTCACATGGGAGGAACTGTTCACTCTGAGAAGACGCTTATTTAAATGGTCTCACCCCCCCCCTCCCAAAAAAAAGGGGTATAAACAACAATAAAAACAAAACTGTACGATAGAAAGCTTGTCCAAAAGGTTTTGATAGCAGCTCTGTTAATTAATAATAATTTTCCCAATTAGCATGTCTTCAAACTGAAACAGGGCTAGCGCGAATGCACCATTTCGTGAATTTGGATAATGTAAGTAATGTAATGTTGTCTCGCAATGATATAAAGTTACATGTAGATTCGATTACATTGGATAAAAAAACAAAGAAAGAAAGAAAGTAGAGTGATCGATATACCTACAATTATAGAAAACGGTGTGGGGGGGGGGGGGGAGTCCGCTTTTTCGAAAAGGGTGCTGATTCGATATTTTGTTATAAAAACTTTCAAAGCGCGTAAGACATCAAAATTATCATAAACTTACACATCGCTTTGGGAGGTGTAAACCCTAAATTTTAATGATTCTAAAGAAGACCACCTCCATGGAACTCCGCCCTGACAAAACAAAGATACATTAAAATGTAGATACAATGTTTTATCATTTCAAGGTTTTTAAAACTAAAAATGTTCTAACTGTTTATTTGTTTAAGATCTAAACTTCCAACTGCGCACAGCTATTAGGACGCTACCTTACAAAAGCTGGAAAAAGCTTTCTAATAGTAGCTGTTGAAGAGAGTACAGATATGCTGAGTTAAAAAGATAAGTGAAACGATAAGCGTCGACCTCTACATATCTTATAAATGTACTCACATCAGAAGTCTTGGTGTAAATGCCTCCATCTGAAATGTCTCTCGCTAATCCGAAGTCTCCTACTTTTGCTACCTTGTTTTTACCAATGAAAACATTTCTCGCCGCAAGGTCGCGATGAATGTACTGATGAAGAGAAAGACACACGTGTCAACAGATTTATGATTCACACGCAGGCACTTGACGAAATGAAAAGTGGGGGATCAAAAAAGCGACAAGCCTCCATTGCGTGTTCAAAAAAAGCACTGTTTCGCTTTCTCATACTTGCTGTGAATCACACTGGTAAAATTTAGATTTCAATGGAAATGTGATGCTCTATTTTCGCTTCCACTGAGTCTATATTAGCTTGTGGTGATTATTAATACCCTTTTCTTGCTTCACTGTGTCACCATTATGAGCAAACTTCTAGCATTTCCTAACATTGCCCTGATGTCTTTTTGTGATTTTCATTTATTTTCCTGATAGAAGAAAGACTCTGTGAAGTGAACAGCACACAACACAGTGAACTGCCCAAGGCTTGGGCCTTGTCGTCCTGATCTTGTATCAAACGCCACCACAGGCTTGCTAAAATAAAAGTTCACCCCCAATGAGTAAATTTTATTCTTGGTTAACCTTTGTCGTACCTTTCTTTCTTCTAAATGTTGCATTCCACAGGCCACCTGAAGAGAAACTTGCAACAGCTCTCGCTCAGTTAGCCCACAGTTTAAGTTCTCATATTGGTTTTGCCCGCCATTACAAGGTTTAGACCTCAACAGACTTTCAAGGCTACCTCCAGATACCAGCTCTGTTATTAGCAGAATATTATCTGAGGGTTAAAAACATAGATCTGTTGAACTTCAAACTCGTGAGCCAAATTTGAGTGTTAGTTTCCATAAAACAAACACACTGAAAAACAACGTTTGTTAGTACTTTCCCTGAAGGGATCACAGCTCAATTTACAAGTACTTAGCTTGTTTTCTGCTTCAAAAAGTGGTTATATTCATCTATTTGATTACAATTGCGTTAATTGTATCTTAGGTATTTGCAATGATGATAAAGGGGAAAACGTAAAGTCCGGTGCAATAAGTACAAGTAGTACTACATTCTGTTGAATGAAAGGAGTCCAGCAAAAAATATATTGTATATCGTATATCGTATATCGTGACTCAGCGTTTTTCTCCCAGATCGTGCTTGGAAAAAAGGACAAAATACCTTCTTGAGTGCAGGCACCAATAAAACTGACTATGTTTGGATGTCTTCCAGCCTGCTTCAGCATCTTTATTTCATTAAGTAGGTCGTCCTTGTTGCACCTTGAAAACGTAACTAAACCACGTGACAAGATTAAAAATAAGTAAATAAAAAATAAGAACGATATATCATATAAACACACAAACAAACTCTTGTTGTTTTAAAGACTGAATCATTGTGGAAATCTAGACATTGTTCCCTTGTGAAGGATTTCTATGAGGTTGTGTTGGAACTAAGGAGTACGCCTCTAAAAAATTGAAACAAAGCTCTGTCTGTTACACGTAAGAACAAACAATAGATATGGAAAATAAGACAAGTCGTTACCAGTTTCTTACCTTTAGACTGTTTCACTGCCACCTCTTTACCACGATAAAGCCCTTTTTTAACGATTCCAAATTCTCCTTTTCCGAGCACTTTATCAAGGATTTTTAGCTCATCCAATTCGATTTGCCAGGTGTTCTTGTTCTCCAGAGGCATCTCGGGAATGCTCTCTCTGCTCTCTGCGCTATTATAACCACTGTCTTTACTTGTTACATTGTCTTGCGTAGTTCCTAAGTTTTCTGCCATTGTCATGCATAAACAGTTCATCTGCTTTTCTGTGCTATCTTTTTTGGCGGGTTTTGGTGGTCTTTCTGGACGGAAATTGTCTGAATCGTTTCGCTCTGAGCTCCACTTTGTACCATGGAAACATTTTTTATTAGGATTCTCAACCAATATTTCCGTTAACAATGAATACCGGACAGGATTGACCGAGGTACTCGGAGGCAAAGTTTCAGGCTCTATATCTGGTATTAGAGACGTCTCAATATGGTTCGAGTTGTTCGTAGTTTCGGATTCTTCTAGCAAACGTAATGGCGCGGTTGAGCCATGGGATGAGGACCTATCATGCAGTGGTATTACTTCCAAAAGATATTCACTTGCATTGGCAGAAGTAGGACTTTCATTGTCCCTTCTCTACATCCAAGAAAAAAAAAGTCCTTTTTGATATTGGGTGGGATTTGAAGTTTAAAATGACATTAAACATTTATCTATAGCGATTCTCCTCCAGAAAATTAAGCAAAGAAGCTGAACTTGTACTCTGCCTGGATTTTGACAGCTAGTAGATGTAAGACATTACGCATCTTTTGGCGCTTGGCAAGTGGTGCTTTGAATTGTTAATCTCATTTACATAAGTCTACACATTACTCTTTATCACAAACAGTGATTATCTCAACAAAGTTCTGCCAAGTATGCTTGAAGCGGAGAGGATAAACATAGCTTGGCATCAACATCTGAATTAAGTCGAAATGTCTGAAAACGAAATATTTGTGGAACACCAATTCTCTCATTTTCTAATACTGTCTTTCATGCCTCCGGGTTTGCCCCATCCCCCCTCCCACCGCCCCCTCCTCATCACAATTGTCAGGTAAAAAGTTACACTAGAGGTTGATGACAGATTCACATACAGTATGCTAGTGGGTGCATGTCGGTATGATTTTGCAGATGGAGAGGCGTTCTTCGACAGTACTTTACCGACATTTGCAAGCATGTCAGGGTGTCTTCTGAATAAACAAGAGAAAGAGGACAAGCAGAAAGGGGGGAGGTAACGAACACCCTTTGACCCCTCCGCCCTAGTCCCTTACGCCCTTGCTGTAGTTATCCGCACAAAGAACCCAAGATCAATTGTGTAAAAAAAATGTTACAAATTCGTTACTCACCCGTCGAGCTCCTCGACGAAACCACAGAAAACTTCCAATGCTTAAAATTACCAAAGTCGAGATGACGCTGGGTACCACGACTGCGATCATGCTTTGTTCTGAACTTCCACTGGCGTTTAAAAATTTGCGTGGTTCCGGTGTACTTAAAACTGAAGAGGAATACATAGACGTGCTATACGTCAGTTTTCAAAGTTTCAAATTTGTTTTTCATGCATTTTGTATTACATTTGCTGGATCTGGTTGACAGCTATTAACATTCTTTTATGAAATGAATAGAAGACTTTATGAGAATCAGCTGAAAAGCAAACACACAAAGAAACGAATAATACAACATTATGTTAAGAAATGAACGAAACATTTTACAGGAATCAGTTGAAAAGCAACCACAAACAAACGAATAATACAACATTTTTGCTAAAAAAAAATATCTGCTACCCCTTCTGACCCCTAAGAGTGACTTGCGTCTAATTTCTTCTTACAATATTTTTCAAGTCAAACATTAAGGTCAAGAGAAGGAATGAAATGATCATCAACTGGAGAAGCCCTTGATTGTTAAACAAATTCTCCTTTTTTTCACCTTAGAAAAGGCATAGAGAACAGTGTTGATAATTTGCATACTGATGTTAGGGTGTGACGGGTTAAAACAGGTTTTCTTTGCAAATACTTACAAGCAGTTTCTGGAGAGTCATTATGTACTCCTCCTTGTGATGTCTCATTTGTAGAATTCTTGTTGCTCACACACTGGTTTTTGCCATAATCACTGCAGTTTTTTGTTGTATTAGGCCCAGGGACAATACCCTGGTTAGTTGGAGCTTCAGTTGTCTCTGCAGGTAGTACATCTAGAGAGGAGGAAGGTGGAGTACTTGACTTTGAGAGTCAGTTTTTAAGATTACTTTTAGTCCACAGCAACCATGCATACCCTTTCAACTACTGACAGCACTATAAGTTAGATAACTTCATTACAGAGTCCACAACATTATCATATCACATACAGCTGTTTTGAGAAAGGTTGGAGGAAAAAAGAGTAAAAGTGTGTGTGACAACTTTGAAAGATACTTTTGATAGTTTCAGGTTACAATTTATTGACCTCACCATTTCAGGAAAATGTGAGAAAACATCACTGTAAGGACAAAACATTGTAGGTTTCATGAATTATTTCATATTTCTTTGACTTGTAGAAATGTAAAAAATTATTGATTACTGGATACCCAGAATTAAACTTTCAAGATTGTTTTGCGCTCTTTCAGGTTTTCAAAAAGGTTTCTCAAAAAAGCTGTATACATGTATCAATTGTTAAGGGATGATATATTTAAACTTTCAGCTACTACATTCCTCATCACACCTGTTAAACATATCCTCCTTAAACTCAATGTCAATGTTCTATGAAAATGAGAAATCTGGACCTCCTGTAAAAAACTCAAGACTAGGAGGGAGCAGGGTGTTTAAAAAAAACTTGATGAGAGTTTGTGTCCCAGCTATTGTTCAATGCTTTGCCCCCCCCCTCTCTCTAACACTCTGGTAGACATCAATTTTATTACAGGTGGTTCATATTCCTGAGGAATAACTTAACAGTTAGGTGTTGACTGATGTTTGGTTGACATATTATCATTTTGTTTTCTCGGTTCAATTGTTCAGGTTGTTTCTTTAAAGCATGGCAGTGTTCTTCAATGTCATCCATGTGCTCTGTGTGGTTTAATAACCGATACTTTTATTTATTACTAGTTGGTGATATTCCAATATAATATTACTGCAACTGCTCATTTTATAGATGATTATAATCACACTATTAAAATTAATCTTTCTTACCATCGATATCAATTTCATAGTGTTTAACACTGCAGTGAAGATCAGAAGTACTTGCTTTGCAAGTGTAGTTACCCAGCACCTTTGATGTCAGGGAGTCAATAACCAAAGAACATGTCAGAAAGGTAACTGGTAACCCCACCTGACATTTATGTTTGACCTCATTTCCATTATAAAACCAGTAAATTGAAATTGGCTTGGAATCATACTTGTGCGAATAGACCTCATTTTCTCGTGCAATGCAAGTGACATTGACAGGTTTGCGAAGACGCAATTCACTGGCTGTTATTTCAATGATAGGTTCAGCTTGAGGAGAGGTAAAAAGAAAAAGCAGTCAAATTAAATGAAATAAAAAAGTGAAGAGGCATCTTCCCATAAAAGAAGAGCTTGGATTGTAATTACAAATATTCATAATTGAGAAAAGAAATATATTTAGAACAATATTGCTTGGGTTATTATTACAGCACACTCTGATCAGTAGAGGATTACATCACATCTTACTATAATCACCTCGCACCAGGTGATTATAGCAGGGTCACTAAATTTCAAAATGGCTGCCTCACATTTTGTCAATGATTTCAAGGAAGTGATAAGCTCAATAGAAGGAAATTCAATTGGGAACTCTGAGCACAAAATATGCTACCGCCTTTGGCAGAACACTTTTCAAAAGAAAGATATGAAGTTTTTGCTGATTGAATTGCATGAACTTGCTCAAACTTTTTGCTCATCTTGATACAAGTAATCATCACAATTGTGACAAACTATGCACAATGCTTCTTTTATTTACAGAATTTTCCACAGAATTCAAAAGCACCTGAGCAGATTTTCAAAACTAAAACAATTATGCACTTCAGGCTCAGTGAATATTGTTAAATAATCCCCTCAGCTTTGTCTCAGGGATAATTCAACTGTACTCTCTTTGCCTACGGTGAAAAGTTGTTATTAACCTTTCAAAAAGGGACAGTGTATGCTAATGTATGATGAATATAACACAATAAAAGAAACATTTTTCTTTGCCATTCATAACATAATTTCTCATGTCTAAATAAGGATAAAAACTTACTTTTCCTTGCCTTATAATGACACACTTGGCACATGATGGAAGGGAAGATTACTGAGGCAGCAGCAACTAATATTAGCATATACTGTGTTGTGCTTTCTACCCATGGTTTGTTGGCTACCATCTCTTGAGCAAAGCATTACAGTCCAGGAAAGTTGGGCCAATCCTTGGTCCAAAGAATCTGTGCTAAAAATAAACATTTAAAGATGCAAGCTGGTGGGAGGCAAACAAAAGTGTGGGTGAAGAGTCAAGCTGTACTCTAGCGAGGGGTATATGAAATTTAGAGACAGAGTTAAGGATAGAAAATTTGCCACCTCTACATTTAAAAACTCCTTAACTATGCCCAGTCTTCCCTTCCCCATCTCCAACCAAGGTTAGTAATAAGTAGAGTTCAGCCGCACAATAACATCTGGAAGATAATTACATCATTTCAGTGAATGATGATACAAATTGGATTATTAATATAATATTATTTGTCTGAGGTACAAAGCTGAAACATTAAGCTTTGATTCATGATTAACAGAGAAACTGTAGCCTCCATCTATTGTGCAAATATGCTCAGATATTTGTGGAAGAATATTACCAGTTGCAAAAATCAAAAACATTTCCAAAACTTAAGGAAAATAAGAGCTGTCATAATATGTCTTAATTTGACACTGATTCAACTTTGAAAGTCATACCAATAAGCATGCAATCAGTCATTTGATTTGATGCAACTGAAATCATTAGCACTGTATTTCTTGGGGTAGATAGCTTACTTGAGAAACAAAGAAAGTCCCTTGGACCATCACGCCTCAAGAGATTCTGGATTCAGAGCACGAGATAGTTTAGTTTGTACAGCTGTCTGAGAGTCACGATCAGCTGCTGTTAAAAAAACTCCTTTTGCGAGCGCTGCTGAAAGGAAATGTTGCATTCTTTCTGTTCCATTTCTGTGGTAGACTAAATGCCTCTGAATGATGAACACTAATAAGCAATGGAAACCGAAGTTTTCCCCAGAGGTTCTCCACTCTCGATCGCCATGTTTGTCTCTCAGTTCTCAGGGGTTAAAAGAAACCGTCCTTCTCAGTGATCACCCATGCGTCTTTGATACCTTCAATTGTCACACGGTCCTTAAATGATGCAATGAAGCTAAGCACAAGCTCGGCGTTTGCATTTTGTCTCGCAAAATTTCGAGGTAAAATATATTTCTTTGAGGTCTGATAGTCAATCGATTAATTTTTTTTCCTGATTTATCCCAGTTAAATGCGATTTCCTTCAGTTGCAGTTTATTTATTACTCGATTTATTATTTGTTTACATAGGTTTTCATTTGTTTACCTATCAATCGATCTCATTACTATTTTTAAATTTTTTGGCTACTTCTTAAATCCTTATTTTCATATTTACACAATCTTTTATCTAGTAATTTACAAATAAACACAGATTTTAAGAAAGAGTTAACCTACAGGGGTAAATTATTTTCCACATGCATAATGTGGCAAGGTCACAATTACAGAACATTACCTCAACTTCCTCATTTTGTTAATTTTTACCTAAGGTCTACACATCATCTCTCAATTGTGTATTTGAGCGAGATTTATAGAGGGTTTTATGAAGTTCTCTTGGAAAAGGTGAAGTATTATAATCACAAATCTCATTCACAATGTATATGATTTAGTTGTACTCATAAGCTACATCAATTTAGTATAATTTAGGCAAAGTGTGGCTGATGAGTTCAAAGCAGATAAAGACATCAGAAGTGCTTGTTCTAGGTGGATGGATGGAGTGAGTTAGTCCAAATTTGAGAATGTCCAATTATCATCCCACATAACATTGTGAGAGGAAATGTTGGTGACAGTCTCATCAGATATGAAGGGAACAGCAGTGTTATGCATGAGGTTTATTTCCTCATTCTCAATGCTGGTCAGTGACAAAACAGTTTGTAGCATCTCCTCATGAAATAAATTAAGTTTTGAATATGTCAATCAGTTTGTTTAGAAGCCAAGGGTTGGTGCTTAGGATTATGCATTATGTATGACTTGTGATGGAGTATTCTTTCATAAAAGCTCATATGATGCTCTTTTAAGTTATGCATCAACAATAGGTAATTATTTTTACAGTAAATGCCAGAATCTTCATACAGTCTTTTTAAAAGTTAGAACACAATTCCAGGGGAAAAAATATAGTGGAAAATACTTTCATAGAAGATTCAATAGTTTTGTTCAATTGAATATGAATTCTTTAGTCAGATTGCTTTTTTCCATATTTGAAAGTATCCAACCAGAATGATAGTCAAATATTGTGGGTTTGATCATTATAGGCCATCATATTGACTGTAGTGTAAGGTGTGGTAATCAGTGGAACATCTTTTAACTTCCTATGCTTGGTTGACACCAACATTTATTTTATGTGATTTTTGTTGTTCTTGGTATTGTTGTTATCATTGTTTTTTTGGTGATCAATAATTTGTAGTTAACAGTACACGTAAACTGTTGAGCAGGTTTCAGGGGCCATTAACTGTGAATTTGTTGTACACCAGTTTCTAGTGGCAAATAGTTATTGCCATATGATAGGGTTTGTTTGTTTGTCAGTTTCCTCATTGAACCAACAGCTCACTAAAGGCTTAAGGCTGTCAGCTTACTTTCAATTGACTTACTGTTTTGCTGTCAACCTCAAATGAGGGATAATCTTGTCCATCAATCATGTGCTAAAGCTTTCAGTATTCTTGGATTGCCTATATACTGCTTGTGCCCTAATACTTGCGTACAGCCTGATATTTATTTGTCTCATAAGAAAATTCTTGAGGCTCTCAAAATTAAATACCGGTAACTATGATGAAAATAGTGTGTCAGGGAGGGGGAGAGAGAGATGAAGTGTCTTAAATGAGTCTAATTGGCAAAAAGCAGACTTTTTTTAATGTAATGAGAGATGAATGGTGAAGGAGACATTCAGCTTTCCACAACTTAGTTGTGACATTAATTGATGTCAAGTTATGAATTCCTAACGGCTTACGCCAAAAGGCCAACTACTTGACTCAGAGTGAGACATAATATTTTTGCACTGAACTGTGTCTGTATTTGACCAATTTGGTTATTAGGCCTGAAACACAGTCATTTCCCCAGAGTTGCTTTGAACTTTCCACCGAGACAGACCTGACAAACCTTGTTATTGTAGCATTTCTCTTGTGAATACTTCAGAAACCTATTTTGTTATTCTTTCTGAGAAATCAGCTGCTGATTTTCAGTGACGCGAAACGGCTGGTGCAGGAGGGCGTTACTTGGTATGGTATTTTACAGACTCGTAAAGCGCTTTTACCGTGAATCACGAGGTTTGAATAAACTAAAGCTTTCAGTTTCTTCCTGCCCTAAAATATCGTTCAAAGGAGAGCAAGGGACCTGACAAATCGTAAACAGCAACAGATTTCGTTTTCTTTCAGTAGAAGAAATTTGTTGTAAATATATTTAAACAAAGTGTGCTTAATTTTATTACAGATTTGTCAGGCTGTCATACCGCTCTCTACTAATCACGAATTAAAAGTATCGCAAACAGGAACTTAAACTGAATTATTAAAAATTCTTCGGACCCGCTGTCATAATTTACGATACTGGTAGCCGGCCTTTTTACCTCTTTCGTATGAAAATGTCGGAGAGAGCAAGAGATCCTCAAACCTTCTTATTATTAGCTTGGAACAGGATAAAGTTTGGGACTAACCTTTTGAGTGAGTCAACAGCTCTAAAATAGCCCTGCTAGAAGTAGATTCAGTAGTTTCTCGATCAATTCACAACACTCCTCACGATGCGTCGATGTGTAGGTTTAAATATGTAGAAGTCTTGAAACGCTTTGTCCCTTTGTGCGCTTACCAATCAAGAAATAAGCTGTAACAAACTCAAATAGGCGTTGTTCGGTGAACCCCATTGTTAATAGTTTCCTCAAGGAGACGTTTTATTGTCGTCCGGTTTCGTTTTCTTTCCTGAAATGTCTCACGCACTACGGCTGTGTTGCACGGTAAGGGGTTTGTCCCGTCATTTCCGTTTTCAATCATCAATCAAAACTGCACTCAAAATTACTTCATGTAACAGTAGTTAAAGGTCGTGAATGATCGGAATGCTTCCTAATTTTAAGACCTATTGTGTAGAGTTTTCTTCGGCACTACCCGTCTTTTCACAGGGAAATTTTCTTGAGAAGTGACACAATATATTGTCTTGGAGAAAGGTTGCTTTATGGTTCGATTCCGGGAAATGGGAATAATCTAATTGAATAATCTAATTGTTTTCAGGTTATGCGAGGTTATATTTAGCTGAAGGTGCTTTACGTCAAATTGACGTTTGTCATTGTTCTAGGTTAATGAGTATTTAGATGTCAGTAGTTCTGAGTAACACTTTAGCCACCACAGCATTTACTTATAAATGTTGTGGATGATGGTTTACCTTTGCGAAATAAATATCAAATCAAGTGGAATAATTCAAATAGACCTTGAGTCAGTAAGTACTTTTGATAAAACTCAAGCAGTCAGTTACGAGGTTAGCGTTACAAGCGGAAAAAATCAATTCAATTCAGGCACTGAATTCTGGGAAAGAGAACAAAGAAACTTTTTTCCCTTTTAGTTGCCGGCTTCCACGAACAATATCACGTACGAAATCCAATTTATCTGAGCCAGAGAACGAAAACTTCGATGGAAATTGAGTTTTCATGCACGACGTACATACTACCAAGAATCCTAGAAATGTAGAGCGTTACAAGTTTTAAATACTTAGAAGACGTGTAAAACAACTAAATGTTTTCTCGGTTTGTCTTCTTATTGTTCCGCCCTCACGACAGATGAATTGATCGGAAAGGTTTACGTAATACAAAAATTTTTAAGATTTTTACACAATTCGTTTCAGAGTACGTACTGTGCGTGCTATATCATGGCAGTGAAACAAGGATTGCAAGTAATAAATAACTCCATAGAATTACGCAAAATCGTGCTAAATAAGTATTGCAATAAAAAATTCAGACAGTGTCAAAAATAACGAGAGCATAGTTTCAAGTTAACCGTCTGTTGGGGCAGAAGTCTGTTTGGGTCTGGAGTGCGACCGCGACCACAAACACGAACACCGCTAACACGAGTTTCTGCGCGGCTTTCCACTTGAAAGATCGCATAGACCATCATCCATACCAGTGATATCTCATCGCTTCTTAGCAATGACACCGAGAAACAGTTCGGCTACATGATGAGATTAATAGAAGATGATATTTGAAGAGAAGAAAAACGGATGCCACAAAGATACGATAGCGTGAATGCATTTGATCCTATAGAAATGAGAATATGAAAATTGATTTTTTCACAACTTCAAACGACTTGAAGGCAAATTTCTGGTTGAAATACCATACAGTACAGTGTGGGAAAGCCAGTTGAAGTCAATAAGAGGGATATCTTACCCGATCCATTACATCATTTAGGACGAATAATTTACATTTTAGCAGAAAGCCATCCAAAGATCTTACCCCTTACCACCAGTGTCAAAAGAATCAAGGATTAGATGAAGGGGGGGGGACTAAAGGGTACAATTGACATTTCCCCTGGGGATTAGAAGTGTTCGTATGACTATGAATTTCTCTGGTCGTAGAAAAGTCAGACTTCGATTGACTTACAACCACAGGCCGAAATTTTTTTGAATTAAAATCCTTAACGAGACAAAAAATATTAACAACGAACAAATCAGTGGATATACTCATGGTTGCCAAAGGTTAGGAAAATGTCAGGAAAGAATAAATTACTTCCAGGTCAGGGAAAAGTCAGGGAATTTTTACTCTGAGTCGGGGAAAAAATACATCTTCAAAAGAAGTCAGGGAAAAGTTAAATTTCAAGTGATCTTGTGTTGGCCATCTAAGCCGTGTTCTCAGTGTAGATGATGTCACATTATGTTTTGTTATGTTATGTTACTTGTGCACATTGCTTAGTACAATTGACAGATTCCTGACCAGCAAATGATTTCCCTTCGTAATGCAAGTTCGGTTTGGCTTGTGAATGAAATCATAAATTTTCTTTTTCTTTTATTTTCATTGTTTTCTGTCATTCTAAACTCTTTGGTACATTTCACGGACATGAAAAGTGTTCGATTGGTAGAATATTGTTTAATTAAATTGAACTATAGGCTGATGTAGAGTTTCAGAGGAAATCAATCCTTTTTCCATGCACGTCAAAGAAAATTTATCGTTATTTCTCTTGTCCTCTTTGACTTGGCTCTTGTGTATTGACGAGGAAAGTTTTCAGCTGTGAGGGAGGACCATGCATTTGAAGAAAACAAGATTCTCATTTCAAAATAATTTCCCAATTAGCGAACATGAGCCTCGACCTCATGTACTCGATTGAGTTTAGCAGGTGCACCCTTGAATACATCAAACGTTAGTCTCTTCTTCGGGGGCGGCGCGTGACATCCCCTAGACAAGCTGCAAAGCAGACTTATCAAACGGTGGCCATTGCAAACCAATCAAGAAATTAATTCTTCGCACCTTCTGCCCTTAACTCGCCTTCTTTCGCTTGCGTAGTATTATATCGCCCTTTACTATTCCTGTACCCTCCCTCCCTTTCTCTTTTCTTTCTGTTGTTAGTTGAAGTAGAAATTGAATTCAGGTGTTGGAAAGTTTACATTTCTTTTATTTAAAGCTGCGTCATGCTTGTATTCTATTTTATTCTACCTTACAAACGGAGGGAAATAAATGTCTATCTCGGAGGCTTGAAAACGTCGAATTAACTCTTTAGTAGCTGGATTATTCTATCGAATCTGCTGAGTGTGTTACAAAACATGGCTAACATATGCCTCTAAAGATTATGATAAAATGGCAAAGTGGGGAAAAGCCGTGATCTTTATTGGGCTTAGAAGTCAGTTTTATTCACAAGGGAGTTACTCAACTTGAACAACTCTTTTTAAAATAAACAGAGCTTGAGGGTTGGGATAGTCGAGGTCAGCATTTTTCACCAATGTTGCTTTTCCAGTGTGATCGCAACCCAGGTATAGGTTCTTATCGTTCTTGTTTTGGAACATGGTGTAACTCCAGTAGTAAAGGGGCAAAAAGATACATTTATCGTCGAGTGGCACTCCAATTTGTACCTCCTGTTAAGGTAGAAAACTAGCAAATCCAACCTTATTCTCTGTTTTTTTAAGTTAGACTTTTACTAATCATAGAGATGACAGAAAAAGTATCTACAAAGATTGTAGCACAATGTCAGTCGGTCGGTGAGTCAGCTAGTAAGTCAGTCAGTCAGTCAATCGGTCATTCCGTTAGTCAGTCGATTGGTTATTCAGGCAGTTGGCTGTTCAGTCGGTCAGTCGGTCAGTCAGTCAGTCGGTCAGTCAGTGGGTCATTCATTCAGTCGGTCATTCAGTTAGTCAGTCGGTTGGTCGGTCGGTCAATCTTTAGAAACAGGACGTAAGGTGCTAAGGGAACTGTAGTGTTCGTCGATGGGGTGGGAGTATCATATGAGTTGATAATGTGAATTGGCCCCGTAAAGAGTTCTTAAACTTAAAGCTGTTACTTACTGTGGAGGTAATGTCCTGTCCTTCTGCATTTCCAGTCAGTACATAGTCCTTTCTATTTGAACTATTTTTAAACTGAAGCGCCACGTAGAAGGTCAAATTTCTTGTTTCATCAATAGCTTTCATAACAGCTAAAGGAAGTGAAGAAAAAAACATTTGTAATGACCAACTGTTTGCTGACATGGATAGGATTCAATGGATTACTTGAGCATGTACATGTGTTAAGTCAAAGGGGAGTTTAGTTAAACAGGCCGAGGAATGTCAGACTATAGTAATGAAGATGACAGTAATGATAGAAATGATGTAACAATGTCAATGGTAATTATTATAATGAGAATGATGTAGATAGGGAAAATTAAAACGACGACGAGAACGGAGACAGTGACGATGATGACGACTATGGTAATGGTGATGGTGATGATGATGATGATTTTCCTAATCATGTCCTTGTTCTTGCTAAAAAAGTCGAGACGTCAAACTTACTGTTAATTCCTCCGTTGAAATTTCCTTTACAATTCACTATATTAGTCTGCGAATCACGTTCAATGCAACCGTCGTTTATCTTGCTGACTGGGCTCCAAAGTTGGTATGTGATATTTTTTTTGATTGGATGAGGCCTTAAAAACATCGGCGAACCCGGCCCCACATAATTTATTGGAAACCATGAATACATCACGTGACAATGGGGCCACAATTGGGGCCACTGCTGGGGTTCCATGTCTTGTTGAATCTCAGCGGAAGACATTTGTGCAGCCTAGGGAGGAATTTGGCAAAATATTTTTAATCAGTGCTTCAAGATACGAAAAAAATGACCTATTGAACGCTTATCAAGGTACTTTTAAACCTTTATTGCTCAGATTAATATGTGAAGCCGACGTTAAAAAATATTAATAGTATATCAATCATTTGCCATCTGTAACCGTCTCTATTTTATCCAAGGAAATAAAAGACTTTTTAGTCACTTTCTGTCAGTATCACACTATCTTAACGCGTTATTTACTGATTGAGAGATAATACATGAGATACACCCAGAAAAGAGATGAGAATCCAAAATTATTGGATCAAAACTGGAAATTATACATTGGATTTTGCTACGCCGAGACAAAAATATCTCGGCATTCCTAGGGTAGATCAAACGCACTTCACTAATCCTTGTGTATTATATTTATCAGTGAATGAGCTAAATGTGTTCAATACAAATAAATAATAACAGGTTCGCACTCATTCATGAGCAAATTGACGGTCTGATGGGTCATGGATGGTTTTTTTGCCGTTCATGCCTGTTTTGACACAGTTTTCTTGATGTTAGTTATTTTCCTTCTTACTTTAAGTACATTTACTGCATGTTTATCGTCGATAAAATAATATGTACTTACTGACTTCATAGGAGAGACGTAAGGGTAAATATTTGGCTGAGGTCATGAAGAATCAAATATTCTCTCGTTTTGCCTGGACCTAACTCGTTCAATATCATGCGGCCGCCACGTTATGTCTTTTTTCATTTGTTTCCTGCCTTTTGCATCGTGCATCGTGCATTGCCGTACGTGCGTAATTTGTAGGACCCTCCCGCACAATCTCGTACGGCCCTCTTACGGGGATTTTTTAAAATCTTTCAATAAAAGCCTTTGGACGCGCAGATGTTTCCGAAAAGATGAATCAAGTTAAAGGAACGTCAATTTCAGGTCTTCTGACACAATGTTGCTTCACTAGAACATCTCATGAGGTACCCTGCAAATGAGCAGTATTTTATTTATTTATTTTTTAACTTTCCATGCCTATAGGCTCCTGTTTCTGGCTATTCGGTCGTACTTAGGTGAGATTAAGGACATTACTGGAAAACGTGTATACCTTGTTCTCGTTCTTTAGAATGACTATGGCTTTCAGCTTGTCATTTTCTTCCAACCATAGGTCATGTTTGACTTCCACATATTCATTGAAGTTATGATCAAATTTCTGAAATTTAACATTCCCTGGAGCAACATCTTCTGAGAGAATATCAGAGAAGGCCCTTAAGAAATGATGACGAAAGGTTTTCAAATCGTCTCCCTTCTTAAAGCGTATAGTGCGCTTAGATTCCCCAAAGGTCACTAGAGCTTCAAGTTTACTCTCCTTTCCATTGCTCAATTTCCTGTGAGGCAAAAAAAGTTTGTTTGAAAAGTTTGGTAAGATAATTGTCAGTAGCGTAAGACTTTCGCGTACCCCAGTCCTATTCAGATAACCACTTTCGTTGAATTTCTCTTATTGAAAAGAAGTGACATGGAAAGGAGATGAAAGGAATATGAAAAAAGGGTATGATTGCAGATACATGCAAACCGTTACACGGGTATGATCACGCAATCTCCATCCCAAGGATCGTTCACCATCCGTCGCCGTGTTTTAGAACCAAAACAATGAAAGGTCAGCCACATTTAAGGAAAAAATTTCGAGGGGAACTGATCTTTTTAATTAATTGCTAATCGCAAATCATAACTTTGCAGTGCGCCTATCGAGCTATCCAGTTATACATTCTGAAGAAATGTGTTGGGACTCTTATGCAGTGCAACCGCATAAGAGTCCCAAGGTAAGAAAGATAGCTTGTAGTTGTCGAAGTCGGATCTAAAGATTACATGGATGTGTGTGACTAAACTTGGCAATTTGTACGACAGTGTCTCTCTTATCTCCATACTGTTGTGAAACCATTCCCAACTTAAGTTTTTGGACACAGGAACTGCTGGCGGAGACTAAGTCCTTGTATTGGTTTCAACCTTGAATTGAGCCTGCTGAACAGGAAACTTAATTTTTTTACGATCTCTTAAAGACGCCAAAGTGAAACACGTTTTGTTCTAAGAGTGAGTTAATCATTAGAGACATTAGGCATATTCGAGACATTCAACAGAACCTTTTCAACGAACAATCCTTCTTCTAAGACTCCCTCCCCTCCTCCCCCCTTCCCCCCGTACGCGAATCAAAAGAAATAAAGAAATAGGGACCTTAATATACCCCGATTCCGTTAGACGGCTTTTACCGGTAGCCGTACGCGTGAAATGTGGCGGGAAGATCAACTCAAGTAACCCGGACTAAACATGGGAGGACTGGGAATAACTTCTTGACTTTTGGTAAACATGGCGGCTTTTTGGCCACGTAAGTTTGATAAAGTTCACAAAAATAGTTGGTACAATATTGCCTGCCAAAGAAATTTTTCGACTTCGAACCAGTCTCCACCATTCGTTGCTTCCAATGACCAGTCAGCTGGTTTTCGGTAAATGTTTCTTGGTATAGCACCGATTAGGCAGCACAAATTAACTTACACTTTCGCTCTTTTGACTTTTACACTTTTCTGAACGTCTTTTGCTGGTCTTCTCAGCTTCCCCGTCTTTCCCGTAAGTAACCACGCGTTAAATGCCATCTACCCTGGATAAACGGCTAGGTTATCTTGTAGCGAGATGATGTCATTGCCAAATATGGTCAAATATGGCGCCCTACCCGTACCCGGTGCGGGTCGGGGTATCTTAAGGCTTTGTTTTGTTTAGAATCACGGGTTTTAGTTTCTTAATCATCTTGGATACGAGAAAGAATGTTTGAAGATCAGTATTATTTTTGAGCCTAATCAGGAGCCCATCATGGCTCCTGGCTTAATACAATAGCAGGATTTTTCTTATTTTCCGCCAGAAAGATTATTTATAGCCACTTGATTTACCTCTTCAGAACCGGAATTCCATCGTGGTGACGCAATGATTTGTTTCCATATAGGGTTCCTAAGGCCCTGGCACCCTGAAACACCCAAGATTTCCGTGTAATAACTGCCATACTACTGTGGAAGTTTCAGAAGAACTGTCGGTAACAAATCATATAGCGATACCAAATAAGCACATCTGATCAATGATAATAATTATGGTAAAATTCGCCTAAAAGACACTCCAGATACATTTATTTCTACAACAGACCTTGAATCCAGTGTAACCAATAGTTTACAACGACTTGCACGACGTTGATGCCTTATTTATGGGAGTGTTGTGGTAAATAAGCAGTTACGCGACAAAAAAAATTATAGCGAAACTTGCAGAGCGTGGACAATTAGAACGTGAAAGTTAACATTTACACTTTGAAAACCAGAGAAGCGAATTTTACGAAACACTTGCTGCCATCCCACTCTGCCCGCCGGGTTTTTTCGGTGACAGTTTTTCTTAGAGGTGGGTTAAAGCTTACTTAAGGTTATATTAATTTCTTTCGCTTAAAGAAAAGGAAATCACATGCGGTAAGCCCTCAGACCTCAGACAACGAGATTCATTACGGTTCGTTGAGCTGATCCTCTTATGCAACCTGGTTGAATCTCGCTCGTAAGAAAAACTCACGAGAAAGACGAACTGACGCTGGAAGAGCTTGAAGACCACAAGGAAAAGTTAACGGTAAGTATGATTCCCCTCAATCAATAAAACATCGCCATCTTTAACTCGGGTTTATCTTTCTTTTAAAGGGAACCGGTTAGACATTACTGATTTGTCTCACTTTCCTTTATTCCCTATATAAACACGAGGAGAAACTGGACAGAAATTATAACCTGTGTTAAGGTAGCCTTCAGAATAAGCGTCATTTTCTGCTTTTTTAGACGAGTGGAGTCACACACGAGAAGAAGGGCGCGAGTCTCACCCTTCGAGCGCGTATCGCTCCTCGTGTCTCACTTGATCGTGCATAATGGAGCACCGGAGAAATAAAGAACAGTTTCTGAGGCCGCATAAGTTTTTGCATTCGTTTTCAGCTCCTTCTCACTTGGTGCATGGTATACCCCACACGTACACTTCGTAATAATTACGAAGTTATGTTTATACGAAGTTATGGTTGTACGAAGCTCTCAACCGCCTCATGGATAAAATAATGACTGATAACACTAACACTGAGATCTTTACGCAAAAATGTCCAATCCCAACTTAAATCTGACGTGTGTAATGGTAGCTGGAAGAAGACGTTTTGCAATGTTTGTTAGCGCATATGTGTACTTACTCTTCTTTATTCGCTGTTTTCCGGGATACTCTAACAAGCGAGGTCGGTCGGGCACAGCGCATTCTGAAATACGAGTTGGTCTGCTACGTTTAAATAGCTGTAGTTGTAAATAACTTGACGGGAAGCTATTGACCCATTTCTGACCCAATTTCCGACGCCGACATTGCTCGCGTGCTTATTGATTTGTCATGGAAACAGTTGGGCCCCAACAGAAGTTTTCTAGTTTGCGGAAATATCGGAAAGCGATGTACTGTCACGGAACTTTTGTTCCAATATTCATATTTTCTTTCCTTGAGCAGTGCCACAGCGAATACTTCTTTCATGTGAAAGTGCCAGAGAGATAACAGATCCTCAAACCTTATTATTATCTTAGAACCGGATAAAGTTTGAGATTAACGTTTTGAATGAGTCACCAGCTTTAATTAAAAACAGCCCTGTTAGAAGTAGATTCAGTGGTTTCTCGGTCAATCCACAACACTCCTCACGATGCGTTGAAATGTATGTTTAAATATGTAGAAGTCTTGAAACGCTTTGTCCCTTTGTGCGCTTACCAATCAAGAAATAAGCAGTAACAAACTCAAATAAGCGTTGTTCGCTGAACCCCATTGTTAATATTTTCCTTGTCGTCCGGTTTCCTTTTCTTTCCTGAAAATGCCTTATGCGTTACAGCTGTGTTGCACGGTCCGGGGTTTGTCTCTCAGAACTGTATTCATTTTTACCTCATGTAAATACAGTAGTTAGAGGTCGTGAATAATTGAAATGCTTCCCTCTTTTGTATAGAGTTTTCTTCGGCACAACCCGTCTTTTCACCGGGAAATTTTATTGAGAGGTAACAAAATATACTGTCTTGGAGAAGGGTTGCTTTATAGTTCGATTTCGGGTAAGATAACACAAGGGAATATTCCAATCTTTTTAAGGTTATGCGGGGTCATATTTAGCTGTAGGTGATTTACGTCAAATTTTACGTTGATGAGTGTTTAGATGTCAGTACATTCACCGAATGGTTACTTATAAATGTTGTGGATGATCACTAACTTTTGCGAAATAGATATCAAATTTAGTGGGATAAATCAAATAAACATTGAAGCAGTAAGTAAGTACTGTATTGTCTTATTATTGTTCCGCACTCACGACAGATGAATTGACCGGAAAGGTCTACGTATTGCAAAAATTGTTGAGATTTTTACAGAATTCGTCCAAGATTATGTACTGTAAACAAGGATTGCAAGTAATAAATAACTCCATAGAATCACGCAAAATTATGCTAATGAAGTAATGCAATAAAAAAAATCAGACAGAGTCATAAATAACGAGAGCATAGTTTCAAGTTAACCGTCTGTTGGGGCAGAGGTCTGTTTGGATCTGGAGTGCGACTGCGACCACAAACGCGAACACCGCTAACGCGAGTTTCTGCGCGGCTCTCCAGTGGAAAGATCGAGCAAACCATCATTTATACCAGTGATATCTCTCTCTTCTTCGAAATAACACCGAGAAACAGTTGGACTACATGATGGGATTGATAGAAGATGATATTTGAAGAGAAGACAAACAGATGCCACAAAGATACGATAGGGAGTAAATGCATTTGATCCTATAGAAATGAAAATATGAAAATTGATTTTTTCACAACTTCAAACGACTTGAAGGTAAATTTATGGTTGAAATACCAGTACAGTGTGGGAAAGCCAGTTGAAGTCAATAAGAGGGATGTCTTACCCGATCCATTACATCATTTAGGACGAATAATTTGCATTTTAGCAGAAAGCCATCCAAAGATCCTACCCCTTACCACCAGTGTCAAAAGAATCAAGGATTAGATGAAGGGGGAGGGGGGAGGACTAAAGGGTACAAGTGACATTCCCCCTGGGGATTAGAAGTGTTCGTATGACTATGAATTTCTCTGGTCGTAGAAAAGTCAGACTTCGATTGACTTACAACCACAGGCCGAAATTGTTTTGGAGTAAAATCCTTAACGAGATAAAAAAATATTTACACTGAACAAATCAGTGGATATACTCATGGTTGCCATAGGTTAGGGAAATGTCAGAAAATAATAAATTACTTCCAGGTCAGGGAAAAGTCAGGGAATTTTACTCTGAGTCGGGGAAAAATACATCTTCAAAAGAAATCAGGGAAATTTAAATTTCAAGTAATCTTGTGTTGGCCTTCTAAGCCGTGTTCTTAGTGTAGATGATGTCACATTACTTTTTGTTATGTTATGTTACTTGTACACATTGCTTAGTACAGTTGACAGATTCCTGACCAGCAAATCATTTCCCTGCAAGTTCGGTTTGGCTTGTGAATGAAATCATAAATTTTCTTTTCTTTTTATTTCCATTGTTTTCTATCATTTTAAACTCTTTGGTACATTTCACGGACATGAAAAGTGTTCGATGGGAGAATATTGTTTAATTAAATTGAACGATAGACTGATGTAGAATTTCAGAGGAAATCAATCCTTTTTCCACGCACATCAAAGAAAATTTATCGTCATTTCTCTTGTCCTCTTTGACTTGGCTCCTGTGTATTGACGAGGAAAGTTTTCAGCTGTGAGGGAGGACCATGCATTTGAAGAAAACAAGATTCTCATTTCAAAATAATTTCCCAATTAGCGAACATGAGCCTCGACCTCATGTACTCGATCGAGTTTAACAGGTGCACCCTTGAGTACATCAAACGTTAGTCTCTTCTTTTTGGAGGCGGCGCGTGACATCCCCTAGACAAGCTGCAAAGCAGACTTACTAGTGATAGGTGGCCATTGCAGACTAATCTTCAAATTAACTCTTCGCACCTTCTACCTTTAACTCGCCTTTTTTCCCCTTGCGTAGTTTTATATCGCCCTTTTCTTTTCCTGTATCCCCCTCCCCTTTCTCTTTTCTTTCTGTTGTTATTTGAAGTAGAAATTGAATTCAAGTGTTGGAAAGTTTTCATTTACATTTCTTTTATTTAAAGCTGCGTCATGCTTGTATTCTACCTTATTCTACCTTACAAACGGAGGGAAATGAACGCCTATCTCGGAGGCTTGAAAACGTCGAATTAACTCTTTATTCCATCGAATCTGATGAGTCTGTTACAAAACAGAGCTAACATATGCCTCTAAAGATTATGTTAAAATGGCAAAGTGGGGAAAAGTCGTGATCTTTATTGGGCTCAGAAGCCAGTTTTATTCACAAGGGAGTTACTGAACTTGAACAACTCTTTTTAAAATAAACAGAGCTTGAGGGTTGGGATAGTCGAGGTCAGCATTTTTCACCAATGTTGCTTTTCCAGTGTGATCGCAACCCAGGTATAGGCTCTTATCTTTCTTGTTTTGGAACATGGTGTAACTCCAGTAGTAAAGTGGCTCAAAGATACGTTTATCGTCGAGTGACACTCCATTTTGTACCTCCTGTTAAGGTAGAAAACTAGCAAATCCAACCTTATTCCCTTTTTTTATAGTTAGACTCTTACTGAGATGACAGAAAAAGTAATCAAAACTTAAAGCGGAACCATTTTCCTTGTAAATTATTTGAAAATAAGTTATTAGTTTCAATATAAAACTTGGTTGTTACAAATAGGAAAATCAAGGCCCGGCGGAATACGAACCCGTGCCTTTAAGCATCTATCGATGTCAAAACATGTGTGGTTGTGACACGGATGTTAGTAACGTAGAGTTAAGCTGGGTCCAAACATTAAGATGAAATAATTACAACAGACCAACTTTCATTGATGAGATCGCAGCACAATCTCAGTCAGACAGTCAGTCAGTCGATCAGCCAGTCAGTCAGTCAGTCAGTTGGTCAGTCACTCAGTCAGTCAATCGGTCATTCAGTTAGTCGATCAGTCATTCAGTCAATCAGTAAGTCAGTCAGTTGGTCAGTCGGTCGGTCGGTTGGTCACTCAGTTATTCAGTTAGTAAGTCATTCAGTCAGTCGGTCAGTCAGTCAGTCAGTCAGTCAGTCAGTCGGTCAGTCAGTTAGTTAGTCAGTCAATCAGTCAGTCAGTCAGTCAGCCAGTCGGTCATTCAGTCAGTCCGTCATTCTGTTAGTCAGTCAGTCGGTTGGTTGGTTGGTCAGTCAGTCAGTCAGTGGGTCATTCAGTCGGTTGGTCATTCAGTTAGTCAGTCAGTCGGTTGGTCGGTCAGTCTATCTTTAGAATCAAGGACGTAAGTTGCTAAACAACTGTGTTGTTCGTCGATGGGGTGGGAGTATTACAAGATAATTTGGATTTATCAACTGAGTTGATAATGTGAATTGGCTACCGTAAAGAGTTAAACTTAAAGCTGTTACTTACTGTGGAGGTAATATCCTCTCCTTCTGCATTTCCAGTCAGTGCATAATCCTTACCATTTGAACTATCTTTAAACTGAAGCGCCACGTAGAAGGTCAAATTGCTTGTTTCATCAATAGCTTTCATAACAGCTAAAGTAAGTGAAGAAAAAAACAATTGTAATGACCAACTGTTTGTAGACATGGACAGGGTTCAATGGATTACTTGAGCATGTACATGTGTTAAGTCAGAGGAGAATTAAGTTAAACAGGCCGAGCAATGACAGACTATAGTAATGAAGATGACAGCAAAAATAGAAATGATGTAATAATGTTAATGATAATTATTATAATGAGAATGATCTAGATAGGGCAATTAAAGTGACGACGAGAACGGAGACGATGACGACGACGATGTTAATGGTGATGATGATGATGATGATTTCCAAGTTATTTCTTTTTTCCTGCTTAACGTCAAACTTACTGTTAATTCCATCGTTGAAATTCCCTTTACAATTTACTATATTATTGTGCGAATCACGTTCAATGCAACCATCGTTTATCTTGCTGACTGGGCTCCAAAGTTGGTATATAGTATTTATTTTGATTGGATGAAGCCTTGGAAACATCGGCGAACCCGGCCCTAAATTTTGTATTGGAAGCCATGGATACACAACGAGACAATGGGGCCACAATCGGGGCCACCGTTGGAGTTCCATGTCTTGTTGAATCTCAGCGGAAGATATTTGTGCAGCCTAGGGAGGAATGTGGCAAAATATTTTAATTAATGCTTAAAGATACGAAAAAATGACCTACTGACCGATTATTAAGGTACTTTTAAAGCTTAACTGCTCAGATAAATATGTGAAGCCAACGTACAACAAACATCAATAGTATGCCAATCATTTGCCATCTGTAACCGTCTCTATTTTATCCAAGGAAATGAAAGACCTTTTAGTGACGTTCTGTCTGTATCACACTATCTTCACGCATTATTTACTGATTGAGAGATAATACACGAGATAAACCCAGAGAGAGATGAGAATCCGAAATTACTGGATCAAAACTGGAAATTATTCCTAATGTAGATCGAACGCATTTCACTAATCCTTGTGTATTATATTTATCAGTGAATGAGCTGAATGTGTTTCATATGGATAAATAATAACAGGTTCGCACTCATTCATGAGGAAATTGACGGTCTGATTGGACATGGAGGGTTTTTTTACCGTTCATGCCTATTTTGACATAATCACATAGTTTACTTGTTTCTTTATATTATTATTATTGTGATATGCTTTTTTTGCACACCGCATTTGTAGACAGAAAGTACCTGTTTTAGCGATTTTAATGTTACGGCTCGGATTTTGATGTCATTGTCGAGCGTTGCTTCTAAACGAAGTTCCACAAAGTCTTGAAAGTCCCCAAGATACTCTTGAAAAGTGACATGCTCAGGAGCAATATCATCCGATAACACATCAGAGAAGGTTTGGAGGAAATGAGGGCGCAATTTATAAACTTCTCCTCCTTTCTGAAAGGAAATAATCCGCTTGATTTCGCCATGAGTCACATGGATTCTTATCATCTTATCGTGTGAGTTCTTAGGCATCTCGTAATTTCTGTAAAGGGAAGAGTTTGAAAAAGGTTTTAAACTCTCAATTTACTCATGTTTTCATCTTTGCTGGACCTTTGGGTGAGGATAGCATTGCACTCTTCTTTAGTAGCGTTATGTTGTACATCTGCCAGCAATGGATTTAGTTCCTGTAACTGTCAAATCGAGTTGCTAATACCAAGCGATATTAATTAACTAATAGCTATTAGTCGATATCGATTAGGTAACCTGTGATTTCAATTGTCTTAAATCTCAAACACTTAATGCGTGTTCTATCGTGAGATTGATCACAACAGCTAAACATAAGCATGCCATGCATGCAAGAGTTACTTTTTGGGGGGGTGGGTGGATTACTTGAAACATTGTGAGTGATGCCTACATTCTAACAAAAGGAAAGAAGAGTATTAACGCGGAAAAGAACGAAAATGTCTAATTAACTCGCACACAGGTATTTCGTGGTAGATTGTGTGTGTTGTGCGAATAGCTGTAACCAAAAATAAAGTGTATTGGTGCCACGGATACCTGTTAGTACAAAACGCAGACCGGATACAAAATGTAGACTAGGTACAAAATGTAGACTACAGAGTGGGTACAAAATGCAGACTGAGAATCTGTAGAGTGTTTTCGTCTAGTTCGTGATAATATGTCATCTTACAACTTACCGAGCGTCACGCAATCGCTTTTCCGCGATCAGCCTTCACGATTATTTGCATTATTTTGGAATATTCCTGGCCCATTTCTTGATAAAAATCGATCGTAATATAATTTTAAGCCTTCACATAGTCTTCTCACTTTGCACGCTTATACCGTAGGTAATCTGATATCTTTCATCTGTCCAGTAGTATCGCATTTCTAATAAAGCGCGGTAAAGTACAAGTTAAAAACACAGAAAATCCGACATTTCTCATTCTAAAAGATGATTCCATTTTACGAACCGCTCCTCCTTATCTCCCATTACTTCGTTGAAATTTTAACACCTCTTAGCAATTTTAAAGATTATTTCTTTTTTGGGTGTGACATTGTTGTGTGTATCGTAAAAAGTGGCGCTTTACTGACTGTTCGCGCGTGACTGTCGATCGTGCATGACGGAGCACTGGAGAAATAAAGAACAGTTTCTAGGGCCGCATAAGTTTTTGCGTTCGTTTTCAGCTTCTTCTCACTTGTTGAATGGTAAACCAACAAGCGAGCGAACACCTCGTAATAATTACGAAGTTATGTATATATGAAGCTCTCAACCGCTTCATGGAAAAGTAATGACTGATAACACTAAATAATAACTGAGAACACTGAAATGTTTACTGTAGAAATGTCAAATCCTAACTTAAATCTGACGTGGAAGAAGACGTTGTGCAATGTTTGTTAACGCATACGTATACTTACTCTTCTTTACTTGCTGGTCTCCGGGATCCTTTGGCAAGCGAGGTTTCAATCTGAAATACGTGTTGGTATGGTTTAAATAGCTGTAGTTATATATAACTTGACTGGAAGCTATTGACCCATTTCTGACCCCATTTCCGACGCCGACATTGCTCGCGTGCGTGTTGATTTGTCATGGAAACAGTTGGGCTTCAACGGAAGTTCCGTGTCAGTATATCGCTTTCCTAGAAAAACCGGAAAGCGATGTACTGACACGGAACTTTCATTCCAATATTCACATTTGCTTTCCTTGAGCAGTGTCACAGCGAATACTCCTCATTATGACGTCTTTGATTTGTACAATACTGCTCGATTTTGAGAGTAGTATCTAGGTAAAGTATCTGCAGGATCTAGTATCTACAGAAAACTGCATTTGCCATAATATATTTGGTTTTACTCCTTCAAACTGTTGCCACCTTTTTCCATCTTCTCTCCATATGGCTATCGCGGTTGATTATATTGCAGATATTGACCGGCAGAGCACATTCCACTCGCTTTACGTGAAGAAAAGATATGCTCGAAGGCGATCATGAGCTTTCAGTATATGACTGTGTATTGATAACACATCAGTGAAAATGCGGAGGAAATCACTAAATATTCTCTCTACATCCCGTTTTGTGGCGATATGAAAAATATACAATAAAAAATTTTCAACATGTACTGATCGAAGTAAAGATCATTTTTCTGTTCTTAACTTTCAGCCCTTTGTCGGTAATTTTATAAGAGAAATATAGAGGTAAGGGAACTCGTGTTTACATTGCAATATTTCTTGATGCAATTAATACATTTCGGAATTTTAACACTGTCTTCCTGTTTACCCCCTTTTTTTCGGTTAGACTAAATTTTCCAATCGAAAGGATTGAAAGATTTTGTAACCAGGAACTTCTCTCTCGATGACGCACTCTAGTAATTAGTAAGAGTTAAGAATGAGTTGAGACCCTCCCCTCTCCACCCGAAAAAAAAAAACAGCCTTAATGGAAGATGTCTATCTAACAGAGGTCGACTTGTCTTTATCAAAAGCCAGGAGAAATCAGCTTTCTAAAACAACAGATAATTTATTGCATGATAACGCCCTGATTTACATACCATCAAGGAACTTCTAAAGGTAGAAAACAATTTAGTAATTAATATAATGAATATAAATGAATAATAGACTAATTTAAAGAAAAGATCAAAATGCAGATGTATGAACCATGATTTCATTCATTTGTTTTGAAACTAAACTAAATCAGAAGCTAATCAAGAAAGCCCTATAGGAGGAGGCCTCAAACTTGCGAAAGTAGCCGGCAACCTCACTTCCTGTCAACAATGCAAATGATTAAATGTAGAAATAGGACTTCGGGAAACTTACTGCGGTTTCACTGCCTCCTTTTGAAAACCACTAGGGTGCATCTTGCTGAACTTAATTACAAGTACAATTGTCACTAAGATTTGATACATTTTTCGCTTACAAAAGACTTGTTATAACTTGGTTAAAGAAATAAAAACGTAATCGCTCATGGCTTATTCTCAATATCATCTTGGGTGACAATGAACAGAGCTTGTGGAACTGGGTAATGAACACTGGACATGCGCACCAGGGTCACATTTTGGTTTTTCTCACAGCCGAGGTACAAATTTTCGTTCTCCGGTGCCATGCTCTTAAAAAGTGTGTAGCTCCAGTAATACTCAGGCGTAAACTCTGAATATTTTGTTGGACGCGGCTGAAAACAACGTTCATTAGAATATTAAACTATTTGCATCAGTAGAAAATATCAACCAACCATTTAGGGTATGTCAGAAGAAGAGATTATGAAAAAAAAATCTCTTGGTCAGAACTCCTCGCTCTCTAAAATGCTCTTAATGAGATCCGACAGAACATGTGGAAAAAAGACTACTTGGGGAACGGTGACCTGTCATAATTTATCATCTGGGGGGTATAGAGGAGTTTTGTGTGATCCCCCCTTCAAGAAATCTCCCCCCAACCCCACCCCTTCTCTAAGTGATAAATAATGAGACCGATTCTTTAGCAATGTACCTTGACGAATACGAAGTTCAGTTGGCGAAAGTCAGGTATATCTTTGGACACTCATGAACTCGAGCCCGTCTAATTCTTGATTCTACCGGGCTTAATTTTTACAAAAGTTCGTTCCGGGCGACATGACTGTGGGCGAGATGACTTTCGAGCGACTTGACCGGTTACCGGCATAGGACCCCTCTCAGTGGAGTTAGCAGTTAAGGGATTAAAGCTTTTTTCTGAATGGATAATCAGATTTCATTTAAATTTAGTTTGAGGAGGAAAGTTACTTACCTCTGCAGTGATTGTCTCTCCTTCACCCTGTGATGTAATGTACATTTTCAATTCACCATATTTGAAATATATATGAAATAAGTCAAAACCAATTGCTTCAGCTTGCACAATCGCTGGAAAGGAACGTGACATTCAATTAGTGGTTGCTCCATTGAGTCGACAAACTCTTTTGCAACAGGTTCTAGTACCAGCCAAATATTTTGAAAAGAATACGGGCATTTTTATCTACTGAGAATTCAGACAAAAAGGGATACATACTTGCTATTCGTAACACCCGGCACTAGCTGTTTAAAGGGTGGATAACGTTAAAACCTATCCAAAGTACAGCGAATTATCCGTTGGATAGATTTATCCGTCCTTTGAAGAGCAGTACTTCTACCGCTTGAGAGCAAAAATTTTACAACTACTTACCGTCTGGGTTGTTTCCAAAACTACCATTTCCTTTTACCCGTGGTGTTCCAGTCGATACATCCAAACGAATCAAACCGTTACAGACTAGATTCCAGAAGCGGTAACGTACGTACTGCTTGATGGGATGAGGCTTTACCTCAGGGGGTAATGTTGATGATATGGGATACTGATAATCTGATACAGACACCTAGGGACAGTGAGTCACACAAGAATAGATATCAGCCCCAACACTCAGCCTAGAAATGTTAAAGAGGTGTTATTAAGCAAGGACCTATAACTATTGAACAGCAGTCGATTAGTTCCTCATAAATTTACATCTAAATCCTGCGCTTTGATTTAAATCACGGTTCCTTTTTTTCACCGGAAAGAAAAGGGCCTCAAAAGTTAGTTGTTGTTTGCTGACGTTAGCTTTAAGCAATGTGATGTACGTCCCATCGTTTTCTTTATGATGTTGATTATTTTCCGTCTTACTTTTAGTACATGTACTGTTTATCGTCGGTAAAATAATATATACTTGTTGACTTGATAGGAGAGACATACGTGTAAATATTTGGCTGAGGTCATGAAGAATCAAATATTTTCTCGTTTTGGCCGGACCTAACGTAGATCGAAAGTACTTCACTAATCTTGAATTAATCCTGAAGTACAGGTATTTTAGTTATTTAGTGAATGAGTTAAATGTGTTAAATACAGATAAATAATAACAGATTAGCACTCATTCATGAGTAAATTGACGGTTTCATCGGACATGGATAGTTTTTTTGCCGTTCATGCCTGTTTTGATATAGTCACATAATTTGCTTGTTTGTTTATTTAATCATTGTTATTGTGACATGCTTTTTTTGCACAATACATTTGTAGACAGAAAGTACCTTTTTCAGCGTTTTTAATGTTATGGCTCGGATTTTGATGTCATTGTCGAGCGTTGCATCTGAACGAAGTTCCACAAAGTCTTTAAAGTCCTCATGGAACTCTTGAAAAGTGACATGCTCAGGAGTAATATCACCCGATAACACATCAGAGAAGGCCAGGATGAAATGAGGGCGCAATTTATAAACTTCTCCTCCCTTCTGAAAGGAAATAATCCGCTTGATTTCGTCATAAGTCACATGGATTCTTATCATCTTATCATGTGATTTCTTAGACGTCTCGTGATTTCTGTAGAAGAGAAGAGTTTGAAAAGGGTTTTAAACTCTCAGTTTACTCATGTTTTCATCTTTGCTGGATCCTTTGGGTGTGGATAGCATTATATTTTTATTTAGTAGCGTTGTTGTTGCACTTACGTTGTACATCTGGTAGCAATGGATGTGGTTCTTGTAACTGTCATATCGAGTTGCTAATACCAATCGATATTAATTAATCAATAGCTATCAGTCGATATCGATTAATTGTCCCTTATCGATATAGGGTAAAATATGGACTAGACCATTGGACCATAGTCCAATAGTCCAAGAGTCCAAGAGTCTTGGACTATTGGACTATTTTTTTGGAACATTTTTTGGACCTGTTTTTAGACCAATTTTTGGACCATTTTTTGGAGTGGTTTTTCGACTGACTATTTTTTTGTCAGACCTTTTTTCGCTGGGACGCTGCGTTTCTTAATTTTTTTGTCATGCGAATGCGAAACTGGCACCTAAATACTGGACTAAAATTGTTATTGAAAATATCGCCAATTCCCGTTTTGGATCCATAACTGTTGGGTCACACGTGTGCCTTTTAAGTCGACTTGTGCCAGTGCTTCATGACACTCACTGGTTAGCATGAATAATCCACTAGCTGCTTCACGTTTCCCTTTGTGAATACAGTACATCATTACTAAATTTATCTACCTTCTTTTTGTCATTGATCTTATCACACCACAGAGGTCACGGAATTTCCGTTCTTTAGCATAGTATTCACAAGCGCTACTGCAAATTTAACGTTTACACCTTTACCATAAAAACACTGTTGGTAGTTTCGTACAAAGCAATCTTCCCTCTTTTCAGATATTCAGTTTTCCCCTATTAGATTCGTTCAGGCTCCAACGTTTTCGTGACTGCCAGCCTTCATATCAAATCGGAACAAACAGGTGAACTGCTAAATAAACACAAAAAAATTAAATCACTTGATCCTAGCCTTGTCAGTAACCCATACACGGCTTGCTAGGGTCCCAGGTAAATGCCCCCTTTCGGTTTCAGTTGCGTTTTATCTCCCCTTGGAGAGCGTAAGAAGTTTTTTGTTTTCTAGCAAGAGATTCTCAAAGATAACATTTATCGATTCATGCACGGCATGGCCTGAGGTATCGTGCTCTTAATTTACATGTCTAAAACTCAGAGCTTCTCTAATCCTTTGGTTTTGAAGGAAGGAAACACGTCATTTTCTATCGAAGAGAAGCAGCTGTGCAGAGATAAATGTTAAGCGGACCACAACTGGCCACATGGCACATGCAGTTTTGGGTTGAGTTTGACTTCTCTGTAAGTTCGTATTAAACTTATGTTTTGTGCCTTGGTTGGACATGGAATGTTTTAGCTCTTGAGAGTGACATAAGTTTCCAAGTACAAAATTTCCTACATACATTCCCAATATTCTTGTCTGTGAAAACCACTCCTTGTCTTTCTCGTCAAATTGTTTGGAGCTATTGTTCACTATTAAAAAAGCGAGTTCGTGAATATAATATAATAATTATATATTATTATATTATTACACTATAATTGCTAAAACGCAAATGGACTAAAATACAAGCTACTTAGTTACATCCCCTGTCTATCTGTTAAAGCTGTTAGGAGTGTAAATTGATGAGTTTTGAGTGGAATACCTTTCAATTCTTTCACTCGTTTTACTGGCTTCCTGTCCCTGTCACTGCTTGTGAACAACACCCTCCGTTAATTTTTCTTCGTGCATATGCACTTAATTTTGAACTGTCAATATTGTTATTTTAATCATTATGCAGTGTCACCCATGTGGTTTCATTATTACTTCTATAAAAAGGCCAAGACTTCCTGTGGCATGTAAAATTAGACTTTGGAATAGCCATAAAAAACAGTTTCTAACCATCTAACATAAAATCAAGTAAAAGTATTGTGCATTGAATATGGAGATATAAAGAATATTTTTTTATTTACGTAAACTGGATAGAATTATTCATACACTCATGTTTCATTGACGCAAATATCACAATGGACAACCTGCACAAACTTCCTGTGTCAATCTTGTTATTGAAGCTTTAAAGCCTCCGGTCCTCCTTTGTTCCCACAGGCCTGAAACTAAGAGGGTGCATCCACGAAAGTGTTTGTTTAGGCTGGATTTTCAGCGGGGGCGTCTCTCGTTTACCTTGCTCACAGCATGACTGTCGCACCAAAAATTTACATTATGCAGCAAAACTGTATGAATATCGTAAAATTTCCACGCCTTGTTGTAATGGTTCGTTTTACAACTAGTAGAAAAGATTACAATATTTTATTCAGCCTACTCGTGAACCATGGTAACCCAATCATATTTCTCTTCAGAAGTGCGGTTTCCTCTCATCATTCCCGACAAAATACATCATTGTGGGACAAATTAAATGTAGCATAACCGGAAGTTCAAAATCTTCCTTCCGAATTCCTGCTCAGAATTGGCCAAAGTATAAACGAGTGTGTAGGGATGTATTTCAATGCTAAGATGAACAAGGAGAGACAATTATCGTGGAAACTAGTTTTGTATAGTCATCCGTTCCACATTAGTTATTCACACTAGTTAATAGAGAGCCCTGGCCTTGTTAACCCTTACATACTTTTATCTTGTCTCTAGATCTGTTGTGTGTATCATCAATTTTTTCAAGTATTGAAGCATATTGTAAAATCAGAAAATTTCTACTTAAATTTTAGTGTTATAATTGTGAGTTGAATATGATATAGAGAGTGTTTCCTTTCTTTCGCGATCGGAAAGTGTTTCGTGAGATTTTAGTTTTCAGTAATAAGTTTTACTGCTATTAGCGTAAACCGCTTTTAAAATGAACCCGGTCAAATATCGATTTTTCTTGCTGTGTGACATTTAAACGTCTTTTGCAAAATTGGTTTCTGCGATAATCAACAAGTCCCGATTTCAGCATGTTCAGCCATAGGCGAACCAAGCTCTAGCTGTGAGATGATCATCGTGCGAAATAGGATTACATAAGAACGTAGTAAACCTAGAAATGGATAACTCGCCAAAATGGGTTATTTTCAACACAGTAAGCGATTATATTAAATTAAATTAAGTTAAATTAAATACATTTATATAGCGCCATCTTCCATTAATTGTCCATGGCACTTTACAATACTCTAAAAACCGTACAATACAATAAGGTTACAAACAAAAAGTAGAAAAACCAAAAAAAAAAAACAGCAGAAATCGCCAGAAACTACGACGGATACACAGGGCATGAGTAATTTTTATTGATTTTACGTGTAAAATATTCATATTTCGAAATATTTATCGTTGTAAATCGACCATATTTCGTTCCCCATACTATTCCTTATAACGTGTTCAAATTTTCAACGGTTCCTCCCGTAACTTAACACCGAGTCACACAACGCGTGACGCGTTCATGAATTCAGCGTTGGCTTTTTCTCGAGACGTGAGCTTGGGCTGCCTGTGTTCCCGTTTGTCTCATTTGATAGAGAGGGAAACATTAATGTTCTCATCAAGACAGTATTGCCTTGATTTTCTAATATTTACATGATAGACAGTAAATTTCACTTTTTACCCACATTTACTTCCAACCTTTTCAGTTGAACCAGAAAAAAAAAAAGATTTTGTTTAAAACACATGACATCATCCACCCTTGTCAAATGTAATAGCATGATCATTTCAATTGTAATGCCTTCTTATCCCAACGTTACTTTGTTTCTTTGCTACATTAGCGAATACTGAACTACTGCTCGTACTCTAAATATGACAATCAACCACAAAATTCCCTGTACCAGATAACATTAAATATAATCCAAAAATAATGTAAGTCATCTGTCAATTCACGAGTTTGCTCACAGAGCGCTTTGATTTACCTATCAGTTTCCATACCTGTAAGCTAATGGAAAATAAAATCGGTTATAGAAGAGAGTTGTGGTCGGTGATTGACTTTAAATCTCAATACATGTTATTCTTAAGTTCAGTTCCCTCACAACAAGTCACAGAGTTTTGTTCTTGGATTTCATCGTCAAGACCTTTCTGTTGCTTTGAGTTTTTAAAAGTTGTGATATCATAAACAATTGACAGGAGACCAACAGTCTGGCTGGAATGGTAAGATAAAAAGATAACTATCAGTATGGGTGGCTTGTGTCGACCTTTCGCTATCTAGATGTCATGCAACTTTTGTGATCCATTTTTAGAATCTTTGATGTATCCCAACGGGTGACACAGCCAGGCCGGCTGAATGAAATTGTCAATTGAAAACAGGAACTTTAAAGTTAAATGGGGAAGGGGGGAATTGTTATCGCACTAGCGTCTGTCTTAATCATGATGTAGGCTGATAAAACTTGAAATTCAATTGAAAGAGACATATATCACGTTCATCGAATTGTCATGGTTTCTTTAAGGAAGGAAGAGGACAAGGCTGACAATGATTGCAACGAACTTCCGCATTGAACTTCGGTTTTGAACATTTCGTTAAGTTATTTAAAGAGCACAAGCTGTGACGCCCCTTCCCTTTAAAACATTTCGCTTTTACGCCAGCCAGTTATATCAGCCCGTAATGGACTCATACGTGGTGCAGCTCGTAAGCCCAATATCATCATAGGCTTAAGATCTTAATTGTTGTTAAAATTTCATTTCTGGACGTAGGTTAAATTTACATGAGTAAGAAGGCTAATGTTAGGTATTCTCTGCAGATAAGCTAAGCTCGCTGGTTTTTCCTTGTCAAAAACAAATAAAGTGGAACTAGAAACCAATTATGGGCTAAACGATAATCGCATTGACTTCATCTCAACCATAAAACGACCGGAAATGACTACCCAAGTTCAAATGTTTTTGTAAGATTGTTTTCGTGACAAAGGATCCTCTTAGTTTTCAGACCTGTGAGAACAAAGGAGGACCGGAGGCCTTAAAGCTTCAATAACAAGATTGACACAGGAAGTTTGTGCAGGTTGTCCATTGTGATATTTACGTCAATGAAACATGAGTGTATGAATAATTCTATCCAGTTGACGTAAATAAAAAAATATTCTTTATATCTCCATATTCATTGCACAATACTTTTACTTGAATTTATGTTAGATGGTGAGAAACTGTTTTTTATGGCTATTCCAAAGTCTAATTTTACATGCCACAGGAAGTCTTGACCTTTTTTTAGAAGTAGTAATGAAATCCGCATAGCTGACCCTGCATAATGATTAAATTTTCAAATAATAGTATTGACTGTAACAAAATTAAGTGCATATGCTCGAAGAAAAATTAACAGAGGGTGTTGTTCACAAGCAGTGAGAGGCGCAGCCAGTAAAACGAGTGAAAGAACTGAAAGGTATTTCACACAAAACTCATCAATTTACACTCCTAACAGCTTTAACAGATAGACAGGGGATGTAACCTAGTAGTTTGTATTTTAGTCCATTTGTGTTTTAGCAATTATAGTGCTGGCATTCACGAACTCGCTTTTTTAATAGTGAACAATAGCCCCAAACAATTTGACGACAAAGCCTTCACAGACAAGAATATTGGGAATGTATATAGAAAATTTTGTACTTGGAAATTTATGTCGCTCTCAAGAGCTAAAACATTCCATGTCCAACCAAGGCACAAAAGATAAGTTTAATACGAACTTACAGAGAAGTCAAACTCAACCCAAAACCGCATGTACCATGTGGCCAGTTGTGGTCCGCTTAACATTTATCTCTGCGCAGCTGCTTCTCTTCGATAGAAAATGACGTGTTTCCTTCCTTCAAAACCAAAGGAATAGAGAAGCTCTGAGTTTTAGACATGTAAATTAAGAGCACGATACCTCAGGCCATGCCGTGCATGAATCAATAAATGTTATCTTTGAGAATCTCTTGCTAGAAAACAAAAAACTTCTTACGCTCTCCAAGGGGAGATAAAACGCAGCTGAAACCGAAAGGAGGCATTTACCTGGGACCCTAGCAAGCCGTGTATGGGTTACTGACAAGGCTAGGATCAAGTGATTTAATTTTTTTGTGTTTATTTAGCAGTTCACCTGTTTGTTGGATCGTTTGTTGTCCTATTTATTTGTTGTTTTGCGTTCTCCCGGAGAAACAAAAAGAAAAAGGAAGCATTGAAGAAACATTATCATGGCTTTCTTTGGTTTGTCATAGTAAATTTTTAATCCATTATTTAGAAATTTCTGTTCTTGAGGAAGTTATTGAATTGCCCCATCAGGATAAGCATTTTTCGACAGGTGCATCTTTTCATTAACATTTCAATCGTATTTTAACGTAGACAGTTCTCACTTTGAATTTGTTCGGTGTTAATAAATATACTTTTTCCGATTCCAGGCAAGTGAAATGAAACAAGGGAGCATAAGTCATCTTTTGTTGTTAGGATTTGGTTCACTGCTTCTTTCTTTAAATCTTACACAAGCAAGCTGTGTCTCTATGCAAATGCAGCATCAGTGTAAGTAACTGCTCTTTTTTAAACATGATTATAGTAATATTCAGACAGAATTTTGAATATACCTCTAGTGAACAACGACTTTCGATTCTTTCTTGTGGCAGATCCTTATTCCCCATCACTAACGATCGAAACCTCGCAAGCACCAGATGACGGGATGTTACCGACAGGCTATAATTACTCAATTATTTGCATCAGTAAAATTTCCGAAAAATTCCATGGAAACCCATACTATGGTCAGCCATATTGGATACAGATTTTCTTTAATGATGCCTACGTAAGAAGTTGCGGTGGTAGAAGCAGCGACAGCGAAGACTCAAAAATATGTACGTACCCCATTGTGAATTCCGTAGAGGCTGATTCTGGAAATTATAGCTGTGTGGCACGCAACCAGCTGTCCTGCATTATTGGGACATTACCCGTCAAGTTTGAAAGTAAGTTTGCCGTTATTTGTCAATTTTGTCCTTTTAGCCCTTGATTTGCTTTAGTTGTGCACAAGGGGCCAAAAAGTTAAATTAAAACTAGCAAAATGATTTTGCAACTAAGACTTACACAGCGAGTTTCTTTCCCTTTTCACTGCTTAGAGCCGACACTTCCAACCGTAACTTTAAACCCACCTCAGGATTTCAACGTTTCCTATGGAAGTACAGTCAACTTTACATGTGAGGCAAGAGGATCTCCCAAACCTAAAATCACTTGGTATAAAGATGGCAGGCCCCTCTTTGGAAGGAACATCCAGAACGTACAGGGAATTTCACAACTAACCTTGGAATCCGTTACATCATATGACGGGGGCGAGTACTGGTGTGAGGCAAAAAACTCAGAAGGATGGAGAACATCCATCAATACGACTATTAAGGGTTAGTTATTTCTGGCTCAGACACCATTGAATCATCGTGTTTATTTCATTGCTTTCTCAAGCGGTCAGGTGTTGGTTGCATGCTTCATTTACATTATTCTATCACCTGAAGTGTTTTCTTGGTATCTTCACTGTAACCCAATGAATATCAACTTTCCTTTCACTGTAGTTCTCTCAGTGCCAGTCATACTGGTTCACCCAAGCAACGTCTCCTTAAACCTGGAGGAAACAAATATAAAGGTGATCTTCTTCTGCAAGGTTATTGGTTTCCCTCGTCCTTCTATAACTTGGCTAAAGAACGACTCTACCTTGACTGGTGGTATGGTGGTTCAGAATGGCAGCAGCTCATCTCTTGTGCTTCAAAGTGTGACAAAAGAGGAAACCTTCGCAAGATATAAATGCATTGCCAAGAACTCTCTCGGAGAAGTGTCATCAAAAGAGGGAGTGCTGGTAGTCCGTGAACAGATTCAACATTCAGGTGCCTGCTTGGGTTATATTTTATCCTGTTATGTATAAAGATGAACGCTTAACGACTAATATAATGCTGGAATAATTTCGCTGTTATCTTCTTCTGTTATTCCTTTGTGATTTCGCCTTGATTCTTTTCTACGGTTGCATCAACCCTAACATAGGCTAAGGGTCTTAATTTTTGATACTAGGTATTACAAAGGGACAACGCCCTTTCTATTTCCAGCCAAGAAGCATCAAGGCTATCACAGGAGACCACGTGGTTTTCGTGTGTGCCGTGGAGGGTAGTCCTGTCCCACAAATCGTGTGGTTAAAAGATGGTTCAGCAAATGTGGACGGTAACATTGATTACTACTCAGGAGAGCAAAGTGCCACTTCTGTGCTCAAGATCTACCCCGTGAGTGAGAGCCACGTTGGTCGTTATTCATGCGAAGCAACAAGATTCGCGGGAAATGCAATCTCACAGGAGGCAGTACTCGTCATAACAGGCAAGGATAAAAAGAGGCTGAGTCGTTCAAACTTTTTGTGTACCTGAGGCCATTATAAAATAGGTAATCCTGCATTATAACGACATCGCACTCTTAACTTTATTATTTTTCATTTTAGATAAAGAATCCTCTCATTCCACATTGTGCATATCCAAAGCTGTGTGGGTCCCAGTTGCTACAGGAGCTTTTGTACTACTTCTTATTGTCATTTCGATATTTTTTGTTCACGTCAGAAATAAAAATGCCAAATTCAACATCGCGAAAAAGGTAAGATGGTACAAATGTTACTTTCCTGTCGTTGTTGTTTTTTTTTGTGAAAAACTTATTGACAGAGACTGATTTATTAGATATACACTACAGTGCAGTCTAAAACGGTGATATCTGTTTATATTGGTCTTCCAGATGGGAGAAGATAACCAATTCCCACATCTTCACACCCAAGACGATATGATATGTCAACAAAGAGGAGACAGTAAAGCCCCGCGATATCAGATGACAAACTTGGCATTTACAAATCTGTGAAATTTTATCCTTTGCACTGTCACATAGTTTGTATCTAACAAAAGTGGAATTGAAGTACTTCGACTCGCCTCCACGGCGCCTTAATGTTTTTTTTTTTTTTTTTTACTTATTTAGCAGACAATTCTTCAGGTAAAGGGACAATGCCTATAACATGTAGAAAACTTCTAGGCAGCTCAGAATCATCAAAATGGACTGTCCTTCAAAAATTGTTTATGGTGAAATTTTCCCAATTTAGGAAATTCACGATCACACGAGGCCGGAGAAAACATCATTAAGAAAATTATTTTCTACTAAGAGTAGATTGATGTGTTTACCAGTTTAACGTCTCTAAAGACGCCAAACGTTCCATTCAGCTTTAATTGGGATGCGGCCAAGACTGCCCTAAAAATAGGCGATTTTAGGTTTTTATTTAGCATGGAGCTTTCAGGAAATGTAAAGAGGTTTTAAGAACAGGTGTTGAGCTATTGTTCTGTTCATTAAATCCTTTGTTTCGCCACCTCCCCCTTACAGTCTGCATTGTGGTTTTCTACAGGCCCCTAATTTCTCTACCTGTACATACATTTATCCATTCACGTCATTGTAACAAACAAATGTCTTCGCCACCTTATTAGTTGTTCGCTGTATGATATTATACCCTTTTTTATTACTCGATCGTTTAGCTGTTTTTGTTTTGCCTCTATCCATGTTCTTTCCGCATGTTTTGCATGATGCCCTATTTTGTATCAATCAATTTCCTCACCTGTAAGCAAATGGTAAATAAAATCGATTATAGAAGAGAGTTGTAGTTGGTGATTGACTTTAAATCTCAATGCATGTTATACTTAGGTTCAATTCCCTTATAACAAGTCACAGAGTTTTGTTCTTGGATTTTATTATCAAGAACTTTCTGTTGCTTTGAGTTTTTAAAAGTTGTGATATCCTAAACAATTGACAGGAGACCAACAGTCTGGCTGGAATGGTAATATAAAAAGATAACTATCAGTAAGGGTGGCTTGTGATGAACTTTCGCTATCTAGAGTCGTGCAACTTTTGTGATCCATTTTTAGCATCTTTGATGTATCCCAGTGGGTTACACCGCCAGGCTGGCTAAATGGAATGGTCTAATGAAAACAGGAACTTGAAAGTTAAACGGGGAAGGGAGGAATTGTAATCGCACTAGCGTCTGTCTTAATTATGATGTAGGCTGATAAAACTTGAAATCCAATTTCACTTTCATCGAATTGTCATGGTTTCTTTAAGGGATAAAGAGGACAAGGCTGCCGATTATTGCAACGAACTTCCGCATTGAACTTCGGCTTTGAACATTTTATTGAGTTATTTTGAAGAGCACAAGCTGTGGTGCTCTTCCCTTTAAAACATTTCGCTTTCACGCCAGCCAGTTATATCAGCCCGTAATGGACTCGTAATGAAGCTTGTAAGCCCAATATGAAGTGGTCATTGTTGTTAAAAATTTCATTTATGGACGTAGTTTAAATTTGCAATGAGCAAGAAGGCTAATGTTAGAGATTCTCTGCAGACAAGCCACGCTCGCTGGTATATATATTTCCTCAATGCTGAAGTTTGTTATGTCTATCACATATCATCGTTTTCCGCAATCCCAGTCTTTACGTAACGAAACCGGATGTATATAAGCACATGTTTTAAAAGTTAGTTTTTTTCTATTTTTAAATGAAATTATCGGGGTTGGTCTCTTATTCAATTCAAGTTTAATTGGTTTATTTCAGTTCATTTAGCCCGGCTCGCTACAGGTAACTCTAGACTAAACATCACGCAAACCAGTTGGATAATTGGTGGCTGTGTCAGTGGATTGACAGCATCAGTTCATCTAGGTAGCCATTTGCGTCATAAGAAAGATGAAACTCGCGTCAGAAAAATATATATACTGCTTGGTCAATGGAAGAAGAATGTAAGGTAGGACGTTTCACAACTTCATCGTTTTTTCCACCTTATTGAAGTTTGTTTACAGTTAAATTCAGGAACTTGACTCGAAATTTTGACTTCCGCTGTCACACCCAAACGTATGAAAGGCATAGATTTCATGACAGTAATTTGCTGTAGATTTCCCGATTACCCTTTTCTAGTACTTTAAACCGATTTTGTTTAGATCATGCATTCGAGATTATTAGGTATTTAGAGAAGGGTTTATGAAACATATGCATATCATCTCACTGAAGCATCAGCAATCATCGTGGGATGACGTTCAACAAATACATAACCCTGTGTTTTCCGACACGCTGCAACGGGTGATATACCACTTAGTCTATATAATATCGTGAATTTTTCATTGCCTGGAATATTACTTACAATTGTGAATTATATGTATTGCTCCCATGAAAAGCAAAGTGTTGTTTTGATCAATTTCATCGTAAAATTAGATGGATGAGTTAGCCAAGGATAATGGCCGACATGCAACTGAACCGGAACTCGTGGGCACGTAGTGAAGTGTGACGCACGTGAACCACTTTCAAAACTTGCACGTCATGTATAATTATAAAAGGTGAGAGAAAGCCGCTAACTCCAATTCTGGAAAGCATAGACGGAACGATGTTTTTTTTGTCTAATGGAATGAGATAATTCCAATGATATTTCAAGAATGGTAAATTTCAGTTGGTAAAAAGCCTCACATGTTTACCTCTGCGGTAGAGAAAATCTTCGAGGAAATAAAGAGCAATAATAAGGACAAATATTAGCGGATTACCGGACTTGTAATCAAACAAATATGGTCTAAATAAATAAAATTTAGTTATTACGGTGTAATATTCGCTTGGACGCTTCGGTACCTCTCCAAGGGCAATATAGTTGCGAGGACCTTTGCGACAATTTTGCATTGAATTTGCTTCATATGCTTACTTTGTTTAAGTCGAGACTTAGCTATTGAGCACTATTCCTGTTTTTTTTTTTCGCTTTACTGTAGAGAGAAAACATAAACATCTAAAGTTCCTTGATGAGTCTGTAACTTTTTTTGCTTCAAATTGAATTTTGAGAGTGTTGGATAAAAGGTTTGCTGAAAAACAAATAACAGCAACGAGTAGCACAACTACAAGTTGATTTGCATGTGTAGTCACGGTGGTTGCAGTGATGCATGGTATTTTGTCTTTGGAAATCTCCAAAGTGATGTGTATATTTTCGCAATTTTTTCAATGTCTAAAAGCACGTTCAAAACTTAAAGGTAATACATAATTTTCTTTATGATCCTTTTTTATTTTTATTTTTTCAATTTTTGATGTCTTAATAGGGGCCCCAATAAACTAAAATTATTGGATCCTAGAATCTATTAAACTTGAGACTTGACCGAATCTCAAGGATTCGTAACATTCTACCCAGTAAACTTAATTTTGATCTCAGGTCAAATAATTCAATATATCTATGGAAATATACATCAGTTTAGAATGTCAGCTTATTTTCAAATCCGGCAGCACATTTCTTTTAGAATTTGCCAAAATTAATAACCCACCATTCTCTTTAAGATAACAACGTTATTGTTTTACTTTTCGCTCATTTTCGATTTAAATTAGATCCTCCAAAATGTTTGTCGCATGTCTTTCGAAACTTTTAATGGTTAATCTGACTCATTGATCATAGAAAAAACAAAATCACAGATGCTGAAAGTGTAAGTTGACCACAAAGGTAGCCTTAGCAGTTATGCGCAAGATACCTTGCCAAAATTGCCACTTCAAAACAAACGGATACACCAAAAAGTTTGATGTGGCTGGCGGGAAAAAAAACTGTCCTGCCCGCGATCAAGAGAATATAAACGCTTTGTATTCACTTGCTACAGCTTTAAGACACAGATACTTGTGGAAATCTGACTAAAGCATATCAAAGACAACAAAGCTTTAAGATGCCAATGAGCCAAAAGGTAAGTCAAATCGTAGTCATTGCGATGCGGCCAACTGCAGTGGATTAGCAATGAGTGAAGGCTATCGTAGGGACTACATTGATTCGATTCGCTCATTTTCGTTTACTTTTGCATATTAAACCGACCACCTTTGCCTTAGCGACGTAAGAAGCTCAGCTTTTAATCTACATGAAACATTAAATTGATGGACCCTATAAGAATTTGTATCTTTCTTACTGTTCTCACTCTCTTTCTCAATCTCTCTCAAACCTGGTTAGATTCCCTCGGTTGTTTTGCAAGAATCTTATCAGTAAGGACTGAGTTCTCCTCTAACCCCCTTACAAATGTGTGGTTTCGGAAGGTTTATATCAACAACCTTTTGGTGTGACAGGTCAAGATAGAGAGGTATTTCATTTGCTTTTTAGCGAAATGATCTTGACAGGTTCACCCAGGATTTCGCGCCTCAGATACAATTATCAACCTTAAGAATTTATTACTTCGGGGCTTTTCACAAAAAAAATTAGACTGATACTTGACAGCTCATTTCCTATCCACTACTTTTTGCCTCAGTGATGAGTCTGAAATGCGATATGAGTTTCTAAATATAAGTTATGGGTTAAAAATTCACTTCGCTTTTTATAGAGGCGAGGTATCTCGGTTGCAAAGAAGCAAGATATAGAAAATATCCTTAGTAATACCCCAACTTGTACACTACTTTTAACTTGTCGTCGACCACAATCGGTACAACTTTCGTGCTTATGTCTTTAAACAACTAAATACAGAATGAATTGTATGTCATATCCATAGTTTGTGATTTTCAGGATTTGACTAAAATCAGCTGTAAAATGCCATTGGTTATCTGTGTAGTTTTATTCTTACTTGAGAAACGACTTGGGGCTTTGGGAAACAGATGTTCATCAGCTGAAGAAGCGACTAAACGTAAGTTCCTACAGTTTAAAACACACGTCAAATTTTTCAACAGTTCTGAGTTTACTTCAAATATCTTTGAATTCTCCTCGTTTTGATAAAATACAGCTATTACTTGGAAGAGACATGATTTGAAATTTTAATGATTGATGTCTAGGTCAGTACTTTGCCTGGCTAAAACGGTAATAGAAAGAAATCAAAGAAATCTTAGTCCCAGTAATTGCTGACTTTATGGCTGGACATTTACAAAACTGCAGACCATATCAATCTTATTCCATGTTCTTTTATTTCTGATAAATTTGTCTTGGCATGGAATCTTGACATTCTTGTTTTACCTACTTTTATTTTAGCATTCTCGATGGTGCCGACCGTGGACATGAACAACTTGGAATTCCCGAATGAGCATGTTCTTCCAACTGGCTATAATATAACAGTCGTTTGTACAAGCAATCATCCAGCTTTCTCGAATCATAAATATTACTTACCCTACTGGATACAGTATTTTTTCAATGATGCCTACAAGAGAGAATTTAGTTGTGGTGGTGGCAATAGTGACTCACATTACGAACGTTCAAAAGTGTGCAAATACTTTATTCAAAACGCCACCGAGGAGAACTCTGGGAATTATACCTGCATTTCAACCAGTCACGCTGGATGCACAATGGGAACGATGGCGTTGATGTTTAAAAGTAATATTTTGTATTATTTGTTTCTAGTTATACAATATAACAAATGAAGTAGCTCACATTTAGTTTGGTATCTACATGACATTTCATTTCGGGTAAGACTTACATTATATAATTTTTCGTGAAAAGACCACGAAGATGCATCAATTTGAATTGACGGGTAAACAACAATTTCATATCATATTGGTCATGAAGGAAAGTGTGTAATTCGACGTGTTTTCTCTAATTTTGAATTTCGTTTTTCTTGTTTAATCGTAGAGCCATCGCCTCCGCTTTTTACTCATCACCAGCCTCGTGAAGTCGACTTTCTAAAATCTAGTAAAGCCAAACTCAGCTGTAATGCATCAGGTGTTCCCCGTCCCTCCATCACCTGGCTCAAAGACGGTAATAGCCTTTCAAGTACTTCTGTGATGGGGTCACAAAGTTATTCGATATTGAATTTTGAATCTGTACACCCTCACGACCAAGGACAGTATTGGTGCGAGGCAAACAGCACAGAGGGGCAGAGCAGATCAGCTCCGGTAAATCTAAGAGGTATTGAAACATTTCAATTTTTTGAAAGAGCATAATAATGTTCAAATGATGAGATGTGTTTAAAGGTGACGATCATATCCCGTATGCAGGAAACTCACTACACGTGCACGTATGTACATAATTTTGCGTTTTTCGACTTTCTTCATATATTCATAAAATTGACAATTACAATATTCCATCTACCACATCGAGTCCCTGATGGATTCCATGGACCGCCAAATGCTTGAAAACAATTTTTTTCCAGTAGATTACGGCGGTTGTTAAAAACCATCATATAATGATAATGCTTCTGAAAGACCACATGCAACAGTTGCTGGAGAGTGTTCATGTTTCAATCTCGAGCTTTAGGGACTGGTCATAAGCTATTGCCTAAAGGGGAGGGGGGTGGGGATGGGGTTGAGGGGTCAGAAAATTTTAGTTGTGTTACAATGAAATTTACTCTACTCCCCCATAAGGCTCCGTTTCACAAATTGACCATAATTTTTCCATTTTCCATTTTTTTTTTGTCTATAACCTCAATGATCAAAGAAATGACGTCGATAACGCACAAAATTAAAGTGAAACTACGAGGAGCAGCCGAGTGGCTTCACTGCAACCTTTGAACATTTCTATGATCGATAAGGATATCGACGATGAAAAATGGCGGTCGATTTACTTCTTTACAATAACGATGAATTTCTATGCAAGTTGAATTTTTTTTTTGTAAAATTACGTGCACAGGACATGATCGATCGTGGCTTTGTTGTTTGTTTTCATTTGTGTTATTGAATGACTTCTACGATGAAACACCAGTAAGAGATGGATGGCAATAGACACTGTTACCCTGTATCGTTTTTTTATTGCCCACTCAGTTTTGACTTTTGTGCCGTTTGATTCGGCATCGGCAAGTATTTGTACATGGTTGTCCGTCTTTCAAAGTTACCACTGAAAACCGGATTTCTATTTCTGAAGATTTACCTCCACTTTTTCTTCTATCTCGACAAGTTATTCTTCTGAAAATTTCTCTAAGTATACCGATCTGGAAATTTTTGAAGTGTGTTTCTGTCTATATCTCAAAACTTTGCAATTGTTTTTGCGCGATAAATATCTTATCCGACATGGCGAGGATTACCGACCGTTGCGTTACATGATACGTCATTTTTATCGTCTATAACTTTATTAATAGCAGTTCTCGACCAATAGCGCACAAGAATTTCCACAGTTATGGTAAAAATATTCTTATGTTCCCCCTCCTCCTCATTGGCAGGTGGCCTTAAGTGAATTCTCTATAGTCACCCCTCTCAAACTCTGTTGGTGGCAATTGATCCCCCTTCGTGTCAACTAAAAAAATGTGATCCCCCGGGTGTCTGGACTATTCAGTACAATGTTTGTGTAACCATTGTTGTTACTTTTAGTGGTGTGGAAGCCAGTGTTCTCCATTCATCCCCAAGACACAACTGTGTATGTTGACGATGATGCCACCACCGTAACGGTTAATCTCTCTTGTGCAGCAAATGGCTCCCCACTTCCAGTGATCAGTTGGTTAAAAAACAACTCCAAAGTTGAAGATGCAGTGATTCGAAGTCAAAACATCTCCATCCTCACTGTTGTAATCAACGAGGGGACAGAAAAGCACTTAAGATATCGTTGCGTTGCTAAAAACTCGTTGGGAAACATATCTTCCCAGGAAGCCACACTGATGATCGCAAAACGTGATGAGGAACGTTTACCAATGGAGGGTGAGCTTACAGCTCAAATTCACAAATCAGATATCGGATCATAGCGGAAAGTTACCGAAAAGATAAAATTTCCTCTGTTTTAGTTACAAAGAATGTTTTCCAAAACTTCTTCGAAGCCTTAGGTTGGAAGATCGTCTAGAATTAAGTTTAAAAATCTTTTTTTGCAAAAGCAATGATACAAATTAAGAAACATGATTATGTCAAAATCAATGCGATCCAAAGCCTGGAGTTTGGATTTTATTTCTTGGCAGGAGACATCCTTGTTTTCAGTTTTTTCATCCAAGGGCTACTTCGGTGCCTTTGGGCATTTTTTTTTTTTTTTTGAAAGAAAATTCACCACCCTTTCAATTAACCGTGTGCTCTACTGGTGCTTTATCTCTAGCAGAGTATTTTTTATACAATTGAATATTTTTGCTAAATCTCGCAATTTCAGCTGATAACGGAACGATCACCAACGAAAATGGGTCTGAAATCATTTTTTCCACCGTGATAACTGGGACTTCAATTCTTATTATCATCTTTATTCTATCTGTTATCAAATGGAGAATGGAAAAGAGATCAGTCTACCAACTAGACCAGGAGGTAGGTGCTTAAATCGCTTAATCATCGCCTTTTCCCATTTTCCCAATAATTATCCCGAAACTGTACAGGTTTTTCCTCACTAACTAAGAGCTGGTCCTGCCATTGATTCGCAAATTTTCAATGCAATTCAAAACTGAGTTGACTAATCTGGACTTGTTCAGCTTTATTTTCTCGCACTAATTTTGCATACATTTATTTTGACCTTTAATAGCCTTCTTTTGATTTACCTTTGTTGTGAAATTTGTTATTAATTTAGTTTCGGTTTTAATGAGGTCAACAGATATGGGCACAATAAAAAAATCCGCCCTTTGGGGTACACATTAAGGTTTTTTAAAAGCATACTGACGTGATATAATCTTTTTCTTTTGTCAAATCAGATTTTTAGAAGGACTCAAGAGGCTTTTGCGATTAAAATCACAAGCACAAACGATACGATAAATCAGTTACGAAACAGCCAGTCTGCATTAACCGATGATGGTCAACACACGGATCCATCTACTACTGGCGAAAACGAAGTTGTTGAAAACGAAATTTATTTACAATTGATGGCAGTTGACAGAAACTGGGAGATTCCCAGAGATAGACTGACTGTTTCAGAGGAGAAACTTGGCAGAGGAGAATTTGGAGAGGTTAAGAAAGGAGTTTACCTAAGAACTGATGGAAATGAACTTTCAGTGGCGGTGAAAATTCTGAAAGGTTGAAAAATCAATACATATTTTTGAGATTAAATGATCAAAGATATATCCTTCAGAGGGTGTTGACGGAAGATAAATCTCACCTGTCCTTGAATTTCCAGACTAGGATTCATATCATCGATAAGCACGATAGCCTCTACAAGTAATAATTATAATTTAATAATTTATAAACTTACAAAGCGCATGCTATATGAAACTAAAGTAATTAACATTGCAGGTCGGAAAATGAATCGCAGCAGACATATTGACAACAATCAACCTTAAATTGTTAGGCTAGTGATGACAAAGGACAGGATATCAAACTGGACAGCGAATGACAGAATTGAAACCTTAAAAAAATTGGGGAAATTTTCAAGATTTGTGATTTGCGGCGTGCCAACTTAAACTTATCGTCCAAACCCTGAGTGATAAGAACGTCATGCATACCTTTTGGTGATAAAAAACTCCTAGAGCAGAAGGGAACCAATTATTTTTCTGAGGACCCTTCTGTAAACCACTTCATGACGTTGGCATCCTCATTAAAGATTACTATTGTTTTATTATATCATAAAGTTAGTTTTCATACCACGTCTTCTTTGACAGATAACAAAGACAGACAGCAGCGAATGGCGCTAATCAAAGAACTGGAGACACTTATCCAAGTTGGTCGCCATCCGAATATTGTCAGTTTGGTCGGAGCTTGCACCTTTGAAGGTAAGGGATCGGCGATTCAAAAAGTTACGGCGAACGTTGGAGGGCAAGTTGTGTCAATAAAAATTTGTGTAGCGGAGATGGAAATAAGATTTCAGAAAAAACAATTGTACTGTGGGTGCAGAGCCTTCGTCTTATTTCGATGATTTAGGGAAAGTCTTCACCTTTAGCCCAGAGGTTTTAAAAAACTATGCAGTAAGATGAATTTCGATAAACCGATTTCAAATTCACTGAATCCAAATTAAACTTAATTAATTCGTTTTTGATTCACCGGCACGCATACCTTTAAATGTTAAATATTTCCAAGAAACTAGTTTTTCCATGGTAAGCATGTATGTAAAAAATGATGTATCGATTTATTGATTGATTTGTGTCCATTGGTAAAGAGATTATTTTGGGCCGTCAGAACAAATCTAAAGAGGTTTTATATTTCGAGTCAGCAGTGCAGTGTGATGTTTCAGAAGCACTTTAAGTTTTCAACGTTTCTTTTTTCACCTCTAGAGCCTCTTTGCATCGTCATTGAATATGTCTGTGGAGGAAGTCTTGATAAATTGCTTCGAAGTAGTCGCGTCCAAAATCACCAAGTTGATCCAACTTATGTTAACATATGGTCAAGACTGACAGAGAGAGAATTATTGAGGATTGCTTCAGACGTCGCTAGTGGCATGAGCCACTTGGAAAGTAAACAGGTCTGTTCATGGATTCATGAGTGAGGTGCATGTTTTTGCTAGATATACTTTTGGTAACATTTTTGTCACGTACTGTCCGTAAATGCAAACTGAATAGTTGCGGATTAAAAGCGGCGAAATGCAGATGATACGCACGTAGAGTAGTGCGAAGCAAAAAAAGTCTCAAGAGAAATGCGAGCGAAAGGGAAACGAAATTAAAAAAAGGTATAAACGGAACATTACAAGCGAAAAAAATGAAAAAAAAGTAATACTAAATCCAACTTAGTTAACAGAAATAAAAGAAAAAAAATGAATGGTTTAGCACAATTGATAAGAATTGAGGAGACACGATTCCTGTTGATGATTATAGAGAAAATGACACTTACATAGGTGTGCATACCATGACTAGAACAGCAGTACTTGATTTCCTTTATCTGTGGTTCAGTGCATTCATCGCGACTTGGCGTGCAGAAATGTTCTTGTTGGAAAAGGGTTGGTAGCCAAGGTGGCTGATTTTGGAATGGCACGTGACGTATCCACAGATGGGCAGTACATCAAGACAACAGAGGTATATATTTTACTTATTGCTCAGAACGATCTTAATGACTGGAACTCCGACAACTGAGTGGAACTCTACACAATTTTAACTCACGCATTAACTCACTTTGGGTGGAAAGTTGGTTTGCCAGCATAACTCACAATCCTTAACAAAATATCTATTGGTTCCCACCTTTTAACAACACTCATAACATGACCGACGAACCTCACAGAAAGACTTCACCACATTGATGAATCTTCTCTGAACAGTCAAACGAAGGAAAGTCAAGTGGTTGCAGTATTACAACCTTAGATATTACCATTACGGCAAAACTGAGTTGGGAATCAGACTGAGCTGGGACTCTGTTCTCATAAATCAGACTCGCGACAGTAAGATTATAATAAACTTTTTATTTGACTCTGGTGCTGAGTTTTACCGGGGGTTGCCAAACCGCTAGTCTGTGCTCGTGACAACACTCCTCGCGATCAATAAAATTGTATGTAATTAACAATTTCTTGTAAGAACTAAGCATTCGAAATTAAGAGATCCTCGCAGCTAAGAACACTACTGAAACGAATAGTGGAAAATAGGACCTGAAAAAAATTCAGACCCGTACGGGATTTGAACCCATGACCTCTGCGATACCGGTACAGTGCTCTACCAACTGAGCTAACAAGCCAACTGGGAGCTGGTCAATGTGTTGGGTCCAAATAAACCATCCAAGTGATGAATGATGATTTTAGATATATTAAATTCATATATTTGCACTGCGGTGAAGAAACTAGATTAAGAGATCCTCGCAGCTAAGAACACTACTGAAACGAGTAGTTGAAAATAGGACCTGGAAAAAATTCAGACTCATACGGGATTTGAACCCATGACCTCTGCGATATCGGTGCAGCGCTCTAACAACTGAGCTAACAAGCCAACTGGGAGCTGGTCAATGTGTTTGGTCCAAATAAACCATCCAAGCGATGAATAATGATTTTAGACACGAGGATCTCTTAATTTCGTTTCTTAATTTAGTTTCTTCACAGTATGGGCCTGAATTTTTTCAGGTCCTCTTTTCAACTACTCGTTTCAGGTCCTATTTTCAACTACTCGTTTCAGTAGTGTTCTTAGCTGCGAGGATCTCTTAATCTAGTTTCTTCACCGCAGTGCAAATATATGAATTTAATATATCTAAAATCATCATTCATCACTTGGATGGTTTATTTGGACCCAACACATTGACCAGCTCCCAGTTGGCTTGTTCGCTCAGTTGGTAGAGCACTATACCGGTATCGCAGAGGTCATGGGTTCAAATCCCGTACGGGTCTGAATTTTTTTCAGGTCCTATTTTCCACTACTCGTTTCAGTAGTGTTCTTAGCTGCGAGGATCTCTTAATTTCGAATGCTTAGTTCTTAGCTGCGAGGATCTCTTGATTTCGTTTTTTCACTGCAGCGCAAATAAATATACCCATGACCTCTGCGATATCGGTGCAGCGCTCTAACAACTGAGCTAACAAGCCAACTGGGAGCTGGTCAATGTGTTTGGTCCAAATAAACCATCCAAGCGATGAATAATGATTTTAGACACGAGGATCTCTTAATTTCGTTTCTTAATTTAGTTTCTTCACAGTATGGGCCTGAATTTTTTCAGGTCCTCTTTTCAACTACTCGTTTCAGGTCCTATTTTCCACTACTCGTTTCAGTAGTGTTCTTAGCTGCGAGGATCTCTTAATTTCGAATGCTTAGTTCTTAGCTGCGAGGATCTCTTGATTTCGTTTTTTCACTGCAGCGCAAATATACGAATTTCATATATCTATAATCATCAACTAAGCATTCGTTGACTAATATCCGAAACTTTATCACAGGGACGAGTTCCATGGCTTTGGATGTCTATGGAAGCATTAAGGGGAACTTGTACAATAAAGGGAGACGTGTAAGTTATCGGTGTTCCCAGGCTGAAATTGGATTACTATAGAGACTTCACAATTTGCAAGCCTTATTTTTATACTACACTCCTCTATAGGTGGTCATTTGGAGTAACCCTGTGGGAGATTGTTACTCTTGGTAAGTAAAAACCCTATTGATAAAATTATGTTTAAAACTGAATGATTGAGATCTTAACCTGGAAGAAAAAAAGCTAGACACACCCATTCCTCCCACAATCCCAATATTCTAAACTGGTGTAGCCTGCGAGCAGGCCGTCATCATTTGCGCCGCAGAGCGCGCCTTTCTCCTCCCGCGAGAAGACTTGAGACGAGTCAGGGAGAGGTTTACCGGGCATGGCATCAGTGCTAGACACTTTGAAGACCTCTCGCCGACTTGCGTTTCTCAAGGTCTCTTACTTTCCTGACGGCATGGAAACGCTCGTGCTTAAGTGTTGATAATGAAGGTTTGCGTTCAGGCTAAAATAGGTAAGGAATTGGGACCCTAATTCAATGTCATCGATCAATGATGCGAATGGCAGAGAAAATCGAAACAGAATTATCAAGATACTCTGATAAAATTTTCTAGCATCCAAGTTGCATCAAAAAGGATTGCCCAGTAGATTTACTAAAAGGTTGACCATGACGTTTCAAGGCACAAGAGGATCTTCTTCTGATTTTAGCAAATGTTTTCATTGCACATAAATCCTTAGTTGAAGGGTTCTAACTAACACTGATAGACCTTTGTCATCTTATGAGATGGAGGGTATTACCACCGAACTACATTTGATCCTTCTGTTTCTAGGGGAACTACCGTACACGGGTATCAAAGGCATTTTAGAGCTTTACGAATTACTGGAGGGTGGAGCAAGATTGCCAAAACCACTGCATTGTTCGGATGAGCTGTAAGTCTGAGACATTAAGCCTCGTAGTATATTTGTCAGACGATATCAGTTACTTCTCTCATTCTGCATCTTGTCTTGACGTGATAGGTCATCATGTGCTTTTATTTCAAAGGTTTTTTTTTTCACCAATCACCTTTTTTTTCCCTTCAGGTGACTAATCCACGCACAAATTTTATCCTGAATAACTCCTCAGTGTCTTTATCATTCATTTGTGGAAATGAAGATAAAAATCCCAATTTATGATTACTTTAATGAAGACCATATATATCAAGATGATGATAAACAATGCTGAAAAATTTGACTGTCGGCAAATGCTTTATTTCAGTCTTTCAATGCAACCACATGATCAAGCGTACTTTACTGAAAACTGCTGTTGCAACTGTAGATTATAAAAGCAAGGTTTTATTTTTTGGGGTCTAAGTTTGGTACAACAAAAATAAAGAACCGTTTGAGCTTTAAGCCATTAGGTTGAGAGTGTTTTCTGCGTTACGTTTTAGTTATAACATTATGTTAGGCTGTTGGCAGAGGAACCCTGACGAGCGTCCATCATTTGAACAGCTTTGTGAGATGCTGGAGGAACTTTTACAGCATGAGACTGTGAGTGGGCCCGTAAAGCTTAGTTGATATTGATGTTCTTCTTCCCGTTTTCTGAATTTCATCGCTATTTTGTTTCCATTTCGAATAATAAGAGAGGAAACATACAATAATGAGCAAAACTTTTCTGAGGTTCCTCGAAGGAATGGAGCAAACTAACAAGGTAGAGTGTTGCTTCTAAATTTTTGGTTAACCTACTGTCGACTTCCCATTTTTGTCAACAGTTAAGCTACAGAATGTGTTTTAACATTCAATTTGGGCAGTAGGGGTTTCCTTTGATATCATGGGAAAGGCATTATCCCCTCATTCCAGGCCTTGTTTATCGAGGATAAGGAAAAAACAAGTCTGATCAGTCGGAAGAATTTTTAAATCATGCATTTCAGAAAGTCTGTGTCATCTTTACTTTTCCAGAGAACATACATTAATGTCACTTACTTCAAAGAGCAAAACAAAAAGGAAGCTATTTGGGTATGAGTTAACTTTACGTTCAACACAAGTGGAAGACGTTGCCATGAAAGTGCAAAATCGAAGATCGAAGATTTTGTCACCTATTAAACGTGGATAGACTTCAGGCGTAAGCCACCTGTTTACCCTGCCATTATGGGGAGAAATAACAAGTTCATCACTTCAGGAATGGATGCGCTGGGGGATGGTGTAGAATACTGGCATTCAATGACAGTTTGGCTATTCGAGTAAACGCTTATATGATAACTTTTCCTTGTGACTTTTTGGTTTAATTCAAATCTACTGAGCTTCCACTCTAAGTTGGTTATAGCTATGCATGTACTTTACAATGTAGATGTGAGTCAATTTTTTAATTTTTAGAATAGTCAACCAGCACAATTTAACGTAGCCTCGGGGCTCCGAACAGATTACATCTGTTCTGTACTTTGAAGTACTGTCCCTTAGCGATGATAAACTCATAATTACAACGGTGTATCCTTGTTTTAATTTTATTTGCTGGTTTATTATCTTTTTTTTCTTAAATACATTTTTTATATGGGAATCACAAGTGTGACTTATTCACTTTTTATTAATTTACACAGATTATCTTCAAAAAGATGATCCTAGCTCATCATTGCATAGAAAAAAACATATAGATGCATAGGTGATTTAAAATAATGCCTCCTTTTTACGTTATTATTTTTCATAATATTTTGCTATTTTAGTCTTTGACGCTTCGCTTTCCTAGGAACATTTTTTTCTCGATCAGTTGCAAGTCTAGCCGAAGCCACAGAATTGTTGTATCTCGTTCAGAAATCTGAAAGAGTTTATAAACTTTGTATTTACCGTAGGAATTCAAAGAGGGGTAAGAACTCATAAATCTTGCTCTTTACACGTTGACGTCGCTGATCCTGACGATATGCGAGACTTCCGAGGAACTCAGAGCATCCAATTAGTGAAGTCGCTAGCCTCGAATCTTACGGGGGGCTGAGACTTTTAATCGACTCCTTGATCGTGGCACGAATTTTACATTTTCACTATTTCAGGACCGAGATAAGATTCGCCACCATGTTATCTTAATCACCACTCAGGACTCTTTCGATATTGCTCGACGATCACAGATCATCGCGGTGTATGCCAGGAGCCGCATAAGACAAAATGACTCATAATACTGATATGCGTTCTATCTCGCCAAGCGTTCACTACGGCGCAAAGTATTGCAATATCATTTAACTGGTCTTCGGAACTTGGGGAAGATTATTTTCGTAGATTAAACTAGATACATTAAACAACTTTCATTTTTCGTTTTTTGTTATTATCATTATTATTATTATTTCTGCTTCAATGGGCTTACACTCAGTATCACATAACCGTGAATTTACCTCAGACTGCTTTGCTTCCACAGCTGCCTGGTATTTTATTTCAAGTTTTTCTCGTAATGCGGTTGTTTTCTATTCTCTGTCAATAATATCCGTTAACTTTGAATTCATCTCTTGTTCTTCGAATGGTGATGTCATTAGCCTCTCTTTCATGATACTTTCTACTGATGTCAGCTTGTTCAATAGAGCTGTATGTTCTTGACTGCGGACTGGTTTGCTCTCTGTTTACAAGAAAATAAGTGAGTAAAAATTAATGTTTCAAGGAAAAAACATAGAGGTTTATCCGCCTGCAAAAAATTAAACGTTTGTGACTTTACAGAGACACAAGGCAGTGAGTAAGAGACACATAGAGAAAACAAAAGTAACTCAAAGGATTTTTTATTAACAAGTTTCAGGGGGAGATTAGAATGTAGAAATGAAAAATTTAACGGCTTTGGTACGCTACTCTAGGTGGCAAGAGAAAGAAAACACACATCTTGTGAAATCACCAATAACTAGCACCATTATTTACATCCTTTCTCAACTGTGACTATTGCGATCGCTTTCGGATTCTTTTTAAAAAACCTGAGTATTTCTCTCAATGAGCATTTAATTCCTTTTTCCAGAAATTACACTTATTTCTTAAGATCATCTCTTAACTAATTTGCATTCGAAGAAGTAACGCTAACAGTGGGGTTATTACTGAATTGTACTTTGCCTGATCCTGCCTCTTTCCTGGTATCTCCTTCTTTACGAGATTCAAGCTCGACATTCTGCCTTGAACTTCCCTCCAACGCGGCAAGCGTCCCTTTGTAAGCATGTTGCAAGTGCAGGCCGAAAATAACGGAAAATTACGTTAACGAAGTTAGTATATAGCGGGAGCCGTGGTGATTTCCATTCGCCTAACTGTGTCTCGAAGAACAGTCATAATTCTCTCAGCCTCTAGTGACTGTAATTTCTGTCGTTTAGGCTCCAAGATTCTGCGTGGATCTATGCTACTTTAACAAAAATGATTACGATGTGACGAAGGCTGTCCTTTAAGCCAAATGTCGGATTGTCTCGGGGTCTCTATTGGCACCATATTTTCCGTAGTCGCCAGACTTCAAATGATGAAACAATGCACTGTTCATCATGAATTGAAATTACGTGTTATTGCGTTGCGTGCATAATTTTACGCGCGCCCGAAGACTATTTAAGAGCATTGAAGAAAATGAAGGCTTTTTCTATGTTTACACATAGCTTCAGCTACAAAGAAGAGAGGTTGGGAGTTGCTTCTTTTGCAGTTTTGTTTTTTTTTTTGTTTTCGTTTTTTTTAAGGTGTTGCTGCTGTCATTATTTCCTTTTATGTGAAGAGTTCGTTCGGGCTAATTTACCTTACTGATGGACTTACCTGCACACTTTCGGATTATTCTCCAGAAGTTATCAAACGAAACAAAAAAAAACATAAAACAAAAAAATCAATCCAACCTTGCTGTTACTAGAAGTATGAGATCGCTGATAGTCACAACTGAATGCTGAATCGCATAAAATTCCTTTTTTTTTATAACCTCAAACATGAAATTTTGTCAAGCCAGGACAAGTCTTATTCATATTAGCATATTGTGTTCACTGACGTGAAACAACAACAAACATATAAGGTAAAACAGCGTTTTGAACAGGGAAGGGTCAGTGGGGACCCTCTCATGACTGTTTTAAGCCAAGCACCGTACCATCATTCAAATTTCTCACAGCTTTCCCTGCGGAATCAAACCTTTTTTGATATTTTCAGTTTAAACACGCAAGGGAAACTCTCGCTCTATGACCCTCGAGAGTTACGTTTGAGGAGGCTGGAATCCCCTCTCTACCCCCCTCCCCTCTCTCGTCCTGGTGATGTTTTGAAAAGTTTGAAAACATCACTTATATTAAGGCGCATAAGTCACGAAATGTACTTGCGTTTATGTGATTTGTGTAATAGCACACTAAGAGCAACCTTTTCCTTTTTTACCAAAGCTTTGACTTCTTTTGTGAAAGTCAAGGTAAGGTAGGGAATAATTTTGAGTGAAATATCATCAAGACCGGTGTTTTTAATAAAGTTTCCCTTGTTCTTAATCAGTCAGCGTGATCAATGTTTCTTTTTCTCTCCATTAGTAAAATTTAGAGTAGCGAATCATAGCCATTCACCGTGCATCCGGGCAATAAGAATTTGTTTATTCATAAGATTATTTCGATTTTGAATATTTCAGCTCATTACAACCTACAGGGTGGATTACAACACTGTTAGGCGAAGAAAGCTTGCCATAATCTCTGTTTCAAGGTCTCCTTACTAAATCATCAGCATGAATTACTCCATCGCCTTTGTGGTGGCTTTGATGTTGTGCTCTTTGCCAGGAGGTGAGTTCATCCAATGTTATTTACATGTTTACGCTGTATTCAGCCTTTGTGCACTTCAACACTAGACTCCTCCTAAACTCTACAAGAAAAGTATGATTACTTAAGCTGACGATTGAAATTAGGCCTATCTATTTTTCTTTCTTTGAATGGTTATTTGAATTGGTGGCTACAGAGCGAAAAATATCCTGAAAATTGGAAATCGTCTCTGTACTAACGGATACGTTTATAGTTTAATAGATGACGCTGTGGAGTAAACGGGATACGAATTCTGCGAATTCCTCCGTAGAAAGCATAGTTTTTTTTTCAGGGAGGCTGTTGCTTTCAATCAAAGTAACGAAATGTATCCTTCGAAAAACATTTATTCGTAAGCTATACAATATTGCGACCCTCGTACAGCTACTGCTTTATATTATACTATACGTCGCATTCTACATTCGCAGAAATTGTTCTTTCTCTTGAAAAAAGCTTTTTTGTCGGGATAAAGATTATCCTATTCCAAGGCAAGTTTCAATTTGATAGTGATGAAAAATTGAAAAAATATTGGTAAAATCGTACAAGAGATCATGTTCATCGCCAAAAAAGGAAATTGTGATAAACTTCAACATCTACGGCACATGTTGTCATGCCACACAAACTCCACCAATCAAAAATCAATAATTTCACGCCACGCTGATCACACCATTTCAGTCATACACTCGCGTGATTATGCACCTGTTAGCGAAACGTAAAGAAATATCATAAATTCAGAAAAAGACACGGTTAAAACTAAATTCAATTATTTTTATCAATATCTCCGAAACTACCGCAAGAAAATTATTTATTTACTTATTCGTCGACGGTTCCACAACTTACAAAAATAACCGATATAGATTGGAGCACCTTCTAAGCTTCTCGAGCGCCCTGAAATTTGATTTGAATTTTCACTGATGATAAACTTGAAGTTCAACCCTTTACTTTCACTTTCATCGTTACTTTCTTAAACGAAATCCTTTACATCGCATGTGTGCAAATATTTTAAATTCCCTAGCCGCCCAACGTTGTTCTCGTGGCGAGATTTGTGATGTTCAACACCTATGTTTTAATAATAAATTAACGCTTGCTAAGAATAAAACACGGTCAAGATTCTCAAAATCAATTCGCATATTTTTCTTTTATCATTCATTTGATATCCACAACTGTATACATATTGAAAATTTTGGTGCTGTATAAGAAAAACTGTATCATGTTTCTCAAAAAATTATATTGAATCGAAATTTCTCCAAAGCAGGGAAAAATTAGTTATTACTTTGCTAGATATGTGTGAAGCTTCCGAAGCATTCCTATCTTCAGTATTTTGAAACATTTTCTACGAAGGACGAACCTACCTTTTTGGTGACACTTTTCACTTTATAAAACTGTTCTAATGAGGCCTTAAACTGTTGTTTAAATAGGGATAGGAAAATGTTCCGGGCGCGCTATATATCCGCAAACAAAGTGGAGGGTGAAATGTGTAAAAGATGTGACTTCTGTATGAAAGCTAGAGAAATAAACTGTGAATGGAACACAAGGCTCCAATGATAGACTGTCTCTAGACAAAGGACCTCTAAAAGTGCCAAAAGAATGGTCTTTAAAATAAAATACTACAATAGAAGGTCTGCGAATTCACTACATTCCTCCCGGGAATTGAATGTAAGCTCGCACTTTCTAATGTAAAACACTTCATAAAGGCGTAGATTAACGGGGTCGTTTTCGCTCATAATAATCTTGACATCAATGCCTTTATAGTCTTTGTTCTGGCAGGAATAGATATATTTTTTCATAGACGTGTTTTCTTTATTTAGATGTTTTTTTACGCGGTCGTGGATGAAGCGTGTCGTGTCTATATCGTTGATCGCAGCTGCAACACGTGAGCTGATATACTGCATTTCGTCGTGAACACAATCCGGTGTTAGAGATGGGGCATTTGTCTCTAGTGCTTTTGCGCTCCTTGGGGGTATGGGATAGGGCTTGTTTGAGCGTGCAGGATTTGTGGGCAATGCGTACCGGTATGCATTTCACATTCTTTAGATTTAGACCCTTGCCTTTCCCTTCACTGGAACATCCTGACAATATCCTAACCATCACGGTTTCAACTCCTCTTTCAGTCCGAGGGATAACATGCAAGTTATGCATACCAGATGAGAAGACTTTTAAAGTCTGCGACAAAGCGTCCGAACAGGTAGAAGTAGACTGTGATGTTCAGCCTCCACCAGAGAATCTGACCCAGCTATGGGAAAACCGGACATATGATGCATGCTATACAGCCCAAATTGAAGCACTAGCCGTGGGGAAAACAATCAAGACCTTTGTTTTTGGCTGTGGTGTTAAGGTAAATCAAAGTGATAATTTGTAATTTGAGGAGACTCAAATCAGATAGCTGTCGCCAAAAAAAAACAAAAGAATATAAATTTGACGTTATGGGGTGGTTGTATTTTATGACTGTAAATCTCGAAGTTTCTTTCCTTAACGAACCTCTACAAGCAGTCACTTGCCTTTCTCCAGGGGTTGTCTTGCAATAACTACTGTTCTTTTGTTCAGGTGAATTCCTCCAGTGCCTCGGTTGTGAACTGCTCATTAACTCAACAATACGTTTGTGCAGACGCAAAAGCAAGGGCAGGGCAATTAGCGGAGATCAAATCCTGCAGCGTGGAATGCTGTGACACGGAAGCATGTAATACTCACCCCACCGTTACCCCATCCACAACTAAGGCCACAACCACACCTACAGGCGGCACAGACCAAGCACGATCGTCCCGATTTGGGTTTCTTCTCGTATTTCTTGTCTACCTCATGGAAAGTCTTTTTCAATCAGCCTAACTGCCTCTCCGAACCATCTTTTGATCATTTTAATGTGTAATTGTTGCTGCATAGTTTCAAAGCGCAATTGGTGCATCACTATTTAGCACTGAAATTCGTCTGTATTCGAATATATTACAATCTTGCTGACAATGACTTTCTGTAAGGGACAGTTCATTAGAAATTAAAGGTATGACTCACAACTTTGTTATCATATAAACGAATTTTGAGGTCTGGTACGTTCACATCCATGTCTTGCATGTGATGACTACTTAGGGACAAGTATGGGTATTTGTTAAGTTCATTTCGATTGCAATTTTTTTTGTTTTTCGTTGCATATCCTAAAATTGACTGATTGATTGATTGATCAATTGATTGATTATTTGATTGATTGTTTGACTAATTAATTGATTGATTGATTAATAGATTGATTGGTCTATTAATTTATTGATTGATTGATCGATCGATTGATTAACTCGTTCATTGGATGGTGGATGAATATATTGTTTAACGAAGGCCTCATATTGTATCTTTTAAATTTTAAAAGCATTAGGATAAAAAAAGGAAACATTTTCATAGCTCTAAATTGCACGAGGAGCAACTGAAAAATGCACTCGCACTTATTACAATTAGATTTGCATCCTGGACGAGTAAATCTGCATTTTTGGGGGTAATTGTCTCGTTGTCAAGATTATTGAGTTACATCTGCAATATTTTTCTTTTTTCAAGTTTATAACTAATATTTTTTCAATTTTGTTGCAGGTTTTTCTTTTTACGTATAAGATAAAAAAATTTGAAACATAAGTCTGGCCATGATAAATCCTCTAGATAAATATATATACACTTAGTTCAAATGTTAATGCTTACTAGTGGATAAAGAGAAACGGAATTAATTCTTTCGATACTCGCATTGCTAACAGAAAAAAGAAACTTGAATAAATGTGGCCTAGTACCAAACAGTTTAAAATCTTTTGTCGACTCCTGTGTTTAAAATCATGTTGAATGCCAGGAACTAATGCAGGCGCTCTGTCAGCAATAATAGAAAAGAAAAAAATTCAAAAAAATTTGTCACATGCATTCCCGCCATCTCACACGTGCACATCAAACTACCAACAGATCCTTTTTGGCACCATCTTGAGTTCTAAATTGCCTTCGTATAAACGAATCCTATTGATACACCACATGCCAACTTAATTGTATAGACAGGTTATACCATATACCCAAGCTTGCCAAAACGCGTCCATCATCGACCTGCTTGGGCCAAATAAAGCTGTCAGTTAGTCACTTAATCTCCAAAAAAGGCCCACATGTTTGAGCTTGAGTGAGGAGGGGGAATGGGGGTTTACATTTACAGCTGCATGATGCCTGACCGCAGGGGTTAACGAGTAGTTTTTAAAAAACACGTTTTGGAAATTCTATATAAATTATACTGCCATGTTTTTGCAATGTCCAACGAGCAAATTGTGAGTGGTTAAAGCGCTTCCTATTCTAAACCGTCTCCCAGATAACTAAGCTGTTGAGCAAATTCCCACAAAATCAGAGAATGTTTTACGGCCATTTTTTTCCAAGAGACTCTCAAACAATAACTAAATTAACATTTTGTGGCTTTCCCCTCTTTTTTTTTTTCATTTGTCCAACTACTTTTATCTAAGTGTGCAATCAAATGACGCCAAATCATGTCACAACTAGCACAACCTCTGTGAGCATACAGTTCATGCATATTCCGGTAAAGCTAATCTTAACTGATAACAATGTATGTAACTTTATGTGTTAATAGCTTTAGCAGATTATGGTGAAAACAATTTATGAACCCCACGTGGGCGGTTGGTTTTACGGAATAAATGAGGTGTGTCAACAGCTGTTAATGAGATATTGACCAATACATTTTGTTTTCAAGGAAGATGGTGCCTTTTAATTTGTAGGTTGTGTTTATTGTGTCAGTTACCTAGCAACAAGACGGCCTTTTCCCTTTGGCAGTATTTCTACGAAAACTCTGATGATGCAAATCAAAATCAACCGCCTGAGACAAGTTTCTTCATTAGGATCTTGGGTTTAAGCTTACAGAAAGACCACTTTTGAGCTTTTGTTTCAGTGATTTCTATGATGAAGTCGAAATCAGTCTTTGTCTTTCTCCTCGTACCTACTCTAACTTTAGTATTTTACTGGAGTTCTGTGACGATCTTCGATCAAAGAGGTGGACAATTTGGTAAGAAATACCTTTGCTAATCTTAAACAGTCTTCGTGTACTTGAAATCATTACATTATGGCTTCTTTAAAAAAGGTTGGAACCCAATTTTTAGCCGATATCCCAACTCTGTTGACCCAAAGACTCAATAAAGAACGTCTACGTTCAAGTTTTTCTCTTTTGCTAATCAAGAAAACATATGGTTCACTGTTGTCGGGAAAATACTAATAACAAGCCTGAGGGTAACTACTGACATCTATATATGAAGATACAATCGGGGATAAGTAGTCGCCACCTAGTGGTAAATCTGAGCGTGTTCTAATGGAGTGGATCATTTTGAATTTTATTCCTTTCATCTCCTGTTTTTTTCTTTTAACACTCCGACCTCTCAAAGCACACATTTCCTTTACAGCAAACGATGCTATACTCGTAAAAGTAGATACAAACTCCCCGCAGTGACCACATAAAAGAGGAACCTCTTTTACTCGGCTTTCAAGAGGTTCTCAATAGGGTGAAGGCTCTTCCGACTAACGGTTAAAATGTTGGCCATTTTTACTCCTTAAGGCTAATTTTTTTTGCCGTTTTACAGCTAACCGTCAACTCCATTGAAATCTTCTTTCAAAACTCAAAATTAAAAAGGAGAGACAATTGCGAACTATGAATAAACTTGTATAAAGGTTAGCTTATAAAAACTTGATCCTTATTTGCTGCGGAACAAGTGTCCGCTGAGCGATGATGACGATATATTCATAACTGCTGATGTTCAACAATTCGCTGTTCGCATCATTCAAAGTATCAATTCTGTCATATATCAATAAATTCCTTCGGGAACTAAACAACTTAAGACGTGTACAACTACTAATGAACAAATTCTCTCTTTTTTGTTTTATCTCCAGTCATAATACCACAGATAGTATCAGTTGCTAGGGGACTAAAGGTAGGTGGTTCATCTCTAAAATGGATGTGCAAGAACAAAGATTTCGTCTTTGAAACATTTGATGTTCACATCTTAAATTAGTTTTTAGCCATGGGTTGCTCTGGTTAAGTGGGTTGCTCCGGTCAAGAGGAACGAACCCATTTCGTAATATTATAATAAAATATGATACACAAGCAAGCCAAGCAACAAAATTAATGTAGGTTAGTTTATCCCATTGCAGGAAACGTTTGATGGGTGGAAGTCAACATCACGAACGCTTGGCGAAACTCAGGAAGCTAGAAAACGATCAATTAAAAATTACTGCCAGAAACATTCATCCAACAGAAGACTAACCGACCAAGAACTTAGATTTGTGATCGTGGAAGATGCACATAAAATCATTTTCTGTTCCATTCCGAAAGTGGCTTCCACAACGTGGAAAAGGGTGTTGGCAGATCTTCAGGGACTCAAACAAGGAATATATGTTCACCAAGCAAGGTTATGGCGTCGCCTTGGAGAATACAGTGAGGAAGGACAGTCACATCGACTTAAGAACTATTTCAAGTTTATGTTTGTTCGGGAGCCACTGCATCGGATCCTTTCTGCTTACAAAGACAAGTTCATCGGGAAGAATCGTGACTTTAGCAAAAATATTCGAAAAATGATCGTAAATAGCCTTCGTTCTGAGAATTCTGTCGAGTATGGGCAGGATATGAAGGTGTTTTCGCGGAAGCCATCATTTGATAAAGATAACAATGTGAGTTTTCCTGAGTTCATCCGGTATTACTCCGCAGACATACCACGCAACCCACACTGGCGGCAATTTAAAGACCTGTGCCATCCCTGTTTCATTGATTACGATGTCATCGGTAATTTAGAGACCTTGGCAGAAGACGCCACCCTTGTGTTAAAAATGGCGGGAATTGACGACTATGTAAATTTCCCGCCGATACACAACGCCACTGGCTCACGTGATATGGAACATTATTATTCTCAAGTTCCCCATGAAGACGTAGTAAGGCTTGCAGAGTTATATCGAGATGACTATAAACTTTTCGGGTATGAATTTCTTGGTCCTGTGAAGCATTTACTAAATCAGTCTTCGAATATCGGTGTTTGAGTGTACCACAGAATAAATTATACTCAATTCAGCATTGGAAAACTCTACAGGTCGGGTCAAAATTCTATAGATTTCTTCTGTGATAAAAGCTGGTACGAGACTGAGCTGAACTTCATTTTCTGGCTTTGATTAAGGGACCAATCGCCGATATTTATAGTTGTAATGATAATGATAATAAAAGCTGTGGAAGAGGTCTTTTGGAAATCCAACTTCCTATGCAACATGTTCACATAAACATCTTTTGGCTGTAATTGCAGCGAAACATAATTATAATCCAAAGTAGATGCTGATGCTGCACTTTTTATTGAAAAATAAAAAAGCTGTCACTCTTTCTAATAGCAAGTGGTAAACTATGCTGTCATACTTTGTAATAACACCTGTCGCACTTAGTGATAAACTTAAGATAGATGGTCGGGGGTGAGTAGACCCAATGAGCCAGTCTCTATAAATGCGGTCCGGTGCATCTCGATTCAAAAATCGATTTCTATGATGAATCGAATTTAAAAGAATTTTGATGATAAACGAGTGAGCAGCACTCTGGCGAATTCAACTTCTTCTGAAATTTTTTAAAATAGATTTCTTACCACAATTTTTGCAATCAAAGCAGTCTAAAGTTTTCATTCTTTTCAAAAACAGCCTACCGCATGCAGAGCATTGTTCGGTATGGTGAAGAAGACAAAGAGTCGGCAGCCACAATGGCATATGTAGCATAAGCTGGCACAAGTATTTAAACTAGCCGTTGTTGTTCGGGTATCTCAGTTTACCAGGGCCATTGTGGCGCGACAAGTGTGGCAAAATCAAAAAAAACATTTTTACCATGAAACCAAATGAGATCCATTCGAAACAAAATAGTATCCTTTCCGAAACAAAATAACATCGAAGTAAACTACTTTTGGACATTTAAAAATATTTTAATAACTTTGAAACAAAATGAGATCCACTGGGAGCAAAATAGGACACCTTCGAAACGAAAAAACTTCCTCTCGAAATACAATTATGGTAAATTACTTTAGGAATTCAGAAATCGAAACGATACTTGATCCCTTTGAAACAAATAGGATTCTTTTGCAATTCGATCCTTTAGAAATAGAAGTCTCCATGATTTCCAAAAAAAGATGATCCTTTGCTATGGATATAAATATTATCCGATAAGAAGTACTTCTTTCCTGGGCATTATCGCTAAATACATCGACTTCCTGTTTGTTTAAGTTCATTTTATTTTTCGGGATATTTATTCGGCCGACCATTCATTAAGTTCGCTTGTAACCGGTGGAAATTTATGATTTCGTTAAATAAAAGTACTCTTTACAACACACATACAACTAAAATTTTACATTGAAAATAAAGTAGTGACTGTATCTATTAACAGCTCCTTGAATCGAAAGCCAGTTTGAAAACCCTTGCCATCAGAAAAAATACCACAGGCACTATTATAATCACTGGCATTATCATCATCATTATTGTCATCTCATTATAATTATTGTATTTATATATTCTAAATAACTAATATTTTCATAATTATAATTATTATTGAGTATTTGTGTGTTTTTTCCAAATTAATGCAGAATCGAAGTGTTACTATTGTAATCATTAGTATTAAAATGTCAAATAAATATTATCTAGGTATTCTCCATATTATTATTAATATTATTATTATTATTGCTGTCTCTATTACTATTACTATCATTGTTAGAGCTGTCGTTATAAATAATGCTATCCCAGAATTTAAAAAATTGTAATTATCAACATCTATATTATTAATATTATTCATTACTTAGGAATTATCATAGGCTTTTACCATAAATGGTTGATGTATTCAGATCACAAACAAAGATGACTAAAAACATACATACATAACATAGTTCAGGTGTATTTTTCGGCTCTTTTCGGCAGAACCAAAGAGTGATTAAAAAGGAAATACTATTATTATGTTCATGCATGCAAATACACAGATATAGATTTTGGTTATATGTTCATTATTTCTTTTGTTTAATTGTTATAAATATAGAGCTATGATCTGATGACTGAGCTCTTAATTTTGTGAAAATTTTAACTAAAAAAACACTCTAAATTTATCCAAGAGTTATGCAAGAATTTAACATTATTCAATTATTATATTATCTTAACATTAATGACAATTTTAGAAACAGCGACTAAGCTATGTACCAAGTGAATAAACAATTTGGCATTTATTTGGTAGGTCAGTGTTGTGCACATTTTGTAGCATGAGAAAGCATTGATATCAACGATATTGTTTCGGCGCTTCATTTCAATGTGACGTTGAATAAATTATTTGCTCTTCTGCATCGAGTTGCCGATGCCAGGTAAGGGTACTGAATGCTTCTTGTTAATCTCCAAAAAATACTGGCTTTTCATTTGGATTTAATTACTTCGGAAATTGCCGTTTGATAGCTTTTAAACAACAGAAAAATGAGTGCTTCGGTTCGGCCGACATCGGCTGAGGCTCTTCGAATTCCATGTCTCAATATTAATTTTAAGGGTATACGAATTTAGTTAAAATATTGAATAAAATTGTTTCTAAAAATAAACGCATATATTGGAACTCAAGCTGTCACAGGTGTTTAATCGAATGAATTGGAAAATGAAAACAAAAAAAAAATCATTAGTTGATCTCTTTAATAAATATACACCTTGCCTGCGTACCATTGTATGTACCTGTGACGGTCTTCTACTACAAAAGTTGGTCCGATGCGAAACCGAATTCCAGTTTGTGACCATCATTTTGCTTCTTCGCCATTGAAGCGCTACAGTTGTATCAGTCAGGGGAAGGAGCATACTCAGAGTAGCACATCCACAAATCCGCAACCCGCATGGGGATGAATAACGGACAAATGTGTTCAAGTAAATTAGGTCGATTATTTTACTATTATTTCAGAACTCAACATTTGTGCCAACGCAAGACTAAAGCATTTCACGACTCTGAAAGACTGAACAATCTTTTGGAAGTTTTTATTGGACAGCATCTAACAAAGATAATAATATAAAATACACGAAATCTTGAGCTGGAAATTGTTGATGTTAACTTCCACGTGCTCTTTATCTAGTTTGTTCCCTCGCCCAGGTTTATAAAAGGTTTTGGCGGTAGAATTAAGAAGTTAACGTTTTTTTGAATAACCTCAGGAGTAAATAGACACGCAGTTAATTAACTGAACGACTGTGAATATTTGAAAATCATATATTTGTTACTACGAAGATCACTCTCACCTTCACACGGTAAACTCGTTTTCGACAAGTACCTCTCCAGCTCGATAATATGATGTTTCGAAGTCGCCCCTTGAGCAAGCACCCTGGGTTCGAGCAAATTTTAAACCACGCGGATTTCACTCGGCCGGAACTTTTTTTAAAATTACCATAATTGTTCTGTTAAACAATATGCAATAGATTATAATCTCTTGCAGTATAGTATTACATTTCGCGTGTATGAACTTTGCACACTCTTTTCTTCGCGTGTATCAAATTCCACAAAGTTTTGAAATCACAAAAATTGTGCAAATTAGTACTCGCAAATATCGTTAAGAAATAAGCAATACGTGATAATATTATTAAGCTCTGCTATTTAAATTATGGGTCACTCTCAAGCATATCAGAACTGTGAGCTTTGAAGCGCACGTCACCGCAGTTCGATGTGAAATAGTTAGTAGACAGGATTACCTGAAGACACTCCGAAGACACATAACATTTTGGGAAACATTTCTGGAGAGTGAGGTGCTGTAAAAGAACCAACACGCACTCGACTCCAAATATAGAAGGCATGGAATAGTTATGTAATTTTCATTCACTTGCCCAAGTCCAAAGTACACCTGCTATGCACGTGGTAAACTTTAAGAAGCTGATAGATTGTTAGTCAGTGGTATATTTCTCGTCAAAAATAACTCTTGACAGTCCGTACCACAAACTTATATTACGAGCAGCACCGTTGTAACCACATTGCAGTTAAAGTAATAGTCATTCCTGATTTGAAGTTCCTTTTTTTTTCTTTGTTTACCGTCATCTATAAAAATAACTTTGAAACAAAGGCAAAAAAATTTGGAACACGGAAAGCATCAAGATGCAAAATAACAACAAGCTTTCACTCGGGCCATTATTACTGCATCACCCACGTTTCTTTTTTTTTTCATATCAATCTACTTCCGTTTTATACGGGTCGCTTAGGCTGGATAATCACGTTTGCTCACGTATGATACTTTCACTAAGTGTGTACAATTCATTATAGGGGCTTTTGTGTTAATAAAATCAAATGTGACTCGTATGTTTTGGAATATGCAGGCAAAGTCCATTTTCTTCGATGTAAAATGTGAATTCACGTGTTTCAATGAACTTTGAGAGGTACCTTTGAACTGAAACGTTGTAGGTGGAGCATAGTGCCCAGAGGCTATTTTCTTAAAAAAAGATATGATTTAGAAGACCGGTAATTTCTTGCACGAGGGAGCTCCAAAAGCTTCTACCGATGCGTTTCAATTGAGGTGCTCTCACTCATTGTTGTGTAAATGTACTCCTTAAGTAACACAAGTGAGCTGAAACTGAAAAATTCAACCACATGGAATGAATCATCGGGGGAGCATTGTTCTTCCCGTGAACAGTATTTTCATAACCTCTCGTCAAGATGTGTTAGCAAGCACATTTACGCTGGTTATAAATTTCGAGGATTTTTATCTCAAATTCTCTGAATCTTATTTGCCGTTTCAATCAACGCGCGTGCTTGAACTTGAATAATTATGCAACCAATATAAATGGTTTGCTATTAACTGTCAGTTATATATCACATTTTCATTGAGACCAATAGATAATTTCTCCTTGCAATGTGAACACGCTGTAAAGCTTGCAGGCGAAAAGAAGAAGGTGACGTATAAAGTAAAAAATTACTAGTTGATTTAGCATCGAATTCTTAGCTGAAATTATGAGAAACTTTTAACCGACAGTACGGCTCTAATAGCAGGCAGGAATGTTTTAATACTGAGATCTGAAGAATTTAGAATTTCCTGAAAGTGAAGTGCCGTTTAGTTAATCATCTTTTTTTTTAGAACATCAACTTTATATGAGCTGTTTGAAGTAAAGGTTTACTCTTCAATTTAATCTTGGTGTACGTAGTATTGAAGCCGAAGTTAGCAAAAGAAGAACTTAACGGTATCAGAGAGAATCCATAGAGCTTCCATATTCAAACGTAACGACAGGAAATTAGCTTTGCCTCTCTTTTTTATGCCACTGCTTCAACATTTTGAAAATATTTGCACTCGTTGCGAATATGAGATCTAATCCATGTTGAATCAAGGATTAGAACGAATTAGTGAATTCACAGGGCTTTATTTAAGCCTTGACGTTTTCAAACAAACTGATCATTAATCTCTCTTTAACAACTGGAAATTCCATTTAGAACGAATTCGAAAGTGAAAGCGCAAATAAATTTTACTATTTGTATTTTCAATGTAGAGTGGTACCCATTCTTTGTATTAACAACATTTCAGCCTGTATGAATAAACACGACATATTTTGGCTTCCGTGGCTATGGGTGTTAGAATGCTCAACGTTTTATTGGACCCAATTAGTGGTTAGCAGAGTACCCCACTTTACTTGCTGATATTTTGCACTTTTAATTTCACCTAACAGCCATCTTCACATAAGGGGTTCAAAGTTCTCTATACAGATGCTGGTATGCAGATACTGTTCATATTTGCATTCGATAGAGTTGTGTTGTAACCCAAACTCTAAAAATTCACCTGTTTTCATTTACACAGTGAACTTCGCAGATTCATTCGAACTTTCTTTGAATGTGAACTAAAATGATCTTCCCTAACTTGAGATATTTGCTATCCACCAACACGAACTCTCCGTTATCTTGCACTGTTTTACGTTCCCATGGTAATTTTAGTTGACGGGGTTCAACTGTAATTGAAACGATTACCATGAAATATTCATCATTGGAAATGAAACTGCCTTCTTCACATGGGAGTCTTGCTGCGAAGAAGCAGCGGATAACGATGCAAGAATTATAACAAGCACCGACCTGTCCTCAGTCGTTTAAAATGGGCACAACCATATCGATACCGAGGTATTATTGACAAACAATTAAGATGCATCCATAGTATTTAATTTAATGCGAAGGACAGCTAGCGTGCAGTTATATGCAAAATATGGCCTTTGGGCCTAGCTAACATTACGAAAGCGACAAAACCTTTTATGATAAAACATTGAATATTCAATCGAGCACACGGCTATTTTTCTATTCAGGTAGCAATTTGTCATGCAGAGAAGGTTCCAGCTGCTGTCAATTATTTGCAGAGCTTCAATTATATTCGCTCTCCATCCAAAACCTGCTGCGGGCTAATGCCTTATTTAGAAAAAAAAGGCGTAGCTCACTCATGAATATAACACAAGTATATTAGCATAAGCTGGCGCTGCCGTCAACTAAAATCAGTCCCTCGACTAGGCGCTGCCTCGAGTCAGTTTGAACCATTAACTCAAGATCTCAACCATGATGAACAAGATCATATTTGTCGGTGCTACCCTCGCCATTTTCGCGTTGCCTGGTGGTAAGTAATCTCAAGGTTTTATATTTTAGTTCATTTTTACTTTCACCTTTTAAACATTGAGCATTTTTTATGAAAAAGCCCGAGCGGTTTCTTGAGCGCAAAATTGCAAAATAGGGGCGCAATTTGGAATGTTAGATCAGTTCAAAGTTTACTTTCCTTCTTTGTGTCTTTCCGATTGAAATACCTCCATATTTTCTTATTTTTCCTTCTCTAGTCCTTTTACTCAAGAATTTCTGACGATTCCTCAACACAAAACGAAAGTTTAGCCGTTTGAATCTCAGTCATGCATAGAGGCTGCGTCACACTTGAAACTTCTGCTCGGCTTGGTTTTATGATAACTTTGCTTCTACGGCAAAGAAGGCATTGATATTTAGTTCTCTTACTTTACTCAGAACTTTTCGTCTGGGGAACTTTGAAATTCGGCGTTAAATTGCAATCACTGAGTAGCGGACATCACCAAATTCATGGCTAGAAGTCTGTCGTTTGAACGAATGATTTCGTGCGAATGAACCGATCGGAATCGGTTATCTCCAGCTCTCGTTCGTTAACTACTAATGCACACCTTGACATAGATTCATTTCCTACTCTCTGCAAAACAGAGCATTTGGCACAGACCACGCGGGTGTGTTTCGCTTGTATGAATAACTCTCTTAAAGAAATTTATTCCATGAGTCTGCGGCGTTTTTACATAACATAACAGCATAACATGCTGACATGAATATACACTAACCTATAGTGGGAAACAGTCGCAAGCTAGTTTTCAGGTATCACACAGATAATAATTTCGGTGTAATATACTTAGCCGTAAGTCTATGTGTTGGTCTTCGGCAGCTCTAAGATTTCAGTTCCTCTCAGTTTGTATTTATTATTTCTGAGTTGGAGCAGCTCTTTAATGCATTTAGGCGTGTGTTATACAGAAATTTCTCGACTGTTTCCGTCGGCTATTTTCTCGTTACCCTTCGATGATCAGTTTAAAACCGCTCATGGGCACAAATAGTTACTCGCACCTTTCTGTGGGCAAGCCTGGTTGGTTCCACTCACGCGATATTTTTAATGGATGAAAGTCCTAACAAACCTGAAAACTCTGAGCTAGCGATTGTTTTCAGAGAGTTGTGGCACAATGAACTTATACCAAGATTGTCTTCGGTCTATTTTTAATTAAGAAATATCATTTCTCACGGTAACTTACCGTCGTGATATTGGCGTGGATTTTCCAATAGGAATTCGAATGCTGTTTTTAATGACAGCTTTATCCTTTTGTTCCTTGGTTCTGGTCTGTTTCCCTCATTTACACCCACTGACTTAGCTCTCAAAATTCGCGTGCGCTCGTTGGTCGAGAACCATCGTCCTTAAGGCTATCGACGATTAATATGACGCAACGCCAAGCGACCCTCGCCATGTCGGAGGAAAAATTTTTTTCGTTGAAAAGACTGCAAGTTTCTGAAATGCAGACAGTGACGAATTACCGAAATTTAAAATCGATATACTCGATGCCAACCTGATTTACTCATAAATTTTTCACACCTGTTTTCTAGGATAATTTATCAAAATTGAGAGAAGAGGCGACAGATCTTATAATTTATAGGGATCAAAGGGTTTCACTGAGACTGTGAAATGCTTATTAATTTATCTTATTTTGCGCATGAGAAGACCTTGAAGAAACGACCTTGCTTTGAAAAGAAAGGAATTTAAGGGCTTAGAAAATCTATTCTAACCAGTTTTGCGATTAACTGGTAGTCCTCAACTGAATCATAACTTATAATTTTTTCCTTCTTTTAGCATTTGGGTTAATGTGTTACGACTGCACAGCCATGGCGCCCTATAACGATTCAAATAACCTATGCATGATGAGTAATAATTACACGCCAAAAAACTGCACTGGAGCACCAAACTGTACCACAGTTATGATCATGGTGAACAATGAAGTAAAGGCTTATTCCGCTGGATGTGTTGTAAGTACAAAATAATGTGTCATGAATTGTTGGGGTACTTTTAAATCGATCTTTTCAGCTCCTTCCATTCATTAACCTATTTCCACCCGTTAGCTTCTACTCGTGAATATTGTTGCTTTTACATAACGGAATAACTTTAAGTCTAAACAGCCTCTGAATAGAAGTTTTACCGGTAAAAACGGGTGATTGATCTCCAAATGTGTTAAAGGTACGTCGTAAATATCTTATAAGAAAAATTATTATTTAAACAAGAAACAAAAATATACATGCGAGGCGTCATCGCTAAAAAAAATTACACAATTGTAAATGTTGAAAGACAGTGCATAGCAGATCAAAGGGCTTTTTACTTATTGGATCTTGTGTGTTAAAACACTTCATTTCGTTTCTCTCCTCAGCCTGCTGATTCAAACTGTACCTTCTACAATGAGACCGTATGCAATGAGGTTATAGAGAGGGGCAAGGACTACAATTTGACTCTTACCTGTTCAGTAGAATGCTGTCAAGGAAACCATTGTAATATGCCGGATCTTCCCACGACACCACCACCATCCACGACCAAACCAAGTGGAAATCACAGCGCGACAGAAGCTCCCTCCGCTGGAGTTGAGTTCCTTGCACCTAAGGTCATCGCTTTGTTAGCCGCCTACCTTTCAGCCCTATACTTTGGAAAGCAATAAAGTCTTGAGGTCACTTTAGGCAACAACTTTCCGAGAAACAGCAGCTTCACAAACTGCTTCTAAAAGTTTAAAGCACATTTTTCATTTCTTTTAGCCGTGCATGAAGTTTCTTTGAATCTGTTCGTGATGTGCATGTTTTTACTGCTTATATTAGACGATGGGAATGAATGAGTGTGAACGTCTCTTTTGAATTTAATATTAATATCAATACTTTCGGATATCATTGGCACATTGTATAATCAATGAAAATTTTTAACTTTAGGCTTCATAGCTTAGCGCCTAATAAGTGTTTTTAATTTTTTATTCTTAAATTATTGTTTTCGGATGGAAATATAAAACAAATGGTTGTAAACATTTCCTTCAAGACAATAAAGCACGTTGTTTCGTTGCATTCATTTTGGAGTGGCAGTTTTTTTCGGTGATATACGGGAGCCTCATTGTTAAGAAAACAGTTCATGGTAACTGAACATTTATATTTCTATCTGTGACCGATTTGAACCTCTCGTTTGGTAACTTCTCAAAATTCATGGCTTACGCTGAACCTAATATTGCCCTTAGTATCATCACGCATACCTTATACTAGATCCAAGGCTTCCAACCTGGGGGTGGGAAGGAGTAAGAGAGGGGGAGTGTGCGGAGAATTGTATCGAAACTTACCGTAAGTTGAAATGCCTTTAATTATATTCTTTTGAATCGATATCTTCATTTTATTGAATAACACACGCTGGATGTGTCTTTTTGATGGAAAATCAATTACATTTCAAGTGGAAACTAACATGGGCATTCATATGAATTTATATTTCGTGCTGTAGTCAGGCCACCTGGCCACAATAACAAGAAGGCATTTCCATCAGTGTCGTAAAACGAAAGTAATCACAACAGGCAATCAGAGGAAGGAAAAATATTACATGTAGCCGATAAGAACTCATTGTTCTGAAACAGGCAAACTCCATAAAGCCAGAGGGAACACCTGTGGTTAGGTTGCGATTGGTTGAACTATGACCAATCACCTCATTACCTCTGAGACAGATCTCATCACGTAGATTTGAGCAGGTTAAACATTAGAGGGCTGTCACAAAGGCCGGCTAGGGAACTTTTAATTGGCCAATATTTCGACTTGTATTATTGGTCTTCCTTGGGGCTGGTGTTTTATGTTTTCTTTAAAATGGTGCTTTGAAAGTCTGGTCACGAGATGAAAAGGGGATAGAAACTTTCTTTCATGCCATGTAGAGCAGTTCAAGAATTCAGTCGGCATTGCTGGACGATGGAGTGTATTTTAATTGCATCGTAAACCAAAGCAGAGTAACCACAGTGGCCAATCATAACAAAGGGAACACCACAAGAGGCCAATCAAAGTAAGGGGGAAACCACAAGAGGAAAATAGAAACTCATAGTATAAACAAACAACCTCTTTTAAGCGCGGGAATACGCAAGTGGTAAAGTGGTGATTGGTTTAGTTTTGCATCCGATCGGTCGAAAGGGTGGCATAAGTTTTCAGGACCAATCACAGACGGCATCAAAGCATGATCAATGCGAGCCAAGATCACTTTTTACACCCAATTTAAAATGGCTCTGATAAGAACTTCCTTTCAAATCTTTCTCAATTTGGTCGCAACAAAGAAAATTTACTTCCTTCGGCGCCTAACGCCACAAAAATAGTTTTATTGTGCTCAAGAAGTGGCCATCGGCAAAAAGGGAAGCCAGTCCCAATCCAATGGAATTATTTACACCATTTGCTTTCTCAGTAATACTATTCAATGACATTCCACCATTAAATATATCTACAATCATGTTTTCTGTTGTAAATGTAATAAAGAAAACGTAGGTAAACTTGAGTGAGTTAACTCAATTTAACGGATTTAAACTGATCTCATGTAAAATTTTTTGAAACAGCTGCTTGACAAATATCTTCACTGCTTCTCCTCAAAAATAAAATATTCAGTGATTATTAAAATACCTAGGGTAAAAAATCGTATATCAATGCTAAAGCTCCGTAATGGGTGTTTTTCTAGAGCCCCCTTGGGACAATCTAAAAAGTTCGTCTTTTATTGATTTAATTAAAGGTTGTGGAGATTGTCCGAGTGTAGATCCCCGCTGGTTAAAAGTACCGTTGGCTGACATGTTGAGTACGGTGTCGTGAGGTGGCATGCCCTGGAGATGAGATAGGAAACTTGCGTCCTTAGGAGGACTGTTACCTAGCGCGCCTGGATAACTTGCCTAAAGCATCAAAAGAGAAGAATATCTGATTAACAAAAAAAGATCACGAAATAATTACTCTGACTCTTTGAATTTAATGTGGTTTTATAACACTTTTCTACTGATCTACCGACCAATTTCAGTATGTGAGAAATTACGCACCCACCCCTCCCCTAACCCAGCAACAGTCAAAAGATTACAAGAAGTAGCACAGTTGCCCAGATCTGGCAGTGTTCCTTTACACTCTAACTTACTTGAGCCAAATCAGGATAAAGAGCATCCATTGAGTCTTCAGCGGCGTAAGGACTCCATACAAGACCACCCTAATGTAAACAGAAAAAAAATGTCATTCACAAATTTTACAAAAAAAAAACTTCGATAGGGAAACATAAATCACATTGCTGCACAGCATTGGTTCAGTTCCAAGCCCTGTGGTCATTCTATTTGCCATAGTTAGTCAGCAGTTTCCAATTTTCTAGTAAACTTGCCGACTGCTGACTCGAGGGAAATTTTCATACTTGAGACGTCTCAGCCAAAGCTAACAATGGTTGTCGGAAGGATTTCTAGAACCTGTCTTGTTACAAACAACGTGTAAGTATAGAATCTTTCCCAAAACTTTCACCGTAAGAGGATTCTTCTATACTGATACAAGCCAAGCTGGCTTTCAAATATTACACGGAACGAATTCACATGATCATCAAATTTGTTCTATTCATGCTGAGTAATTGTAGAATCCTATAGAATCTTTTTTGTCGGAAATTGCCAAACGGCTCTGGCGTTTGTGTCCCACCAGTTTCAATTTAAGCAAATTTATTTTTTCGTTTGTTCCTTACCATATCACTTCGTTGCTGTTGCACTGGGGTTATATAGACATTTTGTCCACTAGGGTCTGTGTACGCATACGTCGGAGGCGGCGCCCGCTGGTTCAAAATTCTGCAGATTAGAAAGACACCAAGCACTCAAAATGACTGTGACTTTATTGCGATCACACCCCCTTCGATTTAAAAATTAGGAACGCATGATAGTAATTCAAATAAACAAAATAGCTCACCGTTGTCTATCTGCAGGGTCCCAGACTACTATTGGATCACGTGTCACAACCGGTCGTACAGGAGGGCGGCTTGGGTAACCCGGCATGCCAAGAGGGGTCTGAGGCATACCTACTGGGTAACCAGGCATTGTTGGCTGAACGCGCTTCCGCTGTCCAGGTGTCGGTTCTGTGGCTCGACCGTGGGCTGGGGGTGGCTCTGGCAAAGCAGGCTGCCCTCCGGTATATCTATACATGAAGGTTTAAATTTAACATCGTTAACAAGTTCAATCTAATAAGTAATCTATGATCTTTGGCCGATTTTGAGGGAGCTGTCACCATACTTGGATTCATATTCTAAGATGTGTGCAATAACTCTCCTCTACATTAAAAAGGCTCCAAAATGTCAGACCGGTATCATGGCATAATGAAAAAGAAAATTGACAAACTTCGGCGGAACAAGCATGATAATAGTGAGAAAGATTAAAACGGGTTGGAAATTCCAAACTTGAAAAATCTGCGCTCGTTTTTCCAAATTAGCAGACTGTGTGGCAACTCCATTTAAGGATGAAAAGATATAAGATCCTACAATTTTTGTACAACGGCAACACATATTAAGTTCTCAGACAAAGAGGCTGAGTAAAAATCAAAACGAGACAGCTGACTTTCCATTAAAACAACTCACCTTGGAATAACAGCTGGACGAGCTGGGGTCGAGGAATATACCTGTGTGGGATGGGGGGCGGGATGCGAAGGATGTCCCTCGGGTATTTTTTCAGGTTTCTTCGCGGACTGTGGTCCTAATAGGGAGAAAGCGTCATCAAGCATAGCGTGCATACGTATACGTGTTTCATTCATGTCAATCTCGGATTCCTCTTCGCTTGACGGATTCGAGGCCGAGTCCACAGAATTCCCGCGCTTCTTGTCACGGTCCTGAAATAATAAATTACAGGGTAGTCCTTAAAAGCTGTAATGGGTCAAATCTAGCCATCCATATCTTGCCATAATTAAGCGTGAAATTCAAAATTAACGCTTGAAACTGTGAAGTAGAGAGACAGATAAAATGATTCAAACGGGTTTCAATTTCAAGTTAAACAGTTCTGCCTGGCAGTTTTTCAAAGTTTGTCTTTGTCGTACGAAATATTTCATTTCTCGCTCCAGATCATGTTAGAGCGAATAGTCGGCGAAACAGCTTCTTTGAGAAATAACTGACATTAATTTTGAAAGATGCGATAACGTAACACCTTTTGGGCAGCCTGGGAAAGCTACAAATAATAATGATAACGACGGCTTATCACTAGCTTTCTGACACGCTTTTGGCTTTCACAGGGCTAAAACAATCTTAATTCTGACAGCCAAATCAGAATTCTATGGGGCGCCGGCTATGAAGTTAATGATCAATAAGGAAACGAAGAATACAAATCATACCCGTGTACTCGTAGAGGATGCTGTTTTCGGACTTTTCAGTTTGCGGTAACTCTTCAGATGCGGCACTCCTTCTTCATCCGTAGCCACTGAACCGCTTGGGGGACGTTTTCTTCGTGGTTTTCGCTTCTTTCCACTGCAAATGAAAATCTTTTGTTTAAAGACCCAAATAAACCACAAACATCTAGAACAATGAGAATAGAACGGAAGGAAGGAATGAACGTGAAGACTTCCCACAACAAAAAATACCTTAGACTCCGATCATATATTCTTAAGCGACCGTGAAAGCATACTTCCAATCTTTTCCTTAACATACATTCTACAAGATACTAATTGAAAATCAAAGAACTGAATATCAAAATTCGCCGGAAAATTTTTCAGTTTAATCTTGTGACTTTTCAGCAAGGAAAATGCCTGCAATGGCTGAGGGCAAAAGCAATATTCTTGGTCATACAAACGAGCCTTAGTGAAAACAATTTCACAAATATGAAGCCATCATTTCTTCAAAACGTCCTTCATTCCCATGATCAACTTTAACTCCCAAATGCCACTTCTCAGAAGGAATGCATGGTTTATGTCAAGAGGAAATCATATTCAGTTCAAATGTCTGACAGGCCCCTACGAAGAAGTTTCGATCATTATCGCAGATACCAACAATCAAAGGTGTATCATAGCAGATACAGTCCATGGTAAACCAATATTCTGTACACAAATACTCACGTGATCACTCGCTCCGCATCATCGTCTCCGAGAGCATCGTCGATGTCATGCTGAGCTCTATCCCAGGCTCTCCTCTCGCTAACAACTGCACTTCCTGGTCTTTGAGAATCATTACGCTTCCTTTCTCGCAGTCTTTGCTTGTTCTTTTGCCGTTCCCAGGCCGCTCTCTGTTCCAACTCTTTTCTCTTCCCTTTGCCTTTTCGGCGGCCTCTTGAAGAGTCATCTTCGGATGGCGGCTAAGATACAAAATCACGCGTTGGCTCAAGAGGCACTGCCTTACTAACTACAGTAGCTATTCGGCAGAGAGTTTAAAGCAATTACAATTATATTGAGTTAGTAATCTCGACATTGAGAACTGACGATCAATAGAGGGAAGCCTAAAACTAAAAGAGTAAACATACACCACAGAGAACGATTATGCTTGCTGATAGAGACAGATTCAAATTACAGATAAAGAACTTAAACATATCAGGTAATGTTTTAGACACAAAAACTGTAACTGTTGCTGAACACGGCTTTTTGAAATTGGAAATGACAACGGTCAGGAAACTTCCTCGGTAAGTTATCGAGGGCCAAAAATTTTATTTCTTCTTTCACATTTACCTCTACTTTAACTCCAACCAAAGATTTCTGCTTCGGATCTAATGGGGGAAGGCTTGGGGCGGGATGTACTGAGGAACGGAACCGCACAGGGGGGTAACGTGGGGGACCGCTAGCCTCACTCATTACGGCAACAGTTGGTATTTGGCCCGGTGAATGGCTTGGCTGGAAATAAAGATAAAAAACCTTAATCAATTATAAAAAAATTTTTTTAAAAATAATTTTCCTGAAAAATTAATTATTGAACTTCGAAAGAGGCCCTCGTGAAGGCTGGTTTCGTATGTAAAAATCGATTGTTTATCGTTACCTTTTCGGGCGGCGCTACACTTTCGGGTTCAGACTCGGACTCTTCTTCGGAGAGCTGACTATCTTCTCCGCTGTCCAGTTCAGATCGTTCCACAGGCCTCTGAGGTTGGGCCGGAGGGTGCTCTCTGGAGACCGGTGGTGGTTTTGCTGACGTTTTTCCTTTTGTTAACGCCTCAGTACTCCCAGTAGGTGTGACAGATACTGGGCTTTCTTCACCTTCTTCTTCTTCCTCTTCCTCAAAGGCGGGGTTTGTCCTGGCAAGAGGGGAGAGAAAGCAAAGTTGTTTATATAAAATTACAGTCACAATGCACACTTCAAAAACGGCCATCGCCTCAGTTATGGCGAAAATGATAATACTCATTACTACTCATAGAAGTCAAGAATGCCATCTCTGTGGCTCGTTAGCATCAATAACTGTAAAGGGTCAAGATAATAATAATACATTTATTGTCATGTGATGAAGTCTACAACTTCTTGGAAGGGTGGATCGACAGACGAGACTATTTGGTACCGCGATTGAGTCTTGGTGAATGAGTATTTATAGGACTGGTCCGAAGAACAAGAAACTGAACAGAGAGTCTTTCATCCGCCACTTACTGCCTTTGTTCCCTAACCGGTAGTTTCTGTATTGGTCGCTTGGGAACCTTTCTCCGCAAAGAAGTTTCTCGTCTTCTGGATTTTGCCTCAGCTTCCTCATCATCAGCACCAGAGGTTGGGGAACGCGCCATAAAAGCCGTTGTCTTCATACCTGTAGATACTCCTGGTTCGGTGTAACGAGCTACGTCAAAACCATGGACAGGCTGAGGGTTGAAGAAAAACAACCAAATGAGAATTGGTATAGCATTCCAAGAATGATTTGGAAGAAATTATATATGCGGTACAATTCTGTGGTTTGGTAACTGTAAGAGATTTCAAGGAGCTATGGCCGAGTTTGGGCGTCTTGGTAAATTCGTCATTCTCAATCCGTTTGAATCTCTTCCAACCTCACAATTCCATCTTCCTCGGTCCATTTCAGGACATATTATACTTTGAGTCTAGAAACACTGAAGGAGGGATTCAACATAAACAAATAATGTCTGTATGTATTCGTTTCGCTGAACAGTCTCGTGTTTACCATCAATGAAAACAGAATTTCAACACCAGGAATCCTTCCAGAGAAGGAACAACTCAAGCTAAAAGAGGTCTTGAAACGAAGCCCTGCAGACCTCTTCTTCGGGTTCATTTGGCTATAAGCTGTCACTTGGCTATAAGCAAAAAATTCTTACCCTTCTCTTGTCTATTTCCAACATTTCAACCCTATGTGGATCGACCTTAGATGTCGGTGCTCCTTTCTTCCATCGCCACCAGATTACCCACACTATAATAATAATCAATAAAACTGGGCAGATGACCGCAGGAATAATCCACCATTTGATTGGTATTGAAGCCACGGTGGGCGGTATTTCAGTGGTCGGCACTACTGCTTGTCTGGGAGCAGTTAGGATCTAAATCAGTAACAGAATGTCACAATTCACGACTTCAAAAACACATATTCGGGTAAACCAAGACAAAGGCTCACGGGAAATCTCCATGTGGGGCGCGGAATGGGCCCAATTTCAAATGAGGCGCTTCAACAGTCCCATTTGTTTGTTTCTGAGCAAGGACACGCTACTTACAAAGGGGACTGCGCTGTCAGCCAGAAGAAGATGTTACTGCCTGGTGTATAGCGATATACGCAGGGAAAAACCGCGTACGTAAGTACACATTTAACCGGTCTGTGCTATGTAAGTAAATCTTACCGCATATGGTCTGGTTAATGAGGTCATCTGGCTGGTGCTCAGTCGATTCATGACAGACACCACATAACTGGAGTTCACAACTTTACCAGAGTCAAACATGAAAAACGTAACATCTACTTCAGAGGCCTGGGAATCAGTTTTTCTGACAGCGTCTTTAATCTGATAAAAAAAATTTAGACGCTTTGTTAGCCTGCCACTTAACACTCACACATACTCACCCTCTACAACTGGATGAATTTTAATGAGAATTATCATTGCAGAGCAGTACTTGTAACAAGTCTTATTTTGGAAGACCTTTGCCGTGGAGTAAACCAGAATCGAATATCTACCCTATCAGCACCTTAATGATAAAAATACCCGACAGGTTCACGAAAGCTATGGTCCTAGCTCCTCTTCTGTAAGAGACGAAAAAGGCCCAAAATACTTCTTAGAGGTGAGCCAATTAACTCACAACACCTGACCCATCTCCGAGTTCCAAACCATGAAGCGACCAGAAGTGTTTCTATATTCCCGGGTGGGATGCTAGTCAGTCGTAAATAACCACCCCCTCCCCTTACGACCACCTCAGCATGTCTTCAGGTTTCTCAACAGTTCATTCAGCTCTATGAGACTCAAATGTCCTACCGAATCACACAACACAATGGCCGGGCTACGGCTAGACCCCAAACCTCCAGATCCGGAGTACAGTGGGCTACTGTTTCAGGCTACAGTTCAGGTCACCGCGTAGCTCTTCAACTATTCGATTGTAATGGTAACTTTTGAAACTTACAGTTGCGCTTGTGCTTCCGCTGCGTTTCTTTCTCCGCGAACTGATCTTGCCCTTAGCGTTCTGATACACCGTAGCAAGTTTGCTCGCTAGGTCACTTCTGAACGAGGCGCTGGTTAAATCCACACTTTCCGATACACTAACACCTATGATGACGTGATCCGCTTCAGTAGCGGTGAGCGAGTCAGGAATGTAAACCTGGACCAAGACCTGTGAACAAAACAACAATTTAGTTGAAATCTAGTCACGCACTACTAACAATCTCTATTCTCCTGATTACAAAAACTAGTGACTCGAAATGGAGAATAGAGAAAAGCAAAATACTATAATTTTGTTTTTAAACTATGGAAAGCGGAACTGCTTCACCTTTTCCGGAGTCAAACTTATCAAAAGAGGTAGAGGAAGCGAGAAAGTCGACCCTAAGGCAATAATTTGCACATGATCGTTAGATACCTCAACTTCAAGATCTGTGTTGAGCAAGTTGACATGAGGAACTTTAAAGGTTTCGACCACATCAGTTGCATTAACAGGAGTGCCATCAACAGAGATGTAAAATTCCAGGTACACAATGTTATTTGGTTCATGGATGACAGTCGTGATCTGAAAACAGAAATAATCATCAACTTAACAAAAATACAAATCAAGGTTAAACCTCCAGGCCAGACACTGAACCCTTCTTGTGCTTCTAGAAAATCACGCTGATGTTTACTTTAATCCTTGTTTTTTAAATCCCAGAGAAGTGACTTACTGTAGCGGTAACAGGGGTTGCTAACTGCTTCTGCTTTCCGTAATAGGCAGCCAGGTTATCTTCCAGCTTCTTTTTATTCGCTGGAGCGGAGATGTTCTCACTCGCAGACGATGCAATGATTAAGGATACAAGGATATACGATGGAGGTGATGTAGTTGGTAGTACTACCAAGGCCTCAGGCATGTTAACAACCTACAAGAGATTACATTATGTAGCACGGTTAGTATTAATCAGGATTCCTTGGGAAAACTTCTCTCAGTTACTTCAAATTCAAATTCATACCTACCCTTCTCCCTCCTACCTTCCTCCCTCTTTCCCTTAACAGACCTACATGGCATTGCTGCTTCAATACTAGTATGGCAAATATTTAAGAAAACATTCACATAACTGTTGACGCCCGCTCTGAATCTGTGCCATAAGTCGGCAAAGATTGACGACATGTCAATGTTTTTCCAGGTCACATGGCAATTTGCTAGGACTCAGCTATACCTTTGTGTGGAGTAAAGCAAGCACTTTGAGTGAACCGTTCAGACGAAAAATGCAACGCAACAGATCAGATGCGAACCTCAGCTAACCGCAACTTGGTTATTAGCTCACCAGCTTTTCATGATATCCTCCTTTCATTGTGACTGGCCGTTGTAGCTCATTCAAGACACTCAGTTGAAATACACTTAAACTGAAAAAAGAGAGTTTTCTAACTTACTTCGAAGTTGATGAAGTTTCCTAACTCGGCCTTTGTTAACCTCTGATAGGCTTGAACAGACTCGGATGCAGGAACCTTCCTATCGTCTTGAGAGACAAAAAAGGTCACATTGACGACCTCTCCATTGTTCACACGCTCCATGTTGTCGATCTGTTGGAAAAAGTAAGGAAAAATGATCGTCAAAGGTGAGCAATAATGAACACAATTACAGATTGCAGAGCCTGAACAACGAAATCAGGGTTCCAAGGGGCTTAAGCCAATGTCTCCCAGGTATCGGTTATATGCTACTGTGCACTAGAGCCGTAATAAAAAAAAAAAGAGTTGTAGTCATCATAAAACAGAACAATCATGTAGTCTGATGGGAGTCTGGAATGATCCACAAGATCTGTTGCGTCACTTGCATTTAGGTTGTTAAGAAGCTCAACATGAATGTCTTCGTGTACATCTAACCATACATACATGTACGCGTAAATTACGCGAGATAAGGTTAAGTATTCCCTCGCTCACTGAGCCAAACAAAGTTACAGATAACACCCCAGGTGCCTTCCCCTATTTGTCTTGGAATTAACATTTTGAACGCCGATACGACACACGCAGCTGGTTCCCAATGAAACAGCAGAAATTAACCAGTTGCTGAAATATCACAAGATTACAAGAAGCCCTCTTTCAATTGCCACTTTCAAACATACATATAGGTTCAGTCCGTTACAAGTAAACATCTACTATAGGGAGGTTTTGGCACGAAACAATAATTTCACATTGATATACATTTGCCGGAATCTCGGAGTGATGACCAGATAAAGAAAACCAATCAAACATAGAATTATAATTTAGTTTTAACAACTGAGTTGATTATGTAAATTAGCCAGCGTAAAGAATTTCCAAAGCTAACGTTTCGAGCGTTACCGTTTTCCAGAGTGAAGCATTGGTCCTGCGTAAGGACAAAAGTAACGAAACCCACAGTACTTACAGTTACATTGATTTCGGGTGTTGCCCTTCTTTGCCTTCTGGTCGTCACTAAAGCGAAGGAATATGCCTTTGCGAGATTAACTTCCAGCTCCGATTTGAATTCTGGTGACTGAATATCTCTGTCGTTAGGCACTTTCACGATCGTTTCTACCAACAGAGATGGATCTAAAGGCTGAGGCGTGGGTACAGCCACAGAGCTTGACACCACTTGGGAAGCTGCTGCTGTGGGCGAAAGGTGTTGAGTTGTTGGTGGCGGGGTGGAAGATGATAACCCCGTGGAGGATAGGACGTCTGTGCCGACCACAGATGGACTCTTTGATTGAAATGAAGAAGTAGGAATGGCTGTTTTCTCAACGCTGATGACATGAATGGTCCCTTTGGATACTGACTGAGAGACGTTGAGCGTTTCAGACACAGAGCTTGATTTGATGACAGTGGAGACAGCACGTGACGTAGTTGTCTTAATGGAAAGTACGCTGGAGTTGCCAAAAACAACGGTAGAAGTACTGCTGGGTTTTAAAGTAAAATTCGAAAACATTGTGGTAGGAAGATCCATTAGGGAAAATTCGGTGCTTGTGAAATTAACCTGGAGGGTTGGGCGGACAACTACTGAGGTGCTGACATTAAGTGATACGGGTGTTGACAAGTGACTAGCAGTCGCATTTGCCAAAAATCCCGATGTAAAGTTCGCATTCACTGTAGCTGTAGATGACACTGTGAATGATTGTGTTGTTACCAAAGTTGGCTGTACTATCCTCGTGGTATACACAACGTAGCACATCCCAAGACTCGAAATAGTAACTAAAGGTGGTTTATAAACACGTGAATTTGTGGTTATAGTCATAGAGGGGCTAACTACAGCACTGCTTTTCACTACTGACGTTGGTGCTGGAGACATGACAGAACTTGAAATAACCCCAACAGTTTCACTTGGAAAGGGAATGGATGATGGAGACTGGGACGAGAAGGATGAGACGGTGACGTTCTTGGGTACATTTGACACCGATGAAGCGACTGTTACTGAAGAACTTCCGACCATTGATGTCGAAGAAAATATTACACTTGCGTTTGATGGCTGCTGTGTTGGGCTCCTTCCCAAGGAAGCAAGTGAAGATGGTTGACTAACACCCGCAGCAGCAGATGAAGTCCTTATATCCGAGGTGTAAGTGGAGGAAAAAGTTTTATCAACATCAAATGTTGAGATGAGAGATGAAGTTCTTTCAACAATCGATGCAGTTGAAGATGACTTGAAATCCGAGGAAAGTGTTTGAGAGCTCTTAACAAAATCAGTAACCGTTAACGAGATGGCCACACTTGCTGAGACATTTTGTACGATTGACGACACACTTGTGAATGAGTGACCTTCCATGGATGAGGTGTTAACCAATATGGCAGAAGACGATATTTTCAAATCCAAGGATGATGTTGGAGGCAGAGTTCCATTATACACAAACGTGGATGAGATCAACGCACCCATCGTAGGCTCAGTTGTCACTGAAAGAGGCAAAGAGGACTCCACTGCTCCTGGTGATGATTTTGAGGGTAACTCAGGAACTGAGAAAAGGCTTCGTGTAGCCATGACAGAGTGGCTGCCTATATTGTTACCAGGTTCTGACGGTGACAGATAAAAGCTGTTCGTTGCGCTACTTGGTGAGATCAAAACAGAGGTCGGAACACTCGTGCCATTGACGGCGGATTCTTGATCTGAGGAATGACTAGAGCTAGGTGAAGCCGCAAGGGTGGGAACGGTAGAAGTCGAGTTTTCTGGAGGTAATGAGTGAGATGCACCCACTAGATTGGAGCTGTTGCCCAGTGAGACTGACTGTGGCTGTACGGATGACCTCGTCACCGACATAGGAACAGGGACGTCCACCACCGAAACCGATGTTCGGGCAGCAACTTGAGTGCTGCTACTAGATGCAAGAGTCACTCCACCTAACTGAGACGATGTCGTAGTTGGAAATTTTATTAATACTGATTTTATTCCGACAACACTGCCAATACCAACAAAAGACTGTGGAGCAACGACACTAGAGCTGGTAAGAGACGGTAAATGCATTTCCGAAGAGGATGAAATCGTAATTCCACCTTCAGCTGACTGTGACGAACTGTTGGCTTTCAGAAGCGTTTGACTGGTCATAGGCGAAGACAGTACAATTGAATCTGCTTGACCAGAATGTAAAGTTGTGGAAGCCACAGTCGCCGTTACTGAGTGATTTAGTGTGAGGGAGGACAAGGATTGATTACCTGATGCTGCAAAACCAAACTCTCCAGCAGCTCGTTTTTTTCTACGTTTTTCATCAGGAAGTATTGATGCCGAAGCCTCCAAAATAGCTGATGATGACGACAAAAATTGTTCTCCAGCCGAAGATGTGCCCTCTATCAGCGAAACCGGCAATGAGGCAGGAACTTGAGTGGTGCTGCCAGACGCAAGAGTCACTCCACCTTGTTGAAGTGATGTCGTAGCATGAAATATTATCAATCCTGATTTTACCCCGACAATACTGCCGCCAATTCCAACAAAAGACTGCGGAGCTTCAAGATTAGTACTGGTATGAGACAGCACACGCATTTCCGAGGCGGATGGGATATTCTCTACGACAGTAGAAACGGTTTTATTGTCTTTAACAGCCGACAAACTTGAGGCTGCTACTGGTGGGATGCTGCTCAAAAGAGAACTAGTAACATTCACCTGAGTTTCAGTTGATAATACTTTCCCCATTGCATGTGAGGCACTAGTAGTAACACTCAAATTTAGATCTAGGTGTTTCGTCAAGAGAGTCTCAGTTTGACTACTTGAGATGGCTAGTGAACCAATGAACACAGGTGTTGAATTAAGGTTGGTGGATAACGTTTTGTTCGAAGCAACAGACTGAAGATTTCCACTTGTCGTTGGAGATGGCAATGGCGTCAATGCTGTCGCATTTTTCTTCAAAACACCTGAAGATCCAGTAATATTTATTATCGTAGACGGACTTGACGCAACTTTTCTATGACTTGAACTTCCCATATACGTGCTTGACGATCCAGATTTTGATAAAAGCAGGGTTGCATGCTGACTTGTGTTGATGCTTATTCCTTCTGTCCCGGATTTTGATGGAGAAACAAAGATATTAAATGACTGAGCAGTTGATGGTGAACTGTCACCAGATATGTCGGAATTAATTGATGATGTCTGTGAACTTGTTGCACGAGTTTTGTTTGAAGACACTCTAATTACAGTCGTAGAAGACATGTTCCTCGGAACTGAAATACGTGCACTGGTAACAACTGGTGTGATGCTAACAGATGATGTGACTTCAGTGGCTAGAGTCTCGTTTGCAGTGGGTGTAACATGCAAGTCACTTACCGAGGCAGTTGATGTACCAGGTTTAGATGGTTTAGATTGAGAGTAAGTTGAAACGATTTCTGTTTCAGGAGTGCTTGCCACCATAGCAGTCCCTATATCCTTCAAGGTACTATTAGGCTTTACCACAGTCACCACAGATGGCAATGTCAAGCTGACTGTGTTTACAATTTTTCCAGCATTAGAAGTGGGTATGGAACCTATGTCTGAAGGAGAGGCGTCACTTGGCAACTTCGTTGAAGTTCTCTCGGTGCTTTTTGTTGTTACTCCCACTAACCATGTTGAAGATATTACCCTATCAGTAGAAACAGATGCCTGGGTCTGTACTTGAGTTGTCATAGCAGGAGAATGTGTCAATGTCACCGTTGGCAATCCTGACTGCATCTTGGATGGACTTCCTATCTCCATTGTAATTCTTGGCGTTGTTGGCGTTGATGGAGCAGCAGTGTTATTACTTGTTGCAACAGGCAGGACAGTCTTTTCCACCACGTAATATATATAACAAGGGGTGGTATAGGAGGTGACCACAAACTCGTCCTTCGGAGATGACTTCTTTAGAGATACAGATGCTGTGGGAAACACTGCTGATTGCTTTTTTGATTGACTTGTATCATTCTGTGAGAATGCTAAACTCGAGGAAGCCTCAAGAGTCACTGATTTAACACTTTTTGAGGTAAATGAAGTAAATGAACTTGATAATCCATCAGTTGTAACAACACTCACTAAACTTTGACGGAAAGTTACAGTTGAAGTGTTATGCAGAACAATCACTGAAGACTGGCCTGTGGTATCTTTTGAGGCCACTGAACTTGATGTAAATCCACCTGTACTAGACAGTGAAATTGATAATGAGTGGCTTGTGACAGTTTTGGGCAAAACAGAGTTTGATCTTTTATCTTGAACTGTTGACAATGATAGTTTGCCTTCTAGGACCACAGAACTTGGCAGCAGAGGTACAGTTTGTACAGTAAAACTTTTAGATGACATCAGCACTGAGGTTTGATTAACACCCCTTGAGGGTGACATAGCCAATGTATCAGAAACCGACTGGTTGAGAGTATGTAATTTTGAGCTTGATACAGCTGCAGTTTGCTGAGTTGACTTTACAACAATACTTTGAGTTTGGATGGTTGCAGTTATTGCTGCACTTGAAGCTGGAAAAGTTGTTGCAAGTGTAGCATTTACTGCATGAACACTGGATTTAACTGATTCCGTGACAGTGGTGCCATGTCCCATGGTAGTTGCAGATTGCTGTGTGGCATTGAATACCATGCTTTTGCTTAAGGTGGTTGGAGATATTGTTGCTGTCAGATTTGAAACAGTTGTTGATTCTCTAATTGATTGACTAGGCAGTCCTGTTGAAGAATTATTAGTAGTTATGGTATGAGACAACTGGCTTTCACTAGGTATTACTTTTGCTATAGGTGATGACATCTGCGGCAACAATGATGTCCTAGTAGAAGAAATATCATTTGATAGGTTTGCCACAGAAGAGGCAGCAATGGTACTGTATGACTTATTTGACAGTGTGATTGTTTGTTGCAGATAGGATGAAGAAGATGTTATTTTTGTTTCACTTATATCAGAAACCATTCTCGCACTTGAGCCATTTAAAGATGGAGTCCCTAAATAATGATTTGAACTCAGTGTTGTCATAACAGCTCCAATACCAGTGTAATTGAGACTGCTACTTTTAGAACTCTGTAAAGTGCGAGTTTCTGTCCTCAAAATACTGCTGGATAGTGAAGTTGATGTTGCACTGCTGGGCAGTTCACCATGTGTTGTCACATTATATGCTGTAAAAAAAAAAATTTTAAAAAGTCATGAATAATAAATTCAAGTATAGATTGCCTCTAATTTTCAAATAAACATATCAACTATAGCTGCTGCTCTTGGTATTAGCTTAAACTACACAATGCCCTTTATTAAAATGCAAACAGATAATTTAAGACCCTGCAATTACACAATCAGTCACATTTTTAAAGGAAACATAACTTCCTGTCAATCAATAGTAAAAGACAACAGGATGGACCCTTATTTACAAAATTTCTGATTAATTCTTAAGAATTTCAAGTTTAAGTTAATGATCTGGAAGATTTCTTCAGGCTTATTGCAAGCATTTTTGCTGTATTTTAAATCAAATCCCAGAAGCTGATAGGGATATAAATAACTACAATATTGATTTAAAAAATGGCAAAATTAAGATGACCTTAAAAACAACTGTTACTAAACATTGTTAGTATACTAAGAAATATTTTTAATTTTGCAAACGCCATGTTCATAAACATATACACAATTAGTTTAAACTTAACTGGGTAATTTTAAGTTATCAACTGAGTGGAAAATGTAAATTGGCCACTGTAAAGAGTTTAAAGGCCAATGTTTCGAGTGTTAGCCCTTTGTCAGAGCGGTTGCATGAACACTGGATTCAGAGCACTTCGCTCTAATGAAGGGCTAACTAATGCTCGAAAAATAAGCCTTAAAACTCTTTACAGTGGCCAATTTACATTTTCAACTCAGTTGATAACAGTCAATTACCTTGTTATAATCTCCCACCAACACAGCACCACATGTAGTTTCTTTAGAAACTTACCCCTTTTATTTATTAGTTTGAACTTTTCTGTGCTGCTTGTGCAATAAGTGCAAATTTTATAAACTCAAAATTTCAATAATACTGGAGATACCATGTAAAAACCTTGATCAAAATTTACAATAGATCTGCATCACAAATCTCAACTTTGAGGGACTCTATGTGTCAATAAAGTCACGAAAAAATTATTTGCTTACGAATATAATAAACAGTTGTAAGGAAATGTGTACAAGTATATAGTTATTCACTTACTTTCAATAACACGATTAAAAACCTAAGTGAAAAATAAATAAATAAAAAAAGCTGTCTTTGGAACTTCATTCATTAAGAAAATCCTTCAAGACAATGACGGTATTAAAGAGGAAAATTTAAATAATTTGTTGGATTGTTTCAGTTACACAACTCATAACATTGCTAACCCAATGTAAATATTGGATAAACCCACATTGTGAAACATAGGATTTTTTCTTCGTCTCATTTGATCCAAAATCTTAAGGATCGAGGTTTGCCTCATTAACTACTGAGCATTAAATGTGCGTATGAAAGCTAGATGACTGATATGTGGTTAGAGAGTATCTCGAACGAAGAATACTAATAACTAGGCAGACTCGTCGGATAGACACACGTATTTGAAGTGGTAAATAAATTGTTACACTACATCTACACGTAGACAGCTTTGATTGCAGAGTTCTTACAGCTTGATTTAGGCTGAGAGACTAAAACACTTAAAACCATGATATCGGGAATGAAGTATGAAGACCGAAATTTGACAGGCCTTCGGCACTTTAAAGAACTCATTTCCAAGGGTTCAATTAGTTAATAATAAAGAAGTGCTATCTGTAACTTATGTCTCTTTCAGCTGAATATTTCAAGTCGAGATTACAATCTGTAGCAGCCTTGCCTCACACATCGCAATTATAAATATTCGCTCGACAAGAAAGAGGAAACATTGACCATTTTCTGAATACAGAATTCGACAATACCTCCAATTCACGCGCAAGATGAACTATACATACGAGTGCAAGTAGTCTGAGAAATCACCGGTATTATTATTCAGACTATTCCCTTGAGAAATTATCTAAAAAAAATCAACGATTGAGGCATATGAACAGGCAAACTTAAAGTTATATTCACACGCATAAGAGTTGAAAGGAGGGCACGGTTAGATACCGTGTTATAAACAAACCACATACAAACAATATAAATCGCTAACTTACCCGAATTCGACGATTTTATTGTGGTAGTAAATCCACCAATTTTACCCGATGTAATGTTTTGGATGCTTTGGTACAGAATACTCGTAGATGTGCTTGGCAACACGCTTGAGACGAAGCCAGAGTTCGAACTAGCGGCATATGATTTCGACGTTACGAAAACGATAACCAAGACAAAATTCATCCATAATGACTCCATTCGCATCCTGATATTATTCACAGACGGCAAAATTACGATTGACTTCTTATTCCCTTCATCTGGATTGGTGTTACAACCATTCGTTCACTTATAAAATTCGGTTTTTTTGCTCGTGGCTGTTATGAGACTTCATTACCATAAAACCATGACAACAAGCTTATGTTGATCGATTTCAACGACGCAATTGTTGAAACAATTAAAAGTCATGTGATAATTCCGAGGTGATCATTCCAAAGTTATCTTCCTGAAAATATTCTTTACTGAAAATGTCAGTCTTACTACCTGGAGTGACAAAACAGTGTTCAAGGATCTTAGAAATTTAATTTATGAAGATTTGTGGACAGAAAAGTCTCGAAAATATTTAACTGACTTGTCACACAATACAGCTTTCGAACACTATTGCGTGACAAAGTGATAAATCATTTAGAGGTCTGGGAATGAACAAATGAATTCAATATTTTCTAAATTTATAGATTGAAAAAATTTGTAATTTTAATCATAGCTTACCAAATAGATTTACGGAAATAAATGTCACCTCTCTAAGTCCCCCCTTCCTTAATAAACAAAAAATATAAAACTGAGAAATTTTAGAGTTCTTATTGTTTCGTGCCAGACATACTATTTTTTTCTAGTTGGTTCCATTAAATGCACGAGTACTCAGAAACATCAGACAGGCACTTGAGGATTCAACGAACAACTAATCACGCAGAACTAACTCCACAATAACAGGCACAATATAAATACACTTTCAAAAATGTTAATCTCCTTCATGGAGCAGTATGATAATACTTTTGTTTCACACCATCTGACGCGTCGGTCACGCCACGTATTTGGAATATTTTTCACAGAACCACATCACGATCATTCTCCAGCGAAAGAGCTAAAGTGAACAGGTGGCGTGACTTAACTCCATGTATGAGCTGATTTACACCTGCCTCATCCAACATAAATGTTTACACAGATTTCTTACGGCACAAGTGCTTTCTGATCAGCATGGACACGATAATCAGCATTCAAACGAAACCATGATATCAATTTCCTACAACAACATGCCCTCGGTTCGCTTAAATCGAAAGGTTGTGAGTAGGCATCGACCGTTCAGCCGGCGAGCTATGTCAACATAATAATGGAGATCTTCAAGGACATTAGGATTCCTCTTCCAGAAAGTTTCGAATCGCCGAGTCTAACTCGAGTGGGAAAGTTTCAACGTGGCCTTCTAACGTGCGTGTTCTGTATATTGCCAGTGTTGCAGGGAGTCGCATGGCAGCGAAACGAAAAGAGTGTATATTCTGGATTTCGATGTGATATAGGAGATGGAGATCTCGACGAAGACGAACAGAAATACCTTGTGTCTCGCTTTGTCGAGGATTACAGAAATAAATACAGCGGTGTTTCACAGGGTATGTTTATAATCTTCATTCTACTGAGTCTTTCAATAATCCATTTATACATGTCCTACGTGTTAGAAAGATTTAATTCTTGGTTCAAGCTAAAGACTCGTAAACAGCGCGGAAAAATCGTAACCGAACTGAAAACATCGACAGCCGTGTTTAGGGCTCATGTCATACAACTGGCAACAAAGCTTGTGTCTTCCGCGATCTTCATTATGTATAACTGTCTAGCGCACTCTATTGTTTTGCCTTCGCGAAAGGAGTACCAAATAGACTGGACTCCCTCATCTCTCCTGAAGCGTAGCTCGATTTCTACTACAGCTCTTTGTTACGCCGATCAAGCCCTCGAATTATCAATCTTTAATGTCGGTTTGTTGAGCTTTGTAACGTTTTGCGGTATGCTGAATTTGACAGAACTTGTCTATACCTGGCAAGAGACACGAGCCTTAGAGCAAACTTCCGATTATTATTTTTGCATGTTTCTGTTGCGACACAATAGCGTGACCGAAGCTACAAATATGCAGATAGAGAAAGAATTATTTTTAGAAGAACAGAGGAATAAGATACTCTTGGCGAAGAGACCTGTAAATCAACACCCTTTCATCAAATCTTGGAGTTCATTAGTACATAGAATTCCTCGCAAGATCTTCATTTCACAGAGGAAATTAAAATTTAAAGGAATCAAGAAGCAGAAACACAAGCAAGAATTGTTCAGGACCTACAGCAGAACCAAAAAAATTCCCGTAACTTCTCTGCAGGATTTTTTAAAGCCGGATAGAGACACGCAAAATCCGAAAATAATACTCTTGACAGGACCTCCGGGTATTGGCAAAACTGAACTTGTTGCCCAGATTGTCGAAGAATTCAACGCTGTCGAAATCGAACTATGTAATCTAAATTTTGTTTTCGTCTTCAATTTCAAGGAGCTCAATCTAGTCGACGAACCGATCACTTTACAAGCGTTTCTAAATCTTTCGCTTTACAATTCAAATGTTAGTGACGTTGTTTATCAACAAATTGTCGGAAATCCGGAAGAAGTGCTTTTTATCTTCGATGGCCTCAATGAGTGGTCTTTGAGATCTGTGGAAGAAAACGAATTGAAGATGTCTTTAGCTTCTCTTGTCTTGAAACTTTTAACTGGGGACCTTTTATCAGGATCAACTATCATCGTAACTTCCCGACCAACGCCCTTACTATCAGAGATTAGCGAAATGGTAACATTTGATAGATATGCAGAGCTGGCCTGTTTCAAGCCGGAAGATTTGAAGACTTGCATCCAAGAGTGTTTCCAGAACAACGAAGAGGTCAGGAATTCTGTAAAAAAACGCATCTCCAGCGACAACGCTCTGGAAGTCCTTTGTCGTTTACCTCAAAACTGCCGCCTGTTCTGTCTGTATGTTGACTTCTTTGCTTCAAAGAAAACCATTAAGGGGATCGACTCTCTCAAACTACCTGCCACAACAACTGAATTGTTTGAGAGAATGATTGAAACCGTAACAGCGGTGGAATCGGATGAAAGTAACCACGAGATATTCCCATCAGATCATTATGACTTTTCAAAGGGCTCTCAAGAAGTCTTGGAAAAACTATCATGTCTTGCATTGGAAGGAATAATAAACGAAAGATACGTTTTTAGAAAGGAAGAGTTCTCTCAAGTTGAACTGAGCGCTTTTGAGGTAGAAATTCTTGAGGAAGCCGGCTTGTTAAGTCGCTTAAGAGGCTTTAAACCGAACATGTACTGTTTCAGTTGTCTGTCCCTCCAAGAGTACTTCGCCGCCAGTAGAATTGTTCAATCCAGTACTACGGGCGATTTCCGTGATTTTCTGGAAAAGGCAAACGAGAACCATTGTGCAACACTGCAGTTTGTGGCTGGGTTGTGCAAAGATGGACAAAAAGGAAAGAGTACTTTTGTGTGCTTGATGCAACATTTAACCCAATCGATTAAACTTAACAATCATTTCGTTGACGAACCAGTGGTTGATAACCAAGCGATTGCTTTTCTTTGTAAATGCATCGCTGAGAACCCGACAAAACTGGGCCTACCTTTTGCTAAAGAGGTGACCTCTTCCATATCGCCGTTAAGGCCGATTGTCTTTACAGAGATGGGCAATAACCCGCTAGAGACGCAGGCTGTCTTATTTTGCTTAAAAGAGGCCAATGGTTGCAACGTCAAGAGAGTCATTTTTGAGGGCAACTGCATGGAAGATGACGGATTTCGTCAAGTGGCTGCATCGCTCTGCCACAAATCGTGCAAGTTGGACCAGGTGAGTTTGACAAATTCTGGTGTTACTGATGGCGCCATGTTATCGTTCCTTGAAAGCACTGCAAGCCACTCATTCCTTGGAATTAGGATCCTTGGCTTGAGAGGCAATGACATTTCCAGTGAAGGAGCAAAATATCTTGCCTGCGTGCTTTTCAACGATTGGTGCCAATTGGAGGAGCTTCACCTGGGCAACAACAGAATTGGTGACCAAGGAGTAGAGTTTTTCAGTGAAGCTCTTTGCTGTGGAAGTAGTAAAATTCACACCTTGGATTTGAGCTCTAATGGAATAACCCACAATGGTGTTTACCACTTGAGCAAGGCTCTTAGTAATCCTGTTTGTAATGTGAAACGTCTGTACCTTCAGCAAAACAGAATCCTTGACTTTGGAATGCAAGACCTCTGCGAGTCTCTGTGCATAGGAGAATGCAATCTAAGAGTCCTGTTCGTCAGCTCCAACGAAATCACTGACAATGGGATTGTGTACGTGGAAAAAGCTCTGGCACACAAGTCTTGCAGGCTCCAAGAGCTCTACCTTGGCTACAACCTCATCACCGACAAAGGTGTCAAGAGTCTGCTGCAGGCACTGCCTACTGATCAAATAAACTTGAAGATTTTGTCCCTGGCCAACAATCCTATAACAGACACTGGAGTAAAAATGTTGGCCAACGCTCTAAGAAACTCAAGCTGTAACCTCCACAGGCTTTTTATTAGTCTAGGACGCTCACAGCTTGCGGACACAAAACGCTCAAAGCTGCAAGTGCGATACGTCAATGCATTTTAATCTCTCAAACGAGGACCAGTGAGCACTTAAAGAAAGTAAAACAGCGAGAAACTTCCCTGCGCTGCTTTTGTTGTCATGAACTGGACACATCCGCGTATTTTGAATGTAAAAGCTAATGGGTTAAGGTTAGGTTCTATTTTAAAAATTTGCATGCTATCAGAGAGATTTGTTGTTGTGATAATTTTCATACTTGCACTTCAATTTAAAATTTTTAAGGAAAAATTTTGGTGTCAACAAGGCCTACTAAACTGTCACTGGTTGCTATGATAAGAAAGAAAATTACAATTTCAATTTCGTTTATTTCTGGCTAACAACTTTGCAGTGTCATGAACCACGTGTCAATAAAGTAGGCAGGTGCTATACTTTTTGTGCACGTCATTCTCTTCATCCAGGATCGTGGCGACGTTTCCATTTTAATATAAATGCAAATGATTGGTGTCAATACGCAAACTTTTCATCTGTTTTATGTTTAAAAAAAAATGCTTTTACAAATTAAGTGTGGACGTGTCCTTAAAGAGGGACTGTCTTGATATAATAATTGGCTAAGATCCAAGAAGTATCTCAAACGTGTGGGCTATTAAAAGATATTAGTTGGGTTAATCAGAGAACAAAAGCAAAGGATTCTTTGTTTAAAAAACTCACCCACAACAAAGACTTCAATTTCAACAGAGTCTTCAGTCTCCGTAGACCTTCCCTCCTTCCAAACCGCTCTACATGTATACATTCCAGCGTCGTCCCTCCCTACCCTGGTGATTCTTATTGAGCCACTATATGGATCCATGACCTTCCCGTCCGTGGGAAGAGTCAACTCCTCGCGATCTTTTGTCCAATGATATTTCAGTGGTGGGTAAGCGGATAGTTCTAGTTGTATAGTACCATTTTGGCCGTAGTTCAGTCGTTGAGGTGTCTTGACGCCATGGCTAAAAACTGGTGAAAAGGTGAGGTTAGGGACGTTTACAGAGGAAAATTATGGTGTGACGTTGATAAGCCGTGAACTGGGCCATTAGTGATACCAGCGCTTCTCAAACATGACGCAAAAATGTTCACGTAAATGACTCACAGAAGTTCACTGCTTTCATTTATCACCTCTGCTAAATCGTAAGAATTGTTTTTTCTTCCTAAATTGCCTGGAGTTATAAAGCATACATCAGTTAACCATTTACCCTTCAGAGCCTTCATGAGCAAGCGCAAGAAAAGTGAAATGTGGGCTTGCGCGATGTGATTTTGTGTGTAACGTGAGCCGCGGTAAGATGCGATGCATTTGTATGATTGATTTCACATCTAACAGAGGTCACAGCTGACTAAAGACTCACCAAAACCCCTCGTATTACAAAAGCTGCGGCTTGTATAAACAATGACTTGTGTGGAAAATGAACAGGTTTAAAGCACCACTTCTAACATTATTTTGTGTCTTAAAAAAAAAAACCGGTTTACGCCCCCGAGATATGAACCCTAATGAAGTGCATGAGGTCGAATTACTGTTTACCCCAAAACGAAAAGGTTCCAAGTACTTTGTCTAAAGTCTCTGAATCAGATGCGACATTAAGTTGAATTAAACGTATTTAAAGTAGTCGGTCCAGGCGTCCAGTCAGTGACACAAAGCGCGATAGTAAAAGGCGGTAGTATGGTAGCGGAAGGGGGAAAAAGCGGGGGAAGTTTGGGTCGGGTACCCGGCCCAGCCCGACCCAAACCACCTTCGCCTTTTCACTCACTCGCAAGTATCGTGCTCGTGCAATCGCTCGTCATTGTACTAACCGAACGCCTGAACAGGTTATATTTTAAGTCTTATTTCTTAACACTTACAATCGACCTCCAGAGTGAAGCTCTTTGATTCCTCAGATCCCCAGCATGTGTAATTACCTCCATCATCAACTTTGACGTCTTCTATCACCAGAACGTAGTAATGATCGTTTGCTTGTACCCGTAATCTACCAGACTCCTGATTCAACGTGATGTTAATGCTTTCAATAGCGGGAAGCCCAAAACTTGCTTCCCTGGAAGGTGTTTCCCAGGCGATAAAATTCTCACCTTTTACTTCACATTTAATCCTTATTGTACGAAATTGTTGAGCAGTTCTGGTTTCAAAAGGAAGATTTAGCACAGCACCTGTGAGGGAACATGACGTCTGTATCTTGAAATCAGTTAATAAATGATAAATTTTATTAAAACAATTGGAAATGACTTTTTTTATCGAAGGAGAGCTCGGCATGATAAAATCAAAAACAGAGCTTTTGATTTTGCATCAAATTGTATTACATGCAATTTCCCCTTTTTCATTTTGCTTCCCAAAAGGCATATTTGTAAATAGGAAATTTTTTACAACGCATGAAGAACTTCTTTATTAGCAATTTTTAAACAACGATCTTTTATCTTACTCACCATGTTGGTGTAAATTCATTACTATCATCAACAAGGTGAGGATTATTTCATCGACGAAACACATGCTGACAATACCATAGGAGGAGGCAGCTCTTCAAGAAAACATCATCCTGACCAAAAAACACAGAAACAAGTCACAGAAAGCCGGCAGATAGTCAGGTCATTCTGACATTATGGCAGGACTATGCTTCCCTTGAGGAAAACTTCTTTTTGGAAAAAAAAGACTGGTTTGAGTTATAGAACGGCCGTCAGACAGTCAGTGAGTTTGTGAATTTATGAATAAGTTAGTCAATCAGTCAGCCAATCAATAGCAGTTCAATCAGTATGTCAATAATTAGTTGTTTCTGGAAAGTTTCGCACATGGTTTTGAGATTGTGAAATGTGAAAAAGAAACAGCACTCATCAAGGGGATGAGGGATAATCAGAGAGAATCCTTAGTAGAAGAAATATCAGGACAGCTATGTTCAAGTAATGAAACCGGAGACATCAATACACTAAAAATTTGGATTTCAATCTTTCTGGCCTCTGTTTTTAAAATTCGAAAAAAGGTCACATATTCCAGCAAAAACAATGCCGAATATACAGGCATATGCAGGAATTAAAACCCACTATTTAATTAATGTAAGAGAATCGATTAGCAAATTAAAGGCGATTCGTCGGTTATTTCGCAAACTCTTAAGAAACACTTGTCAACCTCGCATCAACGCACGAAATCTATACCCGTCACCTAGCAACGCCGTACTACATCGCAGGCTCATCACAATCAGAGAAAGGCCATAAATTTTCCCTGTTAGATCAGGAAAGTTGATTAATTTTCTGACAAATTGCGATAGATCATCGTCATAAGAAACAAGAAATATATTTTGAACTGTAGTCTCAACGTCTGGAAATAGTTCTCGAGCTTAACCGTATTTTTTTCTGTACAAAGCACCCGTATTTTTGAGATAAAAAGAGTACAGTTTGGATCAAGAAAACTCGAAAAGTTGAAACTTATGCGGCAGATTCTAATATTGTTTTGAATCTATCGCAGTTTCCGACTTTGAAAAGTTAGAGTGCATCTCCAACTGAGATGTGTCACAGATGGGGCTTGATTGAAAAGAATCATATGCGAGACAAGCAAAGGAGGTGTTGCTACGGCAATCAATGTGTCAAATACAAACATGGAAGATTTTACAGACGTATTCTTTTGTTGAGTTTCACCATAAAACGTAAAATATGTCTTGAAATATGGCCTAAAATATTCAAAAGTACACTACACAGTTCTAAATGGATTTCTCTTCAGGTTACTCTTAAGTTTGGACTAGCGATCGATCGATCGACCATTTGAGCTCCAGTCCATAGTCTATTTTAAACTGAGTAAAGCTGCAAGCGGTTAATTATTATAAATTACATAGATCTGAATTGAAAAGATCTAGAAAAGGAAAGTAAGGTTGTAAGGGATAAAGCGAACAAAAGTACTTACCTATTACCAGCCGCAGCTTTCAAAGCTTTCACATCGAAATAAACGATGATACAATGTTCGGACATAAAAAAGGCAAAAGAAAACCAATTTCAACACCACAGCACAATAGCTCGCTGTTCAATCGCCTGTCTATGGTTAAACTTAGCAGCTATACACAAGTGTAAATTGAAGAATTGTGATTCGCCGACGTCAGATAAAGGCGAAACCAGCTCAGAACAAAAATGCAATTCAAAATCGTGATCAAAAAAGACTGTCTGTACCTCGGCTGGCAAAATTACAGCTGGCTTTGTGTAAACAAACATCACGCTAGCGTCATTCAGTTTGAAATGAAGATCAGTCACTTGGGTACATTCTGTCAGTGAGCTAGCAAATCGGCGTGGCTTGCCCTCATTACATATTAAACTTAATCGACGGTTGACGCAAATTAGCTGAACACACTGGTTGATTTTTTTGTTTTTGAAAGAATCAGTTCTTGCGCCGTCAAGTAAGTCCGAGCAAAGGACTGGGGACCTGCTGTGGGTACTTCAGCCTACAACGTAACTGGGATGAGAAGAAGTCTAACAGTAAATTGAATTCTTATCTCGAATTCATCGATTACCTCTCATAGAACTTATTGATTGCCAGCTTTCCTTCTCTTTTTTGCTCGCTGCTAGGCTGAGATGAATGGCGAGAGAATTGACCGAAGGTAAATTACCAAGGAGCTCCCATTTTGCAAAGACATTCACAAGCTTGGCTAACTCTATATATTATGCAATGTTTATGCTTCATTAGCACGTCGGTTTGCAGTACCACAAAGAAACTGGAAGATAAACAAAGGGAAGGAAAAGCAAAAATGAAAAGAAAACAAAGTACGCTACATAAGTTTCCCACCAATAAAAAATAAGTTTATTGAACATTTTCGGCCTTCATCAACGGCCTCCAAATCAATCAATGCTCTGTATTTACAAAGAACACCATTAATAAAACAGTCGTACCAAGACTCCTCGTGATTTATCACCAGTATTGAATAAAATATACTTTTTACACTTGCTACACACAAATTGTCACTTCAAGAGCTCTGTCACGGATAAGACTTCCTAAAGGAAGAAAAAATTTATAAAAGGCAATATCTGATTGAAAAGACTAAATCAAAGGTCCCTTGTGACCGAGCCTTCAGGTTGAATCTGCGTAGATAATTAAGGTATTGCTTATAAATAACATTAAGATAATCTTTTAATATCAATACCCATCCCATTAGAGTCAACTTCCCAAAGTTAGAAACATTACTTCATAAAAACTCGTGGCAAGATTGTTTGTATAAGGTTAAATTTCTGCAAAAAACGCTGAGCTTTGACAAGGATCGAATATACGATGCTTTTTGTATCGTTTATAATAATTACTGTCTTAAAATATGAAGGAATTTCTTTGAAAAAATATCTACTGACGAGAAGCTGTTCTGTTTAAGGCATTGGGAAACAGTGAACTAATTGTTTTGATGGTATTAATACTATAATATTCTGACTCTAGCAATACTACCAACCAACGCGAATTGTAATGGCTTTTTGATAATTACACCCCACACATCTGAAAACGTGAGTACATTTATCAACCGAGTTACCTCAATAAAAACAAGACAAATAATATTCTTGAAATTACATGCAATTCTTATGAAGAACAAAGTACTTGCTCCAACACTGCCCTAACAACTCAAAATTATGTTATATTTATAATTTGATTCGCATAATTAAGATGTTATTCTCAAACTGTGCCATCACTTCTCAACACTAGAAAAGTCAAAGAATGTATCTTTGAACAATACCAATTGGAAACACTATACGAATCAAAGCTTGAAATTGAAAAATTAAACTTTCTCCTTCTCTCAGATCAAGTTGGCACTCAAACTTCGCTGAGGCAACACTTCTACTGGGCTTCGATCGCCCATTTTTGAATGACTGAAACGTCAAATCGCACCTCACAGTATCGGCAAATTTACTCCACAGGGAACATTGATGAAATAAAGAATTTGCCAATGGCAGTCGCATTTTGGGAGAATTAAAAGGTAAGCAATCAAATCAGTTAACATATTTTAAGGTATATTCCAAGTTTGGGTTTGACTCTCTTTAAAAACCACTGCATGGAATATGGTGCTGCTAATTGACCACCCAATTCTGAATATGTCAAAATCATCACTCATCTTGAAAAAGCAATAAAAGTATTTCAAATTGTCTGAGCTCTAATCATAATTCAAGGTTCCACGTTTTCTATTCAGCCACAATATTAGGCTGTTCACCATGCTTACCAGCATTAATTCAATAATTTTAACCGTGTTATTTCAGTTACACTCATATGGCGGAAATATCGATTTAAAAGTACATACCCTCTTGCGCATAATATAAATATCTTACCTGCTTAATATCGCATGATTTAAAATACTAATATACATTGAAAAGCTCAGAATCTAGTAGCCGTAGTTATTTTATAACTATTCTACGACAAAAACGTCACCCCTCTTAACATCATAAATTAATAAGCACACTTGGTTTTAAAATAAAACACTTATTTATAACCTTCGATAGCATACATCAATAAGTTAAAAATCAAACTCGCTGCTGAGATTTTTTTGCATTCATATAGTACTGCTTTGTCCCCCATATTCCACACTACTCCTAACACCTGAACAGAGAAATGAAATTTCACTGCTCTTTGGCAACGGTTACAAAATTATTTTCTTTTTCTTTTTATCTTCGATGTGTATTTTTCTGTAATCTTTACAATTTTATGGTCTGATCAAAAACATCGATTGTGTGGAATCAAGGATAAAACACCCGTTGTTTTGTCGGGCTCGAATTTAAAACATATCTGCCGTAAGCGTTATAAGCACCGCTAGGCACAACATTAAAAGTCTTCACAGCACCTACCACTGGCGTTTGGTACCTTTGATTGACAAAAGAGGGTGGTGCTTGGTAGCCTACGCCTGTTATAGCAAGGCTAGGCTGCACTGGTGCTGGACAGCTTCCTCGTGAAAGAACTTGCCTTTGCTGGAGGCCTGCGTTCACAAACGATGGTCCAGCACCACCCGCCGAAGTAACATAAGAGTATGGTACGTGACCTGAAACTGGGCCAGCAGTAGAGATTCTTGCAACACCTGTGTACAGCGGTTGTGACACAAATTGCGCATGCGAAGGTGGTAGGATTACTAATGAATTCGTGTCCTGGAAAGAATCGTTGGCACAGCAGCGAGGTTCACTTCCCGGGAGGAGTAGAGTTTGTGAAGGGGGGTAGGGTCGTGTTGGCGAGATGTAAGTAGGTCCAACGTGTTGACCGTAATGAGGAATGACGCCAAGGGAGCTGGGACGAGTCACTTTGGTTGGACTACGATGAGGTGCCCCAGGCTCAAAGAGATGCGATGATGATGCACCCCGCATTGAATCACCACCGAGGAAGGATGGAAATCCCCCATGATGCAACCGTCCATCTAAGGAGTTTCCAATGTTGGCTATCAAGCCATAATTGCCCGAAGCTTCCGTAATTTCTCCTTTCTCGTCCGCACTTTCAGTATCAGAGCAGTATATCATTGCACTGTCTTTTCTGTTGCGATGATCATTGAAGTTTCTTAAATGCTCATTTTGATGCTCAATGTCTCGAATGTTTTCATACGCGGTGGTAGAGGACACCATTTCCTCATTAGCAACACCGCTAGCATACGCAGTATTACTATGGGCGTGATCCATGGACTCGTTCAATCCGGGACTTGCACTTCCGAGGGAAAACGATGACGTCACAATGCAATCGTCGTCATCTTCTTCTTCGTCATCACCGAACCCGTCACAGTGATCATCGTGCTCCGTGACGTCACACCGCTCGGGGTCCTCGTCTTCAACGTCATCATCGTCGACATCATCCTCTATCTCTTGCGAGTTAATGTCAGTCTTGTTGGTATCCAGGGAATTCGGTTCCATTTCATCGCTCGAACTTGAAACTGTAATTACGCTCGGAGATGAGGGAGAGTCTGGGATTTCAATGGGAGAGGAGGTCTGCTTAGCTACTGCACCAGAGGGCTCGCTTTCCTGGCGAACAAATCCCAGAGGGCTCGACACTTGGTTGAACTCCCCGAACAGAAATGTCCTTTCACTGACCCTTCGCCTTCCCGGAGAGGACACCGTACGTCTTAGTGGAACATGCGCGCTGGACAGTCCTATTGGTACGTGGGCGTTCGGGCCATTTTGAAACGTATTTGATGACAGCTGCCATGGTAACAAACCTGCTGGAATGTGAGGTCCACTCCAAACCGGTGGCGGCGCGACTGGTTGCTGCATCACGGGCATTACAGAAAACAATACAGAACCCGCAGGTCGCGACCACTCGTGACTGATTACATGACGAGGCTACAAAAGGAAAACACAAACGGAACAGAATTAGTTTAAAATGAATACAGAATGTCTAATGGGGGAAACAGCTGCTGATCAACTACCTTTGCAGACATTTTCTTATGAGCAATTCAATATTTTAGGACTTACTTATTGTTTACTGAATGTAGCTTTCTGTAAGGTGATAAATAGATAATGACCGATAAACCTCGATTAAATCAAATGCTTGGATGAAGTTTACCAATGAGGGTAAGTTACGAAACTTGACACCACCCAAGGTGTAATGATTTACTACAAATGTATCAGCTTTTCAATTCCATTAAGGAGGGTTGGGATCAGGCTCTCAACAGTTCGCTTGGTAGCCCAGTTGGTTGCAGCAACCAATTAGTATCTGGGAGGAACAGGTTCAAATTCATTGGAAGCCAGCAATCATTTTTGGAGCTATGCTTTGTACAATAGCTTCAACTCTAGTTTTCCTGGGAAAATCATTGTTTTATTAATCATCCACAGGTTTAATAGTTACTTCACTCATCTGTCGTCAGTCAGTATCATGTTGCTCAGTTATTTCCTCATGATCAAACACCTATTTCGCAATTTATACTAACCTCACGAGGACGTTCAAATGTATCACCATCCTGTTGAAACAAACGAACTGTTAGTAATGATGTCCATGTTACATCTGAGTGAATCGCATCAACGTCATTATCTGAGCAACTACACACCTACCCCTCCCCTCCCCTCCCCTTACCCAAAATTAACCTAAACTTGTTGTCAGTTGACCATTGTTGGGCTAGGGGGAGGGGTAGGTGTATGGTTGCTCCAATATTGACATTGATCTAGTGAATCGTTAGGGTTGAAGTTCATGCCCCTATATGAATCGCCGGAATTTTTCATTTTTTAAACCTTTTTTTTAATCTCAGAAAGACTGTTCTGCATCAAGAAAAGATGGAAACGTATAAGAAGCTGCATTTCTTGAAAGATCTCTTCAAATTGAAGGGAAAAAATTATCCTTATTGTTTGTTGCATTTCAACAGATGTCAAACTATGCAGTACTTACCAAGTGATAGATGCCAGGGCTGGGTTCAGCTGATATATAACCATTGTCATCAGAGCCCCGCCATGCACCAACAGGAGGTGGGTTCATTGGTCGACTAAAATATAACACCAATTAGTAAAACTACTTACCACTTTCAGATATGCTAGAAGAAATCTCAAATGAGACTCGAAAGTAATTCATGATTTAAGTGCTTTTCTTTAAAATTCTAAGTCAATGGATTCGGACAAAAAGCAGCCCAGTTACTTTTTCATTATTGCTCGGAAAGTAGAAGGTGATGTAATGTCAGTCATTCACTGGCATTCTGAAAAAGAGCGGTTCAAGAGCACCAAATAGGATTCGAGCTTATATCCTTAAAAAAATTTTCATCATACCTTGGGTTGTCCATTCCTTGCAGGTTCTCAGGAATTATTGGCTGAACAGTTGACAAACCTACAGCACCACTCCAATGGGGTAGGAGCTAAGAAGGAAGAAAAAAAATGAGTTACAGACTGGTCCTGCGCAAGGTTAAGTCATTTCCACTAAAAGAGTTTCTTCCATACAGGATTTTTGTAACTCTGTTGCAAAACTGCCGCCTTTCCTTTTTTCTTTTTTACTTATTTTGAAACAAAAAGCAAACTGTCAAGAAGTCCACGAGTAAGCTTGCTAGCAACAAACGAACAATACCAAGAGTAATCCCACCGGAAAGATAGATATGTCCTTCTTTGGAAGCTGATCAGTAGTATATTCTTCCCACTGTCAGGTCGTTCAAGAAACACATGGAGATCGACAACGAGATTTTTAATGTGGCTAAATGCTTGTCATATCTCCAACTGACTTTACCTGTAATGCGGGATCGGAGCCAAACCGCTTATGAGTCCACGTTTGAAGGGGAACACTCTAAAAGTGATGTTGAAAAATATAAGTTAGTTGTGTGACTCAAAAGTACACAATGTGTACTCTTTTTGAAAGAAATCACATATTTTGTCCACATACACGTATAGTCCAATGTAAAATAATTGGTTTGCTACCAAGAATAACAGTTGAACGTGTAGTATGATCGTCTAGGTGAGAGTACTTCTGAAAAGAACAGTTATATTTCCACAGCTAGGGAGGAAGTCATTATCAGAGGCAAGTAAAGAGTTGTATGTCAATCGAATTTTTAAATGAAATCACGGAAAAAATGATGAATCAGTTTTCATGAACCAGACTTCCAACGCATAACAGACAAAAATTCCCGTCAATCTGATCGACTACATTCTGTTAGGACTTTTCTCATCCAGACGATCTGATCACATGGTCAGTGAGCAATTTCACTCGAATTTGGTGTTGGATCAAAGGATAATCCCCCCGTTAATATTTTTCATCATTCTTATCAGTTGGCTGCTTAATATTGTATTGATATTGCAATGAGAAATTATGTCTATGACACTCTTGGGAATGAAAGGGTTAAATTTTGTTACACTGAAGGTTTTGCTTTATGTGTTGGGTACAATTTAAGTAAAACTCACTTTAGCATAAAGTCCAGACGAGGCTGGCAACGTGAGAGTTGCTTGAGGAATGGCCATTGATACAACAACTGGTCTGGGCTAGAAAAAGATCAGATAGAAACAGTAAGAACTAAGACTGTAACACTTGCGACCAAATTCAAACATTGGAAAGAATTTGGACAAGTCTAGCCTGTAAACTTTGCAAACTGTGGATGAGTAAATACCATACCTGCTGTGGAGCTGCTTGAGAAGGAAACAGATGTTTCTGAGGTGACGAGTTGTCTGGCTGACAGAGGACAGCATGCTGGGGAATGTAGTGAGACCCAATGAAGTCCGATGCAGTTGTCTGAAGGTTTGGCTGCTGAAGTGAATAATTAAAAGAAAGGGGTTTTTAGCTGTTTTGACAAATTTGAAGTGATAGTTTTGCTAGTTACATCTTTCTAAAATGCTGCTAGACAAAGCAGTAAAGTACTAAGCACACTTTGCTTTAATATATATATATATATATATATATATATAAATGAATAAATTAGCAGAGCTAAGTATACATAAGTTAGAGAATTAAAGAGGACGCATTGATTCTCATTGAATCTATGTTTCCTCTTTAATTCTCTAACTGATATATATATATATAATTTAATATATACATATACTGAGAGTAAAGTCATTAATGAAGACATAGATCACAGGCTCTGGAAACAAAAACATGTGTAGTTTAAACAGTCACAAATTACAAACAAAATTTGGTCAATCTTACCACAGCTTGAAGAGGAGCCACAGGTACTCCAGCCTGTGGTGCAAACTGATCTACTGTGGGCTGTGGAAGTCCACTGATGTGTTCTTGGTTTAACATGCTTTCACTTCGCACCACTGGAAGATGGACATATGAACTTGTAGAAGCTCGTGGAATACCAAACAAAGAACTTGATGGCAGTGATGAAGTTTGTTCAGCAATTCCTCTGTTAAATCTGCAAACTTGCATGCTCTTCACAGCCATGTTAAACCTGAAGCCACAAAACAGTTACCATTATCAGAAAAGAATACTAACTTCAGTGGTAAGTAGACACTAAGACTTACCAGTGTAAGCCCCCAATTTTAAATGATGATCTCTCTGTATCTCAGAAACAGAGCAGGAGACTGCTTTTATTGATCAAACAATGCACTACTCATATTTCTACTTACGTATTGCAGTGAGCAAAGTCAACCAAGCGAGCCAGTGTAATGAATGGATGTCTGAGAGCTTCATCTGGAGTAATCCTCTTGTCTGGATCAATAATCAGAGTTCTCTTCAGCAAATCTGTAAATTCATACCTTTAAAAAAGAAACAATGAACGGCTTTGATTAAAAAAAATAACAGTCGATAAGAATTACCATGAACTGCAAGGCCTTGGAATGCTGTGTAATTAGATGTAAATTAAATTAAGATTTTATCTTCCATTTCCATTTTTTAAATGCAGTTCTCAAAGTACCTGATTGATAACCATAATGAAGCTATAAATTGTTCAAAATTTTTTGCAAGTGAAGCATTTTCCAGCAAGAGTCATGAAAATTCCAGCATAGAATTTTGGAATGTTAAAGTAATTTTTCAAAAAGGGATAAAAAATCTCTTAGGTTTTTTACTTGAGTTAAAGGTTTTGAATTGTAATGATCAGACTACGTACATCAAAAGATTATGTACATTAAAAATTAATTCAGCAGTCTTGAATTAACTGAACAGTCTTCAGTACCTGTCAATCTTTTCAGCGACACGTTCATTCCCCACCAGACTGCTGGCCAGGTTGACTTGTGCTATTTCATCCAAACAATTGAAAATGTATTTCCTAGCTTCTTGTGACTTGATTTTGGTTTCCCTTTCATGTTCACCAGCATTCTGTTAAGAACAATTACTGTTAAAATTCACCAATGTACTAATTGCAGCAGTTCCAATGAGATTTAAAACAAAAACTGCAAAGTAGGCAGCTTATGCAAGTTCGATCCTTATCCTAAGGTTGCTAATTTCAGAGGAAATAGGCAGCAATTTTGCTTCACCAAGAAGGCAAATTTTGCTGGTCGATGCCTCTCACTGAAATTATGCAAAAGAATCTTATTGCCATTAACAGGGAACCATGGACAGGATTGTTAATATTACACAAAGATCACACAAAGAAAGAAAAGGGAGGTACAAAAAAAGTGAAGACCACTGCAACTTCGAAAATGAAAGAAATGGCAAGTAATAACAAAAAATGTTCATGGAAAAGGTAAAAGCTGGAGGGAAAAATAACTAAAAACAAAAAAAAATCACAAATAATGGAATTAATTTTTAAAAGAATTAAAACAGCAATAGTTCAAGGTAGATTTTTAATTTTTGTTAAATTAACTCCTGAACAGAAATATTTGTGCTCTTTGCATTTTGTCCCCTTGCAATTGTAAACACAGAAACAAGAGCTGGTAACAGGATTTATTATTACCCTAGAAATTACAAATTCACTGGGAACAACTGTGCTAAATCAGTTGTGTCACTAATAAACATCTCACCTTCATCTTCCATTCTAACAATCCTGTTGTTGTGTTCACAGCTTTCTTGAAAAACTTTAAACTTTTGGAGCCATTTGTTAAGAGATGATCACTTGGTAAACCTTGGGTCTGTGAAATGTAGCGGATCTGGAAAGTTAAACAAAATCATAATTAAGTAAAGCATGAGCTTGTAAAGAAACTGTTGTGCAGTGTCTGCAGGCAAGGGAAACATCACAGTCAGAAGTGGCTAGTTTACTCTTGCTGTTACCATTTAGGATAGATAGCATTGCTGTATAAAAATATTCCGGGTTATTTACTAACTTGAAGCAACAATTCCTAAGGAAGAAAAAGTTTCTTATCAGCCTGAATTCCCATAACATTGTTTAAGTCCCTCCCCAACCCAACCCCCCCCCCGATATTTTATATCTGATGGTAACTTACCTGATCATACTCTGAAGAGCCTGGATACAGTGGCCAACCAAGAAACAACTCAGCTATTACGCATCCCAGTGACCAGGTATCGATGGCTTCCCCAAATGGCAAACCAAGAATGACCTCTGGTGCTCTGATGAAAGAATGGATTACATCAATCCTCACTTCTTGTTTGACCTTTTCACTCTCAAGATCTCAGTAGTAATTCTCCTTAATGTCTGCTGTGCAATTTGTATGATGCTACTTTGGAGAATTTGATGTTGGATCAACTACTAATCCTCTGATTGTTATTTTTCTTTATTCGCATCACTTGTCAGCTCGATATTGTGTTGATATTGTAAGGAGAAATTGTAAGGGTTAATATACAGATGTGATCACATTTATATCACGTAGATCTGTAAAAATGGTTCAAAGCGCTCTCATTTGTAACCCCTGGTACCAAACATCGCCTTTTATCTGTCATTGCCAGACTAATCAGAAAACATTCAACAACTCTGCCTTACACTATATTTTAAAACCAATTTAATCTTGAAATTAATCAAACCATCTCCAAAAAATTTCTGGTAGTCAACACATTTGAGAAATAAAAAAAAAAAAACAACAACATTTGTACATGAAAAGTGGTTGGCTTGAATAAAAGGCAACAATGTACCTCACAAATAATTTTAGAAACATACACCAGCTGCATTGATCACCCTTAAAGATTTGTTTGTAAAACTACCACTTGATTTGTACCAGGTGTCAGATAGTTTTGAAGCTGACAGATTTAAATCTGAACATTATCAGAAACTAGATTGTGCTTTGCAAGTAAATAAGCCCATGGTTAGATCTTACAAACATCAGTTACATCTAAAAGTCATGAGAGATATAATATCGTGCTATTCTGTAACCTAAAGAGGTAAAAATGTCAAGTGTGAAAAATTCCTTTGCATCCGTAGCTAGTTGTGTTTCTTTGTTGTTTTTTGGTTCAAGAAAGTATGGGGGAATGGGTGACCAAGGCATGATTGATGGTGGAAAAACATGGCAAACCACAAATCACAAAAAACATGTTTTCTTGGAATAAGAAAAAAGGCAACAAACAGATCAATTTCTCGTGCATGTATAGCACAAAACTTGGCCAAGAACACTAAGAGAGAGCATCTGCAGTGTTGAAGCTAAGAAACTCCTGTTTTAGCAGCTGACAAAAAGTTGAGCTCAATCTCTCTGTGAGCCTCTTAGTTTAAATTTTACTCCACATTGTTTGAAAATCAGAATTTCATGATCTAAATCTGCCAATTATAAAATTAGACTCTTACTAACAGCTTCGGTAGTGAACTGAATAATGACTATCCAAGAAGTCTTTCTCACAAGCTTGATTATTGAATACACCTTTGTCAACTAAATGATTTCTCTCACATCATAAAAGTACTAGGTAAGCATAAAAAAACACCTTGGTCAAAATTATGCATGACTAATATGTTGCAAATATACATCTGATTGGATTGCCCACTCCATTTCTAATCTATTACACCTTGGTCTTGATTGGTTCAACAATAAAACTGTGAAACAGCTTCATTTGCTAAGGTATCCCTTTATGAGTTTCAAACACCATCACAATTATGGTCTCTTCCCTAGAGAGAATTTGCTTTTAATAAAAAATAAAAGCATTGATAAATCTGCATGGACAAACACATCAAGATAAAAATCTACAGCAATCTTTCCCACACCTATTCTCAACTTGTCTATGTTTAGACGATACTAATTCAAGTCTGGGTTAAACTTTTTTTCCTATCTTGGCTAACGCATTTAAAAATATTGATATTAAGTGTCCAACTTACTACACAATGCCCCAACCCAATGAATCTCATAGAAATAACAAAGATTGATTTTTGCAGAGGCCAGCAGTCCAAAACAGAATTTTACAGAGGAAAAGGTCAGAATCTTTACCTTCTTGATTAAAATAAAATTTTTTTTTCTGTAAGCAATACAATGTCTTAACTTAAATTTTTTAAAACAGCCCTTAAGCTTTCAACCCTCTAGGCAATCTGTAGCCAGCTTCAATCCTTGGGGTGACTCTCTTGTAAGAGAACACCAATATTTTCCCAAGTTCAAGAACAACATTTTTAATGTCTCTTTTTCCTATTCAAATGATGTTGCAGGCATTGTTTGAATTTCTGGATAATTTATGCCTATAAGAAGCTTCTAAATTATTGTTATTATCTTTGGTGCAAAGTGTGGTAAATGACCAAATGTGTCATCTTTGTGTGAACAATGTGTGCGATACTTTCACCTGTTTTGGCAAAATTTATAAAAAAAAATTTCACTTACCTTCCTTCAAATCTTCCCTTATCTCTTGGGAAATGCACCTCACAGTTCATTTTTACAGATTTAAAAACTTAAAACCATTGCTTAATTTTTGCCTTTGTTACAGGAAACTGAAGGAACCCACCTCCCCCCTTAAAAAAAACTAGTAATATTTAGAATAATATTGAAATTTCGTTCTGTGCTTTTTAGTAGAAATTTCTTTAGCTGCTATGGTCACTACAAATATGATCTGACTCATATGCATGCAAGGTCTAATACTGATCAACAAGAAAAACATCACGTCTAAACTTTTGTTTATTACAAAAATTTAAATCAAAAGAAACCGCGTAATGAAAGTATTCACGGTAATCTGCAAAAACTACATGCACGAAAAAGCAATTAGTTTCTTGATGTTATTCAAGGGTGAAATATTTTGCAATCTCTGAAAAGTAAAATAATCCTCAGTTCTGCTTTCTCGCGCAAGTAAAATCAAAAATTCCAATCAGTTTACAACTTACCTGTAGTATCTACTTTGCAAATACGATGAGCAAACTGCCTTGGATACTTGGGTAGCTGAGCCAAAGTCAATCACTTTCACTCGAAAAGGCTGTTTTTCGGGATCAACCAACATAATATTTTCGGGTTTAAGATCGGCGTGAATAAGTCCAAGGGATTTTAACTTTGACAAAGCCACGAGCACTTGCTGAACTATCGGTCGAATGTGTCTCAAAGGCAAAGGATTAAACTTCGATTGCTTGAGGTAATCGTAAAGATTTTGTTGCAACATCTCGAATACCAAGCATGTGTGATTCTTGTGCTGAAAGCATTCGATCGCACGAACAAAATTAAAAGCATCCGAGTTTTCAGCGCTCAGTTTCGCTAAAATGCCGATCTCGATTTGTCCCTGACGCGCATAGGAGGGATGATCTTTTAATATTTTTATGGCGTAAAGCTCGTTCGTTCCTTTTTTCCAACATTTCACCACTTGTCCGAATGTCCCACGACCGAGAAATTCGAGAACCTCGTACCGCGACGTTGCGGAGCTGAGCTCTTCATGAAGAACCACTTTATAATCCCCTTCGCTGTTACTGTTCCCAGCGGTTTTGGAATTCTGTCGCGATTTTTTTCCGTTAGTTTCTGGGACTTTCAAGCCACATCGTTTGTACGTATTCACGAGGTTTCGTGTAAGACTTCTCAGTACGTTTGTGGCTGAATCAACATGGATTTTACTTGTACAAAGGCCCGAGTAAATTGTTCCATTGGGCCTATTGAAAGAACTAAATGCACTCGAAGAATGGGTTATCAATTCGGCTTGAGCCATTCTGCACTCAATATACATTAAAATAGGTTTCGATCGTTTCTTTGCGACGGCCTCGTCCTAGAAGCCATTAAACCACAAGAAATGTGTCTTGATCATCCGAAAGTAAATCAATTCACGAGGATTTCACCACGACTGCTTTTCTCGTAATGAATGACTCTTTCGGCCTTCAATGTTTCCCATGTGCTATTAGCTTCTTGATTCCTTGCTCAGAAAACAATCCTTTGAAAAGTAACTATCCAAGCAACTGTAAGTTAAATTTTTCTGGCGATATTAGTGTTACCCTAATAAAATCGGCTGGGTTCTGTCAGTGATTTCCTTCTGATAGCGCGCGCATCCAGCAACAGAACACCATATTTGTAGTCCAAATCAGCGGGTTTGACGAGAAGAATTCCATGACGATTTGGCTGAGTTGCAATGCAAGTGTACAGGACTTCCAGCGAAGTGAAACCGTCTTTTTCGAGTCCAATACAATACGATAATATTGCCACGATAGGTCTTCGATCGTCTACAAACTGTGATAAAACGAGAAACGATGAAGGTTGCTCTCGCAACTGAATCAACAACGATCTCTAAGACTTCAAAGAAATTTTTATCTTCAAAATATTTTCTCGATGAGATGTTGCCACCAATGCTTTCAATTCTTTGTGTTTGTAAACGTTGAGTACTAGTGTTCACTTCCTTTGAATCGTAAAACTTCACAAATGGTCTACCAGTTTATCATATGTAATATTTAAGCAATCTTCATAAATACTTGATAGTTTGCTTCCATTGCGAGTTCAGTTCTCTTGTTATTCCTCAATAATGCTAAAACACTTTCCTCGTTAACAATCCTTCCCTCAAGTCTATCATTTACTTCTTCAGAGGAATTCGCGGCCAGAAATGGTTTCAATACGCGGAGAGATTTCAGCTCCGAGAAGCAACAAAATTGAAATTGATTGTTTTGTTCGAAAATATTCTTGTTGTTCGAGTACCTAGCACCGAGCTTGCCTTGAAAAGTGAATGAAAACGATTTCTTCTGCTGTTCAGTTTAAGATCAAAAAATTTTTCATAGGCCCCTGATGAACTGAGCAGCACGACAGCACAGTAAATAATCCACGAACAACGAAGATTTCGACGAGGCCAGGAAAGTGCGAAAAAGCCAAATTTGATACGCTACCGCAAAAGACCCGAGAAATCTTCAGAACTTTCAGTTTCCAGTTGCATCCCCTCAATCGTAGATCGAAAAGCAGCAGATTTCCTTCAGATCCGTACAAAATCTGCGGCAACAAGCAAAATTCACTACATCCTCAATGCGCTCAATGCATGGTGTTAAGATTGTTAGTACAGGGAAGCGCGCGCCATGTTTGCTACTATGACGTAACTAATGTCTCTGTGTGACCAATCAGAGACTGATACCCAAGTTTTGGTCAGTGACGTCACAGAGTACGTCAAATAGTTGCCAGGATAAGATCTGTTGGGTAAGAAATTTCGCACACAGTTTTTAAAATCCTGAAAGAAAAATTAAAGGAAAATCGAGCTTTCAAAAAGAGCGAAGACACGAAAAACCTTCTTCCTTGTGACGAATTTAACTTCTAATCACAAAAAAGGAAACACTGAAAATGCTTAAAATTTTTGTAATGTCTTTGAGTGAATAAAATTTATTCGGTCGCTAGCGTTAACCAATAGCTATTAGCGATTGTGCGGGGAAACCAATACACATGTATTCTGGAATATTTAAATTAGCAGCAAGGTAAGACTCGGCTGTTATCATGGACTTCAATTAATTTTCTCTATTGAATATTGCCGAGAAGCAAACAACGCAGGAGCAAAAATAAATTTAATCCGGAATTGCACCATTATTTAGGTTTATCGCTGTAAGACATTTTAAAATTTCAGAAACAAAATCAAATTATCTAAGAATATTGAAAAAGAAAGACATTCGCTGTTTTTGTCAACAACCAGCATAAGACAATGAGATTCGAGTTACAGTCGGGGTTAATTCAGTTTAGGAGCTTTGGTCGGTTCGATTCGGTTCGCCGCTATTCATGACCCCGTGCACTGTTGTTTCGCTTTTCGGGATTTGCGTTGAGACAGACTAGGCAACAGAATGGCAAATTTTCAACCGAAAGCTGCACATAAACCGCAAATTTCCTGTACGACTATTTGACGTAGATCTAAACAGACTTATCGATAATCTTCAGGAGGCAAATTCTTTTTTACCCACAATATTTCCGGAAATTTGGAAACTGAGGTGTAAAGGAAAAAGGAGCTTTGTTGTTTCTCCTACACATTGGATAACTCAATGACGTCCCTTGCACTCAGTAAGAAACAAAAATAAATAAAGAGCAGTGTTTTGCTTTCAGCCATGAGTACCAAGGCTCATTTCCTGAACAGCGGCTGGTAATCGAGCTTACGCTACATGAGATTTGGAGACCACACACGTCAGCGGACATGGCAGAAGGTTTTGTTCCCTCATAACATGTCGCAAGGGTAATTTTGCTACACATGACGCGCCATAGTCTCCGACCGGTTTGGTTCAATAACCTTTGACTCCCGAAATGATCAATATGGAAATTCTTCTTTGAATATCAAGGCTCCTCCGAGAGGCAGGCAGATCAAATAATGTCGTAGCACTTACTGATATAGAAGTAAACTGCCGTAAGTAAGGAGAATTTGCTTCAGATCAGTTATTTTGAGCGCAAGTATGAAAATCGTTATCTGATGGGACACTCAACTTGTCTTGAATGATTGAAAAGAGAAATAAATGTTTAACATTTAGATAGTATGTTACATGTTTTATCCCATCCAGGGATTACAATTGAAGGTGGTCCACTGTCGCCTGTAAGACCTCACCGCTGTCTGTTCTGCCTGCGCCGGAGAAAACATTTGAGTTTGGGTTTCGGCCTTGCGTCACAGCCGTCAGTTGCGCCACCGACAGCCGCTTATGAAAAAGCTCACCCGTGTCGCGTCTGTCTATCAGCTGATCATGGTGTGCGTTTTGTTTGTTTTTTTTTCTTTCCAGAATTAAGAAACGAAATACGTCATCAACTATGTTTACATAATAGTTCTCGTTAGAAAAACTTGGTTTGAAATATCAATCCGAAAAGTAATTGATTCCGCTCATGTTCCGAAAAATTTCATAGCATATGACAATTCCCCCAGCTGGTTGAGTTAAATACCCCGCCCATTTGGCGAGTGAAACCGATGCCATTGCAAATATTTTTAATGTATACTTGCAACAGAGAGTAACACTCATTGGCATATTGCCAAGTCTTATTTTAGCTTGGCGCAGAATCAAGTGACAAAATAAAAATACTTTCGTTTCTTTGGGAGTATATCCAATGTCTACGTGATGTGAAGAAATCGAAACAGAAACAGAGCTTCATTTTTGCCCAAGGTTGAAATGATCGATAAAACATCTGAATGGTACAAACAACAAGTGATGACCAACAAGTTGAAATTATCCGGGTGCCGATTGCTTGCACTTTATAAATACCTCAGCCGCGAAGGAACAGAGAAAGAAGCATATCACCACAAATTTAACACAATAATTCACTCATCTACCTTGGTGATTTTAGGGGAAAAAGCAATTTATTAAATCAGAATTGCAGAGGAAATTACAGCACAGCAAATATATTCTAAATAAGAACATTCTGTGGGCTGACCTCAAAGGTATAACATGCGAGTGACTTGAATTTTTCGCGAATAATTCTTTGCGGTTAGACTGGTGGCAGTCAATGTACGCCTCGATGCCGCCTCCTAAAATCGCTTTGGAAGGAAGGAAGGTCCCTTATCCCGGGGGTAGGGTTAGGGGAGAAAAGGGGGTTGGGAATAGTGGATTCATGCCCAGTCCTAAGAGCGAAGAGGAGACAGTTTGCAGTTACTTCAGATAGAGGAAAAAAATGCACCGGATCACATCAAAAGAAATCTCTACTTGTAAATAAATTCAACACTTTCGTGTCCATAATTTAATCCAAAAATATGTCCAGAATATTTCGTTAAACACAGGCTAGTATTAATCACATCCATATTAATTGCTGATACAATAATCAAATAAATGTCCAGCTATAAGTCTTCGACATCCAAAGTACGGTAACAAAATCAGTGTTTCTTTATCAAATTCAAAAAAGGCGATTTTATATACATCCAAAGTGGCACTTCTCACATACAAAGAAAAGTCATGAAAACTGTTTAAAAGTCTCTCGCTCTTTAATATGTGCGCAAAATTTAGCAGACAAACCTACCCAACTTGGAAACTTTCGTGCGACATAGCATTAGCAAGAGTTGTTCGGAAAAGTAACCAAACGGTAACTTAAATGAAAGAAGAACATCAACAAACACTCGGAAGAGCATCTACTGAAACCTTTGGCCACATTACTAAGACACCATTTGAGGGGCTCTCGACAATTCAATCCCGGCATGCACTTCGTCTCCATTAAAGTTCCAGTGTTTGTTTTCTTTAAAATCCAAAACCCGCCAACGACTCAGTAAAAGCTAAAAGCAGCAAAAATTCGCCCAATTTGAACTCTCACAATCCGCAAGCCAACGTAAATTCTAAATCACCAGCGGTTTGAACAAGACATTTAACTGACTCCGTAGTCGCGTAAACATCACCGGTAAATAAACGACGATTTTTCTGCGGTCAATTCGACAATTGATTAAGTGAGGTGAAAATGGTAGACTCAGTTCTCTCAGTTCAGTTCTGCCCTCTGATTGTTTTTTTCATTGCCTGGGTGGCCCCGGTTACGGTAATTGCATTATGACCATTTGCATGTGAAGTCTCTGCTTAAAATTGCGACGGAAATTGTACAAACACTTACAAAGAATTCATCGCACACGTTTCTTCCCAAAACACTACGATGAATGTGCCGCCAACCACGGCCCCTGATTGAAGGCTCAACAATTTCGAACCATAACAATTTAAATCATGATATCAAAAAGGAAAAAGATGACTAGACAGACATTAATGTGTAAAAAGACACGTGCATGATAGCATTCTAGTATCTGAATTTCAGAAACATAAAATTGACTCATGAAATTGTCATGCGACTAACCGAAGTCTGGATTACACCATAAAGATGTTCTAGATATTCCTCTTTGAACCCTGGCCTAAGTCGGCAAATTGTGAGGAAAAATTCATCCCTTGGCCCTGAAATTCTTGGTCTCCCTTGCTTTGGTATAGTGTCACTACAAGTCTGACTTGGATCTTCAGGTGAGCTGATAAGTCCTCTGTGGAATGCCAGTAATTGATGTCGCGACTTTTTTCCATTAGTTCCTGGGACTCTCAAGCCACATCGTTAGTACGTATTCAGGAGGTTTCGTGTAAGACTTCTCATTACGTTTGTGTCCGACACCTTATTTCAAAATCAGTTTACCATTGGGCAAGAAAGAGCGAGCTTACAAAAGTCTCCCACGGCATTCCGCTGACCCACAATAGCAATGTAAAACTTTGCCTTTAACGCTGTCTACTTCGTAAGCGTAGTCCCAGGTCAGTTCAGTTCCGGCTGCAACGTTCCTGTAAAGCAATGGAACACAGTTCGCGGTTTCAGTAAATCAGAGGTTCCTAAAGCACAGCCACCGTAACCACGGTTAATGCAAATGTGTCTCACTCAACAACGTCACAACTTGCCGGAGTTCAAATTCAGTTTTCTCGATCCGATATTCAGATCGGCGACACAACCCATTCCTCCTCAGTTTTTACGTTCAGCTGCCTCTAGCGCGCCGTTAACTGTCGCGCTCTTTTTAACCCTTTACACCCTAACATCAGTCTGTATATTCTCTATACAGTTCTTAATACATTTCCCTACGGTGCTGAAAAGGGAAATTTGTGTAACAATCAAGAGCTTTTTCAGCTGATAATCATTTTTCTTTATTCTTGAGACATTTATGTGTGAAATTCAGGGGATGTTGTAAGGAGAAATTAGGTGTTGGTAACTCTTCGGGGTCAAAGGATTAACTAGTTGAGCGCCTGGAATAGGATATCAGCGCGCTAACTAATGGTCCACTATGATTCCCAGTCTGCTTTAAACACTGTTAAAATTCACGGTTACTTACTGCTGAGTGAAAAATGCCACCCAAGGGAAACGAAGATCGTGAGTGTCTACAAACACATTCTGGACAAACAAGTTTGGCGAACAACTATGCTGTTAAAACAAAATCAAACCATGAATCATTAGACAAGTCTGAAGATCAGCTGTTATTCAAACGAACTAAAGCCGGTAAAGCCGGTTTTAAACTGCCAGGTTGTTCATAGCACATGAAATTGCAAAGGAGACATTACTTAACAAAGATACTTTGTCAGTGACACTTATCAAGGAAAACTACCAGGAGTAGTATTGACTCTTTCGATGCAGAACCTTAAATCTATCCTTCCAAAAACTTGTCATATTCAATCGACGATCTCAAGATAGGCTCGCAATAATACGTACATTTAAATATCGACCACAGTTCCCATAACCCTTGGCGTCTATGACGTAGCAATGTTCTTCTCCAAACATCACTCTAGTGCTCAGTCTCTTGCTGCTAACTGAGGACTGACGAGACAGCGACGGGCGTGCGGGCGAGGGTGTGTTGGGCGAAGCTTTTAGTGAAGGAGGACTGTTCATGGTTGGTTTCGGATGAGTATGGATCTTTTGATAGTTTGCTATAAAACAACACAGACGACAAAATGAAACAAAAAATGGAAGAACTGGTATCTACAGCATAAGGCGAATAAGAGTGTTGTTGCTGCCCTTGCAAGGAATGTTAGTCCGTCGCACTGTCCCGCTGTGTTTTATCGACAGTTTATCTATTTTAACCCTTAGGAGGGTAAGCACTGGGTAGAGGCACTGAGTGGAGGCTCTGGGTAGAGATACTGGGTAGGGTAGAGTCACTGGGCAGAGGCACTGCGAGAGAGTAGAGTGCCTTACCCAAGAAACAAGCACAACACAAGTTTATCATTAGAGAGCTTTTCGATCGAGTGTCGTAAAATCGAAACCAAACTAATCACCAATCAGAAGAAAGGCAAATACTTTTAAGAATCAATGAGAACTCGAAGTGAAAACAACCAAACTGCCTAAGGCGCGGGAAAACGTCGACGACCAAATCATGACTAGTTTTCGTTTTGCATCACACTGGTTGAGAGAGAGTGGCGCAAGTTTTCAGGACCAATCACACAGCGAAGTAAAGCAAAAACAAAGCAATCCCGGATTACTTTCAACACTCAATTGAAAATTGCCCAAGAAAACCGTTTGATTCGAGGAATTATTTTAACTCGATTATTATGCCACAACCACGTTAATCGTAGCCTTTTCCTTCCAACACATACACACACACATAGCATCCTTACATGAGTTAACTATTACCCCTTCCAAAGAAGAATTTTGCTCGGGATACTTACTCTTTAGCTTTTTGGCTGGTTGCTTTGATACTCCAGTGCTTCTCTTTGAACTTCCGGTAGAAATCTCCGACTTCCGATCTAGCGATTCGGGTTTTGATACATCTGATCGTAAACTTGACGGTGAAGGAGGAAAGGACTCCATGTTTTCTGTTTCTGGAGAAGATGGTTCAGATAGAGGTTCTGCCCCAATTCCTAAAGACGTTTCTAGAAGGGGGATTTTTTCTGTTAAACGTTTATCGAGAACGTCTAAGCCCGACCGTTCAAAGTCCACGACAGTTGGTCCTTCTACGCTATTTACGCCGGAGTCAGACGAGGACGGCTGCGCCGTCAAAACGCGTTTTTGTAAGCGCAAAATCATGTCGTCTAGCTGGTTTGGAACCCGGCGAATTCCAGGATTCATTTTAGTTAAGACTGGAGGTTCATCAGCGACGGTGGTATTTTTGGCTGCAAGTTTAGAAAGATCTTCAGCAGAGATGAGCGACGGCGCAGAATCCGAATTCGTGTCTTCAACGGGTTTTGCAGGACAGTTCAGTTTTTCCTGCTTACCTAGTTTTTCGGGTTCAGGCGTAAGCACTTCACGTTTGATCTGTGATTGCAGAGTTTGGCTTCGAGAAGAATTCAGGGGAAAGTCACTCTCTTTGAGTTGCGAAATTTCTTCATTATCAATTTCATTATCACTCGTCAAGTCAATAATATTCATATTGCTTTCTTGTCCGTGCTGCTGCGTGATATTTTCTTCTTTCGTGGGACCTGGGATGTTTGTCTCGCTGTTCACTGGAATTTCCTGTAAAGTGTTATTCCGCATTTTCTGGCAAAACGTCTCGTCTACGTCATCAAAGTCAAAGTCGCTACTTTGACCGACATTCTTTTCGTCATCTGTAGGAATAAAATAAAGAAAGAGCCTTCCCGTCATTCTCGCCGTCTTTCTTGTCACTAAGTCCCCTCCTATCCCTGTGTAATTTCTCTGTCGCCATCCTTCGGCTCTACGAGGAACTTACTAACTTACTAGGCACTAACGTGGGCATTTCCCTTCCCAAATTTTGCAGAAAACCTGTAAAAAATGTCTTCCAATTACTCGGTGATTCTGAAGTTCGTAGTCGTTGTGGCATGTACGCTCATTTGATAGTTCAAGCCTTGGGGGTGGGGAAGTGCGGATATGAAGGAAGCGCTCATCTGAAGCTGGGGTCTAATTCTAGTATTTACGGCAGATACCTTTTTCATGCTGATGGCGAGTCAGTTACCCGTAGTTCACATGTCCAACAAGTCAATCTTAAAGACTTGAGTTGCTCTAGGGGCTGTTTGGTCATTTCTACTCTAACCCTCGCTAAATTCCCAAAGTGGCATAGGCCTATCACATCTCGTAAACCCTTTCCTCACCTTTCATTAGCTTGCCAACTTCTTTCTCTTTCTCATCTCGCTCGACACTCACTTCACCTTCTTTCACCTCTGAGAGGCTGTCCACACCAACCTGGACACCAGTATTATCAGTCTTTTCAATTTTCAACACCTTTTTCAGATAAGCTGCAGCGTCTTTTTGATTGTCATGGTTACGCTTTAAAGCTATGTAACACCTACAAACAAGATGGCAAATTTTAAGTACAGATTGTCAATTAAAATGGTCAACTGAAGGTCTTAGGGCCAGTACAGTTAGGGCGTCTCCGCATTTTTCGTGGCATACGCGCGCAAGATAAAGTTTATTCGGCGCCATGAGCGGAAACTGCTAAGAAGGGCCACACCACATAACTAAGATGAAAAAAGATATGTCTTCAAATGTGACCGGAGTTGTTCCTCAGAAAAAAATGTCAAATCTACTTAAAATAAAGAGTTTTAACTCTTTATTGTAAGTGAATTTGTAAGTGTATTGTAAGTTTAAAAATTTTACCATTTTTCGTCAGCGAGGTTCGACAACCCTACGGCTTTTGATTCGACCATTAACGATTCTTCTCCTTGTAGACTGCTGAAATAGACGTAAAATGTGAAATGATCATGATTCAATGTAAAAATTATTACAATTTCTGTGCAAAAAAAAAACCAACAACAAACACATTAAAATGGAATAGTGGCGTTTCACAATTATCACTATTTCATAAAATCGAGAGCGATAACGAAGCTCGTGTATCAAAGGCCACAATAACTAGTAGCTATAGCAATGGTGTCACATCATGTCGTATAAAGCTAAAACAATTATTAGAATAGTTTGTATCTTCGAAGTAGAAGAGGGTCAAGATAAAACTGAATTTTCCTCAAGAAGGGGGGTAGGGGGTGAGGGGTATTGGCGAAGGACAGAAGGCGTTTCATATCAAATAGCAGATATGGCGCAGATGTTAGCAGATAACACTGTAAAATTTCTTTTGGACAGACCTCATACAAAAGAAAGCAAACCACACAAACAGCAAACTGAGAAACTTAAGGAACTGTCGTTACCGTTTCCTCTTTTCACCTTTCCTATCTGATCTCTGTGAAAAATGAGAGAGAAAAAAGCAGATTTTCATACAAAACCAGCGTGTACTTGTACGATTGAACCGGTTTCAACATTTCGTCAAACTGATACTCATGTGTGTTGACTTGAAACAAGTCTCCCTTAAATTACTGGGAATTTAATTCTTCTCACTGCCTGGCACACATTTGACATTTAAATATATTTGTTTGATACTAAAATTGTAAAGGTCCAATTTTACCATTGCGCAATTCTGCTTGCATGAAAAATTTTTCTGAAAGGAACATCAGTCAATCAGAAATTAAGTGTTTCAAAAACAGTATGACAGGCAAGCAGAACGGTTCAGATGAATAAAGCTTTAAATCGCGCTGTAAACATCTTTCGAAAAACAACTTTTCTTTTATAACAATTTTCTTAGATTTAAAGGGGGCATAAAATTGTCCGCTCAGTACCTTCCTCTTTTTTCTTCTAGATGGTTTATGGGGAATGTTTTCACCGTCACCAAGTCTCGAGTTTCGTTCGGAACTGTAACTTTCTTCACTTATCAGAGAATCCACCTCAGAAGACTCATCTCCGGATAACGAACTACGATAAAGAAAAATCAACAAATAGCTCGATAGATAAATAAATAGATAACTAAGCAGAGTGATCATCACTTTTTCATTTTAAATTCGCAGCATACACACTTGATGAAGATGAACCAATCAAAACTTACAGCATACATACGTGACCACCGTCGAGGGGGAGTGGGTTAGGTGGGGACAGCGCGTTTGACCGAACCAAGCTGATTTGCACTGCCATTTGAATAAGCTGAATTGGGTTTTTACTTTAATCACTGCGCGAAGAAAGGCTAACTGAGAAAATTTGGTTCTGGAGCAGTTTTCAATTAAATGTCGAAATAACCAAAACCGAGGAAATCCAAGCGACCAATCCGAACAAAGGTTTAGATTATCATTAGCCCATGAGAACTCAAAGTAAAACAACAAAGCTGCTTGACGCGCGGGAAACGAGAATAACCAAGTCGCGATTGCTTTCAGTTTTGCACCTGATTGGTTGAGAGAAAGGCGCGAGTTTTCTGGACCAATTACAGAGGAAAGTTCAGTAAAAATCAAAGCAATCCGGATTACGCTCGACGCTCGACTGCAGGGTTACCTTTCACCACTATTTGCTGAATCACTCCCTGAAGAACTGCTGTCTGCACAAAGCGTCTGGTAAATCACACTGTCATCCTCTAGGTCTGATACGTTAGACTCGTAGCCTTCCTTCGCTTTCTCAACTACCTCTGTAATAAGAGTGCACAGTAAACAGCTTTAAGTTGGCTTTTCAACAATTTTGTGCCTTGATTGACTTTTTTGAGTGTAAATCCTTCTTTTCTTCAAACCTGTTTACCAGACTAAGAAGGCTTACTAAAACACAAGAGAAAAATATACAGGCAGCTATCTTAATGTAAAACTATGCCTTGATTTTATTTTGCTAGGAAAGGGAAACATGAAGAGGCAAACACAAATAAAAAACAAGATCAAACAATAATGGCGAGGGATGGAGAAGATCTCAGTGGATTCAAAACGATGAACATGATGATGCACAAACTCTAAAGTCGTTCCTCTGAGGCTATGAAACTTAAAACAAATAGTTGAATAAACCACATTTTCAAATCTGAACTCAATTTGAACCAAAATACAAGCGTGCTCACCAATGTGATCTAACTCAGCTAGATACTCATCTCCAAAATCTCTTCCCTCCTGCGAAAGAGAACAAAGACCGAAATGCTACACATTTTAGGAAAAAAATCGCGGGTTGTACGTTTGAAGAACTTTCTTTTTTTTCATTAGAAAACAACTGGTAACGTATAATTGCCAAGAACAAATTGACAAAGGCAGTAATTGTGAAATGTTTGTTTCACAATGTAGTTTATTCCGTCCCAAGAAGACTGGTAGAACGTAATCAAAACATCATCACCACCTCCGATGTCAATCGCGACGTTTCACTTCCGGCGGACGTGACTACATCGTGAGACATACGGTAACACGTTATCAGCACTGTATTTTAATATGATAAATAAAAACAACCCCCTTCAATGAGATTGACAAATTTGCCTTAGTCAAACCTTGTTAGCCATGTCTTCGTTGAGAATCTGTCCGGCATATGTACAGACAAAAGTACCCGAGGGAATGTCATCCAAAGTTCTGAGTCCCCATCCTCTGAAAACGTAACACGCAGCAAAATATAAACATGCAATCAGCATTACTGAGTATCAGTTTATTACGCTGATTTGAACACATTCATTCGTTTCATGATACTACTGACCCTTTGACCTTTTGCAGTGACCATCATTTAATTTCTACATACAGTATAGCAGCTGAGTAGTTCATTAGGATAACGAGAACGAAGGAAATGATCACCGATTAAAGAGGCTTTTGTAAAGCAAATTCTCATCGTCAGCAACTTAAAGAATGTGTGGAGGACAGTGCGGAGAATATGCATACTGATGTTAGAGTGTTAAAGGCTTAACAGCAAGTAAAAACATCAGCCGTTCGAGTTCCAAAGGATTTGAAAAGAGAGTTTAGTCATTTCAAGGGTTCTATCAGATAGTTGATAAAATCTGACTTCACAAACCAACAATGATGTACCTGTTTTCCGTTTTAAATACTTGCAATCGCAGCTGTATACCATTCTGTACCACTCGGTTAAAACATTGACTCGCACAAGCACAGTTCTGATTGCATTCGTAGATCCTTGAGAGATACCATAAAAAGACTGATTAGCTGCAAATACATGTACTTACAACAGTATCATGATTTTAAACGAACAATAGCGTGGGCCAGTTTACAAGAAACTTTGCCTGACCGTGGTCGTGGGCGCATGTAGAACTATACCAACAATTACGCTAATTATCTCTCCCAGGGCAAAAACTAAGGGTGCAAAGCAGTTTGCTAAGTCGCTTACTCCCTTTCTCCCTCAATCCCACCTTCTTCTCTTCCTTCCTCTCTTCCTCTATCCCTTGCTCTCCTATCCTAATCTCCTCCCAACCTTCCTCGCTCTATCCCCTTCTCTCCCATTCTAACTTCCTCCCTGCCCTATCTCCCCTGCCTCCCTCCCAACCTTCCTCCCTCTATCCCCCTCTCTCCCATTCTAACTTCCTCCCTGCCCTATCCCCCCTGCCTCCCTCCCTACCTTCCTCCCTCTCTACCACACTCTCTTTCTGTTTCCCTCCCTCTCCCGCTCCCTCCTTCACTCTCTTTTCTTTCGTTTCTTCTTTCCTTCTCTCTCTCTCTCTTCCTCCTTCCCAACCCTCTCTAACTCCCTTCCTCAATCCCTCCTTTCCTCCCTCACTCGCTCTCTCCCTCCTTCACCCCTTTCCTCGCTTACTCACCCTGTTTGTACACAGTCCTTGAGCCTACGGAATTCATAGCCAATTGTTGGATCCTCCTTTCCTCCCACCGCAGCAGAAGCCTGGATAGTGAGCTGTGCGCAGGAACATTTGCTCTTATCCTAGAACACAATAAAATGCGATCAAACTCGTATCATTCTTGGATACATCGTATTCTCTTCTAAAGAATTTCTTAACCCAAGTTCAAGACGCCTTAATGCATATTAACGATACTAGTACCTTAAGTTTAGCCGAGAGTGAGGTCAGCGGAAACATCTGACAATTGCTGGTGTAACCAGTGATTACTACATTTAATTAAGGGTTAAAATGTAAAAGAAAAAGGAGAAATATAAAAACACTGAGAAGGAAAATTTGCTCAAGACATTTGTGTTGTGTCTTATAAATTCATAAAGAATTCTTTGCGTCGCATTTCTTTTAAGAGGCGTACTAGAATGTGGATTGATCTAGAGTAGTTTAAGTTCTCAGGGGACGAAATTCTCGTCACTCTCTGGGCCTTACCTCGGGGTTCAGATCTCAGTACAAGACATTCTTAAAATTGCCGTTCGTGATATTGTATGCTAATTTCACACGCGTTTAACCAACGAATTGACAGGAAGAATTGATTTCGGTCACAAAGAAAGAAAACTTACCTGGCAGTTGTCCGTACAGTCACAACAAGCCAAAAAGCCTGGGTCGAGGACCATATTCACTCCTTCCGCGAGAAGCCTCTTAGGTACATAGTCGATGGGAGGGGGATAACACGTGTCTACTTCGTTTACAACCTGACAGGTGTCAATCAGAGTATTTCATTCATGTCAATAACATTAAGAGCAATTGATGAGAGTTTGCGATCTACAATTCACAAGTGCTTACCGAGATTGGGACAGCCTCTGCGCCACATGATATGTCAGGACAAATTGGTTCCTAAAGAAAGAGAAAAAAATTAATACCACAACTCTCGCTGGGACTTTCATCATCCTAGAGAGCTTAGCTCTTCAGCGTACCTACTCCTCCCCTAACTCAACAACAGTCACCCGAAAACAAGTTAAGGCTAATGTTAGATTAGGGGAGGGGTATGTGCGTAGTTGCTCTGCTACGGAAACTGATTCCAAAAACTCAATGAACGACACTTAGGTTAAAAAAGAGCTCACAGGTTATGTTAAATCTTTTGATAGATGCTTCGATTGCATCACTCACATATTAAAAAAAATTGTGCCTTTTTTTTTCATCCAAAAATTCACAAGAACTCTCTCCCAGACTACGTAACTCACCACATCACGAAATACAGTGTCTTGACATGATATGTCTGGATCAAAAATAAACTGGTCGATCGACACGTTGGTGGCTTCTGTGATCGTTACTGAAGGTTGAATGAAGACCAAGTTAGTAGTTTGTCCACCCTCCAGACATCCCAAATCAACATAGACAAATAGTGTCCATGACAGTACAGAACAGTGCTCTATAATGAACTTACAGTAATTTGCCACTTCCGCCATTGATCTCTGAAAAGGAAAGAGCAGGTAAGTGAGTATTCAGACCACAAAGAACAGATGAAGGGATCTATCATATCTCTATCCTTCTTGTGGCCTTATGGTCAGTGCACTGGACAATGGGAGAGCCGAATTCAAGATCTGACCAAGTCAATGTGTTGTGTTTTTTGGCAAAAGACACTTTACCCACAGTGTCTGACTCTCCACCCAGGTGTATGTGTATAAATGGGTACTGTGAAGCCTGGTGAATTGCTAGGGGCGGGGGGGTCCTCGCGATGGACTGGTATCCCATCCAGGGGGGAGTAGTGATACGCGTGGTCGCTTCATGTTAAGGAAACCGTGACAAGAGGATGAAGAAATAATCAATCCATTGGGAACTGTTTAGCACAATTTGGACAAGTTATGCAGTCAGGCTAATTTCTAATTTAATTCTAGACACAAAAAACGTTTTTATCAGGTCGCTTACCAGTCGCTTGTTACACGGTGTTCGGTAGTAAACAGTTTTCCTGTTGCCTGGGTGACGCTGTGCTATCTCTCTGTGAACAAAAAATAATGGTGAAATATTGTGACACGCATTTACTAATAATACATCTACGATGATTATGATGATGGCAAGCGCACTTCTTAACCCTTGAAATCTAATTTCTCCCAATGTATCACCCCTGAATCAAACATGAAAGTCATAGGAATAAGGGAAATGATTGCAAACTCAAGAAGCTCTTGATTTTTTGACACATTCTCTGTGAAAGCACTAAGGGAAATGTATAATGAACAGTATGGAGAACTTGCATACTGATGCTAGGGTGTAAAGTGTTTAAAAGGTTTGTAAGAAATACAGCGACGGTAAGTTGTCTGCAACTGAATGGCTAGAAAGCGGTATAAGGAACGAAAAAAATTTTGTTTGACCTGCACGAGTAATTAATCAATCATAGGATTTTCACCTTTTCCATCTCAGTAAAAGAGGAACTGCCCTTGGATTGTGTTTTATTAATTCACTCGGTTCTAGACTCAGCGACAAATTGCACGGCTTGCTGCATTTGTGAGGCCCTGGAACAGAAAGTAATTCGTTGTCATTAATGGAGGGTATAGAAAACAGTAGACTGTGAAATTTTAAAACTTCTCAAAAGAATTCTGAGTCGCTCACCTCTAGGTGCTGGCTTTCTAGGAACAGGTAGACCAGCAGGAACACCCTGTCCCTCAGGCATGTTATCTGGTTCATACTGTTTTAGTCTCTCTGCGATTAGTGTTGCAGCGTCCTGTTTATGCCGGTCGTTTGTGGGAATTTGGAAAGCTGGGACTCGACTGTAATCTATGCTTCTGACGTCACGGTTTTTGGCTCGTAACCAGGGTGCCTCCCACGCCTGAGACTAGCGTGAAAACAGTTCACAAGCGAAACAATTAATTTGCTTTAAAGTGTACGATATTTTGTGATCGTGTATTTGAAAAGTTAGTCACCAGGTCACATGACAATGACCGCTTAAAAGGAACTAGTTTTAATGGCCACATGTTACCCTCTGACTTGCGGACTTGACGAACAGTAGCAGAGTTGAACGGCAGTAGGGTAGTGCGGCAGCAGATTTGAACTTAAATTTTGCACGCAATATGTAACACACATTGCATAGATGGAATTGCATAGATTTGTTAAGTGTGCGTTAAAGAAGAAAAAGATAATTCTTCGTAGGGCTGGCCAAGAAACTTTAAATCACAATACTGAGAATGAAAATATTGAATTAAAGACTATATCATTCACAGCTCTATTCGTTGAGTAGAAATGGCTTGATTATGTTTTTGTTATATTCATTTTTCCTTGAGCGATTACTGGTTCAAAGCCACCAACATTCTTGTTATTGATGTTTCAAATACTGACAGTTTAATCAACGGTTGCAAACTACTTGCGTACATAAGTTCGCAGAAAACACTGAAAAAATACTGTGAGCAGACTATCGAATCGTACGTGGAATAAGATCTGAAAAACCAGAAAATGGTAATTAATTACATTTAGTGTTTTAGTCAATGATTGTTACTACGGTGCATCGTGCATTCAAGTCGGTGCATAGTGAACAATTTTATTCAATCGAATCAATTCCCTTACAAAATACAAATACTAACGTTGTAAAGGTCGTCCAGATTTGACCCATCCAAGCTATAAGGAACTAGGTACTGAAAGTTAAAGTTAGAAGTATAAGGAAGGATGGATGTCAAGGAATGTTGCCATTCCTTTTTCGTTTCCTTTTTAGGGAAGCAAACTTTATGAATTTGTTTTCTTGACCTCCTTGAAACGGATAATAAAATTTTGAAAAATGATGATGCAACAATGTTTAGTTAATTTTAAACGGCATTTTGTACTTTACGTCAGCCAAATGATAGAAATAGTGGACATCAAGATAATGTTGTTAAACTAATGTTGTAACTTAAGTATTCTATTCATGTTATACGAAAGATTGAAAAGAAAGAGGGAATTTTTACTGCTGTTAATACAAGTTTAGCCTCGTTAGAAGTGTGAATAACAATAGTACTAAGCTTTGACGCAGGGCTAACGCTCGAAACGTCAGCTTTAAAATCTCTTTCCGGTGACCAAGTTACATTATCAACTCAGTTAATAAAATCAAAGTATCTTCCTGAATCAGAAATAACCGACGATAAATTTAAGCGCAGTTCTGTACAGTAGGTAAAACCATAGCCAGCTGAAATGCTCAAATTCTGCAAAGTTTTTCTTTCGCTTTATGCGAGAAATATGCATATTCTCTTACCTTGGGACTCATCATCTGATTGGACTCCATAGGATCACGAAGCACCGCTGTTGTACCATCTCCATCCAAGTCAATCACTTGAATACCATTCGATCTTTGTGCGAGATCTCTTGAAGTGACTAAAAACAGCATTGTAAATAATCAAAGTAAGGTTATCTCATGTTGAAGAGCTCCGGACTGCTCTACAGGAGGAGGAGACTGAGGAGAATATGCTGCCTGCCTGATTATTCTAAACATTCATGTCTCCTGCATCTTCTGGCAAACAGTACACGTGGCTCCCGATGTTGTGGTCTGGCCCCGTTATTGTTCATATGGGTCCCCATTTAAACCAGCTTTAAAGATGAACTAGGATAGCTAATATCGTCAATAATCAAATAACAATTTCAGTGATGAGGATTAAATTGAAGGTGTGTTGAAACAGCAATTCAAAAGAATTCGTGGAACGTAACACAAATTATCCTCACAATTGGTTTAACTTTTAATATTACGTCTATTGTATTTCATTATTTATTTGAACATGTTTCTTCCTCTCACCAAGTCCAGCACTAGTTTTTTTCCTTGCAATACTCGCTTGAGTGACTGATGTGGTACTAAAATTATTCTTTCGTCCAGACGCTGGGAGTGTCACACAATGACCGCCGCCAACACAAGCAGTGCTAGATTGAAAAGCGCTGCCTGGGAAAAGTTTTGCCGAGTTTGTTTGTTGCGATCCTGGAAGAAAGGGCACAATAAAGTTAAAGTTACGGTTTAACATAACCAACCTATTAAGTCTGTTAATAACACCTCTATAGAACAGGTTTCACCTGCTGCCTGAGTTCCAGAGGCACCTCCGAAGTCCCTCTTCTGTTTTCCACTGGGTCCAGACGAAGTTTCCATTCTCGATAAAGATGATTCACTCGTGCCCTTGTTGGTAGACACAAAGCCTGAATCGCTCGACGAACTCCTAACAGTCCCTGTGGTTGCAGCCGCTGTGGTTGCAGCCCCTGTGGTTGCAGCTCCTGTTACGGTTGAGGTTGGTCGACTGTTATTAATGGACGGAACCTTCCCAGTGGATGTTTTAATGAAACTGCTATTATCTTGTCTCAATTGTTCTTGTTGCTTTGGAGAGAAAAACAAACAAAGAAACAAATATTTGAGGTAACTAAACATGTACACTGACACACACGCAAAAAAAAAAAAAATTTTGATACGCTTTACTTTGGGCTATGATTGATGGAGAAATATCGGACACCAATCAGATGCATAACTTAAACCAATCGTGACTTAGTCTCTCATATTTTCCGATACCTGAAGCGGGTGACGTAGAATAACGTCTTCTTGACTCCAATGTGGCATTTTCCCAAGTTGTGACTACTTTTGGTTCGGCTTCATAACAAAGGGACACCAAATCAAGATGGACTCTAACTAAATGACCCCCGTTCCCCTGAAGGCGGCGTAGGGTGGGGGAGGAGAGAGAGAGAGGAATGGCTGGTATTTTAGCAGCTGAAACATTCGGTTAATATTTACCCTGAACCACGTTCTGCATCATTTCACTCGACATGTACGTCTGTCTAACTTTTTAGAAATTATTTCTCAAACTCCGAGGATCACAATGAACAGGAATGCCAAATGGAGATCAAGACAGGTGAGCAAACAAAAGCATCTCATTACCCTTGCTGTTTACAATTTAGTTATCTATCATGTGATTGGCTTCATCACCTCCAAGAAGGACCACTTCATAAATAATCTGGTGTTTATGGTCTTCAGAGTTTCACTGTTAAGTCAGACTGGAAACGAATTTACAAATCACACAAACTAATGTTTATCACAGCACACAAACCTCTTGCTGTCTTTGTTGCTCAAGCTGTGTTTGTTGTCGTTTTTCCTCCAGTTTTCGCTGTTGTTCGCCTGATAAATTAAAACCAAACCAAAACAGAAATCGTACTTTTGGAACACACCCCGAGGATATAAAGAAAAAGCTAAACTTAGTAGGTAGTGCTGAATACTTAAAAAATTTGCCTAAGCTCAAAATTACGCCTTAAAAAAATCCGGTAGGAATGATTTCACAAGGGATCCCCATTCCAGTGATAGTGTTGACACATTCACATCATCTTTCCAAAATATAGAAAAATAGAACGAAATTTTAGAATCGTGTCTCTTTACCAAAATTGAGTTAACTCCCCAGACTCACTTTCCAACTGCGCAACTGTTTTAAGACCTATATATTTAAAACTAAACTAAATTTTTCTCTTTGGCGACCAAATCCTGAAAATTAGTCGCCAAATTGGCGACTAGAATGCTTCATCATAACCTTAACTAGAGATATAGTGAATTAAAAAGATTTGCAAAGATAAATCCGCGGCAAACTTCCTCGTTAAGTTTGTTTCCAACACGCAGCACGTGCATCTCGATCGATGAATAGACGCCACCTTGGAGTTAGGTGAGCTTGAACGTTGTATATCATCCATCCTAGTGTCCACATTGTGGCACGTGAAAGATCTTTTTCCTTACTTAATTTTGGAGGGTCTATCTAGAACGCTAACAGCGAGAAAAAAGGTTTTGTTTGTCTTTAAAAATGGCGACCAACTTTTTTCGAATTGGCTACCACTTTGAAAAATTTAGGAGCCAAGTTGCTATCAGAAAAAAAAAATTAATTTCACGCCCTGGTAAGGCTTTAAAATGTAATCAGTCACAATAACGTACCAAGAGGATCACTTTTGCTGTAAGGTGAAATACCAAAACAAGGTTTAGTGATACTGTAGTCGATGAACGGTTCTTGGGGTTTTCCTGATGATGCGCCTCGCGTCAGTTTACGAGACCTCTTTTTTTTTGCAGTGGAAATCTTTCCATCAACCTGAAAATAGTTAATTGAGCAAGTAAGAATGAGTCGCGCACGTAAGAAAGAGTCTTGTACATGTATCTACCGATGTTTTACCAGCAAAACACCGGTTTGTATTCCTTGTCTCTCTTTAGGAAGCACTTGTCCAACTCCTCTCAAGCGATTAAACTGGAGACTCTCTTTTAAGTTCCCCAGTTACACCTCAGAGTTGAGAGGTACGTTGTTCCAAAAAACACAACACATTGACCCAGCTAAAGCTAGAGCCCAGACCTCTTGATCTAGAGTTTGAGTGATCACCACAAAAGCCACAAGGTCACATAATCTCCCAATTATCATCGCCTCTACACAAAGAAACAGTTGAACTGGGAACTACTGAAGATCTTCGGACGATTATCTCACTGGAAAGATTCCTTTTACAAGATAAACGTAACAATAACAAAACTAATAATGACGGTGCTTTTCTCACCAAGGCACTAAATAAAGGTTCTAATCTTGTTGAGCCTCTATACAGCCACTCAGATCGATTATCAATCTGAAACAGCATCTGCAATAACGAAACAAAAACGGTATTTGCTTTGACATGTCAGATACAACACTAAATGAAATGAAAAATGAACAATGTACATGTATACAGACACAGCTTTGCTTCACACATGTACCAAAACTCTCTTCAACCAAGAATTTCGACAAGAAACAGATTCAGCTGACCTTCACCAAACTGCAATCTAACTGCATCACTTTGGCTTTCAACCTAAAAAAAAAGGCAAGAACATTTCAAAACTGATCACAGACAAGTCCAAAACTTTACATTCACTTTGTTCCGAGGTCAGTTTAGTCGATGATCAGATCCTTGCAGGATCAAATCATTCCACATAATCAGGACTACGGCTTTCCAAAATCAAACGATAGTGTCCAAATCAGACCGAACCGTTCGGTATTTTTCGAAATTAGACGGAGAGTTGCTTATGACATGACCCCATAGAGAAATAGAGATTTAAAAAGAAAGACAGTACTCATCGTACAGGAATATGACACTCATTTCCTAGTTAGCGTGCGTATAAAAAAACCAAAACGATTTGGAAATAAATTAGTATTTGACAGTTACGTGAACAAAACTCAAAAGCACTCACTTATCTGTATGCATGATTAATACTTGTAAACAAATAAACACTGATTCCTCTCACCATTGGCCTCTCCATTCAGTTTTAACCCACTGATGCACTTTAAGTTTTACCATTGGTCGCTACGAAACAAGAAGAACTAAATTTACAAAATAATTATATTGTAACAAATAAACGAATGAATTACATCTTATTAAATACAGAAACTAAAATTGATTAAGTTCTTTCCTGTGATCTAGAACTCTCCCCGGCAATCACAATTTCATCTTGTTACACTGCCAAGGAGATGTATGTATCATAAAACAAATAGTTATAATAAATTATGTTTGTATCAGAAACAAATAGTTAAAATAAATTATAATGTATGTATCAGAAACAAATAGTTAAAATAAATTATAATGTTGTATCATAAAACAAATTGTTATAATAAATTATAATGTAAGTATCAAAAACAAATAGTTATAATAGTTATTACAAATTATAATGTATGTATCATAAAACAAATAGTTATAATAAATTATAATGTATGTATCAGAAACAAATAGTTATAATAATTATAATGCATGTATCATAAAATGAATAGTGATTATAAATTATAACGTATGCATCGGAAACAAATAGTTATAATAAATTATGATTCAACAGTAAACAGTTGTCTCATACATTAGGAAACTCTTCTAGATATTCTTGTATAAACTCCTTGGAATGCTCAGCTACCTCGTCCCAGACTTTCTTGCCTGCCATGATGAAAAATAAAAATAACCAGACTGTCTGGACTCAATCTATCCAGTGTTTTCTCACTGTCAACAAAACTCACCCATAGATCACTCAACAATTGGTTCATATGTCAGCGTGTGTTCATTGAGATACAAAGCACACAAGAAGTTTGGAGAGAACGAAAGATGCGTAAGAGTCACTCGAGGCATAGCTGAGAGCAACTCTAGCTTCTTGAGTGCTCCCCAAACTTCCCAAGTGCTTCATATCTTGATGAACGCACAGCTAACGTATGAACCAATTATTTTAACATTTCAACCTAATGGGAAATTTTACTTCTCGAGGAATTTGCTTGCTGACGTCATGAGCATGCACAATAGGAATATGAAGCACGCTCGCACAATTGGATTTGATTAGACAAATTTACCAGCTATGTTATAATTGTCATTTATGGGAGTGAGAGTTAAATATGAAATTTTGGCCATTGAGGCCTTCAGTTACCTGTTATTGTCAGCTTTAGCAACTGAAATTCAATCAGGTTTCAGTTACTTTGATTAAAAGAAGGCTATAAAATTTGTGATGGTCTAACCTGTATGATACACATGATGGAGTTTCTTGACTGGTAAGTATTGAGCAAATCCATCATCAAAGAAGACCAGATATCTAGGACAAGAGGGCTTCTTGATGAGTAAAGAGGATCACAACAAATCAGTAGTGAAACAACATGCATTTGAGATCACCAAAATGACATCATTAAATTATCAAAACACAGCATCATAATGATTTGGCAATTGACAAAGTTATGTTTGTTTGCTGAAATAAACTACAACATGAAAAGTCATGTCAATTGTGTGAAATAAGGCTTCTGAGAATAGATTTTTCCCTCTGGCTTTGAAAATTCAGCAAATTTTCACTCTTTGTCCCAGCAAAATGAATGTCACCCAAAGTGTTGCTCAAATATTTAAGCAAAATCCAAGAGTAAATTTCTTGCCTATTCCTCACACTAGTTTTGCACAATATACTGTGCATGAATAGATGTGTGAATGCTCATCACACAAGTGACAACCTACAGTCTAGAGGTTTACTGTTAGTGACTTTCTTTTGACAAAGCGTATTTAACATTCTATAGAGCCAATTTTTATTCCTTTTCTTCAAATTTTTGCTTCTTGTCATGGTCATTCTTGCTGGTGAGATAATCAATCAACGTATATTATGGCCGTTTGCCAAAAAACATGTACAAAGCTTGCAATGCAAGTCTGAAAATCAAAGAGCAAAAAACAAAAGATCATGAAAAAAACTACAACAATTATACAACAAGAACTATATATAAAGAGTAACCTGTTTTTGTTTTCACCACAGGCATTCTCAGCAACAATACCAGCATACAGTACATCTAACTTGCCATATATTCCTGCAAAACAAAACAGATTTTCTCTATTGTTGAAATAAAGTGTACATGTGAGTCCCTCTTTTTAAAGAATACATGATCATTGAGTTGCTTTTATCTACACATAGAGTAACAAGACCATTGGAAATGAAAACGTAAGTTGATTAATTGCAGAATTGTGGTAATTGTTGAAACATTACTTCAGTCTCCTTTCCATTTTTCCAAGGTCTAGAAAGTTACATTAAAATTTAAAATTACTTTAAGAATTCTACTTTTCCAATATTTCCAACCCTTCCAACAATTAATCCTTCAAAATACAGTCTTGTAATGTACATAATTTATTGTACCATGATGTTTACATGTCTTTTGCCTTGTGACTAAAAGAAAACACATCAACTGTAACTTGGTTAGGTTTGTTTTATTTGTTACTGTTATTCATTCTGTTTAAAGCCTTTCATTCTGTAAGACAGACAATTTACATGCATTAAATGTGATATACATGTAGAGTTAAAAGTATTTGTCAAGAGAGCCCTGTGATGTATGTCCTCTTGGATGACTTAGCTCATTAATTCCACCACATTAGAATGTTATGTTACAACAAGAAGGAAACAAAAGCAAACATGAAGCCTTGGGAACAACAAGAGAAAGAAAATGTTAATGACCTGTGGAAGGTTTCCGCCAAGACGCATTCTCTTCTGCTGTATCCCGAGGCCTCAATGCTAGTAAAAGAAAAGTGAGGAGTATGGGTCAAATTAAGTGTGAATGACAGATCTTTATGGACAAGAGCAAAAAAAAAATCAACAAAATATTAACAGCTTTATCATGGTTAGGTTACAAGCTCAAGGTGTGAAAAAGTGAAGGTGACGAAACAATCAATCATGCATAAGAAGTAATTTCTGCAAAGAAACCCTTGATCTTTCCTGTTCTATTAAATTTTATTACAGCCATTTTACAGCACAAGCCCTCAGGTTTAATTTTTGACGCCATTTGAGCTGCTCGTTCACATCAGATTTTACTTAGCATTATGAAGTACAGTAGGCATAAATTTCTTCTTAGAGGGTGTTGCAATCAAATTTTTACAGTTTAATCTGAAAGTAAGTTTGCTGGAGACTTGAGAAGGAATAAGAGTAAACCAAAAATAAAGGAAAGTGTTTTAAAAAAATTGTCATAATGACTCCACATGACAATAGAATCTTCCAATGAGAGGAATGATGCTAAATGTTACCACCTTTTAAGGTCAGTTCAACTTTTAAAAGGAGACATAACTTCCACCTTGAAAACCTTTATCTAGGATTGTGAGTGATTTACATTATAAATCTTAGGTGAAAAAAAGTTATCAACTTTACATCAAGATTTCTCAGTATTATATAACAGTGATTAAAGAGATAGTAACCTCTAATCCAAAAAACTAACAGTTTAGACCAGGATTCAAAAAATTCAAAATCACTCGTTTTCTTTCCCTGCAAGATCTTTTAACCTTTGCAGTTTGTAAATTAATAAATATTGAGACTCCACTGGAGTCTTTAAATTCAACAGGTGGTCAGTTGTTTCAAGATACAATTTGGAAGTAAGAGGAAAGAACTGCAAAAAAATCCACATCTACATGTCATGGTCTCAAAACTGTAGGACATAAGTGCAAACAAGCCTCTCCTCTATCATATAAACCCACTAGTTACAAATATTAATGCAAGCATTCTAGAAACTAAACACAGGCTAATTTTTGTCATAGAACAGAAACATTTCAGACTCACCTACAACACGACTGCCAACATTGAGCACTGATGGGTTGGGATTGGACTCCAAAGAAATATGATTGGATGACAACACTCCTCTTGTACCTTTGTCAAACTTCACCTTGTATTTGATCTGAGCAATAAAATTAAGAGCTTAAGTTATACATGCATATTACATATTCCAGTAAAGATTACTAATAAATGAAGTTCAAATTACTTCATCTTCAAATTTATATGCTTTCTCAAAATGTTGAATTCACAAAAAATAAAGTTTTGAAATTAATGATACCAAAATCTTACCTGATTGTGTTTGTCTGTCAAAATCCTCTCTATTATACCTTTGAAACAAAAACAAATGAGAACAACACATAGAATTTTCTTTTCAACACAGATTAACAAAAGCTAAAGATATAAATGCCTTCAACAGGAGTTAAATTGCAAACCTATAATCTTGCCACTACTACATGTAATTTTGACCCTCCACCACTGAGTTTTAGGAAAATGCAAAATTCCTTGAACATCCTGTTTAAATGTTGAAGTAATCTACAAGAGCTTTAGAAAATTAAACAGTTATTAACAAAATGCAATGTACATGAATATTACTTACCTGGATACCAGAGCTCATCGGCCCTCTGACCTATGACGCGAGTCCCAACCTCAAACTTAGGAGGCCCTGCTGGGGGACTGGGTAACAAAACACTTATAATCAGTTAATTTACTTTTACAAACTTTCAATTAAAAGTAGGAATTTCTGACTGAGGGTTTCATCAGCTCCTTTTTTGCATGTGATTTCTTTCTCCAAATCTGTGCTACTCTCTGCTATGTGACAGTATCATAAAACTACTGTTTTCTTCCAGCAGATTTAGTCTTCTCTCAAATACAGTCAGAGAAGTTTCACATAAAAGTCACAAAATGATCAAAAGTGCATAGAAACTCAAAAGCAATATTTGCATACTTGCAGATTTTGACTCAAAAGATATCAAAAACCACTTTTTTTGAACACTGAAAGTTCTAACACAAAATCGACCAACAACATTTTGTGTTATTTCAGAGTCTACAAACCTTTTTACTTCTTTATCAATTGATTCTTTTTTCCCAAGAGAAGACGGTCCAGGCTGAGGTAAGGATGCCTGCCTGAGGGGCAGCTGAGGAACAGAGGGTGTGGTACTTGGTCTAAAACAAAACCAGACATGAATCAATAAGAGTACAAGTCAACATTTACATCTACAATCATGTTACTCACCCTTAGATATCTAATGAATGAAAAAATGTCATTAAAGATTACAACACAAGAAAGCAGTTCAAACCAGTGTCAAAATAAGCTCATATCAACAGGTATCTTGACATATCTGTTGTGCAATCTTCAAAAGCTATCAACTTTTACATGATCAAATTACATCTCATGGCTAATACTAGGCACCTATATGTACATGTAAATTGAAGTAAAATGTTTGATGATGAAACTGTGATGTTCAAAATATATTTTGAACCATTCTTGCAGAAGAGTCTGTTCATTTTTCTATCTTTGTTTTGCTCAGAGTGAAAAGCTTCTGAAATTAATTTTCAACTTTAGCCTAGCTCTGATATTTTACAGTTCAGTGATGTTGTTTTGGTTTCTTATTAATGTTGTTTTGGTTTCTTAATAAGCCTGCAAAGAACAAATAAAGCTGAAAATCAAATGGGCACAAGAATTTATAGCATAGCACATGTAAATGTGTGCGAGACATTAAATTCAGGAGTGGTGTAATCGAATCATCAAACAACCATGTTCTGGTGTACATCACAAACCTGCTGTTGACAGGTGACGTAAGAGGTGGTGTTCCTGTCTGCAATTCAAGATTAGGTAATGTTTGCTGCACAGGAAGAGATGGGGGAGATGACATCACAGCGACACGTTCTGGTAAAAATGGCTCTCCACTGCCAACTGGTGGCTTCAATGTCTTGTAAATCGGAGGGGGTGACTTAATGGGACTTAACGGAGAAATAGAAACATCTGATTGTTTTGTTCTTTGTACAGTTAGTGACATAGTTCCAGTCTGTGATGAAGTGAAGGTGTTTACTACTTCCTTAGGTGGAGCAGGTCTGATTGGAACATAATTTTGTAAAATGTTTGTTTGAGCTGTTTGCTGCCATGGAGGTACTGAGAGATTTTGATTTAGATTAACTGTCTCTCCTTTGTCCTTTTCTTTTTCCTTTTCTTTTTCCTTTTTAGTTTCCTTCTCCTTTTCTCTCTCTTTTTCCTTCTCTCTTTCCTTCTCTCTTTCCTTTTCTCTTTCACGAGTCTCATTCTTGATATCTTCATCAGTGGCTTGGCAAGACATATCAGCAACATCAACATATTCAGTCTCATCATCATCAATAACAATAACAGTCGCACTCTTCTGCTGTTGTTGTTGCTGCTGCTGCTGTTGTTGTTGTTGATCCTGTTGGTCCTTGCTACCCAGAGTAGTTCTTGGAGCTTCTTTTTCTGATGTCCTGTAATCATGATAACACCAAGAATGAACAACATGAATCAAATGACTGTGTCTCACCACATGCTACTTGAGCCTCACAGTCACTAACATCATAACAATGTAGATGTATTCTCAAGCCTACTGCTGACCAAAAGAGCAGGTTTTTATTGAAGGACTCACCTTACTGTTGGCAGAGTGCCTTGATATTCCTTTAACTGTGCATCAATGGAGTCCAATAGCCTTCTCAAAGTGGAGTGGCTTTCTGATAAAAAGACACAACACTAAAGTTAGAATACTTCTCAGCAAAACAAAAAGGTGACCAGAGTGTGTAAATGACACAAGTTAAATTTGCACTGAACTAGCTCAGGTAGAGCAAAATAGCCCATTATGCTACTATATACATGATTGCATTATTGGCTCTAAGTTATAACCAAATGATAAAGACGTAACAACCTGTTGCATAGCTGCTGCAGACAGGTTGTCAAATTAGCAACTTATGCAGTAAATTAGTCAGTGGTCAAAACTAAGAATGGCAGAGACTATTCCCTGAGTTTGGTTACTACAAAGTTCCTGTGTGACACAAATCTTGCAAACTGCTGATACATTATTAATGTATGCAGGAAACATGTTGCTTGGGAACAGCCTAGAGCACAGAATCTGAACTTCTGAAGTTCAGTTCCACATGGGACTCAGAATTTTTTTCTTTATCCCACACTTGTGACCAAGGTAAAATAAATATCTTGCCCGAGTAAGTAAGTAAAGTAAAGTAAAGTAAATAAATCTTTATTTGAATAAGCTGTACAATTACAGTCAAGACTGTATTCTCCCTTATGGTCCTATGAAACTGAATTACAATAATTCTAATTACAGACATTTAAAATACTGAAATAACAAGATTTTGAAGATATTATGAAACTTAAGATCAAAAAAAATATCTAAACTGGGTCAATGTCATGCCATCTTGACCTCTCACTTGGTGAACAATACAGATTTACAGGAAATACAGCTGTAAGTGAAATTCTTCTTCATTTATTACAGTAACTTCACAAGATGATTTTAGCAATCCTAGTTTTTTTCCCTTGCCTTTCTTTCTTGTAGTTTAATAAATACATACTATGACAAGAAAAAGAAAATAACACAAAAAAACATAACTCTGACCTTCAACAGCAACTGCTCTCTGTAAAAGGGTTCTTGTGGTCCTTTAACAATTGAAACATTGCAAAAACAATAAATCATTGTTATGATTAGTTTGGATCAGGCCCCAGGTGTTAAAAGAATGGATAATGCTATTCACTGAATAAAATATCTATCCAGTGGATAGAACAGTACATTTTGGGAACACTTATCTGCTAGATAGTGATTTATCCATAGGGTAGCATTATCCTCCCTTTGAAAAACTGGGCTTAGGAAGGCCAGTTATCATTACAGTATTTGTGACAGGACTGTGCTTACAAACACTGAAAGATAATAAGTTGACAAAAACTGCAATGTACTGTAGCTTATTTGTATACATATTCTTCAGAGTTTCATTTCAACTATATATAAAGACATTGGCATGTAGCTTGACCCTTTCTATGCACTAACATCAGAATGGTTATTCTCCATACTGTTCTCTTCACATTTCTTATAGAACTAACAAGGAGATTTTGTCTAACCCTTTAAACTCCCATGAGTGACCACAACAACATTTCTCCTCACCAAATCAATACAATATCAAACAGACAAGTGATGAGAATAAAGAAAAATATCAGTTAGGGGATTATCAGTTGATTCTACATCAAATTCTCAGAACTAACATCATAAGAATTGAATAGCAGACAGTAGGGAGAATTACTAATGAGATCTTGGGAGTGAAAGGGTTAAACATCAGAAACTTGGTGTGAAATAAATAATAATCACAATGTATTGCATTCCATTCTTCTTACAACCTGCATGCCGATAAATGTGTTGATGACATAAAGAGAAATTCTTCTTGGGTCAGAAGTGGGAGTAACAGGGTTAATTCATCACTTGAAATGCATTTATTTGTTTACTGTAGTCACAAAGGAATCAATCCATCAAACAGAGGAGAGATCAATTCGTAGTACAAGCAGCTTTTCTAATAAATTTTCAAAGTACAGTTAACTCAGCACAAACATTCAAGGAATTTTTGTTCACGTTTCATTATAAAAGTAAAACTTATTTCCCGTCAGACTCACAAGTAAAGCATGCATCTACAGTAGGCTCCATTGAAAAGCATATAAAACTGTGTATAAACTCTGTTGATTAGAGGTGGGATCAATTCAGGATCACACAATTTAAGATCAAAAGTTACACTTTCCTGCAAAACCTGTAACCTGTTGCTCTCTTGGCATGGCTCCATTATGTTACTAAAGTTGTATTTATAACCTAACTTCGAGTGCAATTATCGACCATTCTTCGCGCTTATTTACACCTGGAGTAGAAGAGTGCATAACCACTTCGTGTAAAGGATTATCAAACATCCGATTTTTTACTCCATCAAAATCCCGCTTAAATGAATTGTTACAGCTTTGCAATCAGACGAAACTGAAGCAACTAACGAATAAATTATCCGCTTTAAATGAGAGCCTCACCGTTCACATAACTCCAAAAACCCCGCAGCTCGTAATTCTTCGTCGATCATGTCTTCCAAATCAAGCCCCTCTTGCTGAAGCCGCGAAACCATTATTCCAATCTCACCCATGAACTTGAAAAAAGGTTAAGACTTTCTTTCGCTGCTATCTGTCGTTGTTTCTTAAAGCCTCCATCGTTTTGACAGAGAGATAAAAATCAATCTTAAGTAGCGTGTCGCGTGAAAGCAAAGCGACCCTATTCATGAGCAAAATTAAACGCATTTTCCTATGATGAAGACCGCTGGTTAGGACTGACTGTCAGGCGACTGTTGGGCACTTATTTAGTGACTGGGGTAGGGGCCGAAAGGATTTTAGCAGGGATCACATGGTTTTCAGAGGGAAAGGAGGGGTTTAGTCGCCGGCGGAGCATAAAAGGGGAATATAGGAAATTGACTTACAATGAGGGGGGATCATGAGAATATTACCGAGCCTTATGGGGGAGATCAGGTCAATTTATTGTTTTTTCAGTTTTCTTTCAACTGAGTTGATAACGAACATTGGGCATCTTGAAGACTTTCATTTGTCTCTAAGTTAATAGTTGCACCTAAATACTATCGGCAGGGCATGGCTTAATCCCAGCGGAGGCCTGAACGTTTTTAGACTTCTTATCCTTCCACTTTGATAGCAGTTTACCTGTGAGTATCAATTGGTCATCAAACCTTTTTGTTACATCGCATATCGTTAATTGTTCACTAAAGTCAACTGATGGGTAAGTCCATTGAAAGCGGACATCGCAAGAAGTTCATAAACTTAGTCTTGAGAGTAATGATGACTGTTATATATAAATAAGAAACGTTATGAGATTTAGCCACCATCATCAAAAGAATCATTACCGACCACAGTCCTTCTCAGGACTACACTCACCTGGACGATCAAACTACACTATTACACAAATTTTAAAGGTAGTTTTCATAGATTTCATTTGATCTATCAAATTAGTTTCCCGATAAGGCTGTGCCGGACTTGTCACTGATTCTAGGATGATCTTAATACAAGTCGCGAAACAGACTATTTTACAATGCAATGTCTTCGGGATGAAACTTTTAATGAGTTTAATAACAGTCACCTAAGTTCGTATCAAGTTCCTATTCAACAACCGTGAGACCAATAGAATCAAACATCATTAAACAATTTGCGTCAGGGCTTGTGAAGACTGATTACTACTGGAACAAATGCTATCAATTGCCATTCTTAGCAACCTGGATGACACTCCACCAGGAATTGTGATCGATTTTCTAAGTTTATCAACTGCCCCCTTATCTGTGTTTCCCCATTTGATGTAGGAATGACCTGAAAGAGTAGCTATTTTGTTCATATGCCAGTTATAGGTTTTGCGATTATCATTGAACATTTCAACAACAGCTCCACCCGGTGGCATAAATATAGAAAAGGCATGAGCTGCACCGTGCATTCCAAACAAAATGTCTGTTTTGGCAACTATTTTCAGCTGTGCTTTTAATGGTAAAAGATCCAACTGCACAGGAGTAATGTCTGCAGCAGGGAAGCTGTCCTTAATTTCCTTTAAGACATCTTCCTCATTGGCGATTTTCCTATCTATAATTCCAGCTAGATTCCTTGGATGGTTCTTGTAGTCTCTCCTCAAGATGAAAAGGATATTTAACTTTTTTTGACTACATTTTCGCAAATGTGTTCCAGACAAGATGTAAAATCTTCTTAACACAAAAGACCTAAAAGGTTGAATGTATTTCAGGGAATTGCGACTCTTGTCCAATAAAGGAGACCTCGCACGCGGATATCTCCAAAGAAGATTTTCGAACACAACTCCATTTGACTCTATAAAAATAGGATCGGTGAGCTTTATGATTCTTTGGAACAAAAATGTCCAAAGAGGGTCCAATGAGGTCTTTGGATGGGCATCTATCAGAATAATTTTAAGCTTGTCAGGTTTTATGCCCAAACTTTGCGATGTGATAAAAACGTCCAACAGATCGACAATAGTCCAATAAACATTAGCAAATTCATTCCTTTCGATCGCCAGGTAATGACCAGCTTGAAAAGACTGGTGCACTCCAATACGTGAAAATTGCCGAGGATCTGCAACTTCAAAGGACTTTTTCCATTTGATAAGAGTGTAATCCATGTCTGTTTTATATAGTTTTCCGTTAACCTCGTCCACATCCCCATGACAATAAAGCGTGAAGAAACCCTTCGAGAGAACAAACAATTCATCTTTTGCCCTGGGTTTTTCTAAGTAGGCTTCGAGAACCCTGGCGTGTCCAAGCTTTGGTCGAATTGCAATAAACTTGAAGAAAACTATTCCATCTTGTGTTATCTTTAATCGGTTTGGACAACTGCTAAAAATGTTTAGTCTAATCGTCTCCAAATCAAGGTTACTGGAAATTTTTGCCGACAAAGTATTATGTACATAAAGATTGATGGAGACAAATATGATCATGACCATCAATAGAACTGAGTACTTGATGATTTTTACTAGTCTTGATGAAATGAAGCGTGTTCCAGGACTGGCCATGAGATAGACGACCCTCTGACAGTCTTGTTTTCAACAAGCTGAAATACATTAAAGCTGATGTTAGTTTGTTATCATTGATAGCATTCACTATATATCACCATCATTATCTTTGCTGCTTTTCGTAGTTGTTACTCTAAGTTTTTCAAACGTCCTCTGCAGCTTTGGTGCATATATAATGTATATGGATAGTGTGAATTTATACGTACTCAGGAATCTTTTAGGGCTAATAGAGTAAGCTTGTTTTTTCGGAAGAGAGGATCGAGTTCAATCCTTACATAAGCAAATGTATTTTGAGTGACTTTGGCATCTTATGATGAACAACAGCAAAGTTTGAAAACATAGCGAGGGAGAACCAAAACTTCAAGAGAGTATCTTATGACTTCGGTACCTACCAAGTCAATGTTCAAGAAGAGAAATAATCGGTGATCGATCCTGACGTAAGACAACTCCTCACTAACCGCCGCACGGAGAAGTGGACATCGAAATTACAGGGCTGTATAAATAAACAATGAAACAATGTGATTAATTCAAAGTTAAATCGTTATCGCTGTCAGTGAAAAAGCTAGCTGAAATTAGAACTTTGGTGGAATGGAAAATTGATAAAGTTTCTTCCTTGATTCCTGTGAACCATCTTACATGAATCTCTCAGATTCGATGACTGTTACTTTTCAAGTCACTCAAAATTTTATCTTACAGCCTTCCATTTAACGTTGGTTGATTACAGATATGAATTACGAAGAAACTGCAAAAACGTACCGTGCTATAAGATATTGACTGATGTGGTATCTATTCAAATCTCAGGAAATTATGAAACTTCTAGCATTTTTAATACTTTTTTTGCCCTTTTCATTGCATTGGTTTATTTTCAAATAATTTATGTCAATTTTTAACATATGTATGGATTTAACTCAGTTCAAGCAGCTGCTTTAACAATGCATGTGGTCAAAAACTTTATAGAGAGCCTGTGACCTTTTTGACTGACGCTGTTTGTTAATCATCTGTATATATATCAAAGAATATTTTAAGGATCACAGTGTAGCGAAAAGTAATCCCACCAGAGGAACCAAATTATTGAATAGAGACTTTCAAGTACTACAAATTCTTACGATTGGCGATGTTATAAGTTGAAAAACCTGAACCTCTTCACTCAACTATCATTGAACGATACCATGTAAACATTGCACTGAAGCGCGAAGTTTCAATTACTAATTCACGTATTTAAAAGCACAAAGTAAAGTGTTGGAGGGAGTTACCTTAAGTTTCGTACTTCTGGAAAATTTGCTATTCGTTTTTAAATGTTGTCACCTGAGGCGCTGGGGGGGAGGGGAGGGTCGGAGGATTTTGGTCGTGTCACGATAAAATTTATTTGATCCCCAACAGGGTTTTGTAGCATTCTTATGCCCCTCCCCCTCGTTCGTAGTCAATTTTGTAATTCCCTCCTTAATATTCTGTTTGTGATGACTAATCTCCCCTTCCCCCTGAAAACCGAGTGATTCCCTCCAAAACTCTCCCTTCTCAGGGTGCTAAAAGATGAGTGTAAGATTACATGAATGGCGTCTTTCCTCATGTGTGCGTGCGTGCCCATTGTGGCTTGGACATAAACTCACTCGAGTAACAAGTTTATTTATCAGTTTTATGTCTGCAGTTATTTGAGCCACAACTAGAAACAACGTACACGTGTAAGAGTTGAAGGTCGAATGAAAGATCGAAAATCAAAAGCGGGATGAACGTGTTACTGGACTATATTAGTTTCGTCAGTCCAAGTCCACTTTGGAAAATAGCAATGAATTTTCAGCTTTGGACTTTCCAATGGAATGGAAAAGAATGTTTAGCAAAATACCAATTGCTGCATTTCCAAAGGTTTGAATCCTTTTTTTTTTTTTTTTTTTTTTTTTTTTTCAGTCCGCTAATTTTTAATCCGACATCTCTGTTGGTGGTGACAAGAGATCAGCAGAACGAATGAGAGACAAACAGTGGTCGCGGTTCTCCGGGAACTGGTTGTAGAATGAGAGCCCGAAGGAGTTGTTTCGGAAGACTTGTTTGATTGACAGTTTTCATCAACACTGGCATTTCAGTCAATCACATGCCTTCACGTGGCGGAGGCTAAACGAAGCTAGAATGGTATTTACTTAACCGGAGTCTCTCCAACTCAAAAGTTTATCAAAAATATTGTTGAATGTCTTTGTGACTTTCCATCCCTAAAAGAGTTGTGTTAAGGCGAGTTAAGACAGTAGACGATGTGTCTTCCTCTTGGGATAGGTCGAGAAAAATGGTCCAATTTTTCAATTATTCCCCTTTTCGTTGACGTGTTATGCTTTTAAAAGAATGTCAAATTGTTTGACATGTCAACAACATAAAAGGTTGTCTGGAAGTGGGTGGAATAGGAAAGAGTCTAATTTCTCAACAATATCTCGAGTTGTAAACGTGTTTGACATGTTGACAAGACGATAGCTTCTCCGGAGGTGGAGAGATCACTGGGTGGAACGGGGTTTATTCAACATAATTCTTACAATCTCTCTTTCTTAATTTTTCTTTGCCTGATCCCAGCTATAATTCACGTGGCTCTTTTTAACTCACCGAGATCCAAGCACAGACCAGCGGAAATAGAAAAAGGTAAGCTTTCAAAATTCAGAAGAAAATTAAGTTAATGACTAAAAAGGTTGTTAGAATAATAAGTTTCGTACTAAAAAAAATAAGAGTCGCTTTCCTAAATGGTTAGTTTATGTCACGCTTTCAGTGAACTTCTCCCTGTAAAAACCTAGGTAACTTCACTAAGATCTGTGCGTCGAACTCAGTAAACTTGAAGGCAGAGTGCTTGAAAATCGACCTTGAAGTCATAATTGGCAGCCTATCGACCGAAATGAGGTCTTCCACGTTTACTCAGTAAAAACGCTAGAGGCATCTCCAGAAAGAAAGTTTCTTCTTCGTTTAACCCCCCAAGGTTCATACACCTGAGGAATGTGCTGCATATGGATTGCTTCCTAGATTTTTGGTCAAGAGAGGGGAGCTTTGAGTAATTATTATTAAGCTTCGTGACAATTCACTCTGTTCTAATATTGATCACTTTTTCTTTACCATGAATCTTGGCCTGCTTAGCAGGCGTTTTCCTGTATGTCTACGCCAAGAGGCAAGGAAAAGGGAGAACAAACGTACCTCTACATTCTTAGCTTCGGACGCTATTGTTTGAGAAACCCCTTTAATACTTGCAGTGCATGAAGTGCGTCGAAAACGAAAACAAAAACGACTCATTTTTTCAGTGCATGATGGAACCATTTTTAGTGCGAAATAAATTATTCATCGGGTAGAAAATGAATGGGTGTAAGTTTACATAAGCCTGTTAATGGCACATGAACGAGGACCTTAAAAACACCTTCGCCACCAAACTTGACCACAGACTATCTAAACTAAAGGGGATCTTAGACTACAACAAGCGATTCAATGGCTCAAACATGCCTGGATCTCATGAGTGATTAACATCAAACCTTAGCCAAACGAAACTTTTAATCGTTGAAAACACCGATCTTGATAATATTTTGGCTCAAAATAAAGATTATTTTGAAGCTTTTCCTTCGAAGCAAAAAAATACTTCGTGTGTCATTTCCTATTCAGTTCTAATGACTCAACAAAACAAATAAAGAAAGAAACAAAAGAAGACTAAAACTCGCTCAACTTCCGTCAAATAATTCTTAAACAATGATCAAAAGAAGGCTCGGTGAAGATTATTAAAGAGTCGCTTAAATAGACACCAAGCTTTTGGTAAAATCCTGTCTGGTTCAGGATTGAAAACATTCGAATTCAAGAGGTTGCTCTTTATAAGTCTTAGACTGGCTATTATTAACACAAATCACAAAATTATTCCCTAATTTTCATTTAAAAAAGCAAAGTTTGGTAAAAAGAAAAAGGTTTCTTAGTGACTTACGCTTACGCCCTAAGTGATCTCTTCAAAATTTTCAAAACATCACCAGGGGGGGAGAGTGGAGAGAGCAGGGGGGGGTAGAGAGGAGGTTCCATCCTCCTCAAACGAAATTTTCGAGGGTAATATAGAGTTTTCTCTCCTGTTTAAACTAAATTATCAATGAATGAGAGTACGGTGCTTGGCTTAAATCTGTAATGAGAAATACCCTTCCCTGTTCAAAACGCTTATTTACCTCCCGTGTTTGTTATTGTTCCACGTTATTGAGCACAATATGTTTATTTGAAAAAAAAACGCTACATAATAAAAAATAATGACAAAAACACACATACAAAAAAAACATAAAACTAAACAAAACCGAAAAAGGAGCAACCCCAAGCTCTCTTCTTCCTAGATGAAGCTATATTTAAACATGGATAAAGCCCTCATTTGCTTGAATACTCTAAATTTGTCTTCACGCGTGCGTAAAATTATGCACGCAACGCATGAAGTCTATCAACAACGGAAAGTATGGTGCCAATAGAGTGAAACAGGGAGTTTAAATTCTTAAATCCTATCTTACCCCTCCCTGTTAAAAACGCTTATTTACTTCCCATGTTTGTTATTGTTCCAAGTCATTGAATACAATACGTTTATTTGAATAAGAATTATCCTGGCTTGACACAAAACAAGTTTGTTATTCAAACTTTCAAAATTTCATGTTTCAGTTTATAACAAAAAAAAGGAAATTGATGCGATTCAGCATTTAGTTGTGACTGTCATCGATGTCATATTTCTAGTAACAACAAGGTGGCCCAATTTTTCTGTTTCATTTGATCATGAGCATCAATAGAACGAGCATTTAAAATCAAGAGTTTTGTACCTGACCAAAATACAAAGTTATGAGGGGCCTTAGACTACTAATGGCAAAAAAGATGATAAAAATCAAAATGGTATTAATAATAATGAGTGTAATAATTATCATATTATGAAAAATTTTGCATTTCCCTTCTAGTTTGGCGAAAACGAGTACAACAAAAACGAGTCAAGTATCACATGGCCGGTCTTGGAAAAAGCTTCGCTGCCTCAAAACTAGTAAACCTTACCAAATACTCACACATGATATTATTTGGCATAATAGTAGTTTCCATTAATATCTATTTTCTAAACTTATATTCAACGATTGAAAAAACCAGAACAGTTAATGATGAGCAAATAACAAAACACATTGGCCCAAGGATTAGGCATTTGGTTACGAACTCGTTTAACCGGATAAAAAAGCCTGCAACGTTGGCAAATCCACCGAAAGTTACAATTCTCCTTTCCTCTGAGGCAAGGAAACTTCCGCTAGTAAACAGTTCATGTACTAGAAGAGTTCAAGTAACGCAAGATGGAGTAGTGATCTTCAGGTCTATTCTCATTAAACCAAAGTTTGGACACGCCAGGGTTCTCGAGGCCCATTTAGAATTCCCTAGCGAAGAGGATGAGTTTTTTGTCTTAGATAAAGGTTTCTTCACACTTTATTGCCGTGGGAATATTGTCGAGATCGAAAGGCAGTTACTATTTGCAGACAAGGACAACACATTGATGAAATGGAAGGCGGCCATGGACGTTGCAAGTCCTTCGCAATATTTGCAAATTGGAGGGTGGCAACCATTTAAAGATGGCCATTACTTTGCGATCCAAAGGATTGAATTTGCCAATGTTTATTGGACTATCATTGATCTGTTGGATATTTTCATCTCGTCTCAAAGTTTGGGTGTACAACCTGAAAATTTGAACATCATTCTCATCGATGCTCATCCAAAGTCCTCGCTGGACCCTTTCTGGACTGTGTTGTTCCAAAGGCTAATAAAACTAAATGATAAACATTTTTTTACAAACTCAAATGGCGTTGTGTTCGAAAATCTTATTTGGAGATATCCACGCGAGAAGTGTCCTTTATTAGACATCAACCTAAAGTCTTCAAGACATGTCCAACCATTTAGGTCTTTTGTATTAGGGCAGTTTGGAATCTCAACGAGTAGACATTTGCGAAATTGTAGTCAGAAAAAGTTGAATGTGTTAATCATCTTGAGGAGAGACTACAAGAGTCATCCTCGGAATTTGGCCGGAGTTATAGACAGAAAAATTACCAGAGGCAGAAGTTTTACGAGAAATTAAGACCAGCTTCATTCATGCAAACATTACTGCTGCTCAGATAGATCTATGGCCACTAAAAGCACAGTTGGAAACAATTGCCAATACAGACATATTATTTGGAATGCATGGTGCGGCTCATGCATTCTCTATTTTCATGGAACCAGGCGGAGCAGTAATAGAGATGTTTAATGATGATTTACAATCAGCTAACTGGCACATGAGGAAAATAGCAACTCTTTCAGATCATTCCTACATCAATTGGGCAAACAGTAATCGTAGAGCGGTAAATAAAGTTACAAAGTCGACTAAAATTCCCAAGGGGGTATCATCGAGTCTCCTAGAAAAGGCAGTTGAAAGCATTTGCTCTGAAAGGTCCAAATTCCCAACTTTAAGGTCGTGATGTCCAAGGTTCATGATTGGTGCTTGTAACTGTCTGCCTCATCTGCTTTCGTGTGTGGCTATCTTAAAATGTATGTACGTATCACACACATCAGGAGTTTACGACTTAAAATGTTATTCTTGGCAAGCGTTAATTTACTATCCAAACTGTTATTAGTTATTATTGTAAATAAAAGCTTCTAGAAATTTCCAGACTGCTGGACAGAACATTTCATCGAGTCACACATTTATTATATATTACTACCATAATAAGATAAATTTCAGGTAATTAAATGCAGAAGGGTTAATTCAGTGGAAAGAAATAGCAAACCAGACTGAAAATTCTTGAACTGTTTAGCCGAACTTTGACCTTTGATTTTTTCATTTTATCTTATCGGTTGTTTCGACCGAACGCACAATGTCGCCTGCGGGGTTTGAATAAACTGTTTTTGCACTTGATGCGTGCGCTTTGCTTCTGCATAATTATGATAAGCTACATTGTATTTTTTCATGTCTATTATAAGTACGTAATCACACGAATTTTTCCGTACGATTTGGAATAAATAAGCACTTGTAAATTCCAAAATGCACTCGAAATCATGTGATTTCCTATAGAAATAGTACTTATATAAGCATCTGGAACGTTCCAGAACACTTTGTGAATATATGTAGAGTCACTTATGTAGTGGTCACAGAGTTGTTGTCGGAATGACGACTTGTTCCTTATTAACGATAAGTATTGTACTGCTTTTAGAAGTCGCTCCTTGTTAAGATCATTACTCGCTGTTTGATGAAGTAGTTGAATTCGTGGGACTGTATTGATTTTCTGTCGGTTCGATCATACCGTAACAAAACATAAAAATTGAACATTACATATCTCGCCACGAAAACAATATTATACGGAATTTAAAATATTTGCACACGTGCAGTGCAGGCAGCATTTCGTATTATACAGATAACGATAAAAATAAAAGTAAAGCAATGTAATTCAAGTCTATTATCAGTGAGATTTCAAATCAAATTTCAGGGTACTCGAGAAGCTTAAAAGGTGCTCCGATCTATATCGGTTATTTTTGCAAGTTGTGAAACCGTCAACAGATAAGTAAATAATTTCCTTGCGGTAGTTTCGGAGATATTGATAAAAAATAATTGAATGTAGTTTTAACCGTGTCTTTTTTTTAAATTTATAATGTTTCTTTACGTTTGGATAACAAGTGCATAATCACGTACGTGCATGACTGAAATGGTGTGATCATTGTGGTGTGGAATTATTGATTTTTGATTGGTGGAGTTCGTGAGGCACGACAACATGTGCAGTAAATCTTGTAGTTTATCACAATTTCCTTTTTTGGCGATGAACATGATTTCCTGTGTGATTTTACCAAAATGGTTTCGATTTTTTTTATCAATATTAAATTGAAACTTGCCTCGGAATAGGATAACGGGCTTTATGCCGACCAGAAAGGCCTGCGAATGCAACGTATAGCATAGTATAAAGCAAATCAGCTGTACGAGAGTCGCGATATTGTACAGCTTACGAATAATTGTTTTTTTGAAGGACACATGTCGTTGCTTTGATTGAAAGTGTTAAGCACTGCTGGCAACAACAGCTTCCCTGAAAAAACTGTGCTTTCTGCAGAGAAATTCGCAGAACTCGTATCCCGTGTATTTCCACAACATCATCTGTTGAACTGTGAATGCATCCGTTAGTACAGGGACGATTTCCAATTTTCATGATATTTTCGCACTGTAGCCGCCGATTCAAATAACCATTCAAAGAAAGAAAAATAGATATGCCTAATTTCAATCGTCAGCTTAAGTAATGATACTTTTCTCGTAGAGTTTAGGAGGAGTCGATAGTGTTGAAGTGCACAAAGGTTGAATACAGCGTGAACATATAAATGACATTGGATGAACTCACCTCCTGGCAAAGAGCACGACACCGAAGCCACTACAAAGGCGATGAAGTAATTCATGCTTATGATCTATTGAAGAGACATTGGAATAGAGTTTATGGCAAGCTTTCTTCACTTAGAAGTATTGTGATCCAACCTATAGGTTGCAATGAGCTAAAATATTCAAAACCGAAAGAACCTTATGAATAAGCAAATTATTTTTGCACGGTTGCACAGTTGCACAGTGAATGGCTATGATTTGCTTCTCTAAATTTTCTAAATGGACAAGAAAAGCAGCATTGATCACGCCCGAGTGATTAACAATAGGGGAAACTTTATTGAAAACACCGATCTCGATGATGTTACACTCAAAATTATTCCCTAATTTTCATTTACTTTCACAAAAGAAGTCAAAACTTTGGTAAAAAAAAGAGAAAGGTTGCTCCTAGTGTCCTATTACACAAATCACATAAACGCAAGTATATTTCGTGACCTATGCGCCTTAGTGATCTTTTCAAATTTTTTTAAAACATTACCGGGAGGAGAGAGAGGAGAGGAAAGGGGAGGGGGAAAATTTGAGTAAAATCGGTGAAATTTTGCCTGTATTCGACGAAAACGCGTTGCTATAGTGGAGTCTAACAAGCACACCCTATGAAGTCGACTGAAAACTTGGATTTCAATTTGCAAAAGGCCCGAATTTTTTCCAGCAAAGCAAGAGTCACAAGAGAAGACTTGAAACGTTACTGAACAACTGATATAGGTAAGTTTTTTAATCCGAATTGTCTGAGACTCCTTTCTAGGCGCCTTTAATATGTTAAGATCGGCCGTTATGCGACTCCGTTTTGAATTTCGGAGGTACTGAATATGGAGCAAAACAGTCTGTAAACGACTGGAGAGCTTTAGTTTTGGTTCCAAAGAGTGCAGTAACACTTTTATTCATCTAAATTAGTACTTGAGCAAATAAATTACACTAGATTTACATACATAGTGCTCGTTCTGGTAGAATTTCCGCACAGCCCTATACTCATTATGCATTCAGGTCTTGGCTAGAGAAAACAACGACAAAAACAATGCATTGCTATTGGGAAAACAGATTTGTTTATTAACAATCGCTCTGACGAAGGGCTAACGCTCGAAACGTCAGCTTTTTTACTCTTTACGGTGGCTAATTTACGTTTTCAACCCAGTTGTTAACACTAAATTACTTGTTTAACAATAGTATGGGGCTGTGCGGGAATTTTACCCTCGTTCCTAGTCAACGAACTGATACATTGCAAGTGAAAAGGAAAGAGATTTACTCGTTCGCTTTTCGTTTTAAATTTCTCTCATTAGGTTTGGGAGCTTTCCCTGCTAGTTCCGGATTCGTGGCAATGTAGTGGTTAACAAGGATTTGACGTAATCTCGTGTTCTTTTTCTTCACATGGTCAAAATGCTGGGACTGGGTGTTGAATTCGTGTTGAAGGAGTGTATTCCTTCAATCCTTTGTTCACCATAGAATCCAAGGGCCATGAGCCATTGTTGAAGAAAAGTGCAAACATGTTCTTCTAACATATGGAGCTTTGGTGTGATCATTATGTCTGGGAATTTTTCCCTAATGAGCTGAAGAAAATTTGTGATATCTTCCTCTGCAACAAGAAAACAAGAAAAGGTGGATCAGACTTAAGACATGATCTTATTAATGTATTTATGTTTTCCTTGAAAGTCAGGTTTTTTCTTTTTCTTACCAAGCTTATCAATCTTGCCATCAATAACAAATAACTTGAAAACTTGTTTAAATTTAACACTAATTTCTCCTCTGTTTTTGTCACCACAGTACTATATAGTTTAAAGATGTTTTCTTCCTACCCAATAGAAAAACCGCAACAATTTAATAGAATTTTGTGACTCGACAAATTCCTTCCCTAAGGGTAGAATTTGTGTTACCCTGCATCAAGTGTGTACATGGTTACCAATGAATGATTTTCCATGGTAAGCTTATTTCTCGACATTAATTTCCTTGAGAACCTCATCCGAAGGCACTGATAGTGGTCCATTAGCTTTCTCAAAGGCCGTGAAAAGAAAAAAAAAGGGCTTTTCTTATGTACGTTGCAAACCTCGAAATGGACAACTCGCTAAAATGGGTTCTTTTCATCAAAGAAAGCGGTCAGATGACACGTGATACGCTGTGGAAGTAAGGTGAGGTATTTTTATTGAGAATTTGACGTATTGTTTTATTCCATAGAGCGGTCGTAAATATTCTCTTACAAACTCTTATAATTCCGCCATGACTGTCATTGTGCAAGATGATCATCTCACAGCGCTGGAGCTTGGGCCGCATGTGCGTAGTGCGACTTTCTTGCGCGTAACAGAAGGCCATGGACATTTTAGCAGTTTGTCATACATCGTGTATTCTTTGTTTAGCCCATGGGTAAGCATGATTGCATTAAGAGGATAAATTGGCGCTGTTTGGGGGTATTAGTTCGAGGTCAAAGTGGAGGTGGACGCCATATTTACTATTTCGGTGGTGAAGTGTAATCGCAGATTACACCGCTCAAAACAATTCGGATTAAAACGTCATGGTACAGAAACTAAGGGCAAAGGAGAGACGTAAAGCCAGAGTCGTTCCTTTATTGAAACAAAAATTCGAATCAATCAGAATCTTGCCTAAAAATAAGGAGAACTCAGAAAGGCGATAAGTCATCCCGCGTCAAAACAAGATGCCATTAAGCCGTCGTATGGTTAACTATCCCGCAAATGCAATCTTTTGTGTGAGAACATTTACTAGGGAAGCAAAACTCAATGTCTGCGCACAAGTTAGCTATTTCTTCGGGCTTTGTGCATATACTTTTTTTGACCTAGTTATCAGTGGGCTCTTTCTTGTTGAGCCGTTAATTTTCAGCGGTTTCAACTTGAAAATGTCAATCTGACATGCGCGAACTAAATTTCCATTGGCGGGGGTTTTGAAACAGGTAGTTTAAACTCCCTTCTTATCTTACCCTTCCCTCTTAAAAACGCTTATTTACTTCCCATGTTTGTTATTGTTCCAAGTCATTGAATACAATACGTTTATTTGAATAAGAATTATCCTGGCTTGACACAAAACAAGTTTGTTATTCAAACTTTCAAAATTTCATGTTTCAGTTTATAACAAAAAAAGGAAATTGATGCGATTCAGCATTCAGTTGTGACTGTCATCGATCTCATATTTCTAGTAACAACAAGGTGGGATTAATTTTTTTGTTTCGTTTGATAACGGCTAGAGAATAATCCAAAAGTTTGCAGCTAAGTCTGTCAGTGAGGTAAATTAGACCGATCGAACTTTTTACATAATAGAAAATAATGACAACAACACACACACACACAAAAAACATAAAACTAAACAAAACCAAAAAAGAAGCAACCCCCAAGCTCTCTTCTTTCTAGATGAAGCTATATGTAAACATGGATAAAGCCCTCATTTGCTTGAATACTCTAAATTTGTCTTCGTGCGTGCGTAAAATTATGCACGCAACACAATAACACGTAATTTCAATTAATGACGAGCAGTGCATTGTTTCGTCATTTGAAGTCTATCAACAACGGAAAGTATGGTGCCAATAGAGACCCCGAGACAATCCGACATTTGGCTTAAAGGAAAGCCTTCGTCAAATCTTAATTATCTTCGCAAAAGTGGCATAGATCCATGCAGAATCCTGGAGCCTAAACGAAAGAAATTACAGTCTCTAGAGGCTGAAAGAATTATGACCGTTTTTCGAGAAACAGTTCGGCGAATGGAAATCACTACGGCTCTCCCCTATATACTCAATTCATTAACCCGATTTTCCATTATTTTCGGCCAGGATTTGACATCGCGTTTAATTAGCCATTTACACTTGCAACATGCTTACAAAAAGGCACTTGCCGCGTTGGAGGGAAGTTTAAGGCAGAATGTCGAGCATGAATCTCGTAAAGAAGGAGATACCAAGACAGAGACTGGATCAGGCAATGTACAATTTAGTAATAACCCCATTGTTAGCATTACTTCGGCGAATGGAAATCAGTTAAGAGATGATCTTAAGATGGAAGTGGAATTTCTGGAAAAAGGAATTAAAAGCTCATTGAGGGAAATACTCAGGTTTTTTAAAAAGAATCCGAAAGCGATTGAAATAGTCACAGGTGAGAAAAGGATTTAAATAATGGTGCTAGTTATTTGTAATTCCACAAGATGTGTGTTTTCTTGCACTTACCACCTAGAGTAGCGTATCAAAGCCATTAAGTTTTAATTTCTACATTCTAATCTTCCTTCTGAAACCTGTAAATAAAAAATCCTTTGAGTTATTTTTGTTTTCTTTATATGTTTATCTCTTACTCACTGTCTTGCGACTCAGTAAAGTCAGTAAATGTTTAATTTTTGCAGGCAGATAAACCTCTGTTTTTTCCTTAAAACATTATTTTCATGCTGCAGTGATTTCCATTCGTTTGTTTTCTTGTAAACAGAGAGCAAACAAGTCCGCAGCCAAGAGCATACAGCTCTATTGAACAAGCTGACATCGGTAGAAAGTATCATGAAAGAGAGGCTAATGACATCACCATTCGAGGAACAAGAAATGAGATCAAAGTTAACGGATATTATTGAAAGAGAAAAGAAAACAACTGCATTACGAGAAAAGCTTGAGATAAATTACCAGGCGGCTGTAGAAGCAAAGCAGTCTGAGGTAAATTCACGGTTATATGTACTGGGTATAAGCCCATTGAAACAGAAATAATAATAATAATAATAATAATAATAATAATAATAGTAACACAAAAGGAAAAATGAAAGTTTTTTAATGTATCTGGTTTAATCTAAGGAAACAATCTTCCCCAAGTCCCGACGACCAGTTAGGTGATATTGCAATACTTTGCGCCGAACTGAACTCTTGGCGAGCTAGAATGCATATCAGTATTGTGAGTTATTTTGTCTCATGCGGATCCTGACATACATATCGATGACCTATGATCGTCGAGCAATATCGAAAGAGTCCTGTGTGGTGATTAGGATAGCATGGTGGCAAACCTTATCTCGGTCATGAAATTGCGAAAATGTGAAATTCGTGTCATGATCAAGGGGTCGATTAAAAGTCTCAGCCCATTTAAAGATTCGAGGTTAGCGACTTCAGATTAGGATGCTCTATCACTGAGTTCCTTGGGAGTCTCGCATATCGTCAGGATCAGCGACGTCAACATGTAGAGAGCAAGATTTAGGAGTTCTTACCCTTCTTTGAATTTCTACAGTAAATACAAAGTTTATAAACTCTTTCAGATTTCTGAACGAGATACAACAATTCTGCGGCTTCAGCTAGACTTGCAACTGATCGAAAAGATTCATTCTGAACAACAGCGACGAACTTTGACAGAAGCCTTTAAACAATGTTCCCAGGAGAGCGAAGCGTCAAAGACTAAAATAGCAAAATGTTATGAAGATATAAACCTGTGTAGAAAGAAAATCCAAGAAGATAAAAAGGAACATCGAGCAAATGAAAACCTCATGAGAAAGGTTGGATGTTAATGTATACTTGCAGAGCCTTTGTGGATGTTGCTTACTTCACTTTCACCCTTCCAATTGCAATCTCCCTCTTTCGCGATCACTTATACCCTGTTAGAAATTAGGGAAAGAAATAAGACAACTGAAGTAACAAAAGTCGTGATATTAGGGATATTATAACTCCTAGTAGGAGACTCCTGTGAGAAAATTATTGATAAATATCTGACCTGTTTCATGACACCCCTTCACTTTTGTGATCATTAGAGGAGATTCAAGATAGCGACGGAAGTCTTCAACTGGGTCCAAAAATACGATGCAGATTTAAGTAGTAGACAAGTGAGTGATCTTTGTTTTAAATGTAAGATGCCTCCTTAAAAGATCTTCCTTCAACTTTATTTAACCATACAAGATTCGTCACATCTTTGAGGTGCTCTAAATTAAGGAAGTTTATGTATCCTTGGTGATATCACCCTTGCATTTATTCGGTGGGCCAGCGTTCATTTCTTAACTCATCTCGAGAGGAATACCGAGCTTTATTGATCTCAGTTGTTGATAACGAGTTGTCCGTACTTATTGCAATGACTAATAGACGTCTGCTCGGAGACATAAGGCTTAACAAGTAGATGAGTTCGATTACATGTGTGCATACTTATCATACACCTATCCAAGCAATCTCCATTCACCAAAGAAATAGGTGGTGACTTGAACTGGATAGCACCATACCATCCCTTCTGTGGGCGGAATTTGTTACGCCGCGAAACTGCGAAAATGCATTTCCCATATAAGGACACCAAATATGTAAATCTTGAATATACATGTGACAAACAACAGGCCTTATTTATCGTTGCCAATTTTTTAGCAAAAAGACCTGCCAATAAGTTACCTTCCGTCGGCTTTGATGGAGATTAAGCATCGGTGATCAGGATAAAATTACTGATTAATGACCGTCACCCTAACACTTATAACCTTAGGAATTTTAATTCCAGGACGAATACGACCTTTACACGCGCATGTATGAAGCTGACAAGGATCAACTTGTGCAACTGCAAGAGCGGTTCGCAATGTTAGAAAAACAATACGACGCCATTATCGAGGAGCGACGTGTCGCGGAAGAGGAGAAAGCGAGAAAGATGGAAGAGGAGAGAAAGCAGAACCAAGCCGCTGAAGTTATACAAACTGTTTGGAGAAGTTACCAGTTCAGAAAACTCATGCGAGGAAAATCAAAGAAATCCACAAAGAAAGGCAAAGGTGGAAAGTGATTTGAACTAACTAACCTCTAAGAGCCCAGACCGTTATTTAATTTTTATTTAGTTTTATTGTGGATTGTAATACACCTGGTCAAATTTCCAATAATGTAAAAAAGAGGCATTATTTTGCATCATCTATCGCATCTACAAGTTTTTCTTTTTATGTAACGATGAGCTATGATCATCTTTTTGAAGATAATCTGTGTAAATTAATAAAAAGTTAAAGTATGATAATGAGCTAAATTAGCAGCCAAAATTAAAACAAGGATACACCGTTGTAATTACGAGTTTATCATCGCCAAGGGACGGTACCTCAAAGTACAAAACAGATTTAATCAGTTCGGAGCCCCGAATTGATTAAATCTGTACTGGTTGACTGTTCTAAAGATCGCCGAATTTCATTGACTCACATCTACATTTTAAAGTATATGCATAGCCAACTATGCAACTTGGATTTTAATTAACCCAAAAATCACAAGGAAAAGTTATCATATAAGTGTTTACTCGAACAGCCAAACTGTCATTCTACACCACCCCCCACACACCCCCACACGCACCCCCACGCACACCCCCACTACACACCCCCACGCATACACCCTCACTACACACCTCTCCCCATAATGGCAGGGTTAACAGGCGGCTTGCGCCTTAAGTCCATCTAGGTTTAATAGGAGACAAAATCTTCGATCTTCTATTTTGCTCTTTCATGGCAACGTCTTCCACTTGTGTTCAACGTAAAGTAAACTCATATCCAAGTAGCTTCCTCTTTGTTTTGCTCTTCGAAGTAAGTGACATTGATGTATGTTCTCTGAAAAAGTAAAGAGAACAAAGACTTTCTGAAATGCATGATTTAAAAATTCTTCCGACTGACCAGACTTGTTTTTTCCTCATCCCCGATACACAAGGCCTGCAATGAGAGGATAATGCCTTTCCTATGATATCAAAGGAAGCTCCTACTGCCCAAATTGAATGTTAAAACACATTCTATAGCTTACTGTGGACAAAAATGGGAAGTCAACTGTAGGTTAACCAAAAAATTTGGAAGCAATACTCTACCATGTTAGTTTGTTTCATTCCTTCGAGGAACCTCAGACAAATGAGCTATCGTTATCATTTTGCTAATTATTGTATGTCCCTCTCATTATTGGAAATGGAAACAAAACAGCGATGAAATTCGGAAAACGGGAAGAAGAACATCAATATCAACTAAGCTTTATGGGCCCACTCACAGTCTCTTGTTGTAAAAGTTCCTCCAGCATCTCATAAAGCTGTTCAAATGATGGACGCTCGTCAGGGTTCCTCTGCCAACAGCCTAACATGATGCTATAACTAAAATGTAACACAGAAAACACTGTATCAACCTAATGGCTTAAAGCTCAAAACGGTTCTTAATTTTTGTTGTACCAAACTTAGACCCCAAAAAATTAAAAGCTTGCTTTTATAATCTACAGTTGCAACAGAAGTTTTCAGTAAAGTACGCTTGATCGTGTGGTTGCATTGAAATACTGAAATCAAGCATTTGCTGACAGTCAAATTCTTCAATATAGTTATATGTGGTCTTCATAGAAATTATAAAAAATGGGGATTGTTATCTCCACTTCCGCAAATGAATGATAAAGACACTAAGGAGTTATTCAGAATAAAATTTTTGCGTGGATTAGTCACTTCAAGGGAAAAAAAGATGATAGATGAAATAAAAGCCCATGATGACTTATTACATTAAGACAAGATGCAGAATGAGAGAAAAAACTGACATCTTTTGACAAACATACAGCTAGGCTAAATGTCTCAGACTTACAGCTCATCCGAACAATGCGGTGGTTTTAGTAATCTTGTTCCATCCTCCAGCAATTCGTAAAGCTCTAAAATGCCTTTGATACCCGTGTACGGTAGTTCCCCTAGAAATAGAAGGATCAAATTCAGTTGGATGGTAATACCCTCCATCTCATCAGATGAAAAAGGTCTATCAGTATAAGTTAGTACCCTTCAACTAAGGATCTATATGCAATTAAAACGTCAGCTAAAATCAGAAGAAGATCCTCTCGTGCCTAGAAACGTCATGGCCAACCTTAAGTAAAACTACTAGGTAATAAAATCCTTTTTGATGTAACTTGGATGCTTGAAAATTTTATCAGAGAATCTTGATAATACTATTTCGATTTTTCCACATCATTTTCTGCCACTTGCATCACTGATCGATGGCATTAAACTAGGGTCCCAATCCCATACCTATTTTAGCCTAAAGGCAAGCCTTTGTTATCAGAACTTAAGCACGTGCGTTTCCTCGCCCTTGGGAAAGTTAGAGACCTTGAGAAACATAAATCGGCGAGAGGTCTACAAACTGTCTCGCACTAATGCCGTACCCCCGGTAAACCTCTCCCTAACTCGTATCAAGTATTCTCGCGGGAGGAGAAAGGCGCGTCCTGCCGCGCAAATAATGACGGCCTGCTCGCAGGCTAAACTATTTTAGAAAATTGGGATTGAGGGAGAGCGGAGAGTGTCTAGTTTTTTTTCTTCCTGGTTACGATATCAGTAATTTAATTTTAAACATAATTTTATCAATAGGGCTTTTACTTACCAAGAGTAACTATCTCCCAAAGGGTTACTCCAAATGACCACCTAGAAAGGAGTATAATATAATAGTAAAGCTCGGAAATTTTAAGTCTTTATCGTAATCCAATTTCAGCTTGGAAATACCGATAACTTACACGTCTCCCTTTATTGTACAAGTTCCCCTTAACGCCTCCATAGACATCCATAACCATGGAACTCGTCCCTAAGATAAAGTTTCGTAAGTTAGTTCACAAATGCTTACTTCTCGGAAGAAATTGTTTATGGCATACAATTTTATTGATGGCGATAAGTGTTGTCGAGAGCACAGACTGGCGGTTTGGCAACCCTCAGAAAAATTCATTGTAATCTTATTGTGGCAAGTCTGCTTTGAGTCCCATCTCAGTTTCGCCGTAATGGTGATATCGAACGTTGTAGTACCGTAATCACTTGACTTTCCTTTTGACTGTTCAGAGAAGATTCTTCAATATAGTGAAGACTCTCAGTGTGGTTCGTCGGTTATATTATGACTGTTGTGAAAAGGTGGGAACCAATAGATATTTTGTTAAGGATTGTGAGTTATGCTGGCAAACCAGCTCTCCACCCAAAGTGAGTTAATGCGTGAGTTTAAAATTCTGTAGAGTTCCACTCAGCTGTCGGAGTTCCAGTTATTAAGATCGTTCTGAGCAATAAGTAAAATATATACCTCTGTTGTCTTGATGTACTGCCCATCTGTGGATACGTCTCGTGCCATTCCAAAATCAGCCACCTTGGCTACCAACCCTTTTCCAACGAGAACATTTCTGCACGCCAAGTCGCGATGAATGCACTGAACCACAGATAAACGAAATTAAGTACTACTTATCTAGTCATGCCATGCGGACCTATGTAAGTGTCATTATCTCTATAACCATCATCAGGAATCGTTTCTCCTCAATTCGTATCCGTCAATTGTGCAAAACCATTTTTTTCTGTTATTTCTGTTAACTAAGTTAAATTTAGCATTACTTTGTTTACATTTTTTGGCTTGTAATGTTCCGTTTATGCCTTTTTTAACCTCGTTTCTCTTTCGCTCGCATTTCTCTTGTGACTTTTTTTTCCTTCGCACTACTCTACGTAAGTACCATCTGCATTTCGCATATTTAGTTTGCATTTCCCAACAAGATATCTAATAAAACTGCTACCAAAAGTATATCCAGCAAGAAAATGCGCCTCACTCATGAATCCATGAACAAACCTGTTTACTTTCCAAGTGGCTCATGCCGCTAGCGACGTTTGAAGCAATCCTCAATAATTCTCTCTCTGTCAGTCTTGACCATATGTTAACATAAGTTGGATCAACTTGTTGATTATGGACGCGACTGCTTCGAAGTAATTTATCAAGACTTCCACCAGAGACAAATTCAATGACGATGCAAAGAGGCTCTAGAGGTGAAAAAAGAAACGTTGAAAACTTACAGTGCTTCTGAAACATCACACTGCATTGCTGACTCCAGAAAACTTCATTGGATTTGTTGTGATGGCCCAAAATGATCCCTTCATCAATGAACACAAATCAATCAATAAATCGTTACATCATTTTTTTTACATACATGGTTACCATGGAAAAACTAGCCTCTTGGAAATATCTTTCATTTAAAGGTATGTGTGCCGGTGAATCAAAAACGAATTAATTAAGCTTAATTTGGATTCAGTAAATTTGAAATCGGTTTATCGAAATTCATCTTACTGCATACTTTTTAAAACCTCTGGGCTAGAGGTGAAGACTTTCCCTAAATCATCGAAATAAGACGAAGGCTCTGCACCCACTGTACAATTGTTTTTTGTTAAATCTTATTTCCATCTCCGCTACACAAACTTTCATTGACACAACTTGCCCTCCAACGTTCGCCGTAACTTTTTGAATCGCCGATCCCTTACCTTCAAAGGTGCAAGCTCCGACTAAACTGACAATATTCGGATGGCGACCAACTTGGATAAGTGTCTCCAGTTCTTTGATAAGCGCCATTCGCTGCTGTCTGTCTTTGTTATCTGTCAAAGAAGACGTGGTATGAAAACTAACTTTATGATATAGTGGCCAAATACTTAGTTCCCTTCTGTTCTAAGAGTTTTTCCCCACCAAAAGGTATGTATGACGTTCTTATCACTTAGGGCTTGGACGTTAAGTTTAAGTTGGCACGCCGCAAAACACAAATCTTGAAAAATGTCCCCAATTTTTTAGGTTTCAATTCTGTCATTTGCTGTCCAGTTTGCTATCATGTCCTTTGTCATCACTAACATAACAATTTAAGGTTGATTGTTGTTAACATGTCTGCTGCGCTTCATTTTCCGACCTTTACTGTAAATTACTTTAATTTCATGTAGCATGCGCTTTGTAAGTTCATAAATCATTTAATTATTATTATTACTCGTAGAGGCTATCATGCTTAACGATGATACGAATCCTAGGCTGGAAATTTAAGGACAGGTGAGATTTATCTTCCGTAAACACCCTCTGAAAGATATATCTTCGATCATTTTAATCTCAAATACATGGATTAATTTTTCAACCTTTAAGAATTTTCACCGCCACTGGAAGTTCATTTCCATTAGTTCTTAGGTAAACTCCTTTCTTAACCTCTCCAAACTCTCCTTTGCCAAGTTTCTCCTCTGAAATAGTCAATCTATCCCGGGGGATCTCCCAGTTTCTGTCAACTGCCATTAATTGCAAATAAATTTCGTTTCCAACGACTTCGTTTTCGTCAATAGTAGATGGATCCGTGTGTTCACCATCATCGGTTAATGCAGACCGGCTGTTTCGTAACTGATTTATCGTATCGTTTGTGCTCGTGATTTTCATCTCAAAAGCCTCTTGTGTCCTTCTAGAAACCTAAATTTGACAAATGACACAGATTATATCACACCAGTATGCTTTTAAAAGACCTTAATGTGTACACCAAAGGGCGGATTTTTTTACCGTGCCCATCTCTGTTGACCTCATTTAAACCGAAACTAAATTAATAACAAAGTTCACAACAAAGGTAAATCAAAACAAGGCTATTTGGGATCAAAATAAATGTATGCAAACTTAATGCGAGAAAATAAAGCTGAACAAGTCCAGATTGGTCTACTCAGTTTTGCATTTCATTGAAAATTTGGTGCGAATCAATGGCAGGACCAGCTGTTAGTGAGGAAAAACCTGTGTAGTCTCGGGATAATTATTGGGAAAACAGGAAAAGGCGATGATTTAGCGATTTAAGTACCTACTTTCTGGTCTAGTAGGTCCGTTCTCCTCTTGATAGCGAACAGAATTATGATGAAAATAAGGACTGAAGCCCCGGTTATCGTGATGGACCAAATGATTGCGGACCAATTTTCTTTGGTGACTGTTCTGTCATCAGCTGAAATTGCGAGATTTAGCAAAAATTGTTCAATTGTATAAAAAATACTATGCTAGATATAAAGCACAAGTAAAGCACACCGTTCATTAAAAGGGTGGTGACTTTTCTTTAAAAAAAAATGCCCATAGTCACTGAAGTAGCCCTTGGATGAAAACACTAAAAACAAGGATGTTCAAGATGTCCTTTACCAATAAATAAAATCCAGACTCTTCATTTTAGATCCCATTGATTTTGGTATATCCATGTCGCTTAATTGGCATCACGGCTTTTGCAAAAAAAAAGTACTCTAACTTAATTCAAGCCGATATTCCAACCTAAGCTTTCGAAGAAGTTTTGGAAAACATTCTTTGTACCTAAAACAAAGGAAATCCTTATTTGTGAATCAGAGCTGTAAGCTTACGCTTCATAGGTGGACGTTCCTCATCGCGTTTTGCGATCATCAGTGTGGCTTCCTGGGAAGATATGTTTCCCAACGAGTTTTTAGCAACGCAACGATATCTAAAGTGCTTTTCTGTCCCCTCCTTGATTTCAACAGTGAGGATGGAGATGTTTTGACTTCGAATCACTGCATCATCATCAACTTTGGAGTTGTTTTTTAACCAACTGATCACTGGAAGTGGGGAGCCATTTGCTGCACACGAGAGATTAACAGTCACGGTGGTGGCATCATCGTCAAGATACACAGTTGTGTCTTGGGGATGAATGGAGAACACTGGCTTCCACACCACTAAAAGTAACAACAACGGTTACACAAACATTGTACTGAATAGTCCAGACACCCGGGGATCACATTTTTTTAGTTGACACGAAGGGGAATCAGTTGCCACCAAAAGAGTTTGAGAGGGGTGACTATAGAGAATTCACTTCGAGCCACCTGCCAATGAGGAGGAGGGGGGAACATAAGAATATTTTACCATAACTGTAGAAATTCTTGTGCGCTCGTTGGCCGAGAACTACTATCAATTTAACAAATAGATTCCAAGTTGCCGTGCGTCTGTTCAGTGATAGATCACGGATGACGCCAAAATGTGGTAAGAACAAAAAAGTGGCACACGAGGCCCAGCCAAGTGTGTCACTGATGTTCTTACCACATTTTGACGTCCCCTGTGAATAAGGTAAATTTTATTGTGACACAACTAAAATTCTCCCCCTCCCCTTTAGGCAATAGCTTATGACCAGTCCCTTAAGCTCGAGATTTTAACGTACACACTCTCGGCAACCGTTACATGTGGTCTTTCAGAAGCATTACCACTATATAATGGTTTTAAGAACCACCGTAACCTACTGAAAAAAAAATGTTCCCAAGCATTCGACGGTCCACAGAATCCATCAGGGACTCCATGTTGTAATTGTCCCACTTTACAAAGATATGAAGAAAGTCAGCAAACGCAAAATCATATTCACAAGTACGCGTGTAGTTATGTCCTGCATACAGGATATGATCATTATCTTTAAAAACATCTCATTATTTGAACATTATTATGGTCTTTCAAAAAAGTGAAATGTTTCAATACCTGTCAGATTTACAGGAGCTGATCTGCTCTGCCCCTCTGTGCTGTTTGCCTCGCACCAATACCGTCCTTGGTCATGAGGGTGTACAGATTCAAAATTCAATATTGAATACCTTTCTGACCCTATCACAGAAGAACTGGAAAGGCTATTACCGTCTTTGAACCAGGTGATGGAGGGAAGGGGAACACCTGATGCATTACAGTTGAGTTTGGCTTTACTCGATTTTAGAAAGACGACTTCACGAGGCTGGTGATGAGTAAACAGCGGAGGTGATGGCTCTATGATTAAACAAGAAAAACAAAATTCAAAAATTTTAAAATTAAAGAAAACAAGTCGAATTACACACTTTCCTTCAAGACCGACATGATATGAAATTGTTATCAGCGGTTTTCAATTTACCCGTCAATTCAAATTGATGCATCTTCGTGGTTTTCTAGTGAAAATTATACAATATAAGTTTTACCCGACATGAAATGTCATGTAGATACCAAACTAAATGTGAGCTACTTCATTTGTTATAATGTATAACAAGAAACAAATAATACGAAATGTTACCTTTAAACATCAACGCCACCGTTTTCATTGTGCAGCCATAACTATTTGTTGAGATGCAGGTATAATTCCCAGAGTTATCCTCGGTGGCGTTTTGAATAAAGTATTTGCACACTTTTGAACGTTCGTAATCTAAGTCACCACCACCACAACTCAATTCTCTCTTGTAGACATCGTTGAAAAAAAAACGGATCCAGTAGGGAAAGAAATATTTATGATTCGTTGGATGATTGCTGGTACAAACGACTGTTATATTGTAGCCCGTTGGAAGAACGTGCTTATTCGGAAATTCCAAGTTGTTCATTTCCACAGTTGGCCTGTATGAGGATGCTAAAATAAAAGTAGGTAAAACAAGAATTTCAAGACTCCATGCCAAGATAAACCTACCAGAAATAAAAGAACATGGAATAAGACTATTATGGTCTGCAGTTATGTGAATGACCCAGTACCACACTTTTAATGGTCAGATGGACAATAAACGGAATATAAATATGTGGTTACGGTCAATGGTTACTCTTATAGTCCTTGGAAATATCCAGCCATAAAGTCAGGAATTACTGGTACTAAGATTTCTTTGATTTCTTTCTATTACCGTTTGCTAACCTAGGCATGAATCATTAAAATTTTAAATGATGTTGCTTCCAGGTTGACTGCTGCAGTATCATATCGAGCCATGGCTGGACTTGATCAAAACGAGGAGATTTCAAAGATATTTGAAGTAAACTCAGAACGGTTGAAAAAATTGACGGGTATTTTAAACTGTAAGAACTTACGTTTAGTCGCTTCTTCAGCTGAATAACATCCGTTTCCCAAAGCCCCAAGTTGTTTTTCAAGTAAGAATAAAACTACACAGATAACCAATGGCATTTTACAGCTGATTTTGGTCAAATCCTGAAAACCACAAACTACGGATGTGAGATACAGTTCATTCTGTATGAAGTTGTTCAGAGACAGAAGCACGAAAGTTGTACCGATTGTGGTCGACGACAAGTTAAAAGTAGTGTACAAGTTGGGGTATTACTAAGCATATTTTCTATATCTTGCCTCTTTGCAACCGAGATACCTCGCCTCTATAAAAAGCGAAGTGAATTTTTTAACCCATAACTTATTATGGAAGTTTAGAAACTCGTATCGCATTTCAGACCCATCACTGAGGCAGGAAATAGTGGATAGGAGATGAGCTGTTAAGTGTCAGTCTAATTTTTTTGTGAAAAGCCTTGAAGCAATGAATTCTTGACGTTGCACTTAATCCTGGGTATACCTGTCAAGATCATTTCCCTAAAAGCAAATGAAGTATTTCTCTATCTTGACCTGTCACACCAGAAGGTAGTTGATATAAACCCTCGAACGCGGTTTTTATTGATACGATTTTTGCAAAACAACCGAGGGAATCTAACCAGGTTTGAGAGAGATTGAGAAAGAGAGTGAGGATAGGGGTCCATCAATTTACTGTTTCATGTAGATTAAAAGCTGAGCTTCGTAAGTCACTAAGGCAAAGGTGGTCAGCTAAATATGCAAAAGAAAACGAAAACAAGTGGATCAAATTAATATGGTCCCCACGATAGCCTTCACTCGTTGCTAATCCGTTGCAGTTGGTCGCATCACAATGAATACGATTTGATTTACCATTTGGCGCATTGGCATCTTAAAGCTTTGTTGTCTTTGTATGCTTTAGTCAGATTTCCACAAGTATCTGCGTCTTCACGCTGTGGGAAGAGAATACAAAACGGTTTTTTTCCCCAGCCACATCAAACTCTTTAGTGTATCCGTTTGTTTTGGAGTGGCAATTTTGGCAAGGTATCTTGCGCATAATTGCTGTGGCTACCTTTGTGGTTAACCTACACTTTCAGTATCTGTGATGTCTTTCTTTCCTATGATCAGTGAGTCAGATTGACGATTGAAAGTTTTGAAAGACATGCGACAAACATTTTGGAGGACCCCATTTGATTCCAAAATGAGCGAAAAGGAAGACAATAACGTTGTTGTCTTAAACAGAATGGACAGATATATTGAGTTATTTGCCCTTAGATCAAATTAAATTTACTCGGCAGAATACTACGAATCCTTGAGATTCGGTCGAGTCTCAAGTTTAAAAGATTCTAGGATCCAATAGTTTAAGTTTATTGACATCAACAATTGAAAAACAAAAAAGGATCATTAGCAAAAAATTATTCATTACCTTTAAGTTTTGAATGCGCTTCTTGACATTGGCAAATTGCGAAAATATACACATCACTTTAGAGATTTCCAAGGACAAAATACCATAACTACACATGCAAATCAACTTGTATTTGTGCTACTCCATGATGTTATTTGTTTTTCAGCAAACCACCTATCTAACACTCTCAGAATTCAATTTGAAGCGAAACAAGTTACAGACCCATCAAGGAACTTTAAATGTTTATGTTTTCTCTCTACAGTACAGTAGTTCGTATCGACGCGAAAAAAAACGGGTACAGAAGTTTTAATGTGAAAATGACTTAAACGCGTGCTAGAAGGAAAAAGTCCTTTATTTCAGAGCTAACCAAGAAAATAATATGCTAGTGCTTAATAGCCAAGTCTCCACTTAAAAAAAGTAAGCGTATAAAGCAAATTCAATACAAAATTGTCGCAAAGGTCCTCGCAACTATTGCCATTGAAGAGGTACCGAAGTTACATTTAAAAGGTATTTGTCCGGACATGATTCCAGAAGCCGTCCAAGCGAATATTACACCATAGTAATAAAATTTTATTTATTCAGACCATATTTGTTTTATTGCAAGTCCGCTAATCCGCTGATATCTGTCCTATTATTGCCCTTTATTTCCTCGAAGATTTTCATTACCGCAGAGGTAAACATGTAAGGCTTTTTGCCAACTGAAATTTACCGATTTTGAAATATCATTGGACTTATTTCATTCCGTTAGAAGAAAAAAAAGTTGTTCTGTCAATGCTTTCCAGAATTACAGTTAACGGCTCTCTTTGACCTTTCATAAGTAAACATGACGTGTAATCGATAAATCTTGAAAGTGGTTCATGTGCGTCACGCTTCCAATTCACTACGTGCCAACGAGTTCCGCTTCAGTAGCATGTCGGCATTATCCTTGACTAACTCACCCATTTAATTTTACTATGTAATCGATCAAAACAACACTTTGCTTTCCATAGGAGAATGTCTATAACTCACAATTGTAAAGAATATTCCAGGGAATAAAAAATTCACGATTCTATATAGACTAAGTAGTATATCAACTGTTGTAGCGTGTCGGAAATCATAGGGTTATGTATTTGTTGAACGTCATCCTACGATGATAACCCTTTTCTAAATGCCTAATAATCTCGAATGCCTGGTCGGGTTTAAAGTACTAGAAAAGGGTAATCGGGATATCTACAACAAAGTAGTATGTCATGAAATCTACGCCTTTCATACGTTTGGGTGCGACAGCGGAAGTTAAAATTTCGAGTCAAGTTCCTGAATTCAACCGTAAACAAACTTCAATAAGGTGGAAAAAAAGTGACAAAGCTGAGAAAAGTCCTACCTTACGCTCTTCTTCCATTGACCAAGCAGTATATACATTTTTCTACCCCGAGTTTCATTTTCCTTATGACGCAAATGGCTGCTGAGATGAACTGGTGCTGTCAATCTATTGACACAGCCTCTAATCGGGCACGGATCCTTGATTATCCAACTGGTTTGCGTGATGTTTAGTCTAGAGTTACCCGTATATCGAGCTAAGCTAAATGAACTTAAATGAGCAAATTAAAATGGATTCGAATAAATAAATAGCAAATGGTTAACTTTCAAAACATATGCTTATTTTCATCTGGTTTCGCTACGTACTGCATGGGATTGCGGAAAACGATCATATGTGATAGACATAAAAAACTTCAGTATTTAGGAAATGGAAAATGTCGGCCAATACGATTATCCCATACCTGACACCATACTCGAAGCAAATAAGTTACAACTGTAAAATGACGACTTGATGAACATGATATATGGTATGTTTACAAACCTTTGTTTGGTTCTTCTGTTGCTACTTACCGGCTCCCTTGCTCCGAAATTTCACTTTCAATTACCGGAAAAAAGCTAAAAAGAAGTTCCGGAAAAGGTCGAACATAGTATAATTTGGCAGATGGCGTGACAGCTTTAGCTCAGTTCTATGCTCTATACTCTCATAGAGCACGCCCTTTCAACCAATGACAGCGCGCTTTATATCCGAACTTTATTATTATTATCGTTGACAATTTTTTAGCAAAAAGACCTGCCGATAGGTTACCTCCCGTCAGTTTTGATGGAGATTAAGTATCAGGGATCAAGATAAAATTACTGATTAATAACCGTCCGGCCCTAACACTTATAACCTTAGGAATTTTAATTCCAGGACGAATACGACCTTTACACGCGCATGTATGAAGCTGACAAGGATCAACTTATGCCACTGCAAGAGCGGTTCGCAATGTTAGAAAAACAATACGACGCCATTATCGAGGAGCGACGTGTCGCGGAAGAGGAGAAAGCGAGAAAGATGGAAGAGGAGAGAAAGCAGAACCAAGCCGCTGAAGTTATACAAACTGTTTGGAGAAGTTACCAGTTCAGAAAACTCATGCGAGGAAAATCAAAGAAATCCACAAAGAAAGGCAAAGGTGGAAAGTGATTTGAACTAACTAACCTCTAAGAGCCCAGACCGTTATTTAATTTTTATTTAGATTTATTGTGGATTGTAATACACCTGGTCAAATTTCCAATAATGTAAAAAAGAGGCATTATTTTGCATCATCTATCACATCTACGCGTTTTTCTTTTTATGTAACGATGAGCTATGATCATCTTTTTGAAGATAATCCGTGTAAATTAATAAAAAGTTAATAAGTCATACTTGTGATTCCCATATAAAAAAATGTGTTCAAGAAAAGAAGATAATAAAACGTTGAAATTGAATTTTAAACTGTTCATATTATTTTGTATGATAATGAGAAAAATTAGCAACTAAAATTAAAACAAGGATACACCGTTGTAATTACGAGTTTATCATCGCCAAGGGACGGTACCTCAAAGTACAAAACAGATTCAATCAGTTCGGAGCCCCGAATTGATTAAATCTTTACTGGTTGACTGTTCTAAAGATCGCCGAATTTCATTGACTCACATCTACATTTTAAAGTATATACATAGCCAACCATGCAACTTGGATTTTAATTAACCCAAAAATCACAAGGAAAAGTTCTCATATAAGTGTTTACTCGAACAGCCAAACTGTCATTCTACACCAACCCCCACACACACCCCTCACACACACACACACACCCCACACACACCCCACACACACCCCCATGCACACCCCCCACTACACGCCCCCACGCACACCCCCCACACACTCTCCCCCCATAATGGCCCAGGCGGCTTGTGCCTTAAGTCCATCTACGTTTAATAGGAGACAAAATCTTCGATCTTCGATTTTGCTTTTTCATGGCAACGTCTTCCACTTGTGTTCAACGTAAAGTAAACTCATATCTAAGTAGCTTCCTCTTTGTTTTGCTCTTCGAAGTAAGTGACATTGATGTATGTTCTCTGAAAAAGTAAAGAGAACAAAGACTTTCTGAAATGCATGATTTTAAAATTCTTCCGACTGACCAGTCTTGGTTTTTCCTCATCCTCGATACACAAGGCCTGGAATGAGAGGATAATGCCTTTCCCATGGTACCAAAGGAAGCTCCTACTGCCCAAATTGAATGTTAAAACACATTCTGTAGCTTAACTGTCGACAAAAATGGGAAGTCGACCGTAGGTTAACCAAAAAATTTGGAAGCAATACTCTACCATATTAGTTTGCTTCATTCCTTCGAGGAACCTCAGACAAATGAGCTATCGTTATCATTTTGCTAATTATTGTATGTCCCCTCTCATTATTGGAAATGGAAACAAAACAGCGATGAAATTCAGAAAACGGGAAGAAAAACATCAATATCAACTAAGCTTTATGGGCCCACTCACAGTCTCGTGTTGTAAAAGTTCCTTCAACATCTCATAAAGCTGTTCAAATGATGGACGCTCGACAGGGTTCCTCTGCCAACAGCCTAACATGATGCTATAACTGAAATGTAACACAGTAAACACTGTATCAACCTAATGGCTTAAAGCTCAAAACGGTTCTTAATTTTTGTTGCACCAAACTTAGACCCCAAAAAATAAAAGCTGGCTTTTATAATCTACAGTTGCAACAGAAGTTTTCAGTAAAGTACGCTTGATCGTGTGGTTGCATTGAAATACTGAAATCAAGCATTTGCTGACAGTCAAATTCTTCAATATGGTTATATGTGGTCTTCATAGAAATGATCAAAAATGGGGATTGTTATCTCCACTTCCGCAAATGAATGATAAAGACACTAAGGAGTTATTCAGAATAAAATTTTTGCGTGGATTAGTCACTTCAAGGGAAAAAAAGATGATAGATGAAATAAAAGCACATGATGACTTATTACATTAAGACAAGATGCAGAATGTGAGAAAAAACTGACATCTTTTGACAAACATACAGCTAGGCTAAATGTCTCAGACTTACAGCTCATCCGAACAATACAGTGGTTTTGGTAATCTTGTTCCATCCTCCAGCAATTCGTAAAGCTCTAAAATGCCTTTGATACCCGTGTACGGTAGTTCCCCTAGAAATAGAAGGATCAAATGCAGTTGGATGGTAATACCCTCCATCTCATCAGATGAAAAAGGTCTATCAGTATAAGTTAGTACCCTTCAACTAAGGATCTATATGCAATTAAAACGTTAGCTACAATCAGAAGAAGATCCTCTCGTGCTTGGAAACGTCATGGCCAACCTTAAGTAAAACTACTGGGTAATAAAATCCTTTTTGATGTACCTTGGATGCTTGAAAATTTTATCACAGAATCTTGATAATTCTATTTCGATTTTTCCACATCATTTTCTGCCACTTGCATCACTGATCGATGGCATTAAACTAGGGTCCCAATCCCATACCTATTTTAGCCTAAAGGCAAGCCTTTGTCATCAGAACTTAAGCACGTGCGTTTCCTCGCCCTTGGGAAAGTTAGAGACCTTGAGAAACATAAATCGGCGAGAGGTCTACAAACTGTCTTGCACTAATGCCGTACCCCCGGTAAACCTCTCCCTAACTCGTATCAAGTATTCTCGCGGGAGGAGAAAGGCGCGTCCTGCCGCGCAAATAATGACGGCCTGCTCGCAGGCTAAACTATTTTAGAAAATTGGGATTGAGGGAGAGCGGAGAGTGTCTAGTTTTTTTTCTTCCTGGTTACGATATCAATAATTTAATTTTAAACATAATTTTATCAATAGGGCTTTTACTTACCAAGAGTAACTATCTCCCAAAGGGTTACTCCAAATGACCACCTAGAAAGGAATATAATATAATAGTAAAGCTCGGAAATTTTAAGTCTATCGTAATCCAATTTCAGCTTGGAAATACCGATAACTTACACGTCTGCCTTTATTGTACAAGTTCCCCTTAACGCCTCCATAGACATCCATAACCATGGAACTCGTCCCTAAGATAAAGTTTCGTAAGTTAGTTCACAAATGCTTACTTCTCGGAAGAAATTGTTTATGGCATACAATTTTATTGATCGCGATAAGTGTTGTCGAGAGCACAGACTGGCGGTTTGGCAACCCTCAGAAAAATTCATTGTAATCGTATTGTGGCAAGTCTGCTTTGAGAGAACCGAGTCCCATCTCAGTTTCGCCGTAATGGTGATATCGAACGTTGTAGCACCGTAATCACTTGACTTTCCTTTTGACTGTTCAGAGAAGATTCATCAATAAAGTGAAGTCTCTCAGTGTGGTTCGTCGGTTATATTATGACTGTTGTGAAAAGGTGGGAACCAATAGATATTTTGTTAAGGATTGTGAGTTATGCTGGCAAACCAGCTCTCCACCCAAAGTGAGTTAATGCATGAGTTTAAAATTCTGTAGAGTTCCACTCAGCTGTCGGAGTTCTAGTCATTAAGATCGTTCTGAGCAATAAGTAAAATATATACCTCTGTTGTCTTGATGTACTGCCCATCTGTGGATACGTCACGTGCCATTCCAAAATCAGCCACCTTGGCTACCAACCCTTTTCCAACAAGAACATTTCTGCACGCCAAGTCGCGATGAATGCACTGAATCACAGATAAACGAAATTAAGTACTACTTATCTAGTCATGCCATGCGGACCTATGTAAGTGTCATTATCTCTATAACCATCATCAGGAATCGTTTCTCCTCAATTCTTATCCGTCAATTGTGCGAAACCATTTTTTTCTGTTATTTCTGTTAACTTAGTTGGATTTAGCATTACTTTGATTACATTTTTTGGCTTGTAATGTTCCGTTTATGCCTTTTTTAACCTCCGAGTTTCTCTTTCGCTCGCATTTCTCTTGGGATTTTTTTTATCTTCGCACCACTCTATGTACGTACCATCTGCATTTCGCCGCTTGCAGTCCGCAACTATTAAGTTTGCATTTCCCGACAAGATATCTAATAAAACTGCTACCAAAAGTATATCCAGCAAGAAAATGCGCCTCACTCATGAATCCATGAACAAACCTGTTTACTTTCCAAGTGGCTCATGCCGCTAGCGACGTTTGAAGCAATCCCCAATAATTCTCTCTCTGTCAGCCTTGACCATATGTTAACATAAGTTGGATCAACTTGTTGATTATGGACGCGACTGCTTCGAAGTAATTTATCAAGACTTCCACCAGAGACAAATTCAATGACGATGCAAAGAGGCTCTAGAGGTGAAAAAAGAAACGTTGAAAACTTACAGTGCTTCTGAAACATCACACTGCACTGCTGACTCCAGAAAACTTCATTGGATTTGTTGTGATGGCCCAAAATGATCCCTTTATCAATGAACACAAATCAATCAATAAATCGAGACATCATTTTTTTACATACATGGTTACCATGGAAAAACTAGTCTCTTGAAAATATCTTTCATTTAAAGGTATGTGTGCCGGTGAATCAAAAACGAATTAATTAAGCTTAATTTGGATTCAGTGAATTTGTAATCGGTTTATCGAAATTCATTTTACTGCATACTTTTTAAAACCTCTGGGCTAGAGATGAAGACTTTCCCTAAATCATCGAAATAAGACGAAGGCTCTGCACCCACAGTACAATTGTTTTTTGTTAAATCTTATTTCCATCTCCGCTACACAAACTTTCATTGACACAACTTGCCCTCCAACGTTCGCCGTAACTTTTTGAATCGCCGATTCCTTACCTTCAAAGGTGCAAGCTCCGACCAAACTGACAATATTCGGATGGCGACCAACTTGGATGAGTGTCTCCAGTTCTTTGATTAGCGCCATTCGCTGCTGTCTGTCTTTGTCATCTGTCAAAGAAGACGTGGTATGAAAACTAACTTTATGATATAGTGGCCAAATACTTGGTTCCATTCTGCTCTAAGAGTTTTTTTCCACCAAAAGGTATGTATGACGTTCTTATCACTTAGGGCTTGGACGTTAAGTTTAAGTTGGCACGCCGCAAAACACAAATCTTGAAAAATGTCCCCAATTTTTAAGGTTTCAATTCTGTCATTTGCTGTCCAGTTTGATATCATGTCCTTTGTCATCACTAACATTATTAACACAATTTAAGGTTGATTGTTGTCAACATGTCTGCTGCGCTTCATTTTCCGACCTTTACTGTAAATTACTTTAATTTCATGTAGCATGCGCTTTGTAAGTTCATAAATTATTTAATTATTATTATTACTCGTAGAGGCTATCATGCTTAACGATAATACTAATCCTAGGCTGGAAATTTGAGGACAGGTGAGATTTATCTTCCGTAAACACCCTCTGAAAGATATATCTTCGATCATTTCAATCTCAAATACATGGATTAATTTTTCAACCTTTAAGAATTTTCACCGCCACTGGAAGTTCATTTCCATCAGTTCTTAGGTAAACTCCTTTCTTAACCTCTCCAAACTCTCCTTTGCCAAGTTTCTCCTCTGAAATAGTCAATCTATCCCGGGGGATCTCCCAGTTTCTGTCAACTGCCATTAATTGCAAATAACTTTCGTTTCCAACGACTTCGTTTTCGTCAAAAGTAGATGGATCCGTGTGTTGACCATCATCGGTTAATGCAGACTGGCTGTTTCGTAACTGATTTATCGTATCGTTTGTGCTCGTGATTTTTATCTCAAAAGCCTCTTGTGTCCTTCTAAAAACCTAAATTTGACAAATGACACAGATTATATCACACCAGTATGCTTTTAAGAGACCTTAATGTGTACACCAAAGGGCGGATTTTTTTATCGTGCCCATCTCTGTTGGTGCGAATCAATGGCAGGACCAGCTCTTAGTGAGGAAAAACCTGTGTAGTCTCGGGATAATTATTGGGAAAACAGGAAAAAGCGATGATTTAGCCATTTAAGTACCTACTTTCTGGTCTAGTAGGTAGATTGATCTCTTTTCCATTCTCCTCTTGATAACGAACAGAATTATGATGAAAATAAGAACTGAAGCCCCGGTTATCGCGGTGGACCAAATCATTCCGGACCAATTTTCTTTGGTGACTGTTCCGTTATCAGCTAAAATTGTGAGATTTAGCAAAAATTGTTCAATTGTATAAAAAATACTATGCTAGATATAAAGCACAAGTAAAGTTAATTAATTAAAACGGGTGGTAATTTTTCTTTCCAAAAAAAATGCCCATAGTCACTGAAGTAGCCCTTGGATGAAAAAACTGAAAACAAGGATGTTCAAGATGTCTCCTATCAATAAATAAAATCCAAACTCTAGGTTTTAGATCGCATTGATTTTGGTATATCCATGTCGCTTAATTAGCGTCACGGTTTTTGCAAAAAAAAGTACTCTAACTTAATTCAAGCCGATATTCCAACCTAAGCTTTCCAAGAAGTTTTGGAAAACATTCTTTGTACCTAAAACAAAGGAAATTTGATCTTTTCGTAACTTTCCGCTATTGTCCGATATCTTATTTGTGAATCAGAGCTGTAAGCTTACGCTTCATAGGTGGACGTTCCTCATCGCGTTTTGCGATCATCAGTGAGGCTTCCTGGGAAGATATGTTTCCCAACGAGTTTTTAGCAACGCAACGATATCTAAAGTGCTTTTCCGTCCCCTCCTTGATTTCAACAGTGAGGATGGAGATGTTTTGACTTCGAATCACTGCATCATCATCAACTTTGGAGTTGTTTTTTAACCAACTGATCACTGGAAGAGGGGAGCCATTTGCTGCACACGAGACATTAACAGTCACAGTGGTGGCATCATCGTCAAGATACACAGTTGTGTCTTGGGGATGAATGGAGAACACTGGCCTCCACACCACTAAAAGTAACAACAACGGTTACACAAACATTGTACTGAATAGTCCAGACACCCGGGGATCACATTTTTTTAGTTGACACGAAGGGGGATCAGTTGCCACCAAAAGAGTTTGAGAGGGGTGACTATAGAGAATTCACTTCGAGCCACCTGCCAATGAGGAGGAGGGAGGAACATAAGAATATTTTTACCATAACTTTAGAAATTCTTGTGCGCTCGTTGGCCGAGAACTACTATCAATTTAACAAATAGATTCCAAGTTGCCGTGCGTCTGTTCAGTGATAGATCACGGATGACGCCAAAATGTGGTAAGAACAAAAAAGTGGCACACGAAGCGCAGCCGAGTGTGTCACTGATGTTCTTACCACATTTTGATGTCCCCTGTAAGGTAAGGTAAATTTTATTGCGACACAACTAAAATTCTCCCCCTCCCCTTTAGGCAATAGCTTATGAACAGTCCCTTAAGCTCGAGATTTTAACATACACACTCTCGGCAACCGTTACATGTGGTCTTTCAGAAGCATTACCACTATATAATGGTTTTAAGAACCACCGTAACCTACTGGAAAACTTTTCCCAAGCATTCGACGGTCCACAGAATCCATCAGGGACTCCATGTTGTAATTGTCCCACTTTACAAAGATATGAAGAAAGTCAGCAAACGCAAAATTATATTCATAAGTACACGTGTAGTTATGTCCTGCATACAGGATATGATCATTATCTTTAAAAACATCTCATTATTTGAACATTATTATGGTCTTTCAAAAAAGTGAAATGTTTCAATACCTGTCAGATTTACAGGAGCTGATCTGCTCTGCCCCTCTGTGCTGTTTGCCTCGCACCAATACTGTCCTTGGTCATGAGGGTGTACAGATTCAAAATTCAATACTGAATAACTTTTTGACCCTATCACAGAAGAACTGGAAAGGCTATTACCGTCTTTGAACCAGGTGATGGAGGGAAGGGGAACACCTGATGCATTACAGCTGAGTTTGGCTTTACTCGATTTTAGAAAGACGACTTCACGAGGCCGGTGATGAGTAAACAGCGGAGGTGATGGCTCTATGATTAAACAAGAAAAACAAAATTCAAAAATTTAAAATTAAAGAAAACAAATCGAATTACACGCTTTCCTTCAAGACCGATATGATATGAAATTGTTATCAGCGGTTTTCAATTTACCCGTCAATTCAAATTGATGCATTTTCGTGGTTTTTTGGTGAAAATTATACAATATAAGTTTTACCCGACATGAAATGTCATGTAGATACCAAACTAAATGTGAACTACTTCATTATTTTGTTATAATGTATAACAAGAAACAAATAATACGAAATGTTACCTTTAAACATCAACGCCATCGTTTTCATTGTGCAGCCATAACTATTTCTTGAGATGCAGGTATAATTCCCAGAGTTATCCTCGGTGGCGTTTTGAATAAAGTATTTGCACACTTTTGAACGTTCGTAATGTGAGTCATTATTGCCACCACCACAACTAAATTCTCTCTTGTAGACATCGTTGAAAAAATACTGCATCCAGTAGGGTAAGTAATATTTATGATTCGATTGAGCTGGATGATTGCTTGTACAAACGACTGTTATATTGTAGCCCGTTGGAAGAACGTGCTTATTCGGGAATTCCAAGTTGTTCATTTCCACAGTTGGCGTTTCTGAGGTTGCTAAAATAAAAGTAGGTAAAACAAGAATTTCAAGACTCCATGCCAAGATAAACCTACCAGAAATAAAAGAACATGGAATAAGACTATTATGGTCTGCAGTTGTGTGAATGACCCAGTGCCACACTTTTAATGGTCAGATGGACAATAAACGGAATATAAATATGTGGTTACGGTCAATGGTTACTCTTCTAGTCCTTGGAAGTATCCAGCCATAAAGTCAGGAATTACTGGTATTAAGATTTCTTTGATTTCTTTCTATTACCGTTTGCTAACCTAGGCATGAATCATTAAAATTTCAAATGATGTTTCTTCCAGGTTGACTGCTGCAGTATCATATCAAGGAGGACTTTCAAAAAAGATATTTCAAAGAAATTTGAACGGTTAAAAAGAACGGTTGGACGGGTACTTTAAACTGTAGGAACTTACGTTTAGTCGCTTCTTCAGCTGAATAACATCCGTTTACCAAAGCCCCAAGTTGTTTTCAAGTAAGAATAAAACTACACAGATAACCAATGGCATTTTACAGCTGATTTTGGTCAAATCCTGAAAACCACAAACTACGGATGTGAGATACAGTTCATTCTGTATGAAGTTGTTCAGAGACAGAAGCACGAAAGTTGTACCGATTGTGGTCGACGACAAGTTAAAAGTAGTGTACAAGTTGGGGTATTACTAAGCATATTTTCTATATCTTTGCAACCGAGATACCTCGCCTCTATAAAAAGCGAAGTGAATTTTTGAACCCATAACTTATGTTTGGAAACTCATATCGCATTTCAGACCCATCACTGAGGCAGGAAGTAGTGGATAGGAAAGAGCTGTTAAGTGTCAGTCTAATTTTTTTTGTGAAAAGCCTTGAAGCAATGAATTCTTGACGTTGCTCTTAATCCTGGGTACACCTGTCAAGATCATTTCCCTTAAAGGAAATGAAGTACTTCTCTGTCTTGACCTGTCACACCAGAAGGTAGTTGATATAAACCCTCGAACTCGGTCTTTATTGATACGATTTTTGCAAAACAACCGAGGGAATCTAACCAGGTTTGAGAGAGATTGAAAAAGGAGAGTGAGGACAGGGGTCCATCAATTTACTGTTTCATGTAGATTAAAAGCTGAGCTTCGCAGGACACTAAGGCAAAGGTGGTCAGTTAAATATGCAAAAGAAAACGAAAATAAGCGGATCAAATTAATATGGTCCCCACGATAGCCCTCACTCGTTGCTAATCCGTTGCAGTTGGTCGCATCACAATGAATACGATTTGACTTACCATTTGGCGCATTGGCATCTTAAAGCTTTGTTGTCTTTGTATGCTTTAGTCAGATTTCCACAAGTATCTGCGTCTTCACGCTGTGAGAAGAGAATACAAAACGGTTTTTCCCCCAGCCACATCAAACTCTTTAGTGTATCCGTTTGTTTTGGAGTGGCAATTTTGGAAAGGTATCTTGCGCATAATTGCTGTGGCTACCTTTGTGGTTAACCTACACTTTCAGTATCTGTGATGTCTTTCTTTTCTATGATCAGTGAGTCAGATTGACGATTGAAAGTTTTGAAAGACATGCGACAAACATTTTGGAGGACCCAATTTGATTCCAAAATGAGCGAAAAGGAAGACAATAACGTTGTTGTCTTAAACAAAATGGTGGGTTTTTAATTTTGACAAATTCTAAAAGCAGTGTGTTGCCGGATTTGAATATAAGCTGACATTCTAAATTGATGTATATTTCCATAGATATATTGAATTATTTGCCCTTAGATCAAAATTAAATTGACTCGGCAGAATGTCACGAATCCTTGAGATTCGGTCGAGTCTCAAGTTTAACAGATTCTAGGATCAAATAATTTAAGTTTATTGGAGCCCCTATCAAGACACCAAACAGTGAAAAAAGAAAAAAAAGATCATTAACAAAAAATTATTCATTACCTTTAAGTTTTGAATATGCTTCTAGACATCGGCAGAATTGCGAAAATATACACATCACCCTGGAGATTTCCAAAGACAAAAGACCATAACAATACTACACAATACAATAGAATAAGAGTTTATTGTGAAAATACACTTAGCTACAATAATGGTGTGCTTTCACAGACGGAACCGAAATCGGGGTCTGTGAAAGCACGCCAGCTTATTAACAGGTATTCCACAAACACAATAAAGTTAAGAGTTAAAAAAAAATTATAACAATAAAATCTTAATAAGTATATCTTAAATCTAAATAAATACTAAATTCAAGCGTCGAAATTATAAAAATTGCACTAGGTCAACTTGGCTAATGGATCTCTTAAAAGACTTAAACTACACATGTAAATCAACTTGTATTTATGCAACTTGTTGTTGTTGTTTGTTTTTCAGCAAACCACCTGTCTAACACTCTCAGAATTCAATTTGATGCGAAACAAGTTACAGACCCATCAAGGAACTTTAAATGTTTATGTTTTCTCTCTACAGTACAATAGCTCGTAACGACGCGTAAAGAAAAACGGGTACAGAAGTTTTAAGCTGAAAATGACTTAGACGTGTGCTAGAAGGAAAAAGTCCTTTATTTCAGAGCTAACCAAGAAAATAATATGCTTGTGCTTAATAGCCAAGTCTCGACTTAACAAAGTAAGCGTATAAAGAAAATTCAATACAAAATTGCCGCAAAGGTCCTCGCAACTATTTCCATTGGAGAGGTACCGAAGTTACATTTAAAAGATATATGTACGGACATGATTTCAGAAGCCGTCCAAGCGAATATTACACCATAATAATAAAATTTTATTTATTCAGACCATACTTGTTTTATTGCAAGTCCGGTAATCCGCTGATATTTGTCCTTATTATTGCCCTTTATTTCCTCGAAGATTTTCATTACCGCAGAGGTAAACATGTGAGGCTTTTTGCCAAATGAAATTTACCGATCTTGAAATATCATTGGACTTATTTCATTCCATTAGAGGAAAAAAAAGGTTGTTCCGTCAATGCTTTCCAGAATTACAGTTAGCGGCTTTCTTTCACCTTTCATAAGTAAACATGACGTATAATCGATAAATCTTGAAAGTGGTTCATGTGCGTCACGCTTCGAATTCACTACGTGCGAACGAGTTCCACTTCAGTTGCATGTCGGCCATTATCCTTGACTAACTCACCCATTTAATTTTACTATGTAATCGATCAAAACAACACTTTGCTTTCCATAGGAGAATAACTATAACTCACAATTGTAAAGAATATTCCAGGGAATAAAAATTCACGATTCTATATAGACTAAGTAGTATATCAACTGTTGTAGCGTGTCGGAAAACATAGGGTTATGTATTTGTTGAACGTCATCCTACGATGATAACCCTTTTCTAAATGCCTAACAATCTCGAATGCCTGGTCGGGTTTAAAGTACTAGAAAAGTGTAATCGGGAAATCTACAGCAAACTAGTATGTCATGAAATCTACGCCTTTCATACTTCTGGGTGCGACAGCGGAAGTTAAAATTTCAAGTCAAGTTCCTGAATTCAACCGTAAACAAACTTCAATAAGGTGGAAAAAAAGTGACAAAGCTGAGAAAAGTCCTACCTTACGCTCTTCTTCCATTGACCAAGCAGTATATACATTTTTCTACCCCGAGTTTCATTTCCCTTATGACGCAAGTGGCTGCTTAGATGAACTGGTGCTGTCAATCTATTGACACAGCCTCTAATCGGGCACGGATCCTTGATTATGCAACTGGTTTGCGTGATGTTTAGCCTAGAGTTACCAATATCGAGCTAAGCTAAATAAACTTGAATGAGCAAATTATAATGGATTCGAATAAAAGACCAACATCGATAATTTCATATGAAAATAGAAAATAGTTAACTTTCAAAACATATGCTTATTTACATCCGGTTTAGCTACGTAAAGAAATACACGGGGATTGCGGAGAACGATGATATGTGATAGACATAACAAACTTCAGTATTTAGGAAATGGAAAATGTCGGCCAATACGATTATCCCATACCTGACACCATTCTCGAAGCAAATAAGTTACAACTGCAAATTGTAAAAAATTTAATTTATGGACGTTGTTTAAATTTTCATTGAGCAAGAAGTCTAGTGTTAGATATTCTTTGCAGACAAGCTACGCTCGCTGGTTTTTCCTTGTCAAAAACATAAATAAAGTGGAAGTAGAAACCAACTATGGAACTAAATGATAATCGCAGTGACCTCATCTCAACTATAAAACGACCGGAAATACAACTAACCAATTTGGAATGTTTTTGTAAGAAATAAAAAGTATTAATTGTAAAATATGGCCGCTTCATATTGGGCTTACAAGCTGCATTACGAGTCCATTACGGGCTAATAAAACTGGCTGGCGTAAAAGCGAAATGTTTTAAAGGGAAGAGCGCCACAGCTTGTGCTCTTCAAATAACTTTATAAAATATTAATCCTCTTCATCCCTTGAAGAAACCATGACGACTCGATTAACGTGATATATGTCTCTTTCAGTTGAATTTCAAGTTTTATCAGCCTACATCACGATTAAGACGGACGCTAGTGCAATAACAATTTCCCCCTTCCCCATTTAACTTGTAAGTTCCTGTTTTCAATTGACCATTCCATTTAGCCAGCCTGGCTGAGCCACCCGTTGGGATACATCAAAGATTCTAAAAATGGATCACAAAAGTTGCATGACTCAAGATAGACAGAGTTCAACAAAACCTAACCATAGTTATAATTATCTTTTTATTTTACCATTCCAGCCAGACTGTTGGTCTCCTGTCAATTGCTTAAGATATCATAACTTTTAAAAACTCAAAGCAACAGAAAGGTCTTCATAATAAAATCCAAGAACAAAACTCTGTGACTTGTTATAAGGGAATTGAACCTAAGTATAACATGCATTGAGATTTAAAGTCAATCACCAACTACAACTCTCTTCTATAACTGATTTTATTTACCATTTGCTTACAGGTGAGGTAGCTGATTGATACAAATAGAATACTATGCAAAACATGAGGAAAGAACATGGATAAAGGCAAAACAAAAACAGCTAAACGAACGAGTAACCAAAAAGGGTATAATATCATACAGCGAACAATTAATAAGGTGGCGAAGACATTTGTTTGTTACAATGACGAAAATGTAGAAAAACCACGATAGGGCCTCACGATGCAGACTGCAGCGGGGAGGTGGCGAAACAAGAGATTTAGTGAACAGAACAATAGCTCAGTGCCTGTACTTAAAACCTCTTTCCTTTTCCTGACAGCTCTATGCTAAATAAAAACCTGAAATCGCCCTATTTTTAGGGCAGTCTAAGAAAAGAATGCCGACGACGTATTATTCATTAAGAACTCTAGGCCGCATCCCAATTAATGCTGAATGGAAGGTTTGACGTCTTTAGAGACATTAAACTGGTAAACACATCGATCTACTCTTAATAGAAAATCATTTTCTAAGTGATGTTTTCCCTGGCCTTATGTCGGGGGATCGTAAATTCCCTAAATTGGGTAAATTTCACCAATAAACAATTTTTGAAGGACAATCCACTTTTTGATGATTCTGAGCTGCTTAAAAGTTTTTTTACAAGTTATAGGCATTGTCCCTTTTCCTAAAGAATTGTCTGCTAAATAAGTAATAAAAACATGAAGGCATCGTGGAGGCGAATCGATGTACTTCAATTCCACTTTTGTTAGATACAAACTATGTGACGGTGCAAAGGATAAAATTTCACAGATTTGTAAATGCCAAGTTTGTCATCTGATTTCGCGGGGCTTTACTGTCTCCTCTTTGTTGACTTATCATATCGTCTTGAGTGTGAAGATGTGGAAATTGGTTATCTTCTCTCATCTGGAAGACCAATATAAACAGATATCACCGTTTCAGACTGCACTGTAGTGTATATCTAATAAATCAGTCTCTGAAAATAAGTTTTTCACAAAAAGAAAAAAACAACAACAACAGGAAAGTAACATTTGTACCATCTTACCTTTTTCGCGATGTTGAATTTGGAATTTTTATTTCTGACGTGAACAAAAAATATTGAAATGACAATAAGAAGTAGTACAAAAGCTCCCGTAGCAACTAGGACCCACACAGCTTTGGAAATGCACAATGTGGAACGAGAGGATTCTTTATCTAAAATGGAAAAAATAAAGTTAAGAGTGCGATGTCATTATAATGCAGGATTACCTAGTTCATGACGGCCTTAGGTACACAAAAAGTTACAACGATTCAGCCTCTTTTCATCCTTACCTGTTATTACGAGTACTGCCTCCCGCGAGATTGCAGTTCCCGCGAATCTTGTTGCTTCGCATGAATAACGACCAACATGTCTTTCACTTACGGGGTAGATCTTGAGCACAGAGGTGGCACTTTGTTCTCCTGAGTAGTAATCAGTGTTACCGTCCACATTTGCTGAACCATCCTTTAACCACACGATTTGTGAGACAGGACTACCCTCTATGGCACACACGAAATTAACGTGGTCTCCTGCAATAGCCTTGATGCTTCTGGGTTGGAGGTAGAAAGGGCTTTCTCCCTTCACAATACCTAGTTTCAAAAATTAAGACCTTAGCCTATGTTAGGGTTGATGCAACTGTAGTAGAAGAGAAACAAAGCGAAATCACAAAGGAATAACAGACAAAGATAACTGCGAAATTATTCCAGCAGTATATTAGTCGTTTAGCGAGTGTCTACTACTAATAAATAACATCCAAACTCGAGGCTTTGGATCGCATTGATTTTGGCATATTCGTGTGGCTTAATTCGCATTATGGCCTTTGCAAAAAAAAATATATTCTAACTTAATTCTAGCCGATTTTCCAGCCGAAGCTTTAGGGAAATATTTGGAAAACATTCTCTATAACTAAAACAGAGGAGGTTTGATCTTTTCTGATTACTTTGCGCTATGGTCCGTTATCTTATTTGTGAATCTGAGCTGTAAGCTTACCCTCCATTGGTAAACGTTCCTCATCGCGTTTTGCGATCATCAGTGTGGCTTCCTGGGAAGATGTGTTTCCCAACGAGTTTTTAGCAACGCAACGGTATCTAAAGTGCTTTTCTGTCCCCTCGTTGATTTCAACAGTGAGGATGGAGATGTTTTGACTTCGAATCACTGCATCATCATCAACTTTGGAGTTGTTTTTTAACCAACTGATCACTGGAAGTGGGGAGCCATTTGCTGCACACGAGAGATTAACCGTCACGGTGGTGGCATCATCGTCAAGATATACAGTTGTGTCTTGGGGATGAATGTAGAACGCTGGCTTCCACACCACTAAAAGTAACATCAACGGTTACACAAACATTGTACTGAACGGTCTAGACAACCAGAGGATCAAGTTCTTTTAGGTGGCATGAAGGGGGATCATTTACCACCGACAGAGTTTAATGGGGGTGACTATAGAAAGTTGACTTCAACTGCCAGTGAGATGGATGGGGGGTGGGGGTGGGGGAGGGGGGGACATAAGAATACTTTAACCACAACCGTAGAAATTCTCGCACGCTCATTGGTCAAGATCCATTTTCAATAATAATTGCAAAAACTATGGCAAAGTTTTGAGATATAGACAGAAACAAACTTCAAATATTTTACGATCGGTATACTTCGAGAAATTGTTTGAAGAAGAAGTTATCGAGATAGAATAAAAAGTGGAGGTAAGTCCTCAGAAATAGAAATCCGGTTGTTTCCAAGCATTTGGCGGTCCATGGAATCATCAGGGACCCCATGTGGTAGATGGAATATTGTAATTGCCCCATTTTAAGAAGAAAGTTGGTAAACGCAAAATTATGTACATACGTACACGTGTGATGTCCTGCATACGGGATATGATCATTACCTCTAAAAACACCTCATTATTTGAAGATTATTAAGCTCTTTCAAAAAAGTGAAATGTTTCAATACCTGTTAGATTTACAGGAGCTGATCTGCTCTGCCCCTCTGTGTTGTTTGCCTCGCACCAATACTGTCCTTGGTCATGAGGGTGTACAGATTCAAAATTCAATATTGAATAACTTTTTGACCCTATCACAGAAGAACTGGAAAGGCTATTACCGTCTTTGAACCAGGTGATGGAGGGAAGGGGAACACCTGATGCATTACAGCTGAGTTTGGCTTTACTAGATTTTAGAAAGTCGACTTCACGAGGCTGGTGATGAGTAAAAAGCGGAGGTGATGGCTCTATGATGAAACAAAAAAAAAAAAAGAAATTTAAAAATTTAAAATTAAAGAAAACAAGTCGAATTACAAACTTTCCTTCAAGACCGATATGATATGAAATTGTTATCAGCGGTTTTCAATTTACCCGTCAATTCAAATTGATGCATCTTCGTGGTTTTTTTAGCGAAAAATTATACAATGTAAGTTTTACCCGACATGAAATGTCATGTAGATACCAAACTAAATGTGAGCTACTTCATTTGTTATAATGTATAACAAGAAACAAATAATGCGAAATGTTACCTTTAAACATCAACGCCATCGCTTTCATTGTGCAGCCATAACTGTTTCTTGAGATGCAGGTATAAGTCCCAGAGTTATCCTCGGTGGCGTTTTGAATAAAGTATTTGCACACTTTTGAAAGTTCGTAATCTGAGTCACTATTGCCACCACCACAACTCGATTCTCTCTTGTAGACATCGTTGAAAAAATACTGTATCCAGTAGGGTAAGTAAGATTTATGATCCGATTTAGCTGGATGATTGCTTGTACAAACGACTGTTATATTATAGCCAGTTGGAAGAACGTGCTCATTCGGGAATTCCAAGTTGTTCATTTCCACAGTTGGCAAGTTTGAGGATGCTAAAATAAAAGTAGGTAAAACAAGAATTTCAAGACTCCATGCCAAGATAAATTTACCAAAAATAAAAGAAAATGGAATAAGACTGTTGTGGTCTGCAGTTGTGTGAATGACCCAGTACCACCCTTTTAATGGTCAGATGGACAATAAACGGAATATAAATATGTGGTTACGGTCAATGGTTACTCTTCTAGTCCTTGGAAATATCCAGCCATAAAGTCAGGAATTACTGGGACTAAGATTTCTTTGATTTCTTTCTATTGCCGTTTTAGCCAGGCAAAGTACTGACCTAGACATGAATCATTAGAATTTCAAAGCATGTTTCTTCTAAGTTGACTGCAGTATTATATCAAGCAGTAGCTGTATTCGATCGAAACGAGGAGAATTCAAAGATATTTTAAGTAAGCTCAGAACGGTTGAAAAAATTGGCGGGTATTTTAAACTGTAGGTACTCACGCTTAGTCGCTTCTTCAGCTGATAAACATCTGCTTCCCATAGCCCCAAGTTGTTTTTCAAGTAAGAATAAAACTACACAGATAACCAATGACATTTTACAGCTGATTTTGGTCAAATCCTGAAAGCCACAAAGATAAAATTCGTTCGGTAATAAGTGGTTCACAGACATAAGCACGAAAGTGTGGTCGACAACGAGTTAAAAGTAGTGTACAAGTTGGGGTATTACTAAGCATATTTTCTATATCCTACTTTTTTGCAACCGAGATACCTCGCCTCTATAAAAAGCGAAGTGAAGTTTTGACTTATAGTAAACTTATATTGCAATTGAGAAACTCATATCGCAACAAACAATTCAACAAACAGATGAACTGCGAAATAAACATATAGAAGGAAATTAAATCACTTAATCCTAGCCTCGTCAGTCAGTAAATAGCCCCTGCACGGCTTGCTAGGGTCCCAGGTAAATGCTCCCTTTCGGTTTCAGCTACGTTTTATCTCCCCTTGGAGAGCGTAAGAAGTTTTTTGTTTTCTAGTAAGATATTCTCAAAGATAGCATTTATCGATTCATGCACGTCATGGCCTGAGGGTATCATGCTCTTAATTTAAATGTCTAAAACTCAGAGCTTCTCTAATCCTTTGGATTTGAAGGAAGGAAACACGGAAGGCTTTCCCGTCAAATTGTTTAAGGTTATTGTTCACTATTAAAAAAGCGAGTTCGTGAATGCCAGCACTATAATTACTAAAACACAAATGGGCTGAAGTACAAGCCACTTTACCGCTGTCATCCCTTGTCGATCTGTTAAAGCTGTTAGGAGTGTAAATTGATGAGTTTTTTGTGGAATACCTTTCAGTTCTTTCACTCGTTTTACTGGCTTCCTGTGCCTCTCACTGCTTGTGAACAATGCCCTCCGTTAATGTTTCTTCGAGCATATGAAAATAATTTTGAACTGTCAATATTGTTATTTGAAAATTTAATTATTATGTAGTGTCAGCTATGCGGATTTCATTATTACTTCTAAAAAAAGGTCAAGACTTCCTGTGGCATGTAAAATTAGACTTTGGAATAGCCATAAAAAACAGTTTCTAACCATCTGACATAAATTCAAGTAAAAGTATTGTGCATTGAATATGGAGATATAAAGAATATTTTTTTATTTACGTCAACTGGATAGAAATTATTCATACACTCATGTTTCATTGACGCAAATATCACATTGGACAACCTGCACAAACTTCCTGTGTCAACCTTGTTATTGAAGCTAAAAAGCTTCCGGTCCTTCTTTTGTTCCCACAGGTCTAAAAGACCTAAAAGGGTGCATCCACGAAAGTATTTGTTTTCGCTGGGTTTTCAGCGAGGCCGTCACTCGTTTACCTCGCTACAGCAAGATTGTTGCAACAAAAATTTATATTATGCAGCAAAACTGTATGAATATCGTAAAATTTCCTCGCCTTTTTGTAGTGGTTAGTTTTATAACCAGAAGAAAAGATAATATTTATTCAGTTTACTCGTGAACCATGGTAAACCCATCATGGTTCTCTTGAGAAGTGTAGATTCCTTCCATCATGGTCCCGACAAAAATACGTCATAGTGGGACAAATTAACTGTAGCATAACAGGAAGTTCTAAAGAGTGCGTAGGGATGTATTTCAATGCTAAGATGAACAAGGATTGTCAATTATCGTGGAAACTAGTTTTGCATAGTCATCTGTTGCACATTAATTATTCACACTGGTTAACAGAGAGCCCTGGCCATGTTGACCCTTACATAATTTTATCTTCTGTCTCTGTTTTGCATAAAAAATGAAAAACTTTCCGGCCGAGTGAAATCCATGTGTTTCGAAATTGTTTGATCCAAACCCCTCTCGGTCGAACCCAGGGCGCTCGCTCAAGGATTACATAGGAAGTTGGACTTCCAAAAGATTTTAGCATATTTTTTCTGATCAATACGTTTACATTGCGGTGAGGCTTTATCCGAACTCAAATTTCCAATGTTGAACTAAGTATAATTTACTCTGTGGTACTCTCAAACACCGATATTCGAAGACTGATTTAGTAAATGCTTCAAAGGACCAAAAAATTCATACCCGAAAAGTTCATAGTCGTCTCGATATAACTCTGCAAGCCTTTTTATGTCTTCATGGGGAACTTGGCTATAATAATGTTCCATATCACGTGAGCCTGTCGCGTTTTGTATTGGCGGGAAATTTACACGGTCGCCAATTCCCGCCATTTTTAACACAAGGGCGGCGTCTTCTGCCAAAGTCTCCAAATTACCTATGACATCGTAATCAAAGAGAGAAACACGGATGGCACTGATCTTTAAATTGCCGCCAGTGTAGGTTGCGTGGTATATCTTCGGATGAACTCAGGAAAACTTACATTGTTATCCTTATCAAATGCTGGCTTCCACGAAAACTCCTTCATATCCTGTCCATATCTGACAGAATCCTCAGAACGAAGGCTATTGACGATCATTTTTCAAATATTTTTACTAGAAAGGATCCGATGTAGTGGCTCCCGAACAAACATAAACTTGAAATAGTTCTTAAGTCGATGTGACTGTCCTTCCTCGCTGTATTCGCCAAGGCGACGCCATAACCTTGGTTGGTGAACATATACTTTTTGTTTGAGTTCCTGAAGATCCACCAACACCCTTTTCCACGTTGAGGAAGCCACTTTCGGAATAGAACAGAAAATGATTTTATGTGCATCTTCCACTATCACAGATCTAAGTTCCTGGTCGGTTAGTCTCCTGTTGGATGAATGTTTGAGGCAGTAAAATTTTATTGATCATTTTCTTGCTTCTTGAGTGTCGTGAGGAGTTCGTGATATTGATTTCTACCCATCAAACGTTTCCTGCAATGGGATAAACTAACCTACATTAATCTTGTCGATAGGCTTGCTTTTATATCATATTTTATTATAATATTATGAAATGGGTTCGTTCCTCTTGACCAGAGGGATCGACAAACTGTTTGGTACTACGCCCCATTTATTCAAGTTTCACTTTCTGTTGGCAACGCGAGTGTTGGAAAATTAATTCAGTTTCCCTTTATACACTTATAGGCATTAACATTTGAACTAAGAATTTATCTAAGAAGATTTATCATGGCCAGACTTATGTTTTAAGATTTTTTTTTTCTTATTTCAACAAAATTGAAAAAATATTCGTTACAAACTTGAGAAAAAGAAAAATACTGCAGAAATAACTCAATTAAAACAATTAAAGCTGACAATGCAGATTTACACGTCCTGGGTGCAAATCTAATTGCTAATTGTTGCTCTTCATGCAACTTAGAGCTATGAAAATGTTTTCTTTTTTATCCTAACGTTTTTAAATTTTGAAAGATATAATATGACTTGCATCGTAATAGGCCTTCGTTAAACAATATTCATCCACCATCCAATGAGCAAGTCAATCAATCAATCAATCGATCGATCGATCGATCGATCGATCGATCGATCGATCAAATAATAAATCAATGGACCAATCAATCTATAAATCAACAAATCAATCAATTAATCCGTCAATTAATCAATCAATTAATCAAACAATCGATCAAATAATCAGTCAATCAACTGATCGATCAATCAATCAATCAGTCAGTTTTAGGATATACAACAGAAAACAAACAAATAAAACTGCAATCGAAATGAACTTAAAATATACCCATGTATCGCCACTTTTTTTGATTCGGGGAACAGTTTGTCCCTAAGTAGTCACCACCCGTAGGACATGGAGGTTTCAACGCTAAATGATGCACCGATTGCACTATTAAACTATCCAGCCACAATTACACTTTAAAATTATTAAATGATGAGTTCGGAGAAGCAGTTAAACTGAGTGGAAAAGATTCTCCATGAGGAAGACAAGAAATACGAGAAGGAACCCTAATCGGGGCGATCGTGCTTGGTCTGTGCCGCCTGTAGTTGTGGGTGTGGTAGTGTGATGTGACTGCCTGTAGAGGTTTGTTAAGGAAGAAAGGAATACAACGCGACGTTAGTATTGAGTTCTTTTCTTCCGTTTTCGGTATTAAATGTTTTTGGTAAAAACCCCTCACAGGATAAGCGAAATATCAGTTGTGTAGTGCGGTGTTTTTCGCATTTACCTCGTGCTGTGAAAATGCAGCATGTGACCAACTCGAGGTTTACAGTCATAAAATACAACCACATCATGACGTCTAATATTCTTTTTCGGTATCTGATTACAGGTTCCTTAAATTACAAATTATTAACTTTTATTTACCTTCACACCACAGCCAAAACAAAGGTCTTGAATATTTGTCCCAAGGCGAGTGCTTCGGGGCTGTGTAGCATGTATTATACATATCAAACTCTTCCCCCAGTGCGACGAACATTTGTTTTTCTCGGTTCCAGGTGTACGCAACCACTAACCCCACGTAATGCGCATGCTCTCCGTTAAAATGGCGGACAGGCCAAAGAGGTAAATAAAAAAACAAAGCGATTTTCCAATGAATACTCAACATACACCCTCGTTAGAAAGGCGAATCTACGGAAGAAAGATACCAGACTGTATGATATTAAGATCGATATGATATTAAATCGATACCGAGGGCCCGTTTCCAACTTGCTAAGAAGTGCATTTAATTGCCTTCCGCCACGATTACTAGCTTTCTTGACAGCTTTCTGAAGACAGAATACTTTCTTTCTGAAGAATTCTGATATGCGGCTATTGATTATTACACCTCTTATACCTGATTGCTCAAACACTTTGTTTACGATTGTTGAAAGGACTGACTCATGGTTCTCCGTCTTCGTCTTTACATTGCTTTGAAATAGTATAGATTAGTAAGCTGAAACGAAAAATTAATTAGGGAAGTTTACAAAAAATCCAGCAAACAAGCTTAAAAAGGCATTTATTTAGACTTCATACTTCAACGAACTTCACAAATCTTACTTGTTTATCTTGTAAGTAAACGATGGCAGATTAATTGCCGAAGCGCTTTCTGAGTTTCCCGATCCCTCTCCTGCTGCTTTCACGCTTAAAAAACAGGAAAAAATCAAAAGGAGGAAGATACAGCTGCTTTGAAACGCCATTTGACGAAGGTAAATCTGCTTTTTGTTCGACACTGTACATATCAAAACAAAGGAAATTTATTCCTCTTTTTGATTCTGGCGGTACATTTTTAATGTGCGCCTGCGTAAAAGAGATATCGCCTGAGACCCTTCGCTCGGTCGTGTTTTGATCAAAAACGCCTTGTTAATTTCAGGCAACCGCTCGTAGAAATGGTAAAAATGACGAGGGAAAAACTTTACCTTCAAGTTAGAAAATTAGCGAAATAGAAAGCCACAATATTATAGTTCAATATTTCAGAGGTACATTAAGTAGAGAATCCGCACGATGGTAAAACATTCGAAAATTACACTCGATATGAGTGGGGTGTTGAAGTGGGCGCGGTCACTACATTCATGTTAAGACTATTTGTACCCCATGAGTTTGATATGATCCGGTTTTCCCGTAGCTGGGTCAGATTCTCTGGTGGAGGTTGAGCATCACAGTTTACCTCTACCTGTTCGGACGCTTTGTCGCAGATTTTAAAAGTCTTCTCATCTGGTATACATAATTTGCAAGTTATCCCTCGGACTGAAAGAGGAGTTGAAACCGTGATGGTTAGGATACAGTCTGGGATGTTCCAGCGAAGGGGGAGGCAAGGGTCTAAATCTAAAGAAAGTGAAAAGTGTCGCCAAAAAGGTAGGTTCAACCTTTGCAGAAACCGTTTCAAAATATTGAAGATAGCAATGCGTCGGAAGCCTCACACATATCTAGCAAAGTAATTGGTAATTTTCACTGCTTTAGAGAAATTTCGATTCAATATAATTTTTGAGAAACATGATGCAATTGGTTTTTTACCGCACCAAAATTTCCAATATGTATACAGTTGCGAATATCAAATGAATGATAAAAGAAAAACATGCTGATTGGTTTTGAGAATCTTGATTTAAAACATGTATCACATTGAAGTGAACCGATATGAAGAAAAGCGAAAGCTTTCAACAACAAGATGAAACTGATGGGAGAGCAGCACTAAGGCCGACCTTAGAGAAATATATATCGTTATTCCCGAGATATGTTGTATTCTCTGTCGGAGTGCAATTTTGGTATCGGATTTCTATTTTTTCGACTTCAATTGTTTGAAATTAACTCATGGAAGTCTTCGGGACAGTCGAAGCACCAATTAGATTTCTTCCTTTTGTTCTTCTCGCACTTATTCAAAAATGGCATTACGATTATGGGACAGGCCAAGGCTAATTACAGATACTCCGACCTTTTTTTTTTTTTACAGAACGAAAATTAAAGAGAAGAAATCTAATTGTACTGAGGTAAACATGCTGAAGAACGATTTTTAACAGCAGTTGATCATGTTTTACCGCAAATAGTTATATTCGCTTGTGAATTTGGGTCGAAATTATCTTTTTCGTAGTAATGGCTATTGATATGCCTTATTCGGTTGAATTTTCAGAAAATTGGCCATGAATTGTGAAATTGTACATGCTAGTCTATAATCTTTCAAAGTTGCTCGTAATTAACCCGTTAACATTCATGGTCGAATTTTAACTAGAACTTTCTGAAAGTTTGTGATTGCCGACTTTAGGGTATGATATTCACATTATCGAGGATTATCTATCAATGCGATTGCGAGGTTTTATCCTGGAGGAATATATAGGAAGTGCTGACGAGCAAATATGTGATAAGCATGTAGTAATTTTTTTTCATATTTTATCAAAGGCCAGGCATTCAAAGGTTCCTCAATACATTGTGTGTGAACAGCACTAGAAGTGCTAAACCAGTATCACGAGGATCGCCAAAAAAATTAGATCTCCATCAGAAGATATGTTTGTTGGCTGAACGAATTATATCTGTCTCCATGTTTTCAAAAGTGCACAATGAAAAAAAGAAAAAAAACACCTGCTTTCCTTCTTAATTCGAAAATTAACAGCTGCGGAAAGGAGTCTTTTCTACACTTTCTGGAGTTATTGCACACAAAGCCACAACCTCGTCAATGTGTCGTCGTTAAACGTTCAACATCACAATTGTCACAAAATAAAACTTTAATTTCCCAACGTTTTTGTTCATACGCGTTTTAAATTCTAATTTAAAACTGTTATTGCCAGCTGAGATGGTTGGGCAATTTTGAATCATTTTTCACATCAACCATTTTCAATAATTGTTTAGCCTTTGACAGCAAAATGGATCTGGGAGGAAACATAAAATTTATCAATTCTTGCGCTTTTGATGCTGTGGTACGGAGATAATAGAATAATTATGCAATATTGACAGCTCTCCTACGTTGGTCTCATAACACCTTCTAAAAGGCAATTGTCTAAATAAACACTGAATGGCTATCAGTTTGTTATTTGGGCCAATCCAAAGCAGTTAGTAATCGCCTTTAAATTCAAGCCCTGCCTTCTGAATCCTGCTCTTCCAAGGCACAACCGGGGATCTTAGGCTGAAAATTTCTCATCCTCTGACCGACAGACACGAAATTGCATTCAGGTATGTGAATGTTATTGAATCAGTGTAAAAGGAAAAACCAAACTTTTACCAACAATGTGTTCTCTTTCTCTCGTTATTTTGTTTCTGCGATCTAAGAATTTCAAGGTTTACTACCTTAAGGAATTATCTGTTGCTTTAAATCGAGTTCACGCAGTGGGTATAAATAATCTGGACCAAAATGAATATGAAGAATGTTTTTTTAATCTTCTCCAGACACAAATTGAAAAAAACTCGCGAAAAATTTTTGATGCTAACGCGTAATTTCATTGATTTTAATATTTCTGTTGTCATTTCCTCGACGTATTTCAATGGCGCAAAACTTAAAAAACTTTTTTCTTCATGAAAAGTGAAGAGGGAAATTAAAAAAATAATGAAAAATTCCATTAGAAATCCTGAATACTTGGCGATGATTTGAAAATCGTCGATATTTTATCAAACTTTAAGCCATCGTATCATGTGATCGAGAATCTTCGATATAAAAACATATCTTTTTAAGCAAATGCTATTCGATTTCTCCTTTTATTCAGAGTCTATTTTAGTACAAAGTGTAAGACAAAAACAGGTGGGAGATATTGTGCATGCTTCCTCGATATTTATTACACAACCGTGCTTTTCATAATCCATATAACCCAGAAAGCAATAGTTCTTTAACTTTTTGATTACATCTACCGGTCCAATATCGAAACATTTGCCCACAAGCAAGGTCGAAGGGTCCGATATAAGCGGTGTCTCATATCAAAAAACCGACTTCCTTTTCCAACGCAAAGTTTGCTGAGGGAAATCTTAATGTCAAATAAAATACGGTCCCTGATATTAATAGGATGTGGTCTGTTATTGGCAAAATCCATTTTAAACATTGAAAGTTTAAAAGGTGTTTTTATTTGCGAAAACGTACGTGCTGTTTGTCGTTCATATTAGTGGCTTTGAACGAAGGTACGGTTAATGACAGGTTATTAGTTTCACGGCCAGGACTTTGTTCTAGTTTAGGTTTATGGCAAACAATTCGGAGACAGCATTGAATAGCTTGAGTGCATAGAATCACGATCAATAATGGTGCGAATGTGAGGCAAAAGAATTCTGTCTGTTGAACCTGCGTGTACAATAAATCGAATAAATTTCCATTGCGGCATTATTTGGGAATCAGTATGGTAAAAGTTAAGAGACGAAATTTTATAATTCTGAATGCGAAATTTTGTTAAGTAAAAGGAGAAGTAGTGTTGTTTTGGCGGTATGAGATGATCCTTGATTGTCGACTTCAGTTGCTTTGAAAGAATTATGTGTTGTTGCCATGTTCATAGAAATTAAAACGGATGTTTTTAATGCACAAAATCAATCAGTGGCTTTCAAAGAACACACTCGGAAAATGATATTTCCCTTCAAAAAGCCCGCGAAAGGGAAAGGAACTTTTAATGTTCTTACCGAGTCCATGAAATATAACGCTAATGAAACTCTAATTAAGCGTGGGTTGGAAAAAGGTTTGTATTATTTAGTGTGAGCCTATCTGGCCTTAATGCTTAACGAAGAGAAAACATCTGATCGGTTGACCTAAATCCTTAAAACTTCAATAACAAAATCTTTCTTGATTGCATTGCCAGTGAAATTTTAAATATCATTGATATTAGAAATTTAGGATGAGTTTTAAGGTTTTGCATTTATGAAGGGTATTTGAATTCCACAAATCTTACGACTGAATTGAGCTCCTCAAACAGCGGCTTTGTTACTAATTAAAGCTTTCAATTTGTGATCAATTCCTATTCAGAAGAGATGTAAATTACGACGGGGTTCCTATTTTTTCCTTCAGGAGTAAAATTTTTCTTTGCCTAAATGGTTAAAATTAAACCAAGGACAAAGCGGATGTTTTGCGAAAGAAATGAATTGCAAAGGCTATAGTAATTGTTCGGTTTCTTTGAGCAGTTCGTTTGGTGCCTTTAAACCCCAGGTTACCGATTAGTTTTACAAATTCGACGACAATATCGATGGAGCTTAATGGACAGTATTAGACGTTGTATAATCCTGGAAATGAGATTGCCTCAGGCTCGGAGACACCAGTGACGATACAAACAGTGGGATGAACTTCATTACTGATAAGCAAACTAATAGGCCCATTACAGTCTGGAAAGTTTCTCGAACAAGCCTGGCTCACATCCTACATTGAAGACGAGATGAGACACGCAAACCCTTTTCTTTGTTTAAAAACAAGTATGCATCTTAAAAATGCTGAAGGATAGATTGAGAGAAGGTTTGAATGGAGTACTTACGTCCTATTTCAATGTTGTTTGTAAGAAATTTATGAACTTTTCGTTGTCATGAAGAAAGTAAAGAACGGTATGTGTAAATGAAGGGTGATACGATGTTTATTGCGGTGGTACGCACTTAAGAAATAAAATGAAGCATTGTGTTTACCTCTAATGAATAAATGATCTTAAAAGAATTGATAGTGTTGACAAAAGAGAGCTTGAGCAGGTCCTCTGCACGAAAACTTAAATTTTGTTTACAGTATGAAACAAAGGGAATCTTTAAGGTGAAACATTGGCGTTTTAAAGATCTAAAGGGAAATAAGATCGACTTTTTGACTCTTTTATTGAAAAAGTGACTAGGTTCTTTTATCCTTGTGATTTTTCCTCTTGAAACGTGGGTGTTTATTTGAATAGAGTCGTATTAAAATCCATGTTTATTTCCTGAGGATATCATTTACCAGCTAGCAGCTCTACATATGATCTCGAAAAACTGACCAGGGAAGTGCAAAGTCAGGTGGCCGATCGACTTGACGACTGTGAAAATAGCATATTTTGAATTTCACCGCAAAACGACTATTTTTTTTTGCTTTTGTGATCCTACGAACGACAGGTCTGAAGTGAGCATGGATATGAAGCGTGAGCAGAAAAAAAAAGAGAGAAAAACAACAATTGTGCGGTCCTAGTATATTAGTATAGTTGCTAATCTTTGCTAAGTAATATCGGGAGAGTTAATCCACTACGAATGATTTCTCTTGCAAATTTCAAGGTAAGGCCTTGTGAAGACAACGTTAAGAAGAATGTTTCCATGCTCGTAAAACCATTTTCCGGCGAACAAAGAAACCTTTAAGAAATTGGAATTAAGCGATTTTTTTTAACTTGATCTGACTTTGTTTTGCTCTTCCTTGATTCCGCAAAGCATTTTTTTTTCATCTTGATATATCTCCTATGTATTTTAGTTGTTACGAAGTTATCGACGTCACGGGGTATGAGCCAGAAGGGAAATGATCATAAAACACAATTTGATGAAAGACATATTTGTTCCGTCTAAAATCACCACCAGGCACTTTTTTATTCTCTTTTTAGAATCAGATCATGATGAAATCTACAGTTTTCATCGTCTTTGTTTTGGCTTTTGGAAGTCTAGGTAAGAAATGTTGAGAAAGTTAGCGTTTATTTCATTCCCTGCAAACGTTTCACTTCACTTGTCTGTTTTTCCATCCCCCTTACTGTTTTATACTCCATCCTTCACTACCTTCTTCCTTCTTTGCAAGTTTCATATCTCTCTCGTTTCTGTGCTTCCTCTTCACTGCGTGTTTATTTGATATTTCGCCTGTCTATTAGTTTCCTTTATCATCTTCAGATCTTACAGCTCGATTGCCTAGATTTTTCTCTGGTTACTTGAATGCTTCCGTCGATCATTTGGTTTAGCAGTCCGCTCGTTATTTTTTAATACTTTGGTATTACTTTGCATATGTGTTTGTTTACTTTATTCCAAGCAAGAATTGAATAAGTTTTCCTGATATCCTGACTCTCCCTTCGAGTTTATCTCAGTTAAAGGTTTAGTTTCCTATAGCTTTTACACTTGTAACTCGGACTGCTGAGCATCAAAGCCCCTCTGAGGTACGAAAATATGGTATGATTATTGAACACTTTAATTTCCGACGCTAGCAATTGAAACCGATAACGATGAATTTCTGTTCATAATAATTTTTCATCTTCTTGTCTTCAAGGAGTAGCTCTCAAGTGCCCCACTTGTTTCAGTCGTGAAAGTGGAAAACAATGCGACGCAGTAGCCACATTAAGGACGTGCACAGAACCCGACGCTGTTTGCGCTTTGTATCATTCTGAGTCCAGTTTTAAAGGCGGTGTTTACATGAGATATTGTAGCACTTTAGACCGAGTTTTACCCTTGCAGGCCATGTGCAACAAGCCGCCTTCAGAAGTTGAGGGGCTGGGCTTAGTAACGTGTCGTGCCGAGTGTGAAGGATGTTCCTCCACTTTGGTTGTATGAAGCAGCGGGTGTTTGTTTGTGCACATAACTTTCCTTTACAAGCTCGATGTAGAACTGTAGTGGACACTTAAAGCGCAACTTGTGTCAAGTTGAAATAAAGATACAATACAGATATTGTACTTTGTTATGGTTTATTCTGAAGTTTTTTCAAGGTTTCAATGCAGAAAATTAGTCAGAAATCTTTGATAACGACATAAATGGGAATTAATAAGAAAGTTAGTTCATCAACCAGTTTTCTGAATTGCTACATTAGAAACTTACATAACAAATACAGGTTGATCCTTAAGTAACACGAGCAAATAAAATGAAACAAGGCTCAAAACAACTAAATTTCCGCATTATCTCCTTACCTATTATTAGAATTGAGAGTTCTTAAAACTAGCTTTTTGCCTCTTCTAAGGCATTCAAAGACTGATTTCTAAGGTCAAGTGTTGAATATCATGCATTCCAGAATCAACACTTATCTAGAATGATAAATCCAAGGGTTCTTTAGCGTCTACAGCGTTCTTGCGGATTCAATTCATAGTTTCGTCCCTTGCCTTCTCTTCGTGTATTTTCGCGCTATCCGAGTCCGAATCAGTCATCTTAAGCGACAGTGAGTCGCTTTTGTTTACTTCTGTAACCGCTTTAGAGTCCAATACTTTGTTTGATTCAGCTGTGGGGTGATCACTGGGAATCTCCTTATGACGCCTGTTGAACCGCACTCCAGGGATTTTCGAGTCACCTTTTGAGCTTGCCATTCGGACCTCTCTGCGTTGGGAAACAGGTCCAGTTGTACCCAGGCTCTCGATCTCTCTGAAACCTTGGCTCACGCATGACAACTCTATTTCATCGTCATCGTCCTCCAGAGAGAGAAGGGAACACCGATCGTTCTGTGTGGCTTGATCGCTGTTGCCTCCTCCATTAGAGTTTTCAAGGCCATCCCTCTGCAATTCTATGTTACTTGTAGCGCTTTCCATTGTGAGCTCCTAATATAGAAGTAAAATCCTGCTTTTCAAATCAAAATGGCTCGTGTTACTTTCCGACGTTCGAAATTGAAACTCGGTATAAATAAATTTTCATGGAAAAGGTATATCTTCATGGCGTGCCGTTGAAAAGTAATCGAAATAAACAAGCCGAATGCTAGTCGAGCAGGAAATTGTTTTATCACTGCAAATCTAACTACTCCCATCTCTTCAACTGGATGTAATCACTACATTGCTTAAAGTTGTCTTACCACACGCTTGTGTCCAGCATCATCAATGTCCTCCTCATCTGTATTTTCACTTCGTGCTGATAGAACCACACTCAAACAGCACTCCCAGTTGCATTGTGGGTTCTTATATACACCATACAGACTCTTGCCCAGAGATATGATATATCGAACTGAAAATACAGTAAATAAAAGAATTAAGTGCTCCTTTAATCGTGGCCGGCCCCCCTTAGGATTATTTAAGATGTCATTTTATCTGCGATCATGATAATACAACAAAAATGCCCCATTTTTTAACCCCAAACTAAGCAAAAAGTTAATGGGAGCAGTGGGTTCTTGATAATTCGTTAGTTCTAGATAAGTCGGCTCACTGAGTTGTGTTCATCGGCACCATACGCTCACTGACTTCTTCTATTTAGGAATAAAAATGGGTACGTAAGATACATCATCAGGGTTTTCTGACAAAATACTGGCGATGAGTTTGCACCCTATATATCTAGAGGGAGTAGCTATACCTAACTCAAGTGGTAGAATCAGAGATAAGATCCCACAGTTAGTTCAACGTATTTTATGAAGCGTTCGTGTGTTAAATTAAGAGGTTTTAAGCATGATTGATTGCTGACATGCATTATCATAAGACTGTTATGTTATCATAAATTATCGCATAGGCGGAGCTATTGCTATCCACCCTTACCGTAACTGTCAGAAAAAGATAAAAGAGGGAAGTCCCTATTTCGATCTACGTCTTCTATTAAAAGATGACTCCACTCGCAGACCACTCATGACCACAACGCAGAGCAGTCTATAAAATAATAAATAGCTTACCGGCGACCAATCCTATGACCATCAAATTAGCCGTCACTAGCAATACAGTGACACCAATTGAATCTTTGTCCTTTTCGATAGAATAGTTCAGTATTTCAGATGGAATCCTTAACAAGACGCCAACACTTAGATTGAAGAAAGAGGCTACAAGAGACACCAGTTGCAGCAGATGTTCATACTTGTCGGGTATTGGCTGAGCCTGAGCATACGCTACAGCGTAGAATCCTGACGCCATTGCTGCCATTCCAATATAGGTTCGTCCCTCGGTGCCAATCAGGGCCAGACCGGAAGTAAGAATCAACTTCCTCACCATCTCCACCAATTCCCAGTACCAGCAACGCTTGTCGTAGTTTTCATAGATGAAACGCATACCTTCTATGATTTCATACCGCTTTGTTTCGGTACTTTGGGCGCAGTTTTTGACTTGGGGTCGATAATAAAGCAAGTACAGAATGACTACAATGAACAGAGGGAAAAGCAGAGGGTATGTGGCTCCAACGTAGGCAGCAGTCACGTACTTATTGTAGGACTTGTCGAAACACTTTAAACTGTAATCCATTCTAAGGTAGTAAGTGCAGTCTTTCATTGCCACATCCTAAAAGTACAAATAAAATGGATTTACCAGATGTATCTTACAAAATCTTTTTTTAGTGTAGGGAGCTATGAATCACACAGAAGTCTTAACTAACCAGCAATGTGGCTATATCGACGAAAAGAACAACCCCTTTCAATTGAGGGCCGTGAAGCCAAAACCATAGAAGTTAAAACAGCTATTCAGGGCAGTGCTAAAAACAAAAACAGAAAAGCCAGTGGTCTTTTTGTTTGGCTTCTGATTGATTGAAAATTTGACCTTTGCTTTCTGAACCATGCCAAGCAGGTTGGTATCTGTTTATATAGGAACATGTATAATGCATGTGAGTTAAAAAATGGCGATGCGCACGTTCCTTGATTACCCTATCTTAGCAACTCAATTGGCAATTGCTGATAAAATTTACTGATTCAAGAGAACAGGTTTTAAAAAAATTGGTGATGAATCTTTGAACAAAATACTGAGAAATTACTACATAAAACAGTCTGCACAAAGAGAGAGGATTCATCAAAAACAGCTACACCATGCGATTTGTGCAAACCGCTGAACGATTGCGATGACCATATAATTAGCACCTTAACTGTTCGGGATTGTCCATGCTTAGTGCGTAGAAATTTAATTCTGATTAACCGATAGGAACGTGGGTTATGTTGACATTGTCCTGATGTTTTATACCTGGCAGATTCGTTGACAGGCGGGAGGAAGCATACGCAGGATTCCTGAACAAACTTCCGGGTATGTAATGAACATAACCAGAAAGGAGGTACGGTAGCAGTGTTCCTTGCTCAGCGAAATCTCCACCTCCTTTTCCTCCAAAGACATATTCTTCTTGAGTCTAAGTTAACACAGAAAAGTATGGAGTGAACCCCTTAGTTGATAACAACTCAATTGCATAAATTCATTTGCATCTCACAGCTCTGATTTTGTTGCCAATTGTGACCTCTAACTGGACAGAAGCACTCAAGATAGAGAAATTTTGATACTTGAAACATAATGATAATCAATGTAATAGTAACAATAAAATAATATAATGTTTTACACTATGTATACACGGCGTAGATCAGAGTTTAGAATGCACGTATCAAACAGAAAAATAGAAGTGTTACCGGAAAAATAGTTTCCTGCTCTGAAAATACACAAACGCTGATACAACGATCCCTCCATTCAACGTCACAATTAACAACAGACCAACGTACGCATTCATCTTCAAGCTTTCTTTGAAACAATGGAAAGGAGCAATTTGGACCACGTTAAACTGGACGAACTTGATATAGTTGCTAAGCTGTAGCAGAGCTTCAGGCCATTGAACGTACGAGAAGGCATCTAAAGTACCAGCTGTGACCTAAATAAATAGGTAAAAGGATACCTTTTTTGAGCGCCAAAACCCACAACAGATTGACAAAATACGATTTTCTAAGCTGATTTTAACATGCCAAACTAAGTTTGGAAAATCTTACAACCCATTAAAATTCAGACTCAGATTGTGACTTTCTGATTCCCACGTTTCTCCATTATTCTCAAGAAAAAAATTTTGATATTTAGCTTTTTAAACTGTTCATGTAAATTACTTCTAACGGTTATTTCTCGATTCCATTTCTGATTCTTTCCCACTAAAATTGCCAAGAATCATTTGTCGACTTCTATCTCCCTTGCCTTTTCAGGAATGGCAAACCAAAACATGATGTGTATCAGTTGTTTGAACTACCTGATAGAAGCCTATGACGATCTTTAAACGGGCCAGCACGATATCGGAAAGTGTACGTCCCTTGATTTTGGCGCCTCTCTCGTCACGGGCAAGAATAAAGATAAGGATGATAATGACGAATGTGATGGCCACCATTTGTATTAAAAGCCATGGAAGACTCGGACATTCCGTGCATCTAGTCATAGATTTATAGTAGCCTATGCTGCACACCTGAAACAAGAAGCAAAAGATCGATGAGGCAATGTCGCTCTTGAACCTATATTCACTTTTAGCAGAGTCTCCAAAGTAAGAACATCCATAGCAAAGTGTTCAAACTACAAATAAGACCCAGGGTTTCCAATTAAAGGTATTGACGATAAACTAATATTTGGGCATGAAATATGAAGTTATCAATCACATGACAACGTAACGCACATGAAGTTGATCATGTGCGTCATTTTGACAGTACATGATCATTTACAATGTGCTTTTTTCAGTTCGCTTCTTACCTCGCACAGTGGTCCTCCATAACCAGTCTTGCACGGTTTCCTAACGGAGTTTAGGGAACCCAAACACGAAGAAGCAGTGGGACAAGGGTGTGCTCTAGGGAAGACTCCTGTGAAATTGATATCTTTGTGATTGTACTGTTCATCGGGCACCATCAAGGCGTCAACGAATCTCTGATATTCCCAGCTTTCATTGTAATCTCTGAATCTCCACCAATACCCTTCCCTGACCAAAATTGTCTCGTTGCACAGAATTCCTCTGACCTCTGTTGGACACGCTTCACATTTTGTGAACCGGCCTTTTCGATAGAACGAGTCAATACAGAAACAACCTCGATAACTTGCCCACTCATCGCTTTTGGATCCTAGTATATCAAGATAATGGCCGGTAAGAATGGGAATTGTTCTAGGAATAAAAACTTTTTGAGCGTCTTATGGGTGAATAAAACAAAATGAGGTGAATCATACCTAAGCATGCATTCATGGAGATCATAGGAAATCTGGAAAGGAAGCAGTTGAATTGTTGAGACGAGAGTTAAGGTTATGGGAGTGTCGAGAAAGACGCCCTTAATAAAAAGTATTTAAGATGGCTTGTTGTCTTTAGGTTAACATATGATCTCTAACAGTTCAGAGCTGGATCTTTTAGATTCACATGCAAAGAGTTATGAGTACACTTTCCAGCAGGTGAAGGGGAGACTTTTAAAATCTTTTGTTATCGGAAAATAAGCATACCGGCAGGACAAACGCGGCACATTTGCTGACGTTTCCCAGGGAACTTATCTATCCCCACATAGGTACCCTTGGGACAAGGAAGACATCCTGTACGTCCTGCAACGGTTCCAAATTGGCCAACAGCATTCTGATAAAATCCGCCTGTTTTAAATGTAAAAGTCTTCTTAAGCAACAATAGCAGTTTTTGCTAAGAGAAAATCAACAAAGAGATTGGTCACGTTGGATTGGCCATCACTCTCGCGACTCAAGTAGCTTGGAGCGCCGCCTGGATTTTTCGTGAATAATTAATTCACTTCTCTTTTAAGAGAAGTGTAATAATTTTCGCGATCGAAGGGAAAGCTTTTAATTTTTAATCATAAAATCCCATATAAGAGAACATACAGATACCCAGTCTTGTCTCAATTTCGCTCTCGAGGAAAACTTTGGTGCATCTATTTTCTCCTACTGTACATGGGATTTTCCGGAGCTTGACTTAAAAAATTCGTCCTGAATGATTAATCCTCTCTTGTTTTAACGTAGTAGTAATGAAGATAACGGTTATCAAATATACAATACCCAAACGATTTTTGGTTATACTCCTGTCCTAACATCCTAATAAACTTCTAGATTTTGGGCTCTGCTTAAGTTACCTGGAGGACACTTTTCGCAAACATAAGTGCCGTTGCTGGCCCTTTTTTGATAAGTACCAAAGTCGCAAGGAGTGCACAACTGTTGGCTACATGTGAATCCATTGCGTTCCAGTCCTTCTCGAAATCTTTCGTCTGATGGGGCTGGAAACTGGTATAGATTTTCGGTGGGAGAGCTTTATTGAAAGAAGCCATCATGAGCTGTTGTTGTTGAATAAATTCTTAAAATATAAGAAAGTACTTATTTTTATCAACTCTTGGTTTATACTGTCATTTTACAGCCTGTTCCATATATTTTTAAATATGAATTCATTTTGTACATTGTTAAGACCTAGTTGAGCACAACTGGTCACCAGATAGCGATTAACGCAACCGATACACTTTTAATACAGCTTGAAACTATTTGCAAATATATGTATGGAATCATCTAAACTTCAATTATGCCCTAATGTCAAAGCAAAGGCGAAGCAGCTCTACACGAAAGTTTCTTTCTTTCGCTAAAACTTGAAGCGAACTCTGAGCAAATAACGTTTAGCTCAACTTATCGATTGAGACGAGAAACAATTTTACTTACATCACCAGTTCAACCTTTTCGTGATTTTTGAAAGTTTTCATTTTAACTCGAACAAGAGCTGTCTCTAAAACGTAGCTTTAAAGTGGAGAGGAACATTGATTAAACACCGACATGCAAAATAGATCACAGTATTAATAAGGGGGGGCGCGGCTCAATTGTTCTCCAAACGTCTTGGAAACTGAAAGCAAACTGACTATCTGAATACTTGACTGATGATGCGCTGGAAAGGTATTTGAGACGTTTAGAAGTAATTGTTTCTTAGCCTCGTGGAAAAGAATAAGGATAAAAGGTTTAGATAATTCAAAAATAAATGACTGGCTTACTCACTGCCTGGCTCAAAAACTTGCCAGTTGGATAAATAACTAACTGATTGATTGCCTGGCGGACCAAATAACTGAATGGTCTACTGGCTGATCTATTGACTTACTGACTGACTTACAGCTGGCTGATGACTGATCAGCTAACTGAGTGACTGGCTGATGACTAACCAGCTAACTGAGTGACTGGATGGCAAACGGCTGACTGACTGGCAAACTAATGAAAATCCAACCTGATTTAAATACTTACAGAAGGGAGAGGTTACCATAATCAGCGTAGTTGAAAGAGTTAGACTCTAAATCTGCTAGCTTATGGTTGTTAGAAAGGGCCCTTGATAGAGAGAAGAAAAGGAAATAGAAGATTTCTCAGATGTCATTTTGTTATTGAAATCTTGAAATTTCGTTTTGTTATGCCTTATGCCGACACATTTACTGTTGTTGTAGTTACACTTACAATATTTCCAGATTTACTGCTCCCCTGAAGGTGCCTGGACCAATCAGAGTCAGGTTATTATTGTTGAGAAATCTATGATGGCATATCAGGAAATAGATCATCAGGAGGTGTGTGATTATAATTTATCTGTTAGATATCATGAAGAGTGGGTCCTTCAAAGGACATTTGTCAATGATTAGCTTTGAATAAAATAAACAATTTTACTTACACATATTTGAGGCTGAAAGCATTTTGGAAAAGGTTGTCAGGTATATCTGTTATCTCGTTATGTTGTAGAAACCTTGCATTTTGGAAATACAATGATCACATGGTGTTAAATAACCAATGAAACATCATAATATACATATTGACCAGGACAAGTCAGTCTTGTTGTTGTTTGGTTATGTGTTTTAAAAAGTCATCTCTGAGGCAAATACAAGGTAGAAATAAAATGAAATTGTTTCTGCAATACACGGAGTCGCAGCGGCATAAAACTTTGAGTTAAGATCCACTTACATAAATTCCAGATTCTGTGCATCTTTTAGTAGGTGAGCATGTATTTTTGTCAGCCTGTTCATGTTTAAACCGCTAAACACAATAAAAGAAAACAAATGCAGTAAGGATGTGGATAAATAACATGTGAAACTGTTAATTAAGGAATGCAAGCGATCGAATTAGGTGATACAGACAGCACTCTCAAGTTGACAAGGCCGTGAAGTAGGTTGTGAGGTAGGTCCCAGATTCTGTTTATGGGTAACCACCTTAAAAAAAGAAAAAGACAAAAGTTTCGGATGCTACAAAATTCACTTTTTTGGTTTAATGCCCTTGTCCTTGGTGTGATATGTTATCATGATTACTACCCGCTCGATACGACAAGATTTTTACTGACTGATGTTGATTTATAATGGATTTAGGAAAGGCAGTTTTTGAGCGGAGTTATTTAGCAGTTAGCCTGCAGGTTTGTAGGCTTGAAAAAAGCATCAATGACAAGCTTGGAGCGTTGCCCAGCAACACCATTCAGACATATTTCTCAGTACCTGGTTTTATGAACTGGTCTAATATTTAAAGTAATCTTTTCCCTTGTTTGTAACTACAAAAGGCTACACCGTTATACATCGAATCCATTGGTGCAGCTGCTCTTCTTACAGGTGTCTCAGTCCTGGCATTCCTTGGAAACTACCACTTTCGATGTTGGAAATTCTGTTCTCACCGAGGTACCTGGGATTTAAAGCTCAAATCAATTTCCACTGTAAGGCCTCTAAATATGGAGTGAGTCCACCACGTATGGAAATAACTTGACTGGAGACTCATCCTAGCAATTTCAGAATTGACCCGTTTCGCGAAGGGCAATGATTAACTGGTTAAACATACTAACGAAACAATATTCCCTCAGTCACTGCCTGTCATGTGAAGCTAACAATACCAATTAAGTTGCGTTAAAAATGCTTTTATTAAATAAAAAGGGAATTATCAATTCTTCTCACAGTGTTGAGAGGTTACGAAGTCCATTAAAAACTCCTTCCATGATGTAACTGATGTGGTTTCCTGATAAATCCCTAACATCAGAAATTTAAAAAGAGAGAAAGACAGGTAGGAGGGATACATACAAAACAAAACAAACAACTTATAAGGAAATATGGACAGAAGTTATTCAACGGTTAGTGGCAACGGTAACAATGGATTGTTCAAGTTATATAACCCAGGAATATTGCGTCACTTTTTTCCATCAAGGAAAATAAGCAGCTTTTTCGAAGTTCTTCATTTGGAATTCGTGTGGATCTTCCTCATCCTCGACCATTCTTTGTTACTGTTTCGGCCAGTTCTCGCCTCTTCGTCGTTTTTTAATCATACAAAGATCTTATTACAAGGTCTCTTTCTATGACTCCGGCTTCTTGCCTCAAGTCACATGCATATTACAATGCTGGAATGTGTTGGTTGGTGTTCCACTTACAAGACTTCCAAATCCATCAAATCGCTCAACGATCCTTTAAGGAGGTAATCAATGTTGTTTCTTGCAAAATTCCTAGTAATTTACGCACTATTAGTAAAGCATCACATTGAGGTTATAAATGACTATGAGAGGCTGCAAACTTAATTTGTATCGAGGAGACGTACAAGGATTTCAGTCATAACTCGTTACTAATGTATTCATCACTTCTCTGTTTAACGCATTTTATCACACCTATGAATTTGTAAAAAAAAACCTGCCGAATGACATGACTCCACAGGAGATGAATATACTTGTTGTTTCACATTCTGGAAAATCTAAATGGCAACGGAAATTCAGGGAAGACTTAGAGACCATCGGCTGAACTTTCTCCTTATGTCTTTTTTCTTTTCGAATGATTAATGACTCTCCCGACTGAGGTTACACATTCAACATTAACTTCCCCTTCATCAATTTTTCCGACGACAACAAGTTTTGAACGTACTTACAGGATTTTTACTTTTCTAATGGTTGCCATAAATTTCCTTGTAATGCTCACAATTTTGTTGTCTGAAAAATCCCTGAAATGTAATCAAATAAAGCATTTTTGAGATTTTTGAGAAAAATGAATATTTTGATGCCAGGTTCAGTGTAGAAACCTTAGTAAATATTATCGTGTTCATTTCTTCGAGTAATTAAGTCATACCCTGAAGCCTGTTGTGTAATGTCTCCGGTCAATTATTCTGTTTCAACCGTGGTTTTGATTTCAGATCAAGTGCATTTATCATTTAAACTACTCCTTTAGAAACATTGCGGTTTTCTGCTACTCACACATCAGTACTGTCTTTTGACACACCCATGGGAACAACCCAGAAAGTATTCCTTGAGCAATCGGTTTTCACGAGGGCGAGGTCTGGTGACGTCTTCGAGCACAGACAACTGGATGGACATTCTTTGATTCAAAATAATCAAACCGCATTATTTAAAAAGAGAAAAATGTGTTCGCAAATGAATTTACCTCGAATGTTTAAAGTAGAGTTTGTGCCCCTTCATGTTATGAATCACATGTCGGTAAAGTAGACTGGAATCAATTGGTTCCGGCGGAAAGAATATCTCAAGAGTGGGAGAATTTTTTAAGAGAGAGAATACGAGAAAAACAAAAAAACAACAACAACAACAACAACATTGACCCTACCCTACGTACGCGGCAAACGTTACCCTTTACAAATCTTCCTCACCGTCAGTCAGTTACAGCTCAGTGAAAAATGACTTGGGACCATATGAATAAAAACTATTTCAATCGCTTCTTACCGAGAGAATAATCCGCTCGCCAAGACAAAGCATCCAGATTCCCTGTTTATATGCGCCCAGAAAAACTCATTAGACACTTTTACTGATTCTGAGTTGCAGAACTAGACAAGCTCCTCTCCTAAGTGCGGTACAGAGGCTTTCGTAAAATCATGTTTCAGATCTAGGCTCTCTTTTCTGAAATGCGTATCTATTCACACAGATTAAAATACCGTTATAAATGAGATCCCTAGAGTATAATTGTTAACCCATAATTGCTATTGTATAACGTTTTTTTCTTAGTTTTGAGTGATGCTTTCCTGGTTCAGCGTTTGTAGTATTTCAACAAGTATTTTAATCTTACGTTTTCGACATGTTCAATTATTTTTTATATCACCCACCAAAACGTGATCTGTACTCATACCACCGTATTTAAACGTGACCTCCGGACCGTCACTAAGCAACTCACAATTAAACCTTGAACCCATAAAACTGTACATGTACATCCGGGAAAAGTTGCTCGCGGAACTTGAATGTGCTAAAAACTATCCTCATGTTGACTTGACGTGGGCCTCCGATACCCGGCCGAGCCTAATTGCAATTACGCTGTTATCGAGACAATACCTTTTGTTCTAGCTAATCCCTCAGGCTCCTTTCTCAAGTTGTTTCGAATTTTCAGTTACAAGATATTTTAGCTTGTGACAGTCTGGTGGTCCCCCTCAACAACAAACCCCATGTCCTGCAATTTGTTTCGGACAAATTTAGCTCTAGCTAGTAGTAATATTCAACCTTCGCTGTTCTGCCAGAAAGAACTGTGGTACCATGTAGTACTATCCGTGAAAGAACAACATAACTTTTCATTAGGTTGTTTACGAACTCTATTTTTACGCAATTCAATGAACTTTTATATTTTTGTGTTTGGTATGAGTACGGAACACGTATAATAGTTCACCGCAACTTTCCAGTGCGCGCCATCAATGGTGTTTGAAATTAGTTCAGTTTGAACCGCTCGTTACAGTCATTTGGTAATTAGAAACACTAAAAGTTTGCTTTCACTTATCTTTCGGATTAGGCTCTTTACCCTGCAAACAAAGTTGTTAAGTTCTTTGTTCTGTGGTTTTCAAAACCGACAGTTTTAGCCGATCTCGGCGCGCTAATTGCGAAGCATTGTATTTTCGGTTACTTAAGCGTCGCTTGCAGGAAAACGTTTCGTCGAGTTGCTAACTCTGGCCGCGAATAAAAGTCACAAAAACCTAGAACAAGTCTACTTTGTTAAAATGTAAGACCACGCTGTTGTGCAGTGTCCTGCAACAGAAGTTTATCGAATGAAGTTGATGTATTTTAGCAATTTTTCTAGTTTACACTAAGATGGGCCATCATAAATAGCACTAAGTTATGCAAGTTTTCTAATCGGAAAAACCGCTTAAGAAGAGAACCGCTTTCATTCATATCTAGATGGATTCAATTCCATCGTGTCCACATCTATTAGCAGTTGGTGTTCATTATTCGACTTACTGATTTTCACGAGTAGCTTTTCGATCCTAGCTATCATTTGTCTCTGAGTTGTCTCAATTTTTTTTGCAAGAAGAAATTTACTTCCTGTTGATATTGAAAATATATGCGGCCTGGTGTATTATTGGATTGCTTTCCACTCATTTGCGTCAATAGAGGGGCTAAGAATGGTTTAATTTTTTCATGTTAGAATTACCTAAATTGCTCAAGAGGGATATCACCATCAAGACGGGCGCCATGCAGCAATCGTCGGTCTGTAAAAAGAATTCATAACGTTATTTCAAAACCGATCCTGTATTGAAAAATGCAACGTTAGCCGAGTGATTTCCTGGTGACTGTTGCCTAGTATCTCATAGAGAGCATACAAAAAAATTACCAAAAAACGAACAAAAAACTCATAACTAATTTATAATTCCTTCCCAATTTTCAAATCGGTAATATCACCTGCCAAATGAGTTTCTGAGAAGGGAAGCCTGTCTTTTTTTAAACTTTAATTGACCTTGCAGAATCTCATTGCCAGAGCAGTTTGTGAAGAGACGTTGATTACTGATGAATCATTTTACTGCACAGTAAATCTTACAAAATACGAAAAATACAGAAGTGACGTCATCCCAATTCAAGATCGCAACAATGGTTTGGCGCCTCATTATTGCTTATTGTCGTCTTTATTATTGAGTAAGCTTTAACAGAAACTTGTTCCTTCGTTAGTCCAAACTTTTATTGAGGGATGATTACACGAACCACGGAAGATTTCGGTTCAGTAATAGCACTCACTCAGTGGCGCGCTTCATACTGAACGATTAGATTTTGGCGGTTGTAAAAAAAGATGTTGCCCGTTGTTCGTCCATTTCCACAAAAATAAAAGCAAAATTAGTCAATAGTTTCGACTTGCGTGAAAGATTATGCGGAAAAATTTTCTGAATAGAATAAATCAACAACGATTGGTCTGTTTTGGTTGGTCAGAGGCTATTTAGATGTAGAAGAAAAATAATTGTTACAAAAACTTGTCCGCATTAAACATAACAGTCACGAAACATGATAAAAAAGGAAATGAATATGCGAGGCAAAACTAATCTTTACCCAGAAATCACTACATTCAAACAAGGACAGACTTTCACTGAAAGAACTTATCGATAGAGTTATTTCAGTTCTGCCTTGAGACTGACCATAGGTACCATTATTCAAATCCTCTCCTTTACACTCCAGAAATGCGAAGATAAAATGAGTTCTGTGGTTGATACACTCCATAAAAATGTCTCTTGCACGATGTGTAATGATTTAAAGGGCCTTTTAGTGTAAATACCGCTATTCTAAACAAATACAACTCAGCGTTTTCCCAGCAGAAAAAGGAAAACCGCGATTCGAGGGAAACCTGATAACAGTAAGAAAAGCAAAATGTATCGCTTTTCAGATCTTACCAAAGCTGTTTTAGTTGAGACCCTTTAAAAAATCTTCTTCCACAATGGAACAGAGTTGTTTCTTGACCGACAATATCAGTTCTGGCTGGTTGAAATCAAGATTAACACTTTGCTTTGCACATCTGCATACATGATTGAAAAACATTGATTGCTTTTTTTCTTTTTTAATTTGGTGAGTCTTATGATCGTTTAGGCCGATAACCTGTTAACGTATCGATTCTCCCCATTTGGGGGGTCTTGCATAGTTAACCAAGTTGATAATTGCCAATACAAATTTTAGTTAAAAGTCACGAGCATATGCCGGTTTTGCCGGTTAGCCTAAACCAGTTGAAATTCTATCATATGCGATTCGCATTTTATATTACACAGCTTTTTGGTGAATTGTTGTAGAACCAACCACAAAATAAAATAAACGACTGGTTAAGTAAGCGCCGGAATAAATGTTTCAGAAGACCTGATTAAATGCTCGGAGCGGAGAGGAGAGAGGAAGATCATGCGATGGATCCGAACTTACAACCCATCCAGGAGGGGGAGATTGGAAAAATCTTCCGTGCACAATGATTGTAAGACTGATGTGACTGGCAGCTGCTCACTCGTCTCGGTCAGTCTCCTCTCACAAATATCTCTGTACGTCACTCCCGTGTCAAAATGTATCTTTACTATGTGTCGCTGAAAACAGGAAAATATCACGTGCAGAAGATCAAAAATCACCTGCTACGTCTTTGCAAAATGATTTTGGGGAGTTTTTATTGAACAAATTGTGCTTTACGCATAGATACACGTTTTTTTGTGGTGTAACAAAAGTGAACTTCTTCTGGAACCCGTTTTTTTAATTCCCTGGTCAAATCACGGACGTAAACAAGGAAGTAGGCGGGCTATTTTCAGCTTGAATTACTTTCTGAGGTACAGCACGCTCACTTCTTATTGGAGAAAAAGCGCTAAATTCTATTAAATAAATGTAACAAGTTTACTCTGAGCGGAATTTGTTTTGGCAGATTTTTTTTTGCGGTGTTTTGTTGGCTGATGGAGGATTTTGAACGTAACGTAACGCAATTATTATACACATCTGTATGGTAAGGGTAGATTGAAACCGCATATATTCACAGTAATTTATCTTGATACTACTGATGAGGGTAAGGTAGAGTGAGGCATTCCAGTCCCCACCCTACCATACACCAACCTAAGGGCCCTTCTCAGCCGATTGAATTCTCACCAAGTTTCAGCTAAGGTGTTTGTTGAAATAAAATTGAAACCACTCGGACATCTAAGACAAAGGCGCATTAGTCAAGACGGCAGACAGCAGAGAGTTGTCGAGGTGTCTTTTTTTTCCAGAACTCCACATGATTGCACTTGTGCAGCGAACAGCAATACATACCTCATTAAACAATCGCCATATTGCATTGCTGAAAAGATTCGCATAGCCATTAAACCACAGATAAAATGCAGCGGTCGCCACTATTTATACTCTGTCGTCAACTTTGCCACAATTTCATACACGTGGTAATTCTCAGGAGCTTCCAAGCTTCCAATTGTTGAATATGAAACACTTAAATCGCCCACTGTGAGGTCAATTCAATAGTTCTTACGCACCACGGACAACAGAACATCTTTATAGAAGTTACGATGCAATGATTGGTCTTACGCCAGAAAGATAAAAGAGCAATCGAGAATATTTTGGATCACTTTTGTCACTTCACGCTGAGCACAACAGTAACAGGAGCATAGCTAAGAAAGGTAGGTTAAAATTACGCTCTTTTTGGGAGTTAAAAAGAGAGAAAAAGAGCCGTAAGATTTCTCATATCTAGAGGATTACAAGAAAAAGCAGCTCTTAAGAGTACGAGAAAAATTTACTTGTTGTTACTCGTTTCTCCTAAGCTCAAAAGAGAAAATACGATTTAGTTTACGTTGCCACTGACCTCAAAATTGTCCTACTTCACGGTAAGAAAGATTCTTCCATACTCTAACGTAAACCAGACAATTGAAGGGATTCCCACTTAAATCACTGACGGGAAATACGACGTCCTAAAAACACACCCATATAAAGATGCCTTTGTGAGTAACTATTCTGGTGATGAAGCCCGAGCACTTAACAGGAAAGGTCAATGGGACTAAAACGTAATGTTCGTGTAGTATCGTAATTCTCAATTGCAATTGAGATGCATCAATGCTCAAATACTTTATTTTAGTAAAGGTGAAGGGATTCTGTTTATCAGGTGTACTAAAGCCCGAACAACTCACACCTTCACCGGGCGCGTGTGGTTGAACGTCCGCGCGCGGCTGTGAGCGTGTCATGTTTTTCTGCGCGCGTGTTTCTAGCGTTCTTGCCGATTTGATAAGATATGAGTTTATATGGCGAAGTCTCGAACAGCTGCTTCGCGTCGAGCGTTGTCATTTATATGATTTCTGCCAGTACACGAAATTCTCGAGAAATTCGTTGTCAGATTTTCTCGATCCACTGGGTCTGCCGCCTTGTTGTAATCAATTGTGAATAGAATCTTAAGTAAAATCTAAAGGTGCTCCTTTAGGTCATAGGCCATTTGCAAATTCAGTTGTTCTAGAATCCTTCTCCCAACTCATCTGCTCGCATTTTGCTCATAACTCATTATCACTTTTTTGTGGCCGATCAAAGAATCATGAAGTTGGAATATTAGCAGGCTGCGGTCACATACCATTTACCGATTAACGTATATCATAATGTTTCCGGCTGTTTTCCGCTCATAATTTTCCTGAAATGATCTGCTGTAAGAGTTACAGTGCAGTCATTAACGTCAGTGTAGCATTGTTATGAAACACTGCCCTGATAAAGGCTACGGTGTTTAAAATCGATAATCAAGCACAAACATTTGACGCTTTCTTAAGTCCTTCATAACGCGTCGACGTGCTTTGACATGTCGGACGTGACCTAAAAACAATTTCAAGCCCCATACGTCAAAGACAATTTCCTTCTCTGTCTTTGGCATACGGTGCTTGAGGATAACTGTGCGCCTTTTTTTCGGATTTAGTCATTGCATGTATACATTGTATGGACTCGAAAGTCAAGTTTAAGTATACATTTAGCAATATAGCGTCCCTCAACCCCGTGACTATGCTTGAGTGCGTTATTCACCATTGAAGGGTTGTGCTGTTCTTTCTCACGATCGAAATGGTGGATTCGTTGAAAGATAAGAGGTCAGCAATTGTGTGTCGGGTCAAAGTAAGTTTAATTTCGAGGTAGGCCGACTTGTTTTTTTCTTTTAATGTGCACAGTTTTTCCCGAGTGGAGACGACTTCAGTATTGGAAAGGAAATCTCGAAATATCTACTCATATGGAAAAGCTCTTTTTTCCGAGCACCTTATAGTATGATAGTGCGCATGCAGTTTTTTCAATATTATGTTAGTCTGTGGCTTCGAGAAAAGCTCTTTTTTCCGAGCACCTTATAGTATGACAATGTGCATGCAGTTTTTTCGAGATTGTGGCTTCGAGAACTAAGCCCTTTTGATTACACTGTAAATTAAGAAGATCTGTTCCAGCCCCAAATTCCGGGCCAAATTTCGGGGCAATGGGAACCCGCGAAACAAGACAATATTTCCCGTGTGTGTTTACATTTGTCAACAAAATTGTCACAAAATACCTCAAAATGATAAAAATAGTATTCCAAATGTGGTTGTAGGTAGTTTTAGGTAGTTTTAGGTGGTTTTAGGTGGTTTTAGGTGGTTTAAGGTGGTTTTAGGTGGTTTTAGGTGGTTTTAGGTGGTTTTAGGTGGTTTTAGGTGGTTTTAGGTGGATTTAGGTCATTCCATGTTTTAGTAACTGCCAGTTATGTGGCCGTGGAATCAATTCGCGTATGCATCGCGTTTCGAGCAGCTTTGTTTCGGTCTTTCGGAAGAAACACTCACTCGAAAATTTGAAAGGAATCTAGGTGAAAAATGCATTAGAAAGTATATTTTAATGAGTAATTGTATTAAACCGGTAATTACTGTAAAGATCGTGTAGAAGAGTTGGAACTCGTAATTCGATCCGAGCTCCTCACTGAGGTCAGTATACGAGGCTCTTCCCAATAAAATTGTGCAGTTGATTATTTATCTTAATCTAAGGTTGCATTTTACGAAACACTATATACTAGAACTGCAAGGCTTATTCACTGAAATGACTTGTTAGGTGGTCAATCAGTTTTGCATTGTTGAATAGTCCTTTCAAAATCTAATTGCCGGAAATTGAAAATGACAGACAGCAACGTTAACTTTTCCAATAAAAATGGATATAATTGTGGTTGTAAGCCTCGTATTGGTCAATATTGTTCACTCCGCCCTGCCTTCTGTATAGATGTAGCATAAAGCATGGATTTCTTTAATACTGGGTCCTTTTCTGTCGGCGAGCTTGCTTTGCCAGGATTTTATTTCAGGCTTATCACAATCCATTGATCACTACTACATCAATTCAATATGGAGAAGTTCGAAAAATCATTCACATCAGAGGAAGTCACTAACATGGCTAGAAGACTGATGATGAATTCTCCTCAACGACCATCGAAAGAATATCAAGTAAGTATTACTTGCACTTGAGTCGACATGCTCCGGTCGTATTTGCAAAAGCGCCGGAGTTACGGCCCACGTGATCCTGATTAAATTCACCAATTTTGCTCTTGTGCCTTTTGTAGATTATCTCGATGGCAATGATTTGGCTACAATTTGTTTGGATGTTAGTGAATTCGCTTTTATTTTCCGGATTTTAATGAAAGGACAAGATTCAAGAACCTTATGAAAATGTTCACAGAGGAAATCGAGGTAAGTATATTTGTTCTATGTGATTTTTTCCCGCCAGTAGAAGAAAGCCTAATAATAGTTTCCTGGCCTGGTTACAAATTGGTTTATCCCAGAGATCTTTGAGAGCTCATTTCTCAAGCGCGCGTGTCTTTAACAGAATGTCTAGACACTGTGATTATAATGTGCTTTTCAATCGTGTTATTTATATAATTGCTTGCTTATTTAATTTAGGTGAGCCATTCCAATCCTTTAAATTCCGGACCCAATCGTGACTTGCCGAAGAAATGTACTGATGGTCGTGCTTCTGCCTCTTTATTAATGGTGAGCTACAAGGAAAAATTTTCTGATCTTAACTAAGTGTGCATAAGAATCCATACTCATAAACACTTGATATACTTACT